GAATTGTCAGGAATTGTCAGACAAACCACCTCTCTCCGGACCATCCGCTAATTTCACGGCAAGCTATCGGCAAGTACAAGCCTCAGGATGCCACCACCAACCCTTCTTTGATCCTGGCTGCGTCCAAGAAGCCCGAGTACGCTAGCCTGATCGACTCGGCTGTCGAGTTTGGCAAGAAGCAGGTATGGCAGTTTACCTAGGATGGGATAGGAAAGTTGCTAAACATTTCTCTGTCTACAGGGCAAGACTGTCGATGAGCAGGTCGATGCCACCCTTGACCGTCTCCTGGTTGAGTTCGGCAAGGAGATTCTCAAAATCATCCCCGGCAAGGTCTCCACCGAGGTCGACGCTCGCTTCTCCTTTGACACCGAGGCCTCGGTCAACAAGGCCCTTCACATCATCAAGGTAAGCATCATAATCGGAAAGTTTCGAAAAAAAAAAAAAAAAAAAAAGGGAGATGTTGATTCAGGATTAGCTCTACGAGGAAGTCGGCATCTCCAAGGACCGCATCCTGATCAAGATCGCCTCCACCTGGGAGGGCATCAAGGCCGCCCACATCCTGCAGTCCCAGCACGGCATCAACTGCAACCTGACCCTGATGTTCTCTCTGGTGCAGGCCATTGCCGCCGCCGAGGCCGGTGCCTTCCTCATCTCCCCCTTTGTCGGCCGTATCCTGGACTGGTACAAGGCCGCCCACAAGCGCGACTACACCGCCCAGGAGGACCCCGGTGTCAAGTCCGTGCAGAGCATCTACAACTACTACAAGAAGTACGGCTACAACACCATCGTCATGGGTGCTTCGTTCCGTAACTCTGGCGAGATCACCGAGTTGGCCGGCTGTGACTACCTGACCATTGCTGTAAGTACATCTTTCTGGGTGTTTGATCCCTGAGAGTCTAGCTAACGGTTTAGCCCTCCCTGCTTGAGGAGCTGTTCAACTCCACTGCCGCCGTGCCCAAGAAGCTGGACGCCGCCGCCGCCACCACCCTGGACATCCCCAAGCGCAGCTACCTCAACGACGAGGCGCTCTTCCGCTTCGACTTCAACGAGGAGGCCATGGCCGTCGAGAAGCTCCGCGAGGGTATCTCCAAGTTCGCCGCCGATGCCGTGACCCTCAAGGAGATCCTCAAGGCCAAGATTGTGGCCTAAATTATGACATAATGGGGCGTTAATATATTATAAAAAAAAAAAAGGAAGAAAATACCACAAAGTAAATAGTACTATGAATTATGATGCTTGCGAGTGATAGACAGATTGACAATGGATCTTATTATGCTCGATGATCTTTCTAGCAGTAGTTACTCCGTATATCTAGAACCCTTCTATATTGATGATTGGTTAGGAACAAGCCTGTGCTTTTACTTCAGTATTACCATGTAGTCGAGTCTAATTCAAACCCCTCTACGGGGTAATTAACAGGTAGAGTCCAGGCTGTCTGCTTAGGAATCAAGACGGAGCATACATAGCCATACCGTAAAGTAGAAAATAACACAAGATACACCACTGCCCGCCTGTAAATACAGTACGAGCGGCATAACACAACAAAACGTCATTCCGAGAGCCCCGCCAGAGGTGGGGGAAAGAGAGTCGAACTTCCCTCTCTCTCTCTCTCTCTCTCTCTCTCTCTCTCTCCTTTTCATCTCCTGTTCTCGCCATCGAGCTTCTTTCAGATCTCTATCTCCACGCAGGTTTCATCAGATAACCATCAAACCGTCACAATGGTCAAGGCCGGTATGTGTATCAGATTCCCATTGGTCCCCACGAGGACCTTCAGAGTGGTTGAGCAGATTTGAGCACCTTGTGGCCAGCCTATGATGGGTTGAGTCTAGCAATGCTTGTTTATTATGTCTTATCTGTTGTATTATCTGTTGTGTTGTCTATTGTGTTATTGTGTTGTCTATGCTGTGCTAACGAGTCAGTCGCTGTTCTCCGGGGTGACTCCAAGATCACCGGCACTGTCACCTTCGAGCAGACCTCTGAGAGCGCCCCTACCACCATCTCCTGGGACATCAAGGGCCACGATGCCAACGCCGAGCGTGCCTTCCACGTCCACCAGTTCGGTGACAACACCAACGGCTGCACCTCTGCCGGTCCTCACTGTAAGACAACCAACACAACCATCAGGAACTTGTGTGTTAATCTCCTTCTCCTTCTTCTTCAAGTCAACCCCTTTGGCAAGACCCACGGTGCTCCCACCGACGAGGAGCGTCACGTCGGTGATCTGGGCAACTTCAAGACCGATGCCGAGGGCAACGCCGTCGGTTCCACGCAGGACAAGCTGATCAAGCTGATCGGTGCCGAGAGCGTTCTGGGCGTAAGCTGATTTATCACTGTATATGAATGACCCACCTCTAATGATCTCTAGCGCACCCTCGTCGTTCACTCTGGTACTGACGACCTCGGCCGTGGTGGCCATGAGGATTCCAAGAAGACTGGAAACGCCGGTGCTCGCCCTGCCTGCGGTAAGTCTGTCTGCAGAAATTCGAGAGAATGTTGAGGAACTGGCTAATCAGTTAGGTGTCATTGGTATTGCCGCATAAATTAACGACAGTCTGATAGTCTGATTGAATGAATTAATATCCCTATCATAGAGTAATACAGTAGTAAGTAGAGCAGTAGTATTAAGAATAGTATAGTTAACTATTGTACTCTAGTTACCATGTCTATTGTTACTTATTGACATGGCCAAAGCTCGGCCAGAAGCTCCCCACAAACTCCTCGGGACACTGTGTCGTGTCTTGCTCTCTCCGCACCTCCTTTCCATCAATCCCCTTTCTTCAATTCTTTCTCTTTCTTTCTTTCTTCCAGTTGAGTTTCAAGGAAACACTTCCACTACTCTCCACCATGCCTCTTGAAGCCCGCGTCAAGAACGTGCTGTCGGGAGACACCGTCGTCCTGTCGCATGTCACCAACCGCTCCCAGGAACGCACACTGAGCTTGGCGTATGTCTCTGCTCCCAGGTTACGGAGGGAGGGCGATGAGGTATTGTCTTGTACCTTGAGTGCTTTTTTATTTTTATTTTTATTTTTTTTTTTTCATCTGTGGTTCTAACAGGAGTAGGCCTTTGCCTTCCATTCCCGCGAATTCCTCCGCGAACTGCTCGTCGGCAAGGTCATCCAGTTCCAGGTCCTGTACACCATCCCCACGGGCGCTCGCCGGGACTACGGCGTGATCACGCTGCCGGGCACGAACGCGTCGTTGCCCGAGATCTCCGTGCAGGAAGGGTGGTCACGGGTGCGTGAGGAGGCAGGGAAACGCGCCGACGAGTCCGAGGAGACGGTTGCTCTGCTGGAGCGGCTGCGGGCGCTCGAAGCCCATGCCCAAAGCGAGGGCAAGGGGATCTGGGGCGCGGCGGAGGAGAGCGGCCGGGTCGAGACCGAGTATGAGCTGGAGGACGCCAAGGCCCTGGTCGACCAGTACAGGGATAGCAAGCTGACGGCGATCGTGGAGCGGGTGCTCAACGGCGACCGTCTGGTCCTGCGGCTGCTCCTCTCGCCGCACGAGCATCTGCAGACCGTTGTTACGCTGGCGGGCGTGCGCACGCCCGCCGCCAAGCGAGTCAGCGCCGCCGCCGCCGCCGCCGCCGCCGAGGGCAAGGAGCAGCCCGCCGAGCCGTACGGCGACGAGGCCCACGCCTTTGTCGAGTCGCGGCTGCTGCAGCGCAGGGTCCAAGTCTCCCTGCTGGGCGTCACGCCGCAGGGCCAGCTGATCGCCACCGTGCTGCACCCGAACGGCAACATCGCCCAGTTCCTGCTCGAGGCCGGTCTGGCCCGCTGCTTCGACCATCACTCCGCCCTGCTCGGCGGCGACATGGCTACCCTGCGTCACGCCGAGAAATCCGCCAAGGACGGCCGCAAGGGCCTCTTCACGGGGCTCGTTGCAGCCTCATCCAAGGGCGGCCCTGCCGGGGCGGACGCGGACTACCTGGTCTCCCGCGTGCTGAACGCGGACACGCTCTTCATCCGCAACAAGGCCGGCCAGGAGCGGAAGATCAGTCTCAGCAGCGTGCGGCAGCCCAAGCCGTCCGACCCCAAACAAGCGCCCTTTGCCGCCGAGGCCAAGGAGTTTGTGCGCAAGCGCCTGATCGGCAAGCATGTCAAGGTCACCGTGAACGGCAAGAAGCCCGCCAGCGAGGGATACGAGGAGCGCGACGTGGCCACCGTCATGCAGGCCAACACCAACATCGCCCTGGCGCTCGTCGAGGCCGGCTACGCCTCGGTCATCCGCCACCGCATGGACGACGATGACCGCTCCCCGGACTACGACGCGCTGATGGTCGCCGAGGCCGACGCCCAGAAGGAGGCTCGCGGCATGTGGTCGCCCAAGCCGCCCAAGACCAAACAGTACCAGGACTACTCCGAGAGCCTGCAGAAGGCCAAGATGGAGGTCTCCATCCTGCAGCGCCAGAAACGGGTGCCCGCCATCGTGGACTTTGTCAAGTCCGGCGCGCGCTTCACCGTGCTGGTGCCCCGCGAGAACGCCAAGCTGACCCTCGTGCTGTCGGGCATCCGCGCGCCCAAGTCGGCTCGCAACCCGGGCGAGCCCTCGGAGCCCTGTGGCCAGGAGGCCCACGACCTCGCCAACCGCCGATGCCTGCAGCGCGACGTGGAGATCGACGTCGAGACCATCGACAAGGTCGGCGGCTTCATCGGTACCCTCTATGTCAACAAGGAGAACTTCACCAAGGTGCTCCTGGAGGAAGGGTTGGCGACCGTGCACGCCTACTCGGCCGAGCAGTCTGGCCATGCCACCGAATACTTTGCCGCCGAGCAGCGCGCCAAGGAGGCCCGCAAGGGTCTCTGGCACGACTGGGACCCCAGCAAGGATGCCGAGGAGGAGGAGGAGGAAGTGCAAGCCGTGCCCGCCAACGGTCACGGATCGGCCGAGTCTGAGGCTGCTGCTGCTGCTGCTGCTGCTGCTGCTCGTCGCAAGGACTACCGCGACGTGATGGTCACCTATATCGATCCGGTCTCTGCGCGCGTGAAGCTGCAGCAGGTCGGCTCCGGCACGTCGGCGCTGACGGAGATGATGAGCGCCTTCCGGTCCTTCCACCTCAACAAGGCCAACGAGACGCCGCTGGCGGGCCCGCCCAAGGCCGGCGACTTTGTCTCTGCCAAGTTCACCGAGGACAACGAGTGGTACCGCGCCCGGATCCGCCGCAACGACCGCGAGAACCAGCAGGCAGAGGTGTTGTACATTGATTTCGGCAACTCGGAGGTGGTGCCGTGGTCTCGCCTCCGTCCGCTGGGCCCCCAGTTCTCGGCGCAGACCCTCAAACCCCAGGCCGTCGAGGCCGTCCTCTCCTTCCTCCAGTTCCCCGTGGCCGCGGACTACCTGGCCGACGCGGTGGGCTTCATCGGCGAGCAGACCTTTGACCGCCAGCTAGTCGCCAATGTCGACTACGTCTCGCCAGAGGGCACCCTGCACGTCACGCTGCTGGACCCCTCGGTCTCCAAGAACCTGAACCACAGCATCAACGCCGAGATTGTCCGCGAGGGTCTCGCCATGGTGCCGCGCAAGCTCAAGGCCTGGGAGCGCGCCGCGGCCGACACCCTCGCCCATCTCCGTGACCAGGAAGACGAGGCCAAGCAGGAGAGACGGGGGATGTGGGAGTATGGCGATCTCACCGAGGATTAAACCGTCTTCCTTCTATCAAAAGAAATCTGTACAAAATCGAATCACATGAACATGTGCTAGTAGTCCTAGACAACATAGTAAATAAGACTACTTGTATACTTCAACGATCACTATTGACTAGTCCTGTAAGCTGACATAAGCGACTGATCTGACTGCAACGCCGTCATGAACCTGAACCTGAACCTGAACCTCGACAACCATCCAGCGCCAGTTGATTTCGACGAGCCCGTCCTCCTCCCTGCCTCTCCACTCCTCAGATTCGTTCGATTCCGCCGGTTCCGGTCGAGCCTGGAAGGCGACATCGTCCGACTCGATCCGTCAGCCATCGGATGCACCGTTCAACCGTCCACCATCCACAGGAACTAAGCTAAGACTATAAGCAGCTTCCCCCCTGGAACGAAATGCCTCTCTGGCGAAGTTCTGCGCCCGCAGAAAGCGATCCGGCACAAGCACAAGAGAGCAGCGCGCACAACGATCCCGTCGCATCCGCGACGTTGGCGGCGGGCGAGGGATGGCTCGCGGGGCATCTGAACCATCTCACGACGGAACAGGAGGAAAAGCTGGCGGAGTTGAAGGCGTTGAGTGCCGAGAAGGGATATTATACACCGGCGTCGGTGTCTAGTGGGGGTCCTAGCCATGACGACGCGACGATGCTGTACGTTCCTTCTTTACAGACGTAAGGGAATATTGTTCTAATACTCTATGACAGTCGCTTCCTTCGTGCACGCAAGTTCGACGTGAATGCCGCGTTCGGCCAGTTCAAGGATACAGAGGACTGGCGACGGGATAATGAGATCGACGCGTTGTATGAGAATATCGACGTTGACTCGTACGAGGCGGCTCGCCGGATGGTAAGCCTGCACTCCTCGTATGTCGTATACTTTTTTCATTTGTTCTGTGTTGATTGGTGGTAGTACCCCCAATGGACTGGCCGGCGCGATCGTCGCGGAATCCCCGTGTACGTGTTTGAGATCCGGCATCTGAACAGCAAGAACATGGCGGCATACAACTCGACGATGACCACGCCGACGGCCGAAACGCACCAGGCGTCGACCGTCCCGGCGCGGCTGCTCCGTCTGTTCGCCCTGTACGAGAACCTGCTGCGTTTCGTCATGCCCCTGTGCTCCGAGCTGGGCCGTCCAAACCCGGAAACCCCGATTGTCTCCTCCAACAACATCGTCGACGTGAGTGGTGTTGGGCTCAAGCAGTTCTGGAACCTCAAGGGCCACATGCAGGATGCTAGTGTGTTGGCTACGGCGCATTACCCAGAGACTCTTGACCGTATTTTTGTAAGCATCTTCCTTTACTTACATTACAGGGTGGTCTGGTATCGCCATGCTGATATTTAGTTTAGATCATCGGAGCTCCCTCCTTCTTCCCCACCGTCTGGGGTTGGATCAAACGCTGGTTCGACCCCGTCACGACGTCCAAGATCTTCATTCTCAGCGCCGCAGAGGTGAAACCCACGCTCACCTCGTTCATGGACCCGACCAGCTTTCCGAAACAGTACGGCGGCGAGCTCGATTGGCAGTGGGGGGATATGCCGAACCTGGACGAGCCCGCCCGCGACCTCGTCAGCCAGATCGTTTCTACTCCAGAGGGTGAAGGCTCGACTCATCCAACTCTCATCAAGGGCCCGGTCTTGTTCAAGGGCACCGAGATCGAGATCCTCGGTAAAGTGGACGGCAAGAGTCGGAAACAGACTCTTCCCGTCGTCAAGAAGGTCGTTGCGGAGCATGACAACGTTGTCAACGGCTCCAACGACGAGAAAGTGCCCCTCGACCAGGCGGACGAGAACATCTCCGTCCCTACGACAGCATAGTTTTCTTACATCTTTCTCTTTCTCGGCTGGATGGAGGCCTGTTATCTGATAGAGGCGCTCTGCTCTACTTACTTTCGGGATGCATTCTATGTTTCATAGCATAATATAAATAGTAATGCAATTCGGGTATATATAAAGTACTTCACTACAGTCGAATACAACTACTGAAGTGACATGATGAACGCTATGATAAATAGTTTATATTAATTCACTATACAAAACTAGCTGGACGCCTTCCACACGGCGTTGATCTGTTTTCTCCGAACCTGTAAAAGTTAATATGATGGAAAGCAAGAGAGGAGTGTATCAAAACTGGAGACAAAAACATACCATTGGAGCCAGAATGACAACACCAACCGCCAGAGCCACAACGGTTAGGACGAGCTGAAGTTTGGAGAAGCCCTTGCCAAGGATATCAAAGGCCTGGGACGGGTTGACGCGCGAGGCAAAGATGTCGCCGCCAAAGGCGAAGACAAGGCTCGTGCTCTCCAACAGGGTTGGCCGGGAGAGCACGGTCGAAAGGCCCGCCACGTCGCGCGCGTGCGAGATGTACCACTTGCCGTCGAATTCCAGGAAGGGATGGTACTTGAACAGACCTTCTTCGGCCTCGAGCGCGGTCGCGTCGCGGCCGACGGGGCGGCGGGGATCGAGCACCGGGCGCGGGATGCCGATGAGGGAGTTCGAGGCCGGCAGCGTGCACAGCAGCTGGCGGGTGGTGATTCCCTGCCGGGTTTGCGTCACGGTCATGTGGGAGATGGGTTCAGGGATCACAAATGCCTGGGAGATGACGTGCGGGGCGGGGAGAGGCTCTGCGCCAAATAGGCTGGAGTAGTTGCTGGCCGAACCCAGCGGACCCCGGTCGTTCGGGGTGGGCGATTCGTACAACTCCGCCACGACTAGCTGGTAGCCCCTGGCATCGCCTTCCTGCACCGCATCGCCGTAGAAGGAGTATGCAAACCAGTTCTCCGAGATCACAGAGGGGATGGGCTGCGTGGTATCCACCCCGCGCTGGGTGCTTGCGTGGAGCAGTTGCCCGGAGATCGCGTCCAAGAGGTAGAAGCTCGCCGTGCTGCCGCTGACAGCGGTCACCAGGGCAAGGTTGGGATTGAGGTACTTGTACAAGACCGAGCGGTCGCCCAGGACCTTGCCGATCGAAGCCACAGGGTCATGAGCAGGGCGCGCCGTGGCGCGCACGATCCGCTGTCCCTCGGGAGGCGCGAACTCCCAGACAGGATACTTGTTGTCGGCGGCGGTCCATCCACGAACACGCCCGTCGTCGCCCAGCGTGACGAGGAATCCTGCTCCGTTGATCGCATCCAGAGGGGTGCCATCTTCCTTGACACCGATGACTACCGGAGAAGAAGCGTCCTGTTTGACGACGGCGAACGACTTGGTTTTGGTCGTGGGTGCAGTCCGCGAAAGAATAGCCCCAGAAGTGGTGTTCAGGGTGACCGAGCTGCCGTCTTCCACGTAAACAGTGGCAGACCCAGGCTGGGTCACGATCGTTCGGACGTCCCACGTGCCTTGGCCTTCTGCGGCCTTCACGCTCCAAGCAACAGCACCATGCTTGCCGGTATCGAGAGCGTATACGCGGCCATTCTCAGTAGCCACGATAACGGGCATGTTGATTCCAAAGCTGTCGAGGTTTGTGACTTCATCCGAGAAAACGCTGGTGATGACCCGGCTGGGAAGCTCCCGGAGCCAATCGGGGAGATACTGGAGGTCCCGTACGTGGCGTTTGACGCGGTGGAAATAAGCACCAAGGAGACTCTGGTGGCCCTCTACTTCGAGCTCGTGAGCGAGCTCTTCCTGATCGTCCGCCTCGACCCAAGTCGCGGCCAATGCCCCGGCCAATGCTTCATATCTCGTCCATCCGGACTGGCCGTTCTGAATGAGATGCCAGTCACCGGATTCTGTGACGACCGCCGACCGAAGAGCCACAGAGTCTCCCTTGACGACAACCTCCGCCACGGCATGGAGGGGCCGTTCGGTGGAGGGTGACTGGAGAGACCACCGCCCAAGAATGCCATGAGACGCAGATGAGACGACTGCAGCTTCTGATTCAGACATGCGAGTGAAGTACACATTTGCGTCCTTGTTGCTGGTCGCGAAGACCGAGCGCTCCTGCGTGCGCGGCAGGTGATACGCCTTTGAGACCGTGGAGGCCTTCAAGTCAACGTGGTAGACGTCAGCCCAGGAGCTCGACTCGGTCTCGTACTGGACCAGAAAATGGGGCAACGAGTTCAACTTGCGCGATGCGTGAACAGTAATAGAACGGATCTCCTCGCCGCTTTCGTTGTCGATTGTGATTGTGTGGACCTGCTTCGAGCCGATCACATTGACCTTCAACGTCTTGTGCAACTTGTCCGCCCAGACAACCAACGGGGAAGCGTTGTTTGCACCGACAAACAAGACCGACTCGGGCCCGGCCACCTCATTCTCAGAGCTCAGAACATACTGCTGGCCCGGTTTGCCCGTAAGAGGGTCCAGTGAGGTGATCTTGATCTTGTAACCCTTTGACGGAACAGAATGCAGCGAGATATAGTATATTTCGGCGGGAGAGGACAACACCTGGAAGGGAAGATCACCACTACCGGATGAATATGTTAGCATACTGATTCACAAATGAACAAAAACTCCCATTTGGACTTTGTAAAATACCTCTGGTCCTTGAATTCCCACTTGACATCTCCCGACCCGCCATCGAATCGTCTGACAGTGCCCACCGCACCTGCAAAAAGCGCAATCGTGTCCTTAACCGTCGCAGGGTGACTGGCATCCTCGAACTCCAACACCTCCAGATCCGCCACGGTCTCGCCGGCAAACCGATTCTCCCAGACCAGCTTGCCATCTACGGCGCTCCAGGAGGACACATCCGCGCCCACGGCACTCACCACGGTGTTTGACTCATCGCTCCCGCGTAGGAATCCCTGCTGCTGCTGCTGCTGCTGCTGCTGCGCCGCCGACAACGACGACCGGGTGATGTTTTGCCGCCACACAATGGAGCCATCTCTAGGGTTGACGGCGCCGAGGATCGACTTCTCGGAGAGGGTATAGAGAAGTGAGGCGCTCGACGAAGCCGACGGGCGCAGGAAAAAGGTCGTGTCGACCGAGGGAATGCCCAGGAGGGCGTGGTGGAAGTCGACGTGGTCGACCTCGTCTTTGAAAACGGCCGTCGCCGATGGCACGCACGCGGCGAGCAAGAAAAGTGCCGCCTGGAGCCGCATTATGACCGTCGACTAGAACTCAGCATCTAGAGAAATTAGCAGAAAAAGAAAGGGGGGGGGAGAAAGCGGCGTGGTCGTTCTGGAGGGCGGGAGGGAAAGCAGTCGGTGGTGACGGAGGCGCTTTTGGCGTGTGTTTGGAGTCTGGACAGCTCCGACGATGTTCCGCCAGGGATTATTCACAGCTACACAGTTCTTTTTTTTAATCCATATTTTTTGAGACTTCTTTAAGTAATGCTTTTTCTTAGGTAGATTATTATAAGTTCTGGGTGTTGCTGACATGAATTTACATTTAACTAGTTGTAGAGAGCTTGCTAAAACATGCTTGATTCGCAAGGTGAATTGCTTGCTGCTCACCTGCACTCATGCCCTCGGTGATCTCCCAGGGCTTGGAGCCCAGACCCATCGCGCGTTTACCCTCTGGATGGAGGGAATCCCAGTCCATAGCGCCTTGGAAGCCCAGCTCTCCCGGTCCTCCGGCCCCGGGAAAATCCCAGGGCGGCGAGTAGGTGAGAGCAGCCTGGCGCTGTTTCAACAGGTAGTCGACATTCATCTGGCAGAGCGGAGTGGCGGGGATGTAGAGGACGCTGGAGTCCTTGGAACCGCGGTGCTTTTTGTTCACGGAATGCAGCGAGTCACAGTGCCAGGCTACAAAGTCGCCGGGCTGCACTTTGGGGATGGGGACCATCGTGGTCTGCAGCTCGAGATGGGGATGCGTGATGGGGTTGTACTCCTGGCATGCTCCTGGGACAGAGCCAGGGAAGGTGGCATCCAGTGCCGGACGGGAGGTTACCGGGTCAAAGAACGGCCGCAGGATGGTGTACGCGGTGCTGTGGACAATCATGGGACACACGTGAAGCGATCCCTCGCCCGGAGCAGTGTCCGACATGGACATCCATCCCTGGAAAAACCGCAGCATGGAACACGCCCCGGCACCATTGTACAGATCCATCTTGGCGTTCAACCGATGTTTGGCATCATACGGGTCGTACTCTTCCCAGTTCCCCCCGAGAATCTTGCTGTAGACACTCGAGTACTCCGGATCCTCCCAGCGCTCCAGGGAGCCTCCATCCACGTGAGGTCCTAACGTAAACTTCGAGTCTCCAGGCTCTCTGATCCGCAGACGGTCTGCGTACGACAACGGATGGCTTGTGGAAAGTCGCATGCGAGGGTCCGACGAATGCCACAGCCGCTGGAGGAAGCGCTGGGTATTCATCAGGTTGGGATGGGCTCTTGCTTCGGCCTGCGAGGGCGTCCAGTACAGCTCATACACCGCAGGCGAATCAGGCGGGAACGCTTTGATCCTCTCTTTGTTTGTAGCCGTGTAGTCTTTGATCCTCTCCTTCCACTCGAGCGCTTGGTTCCTAGGCACTACGTTCCGGATGACAACGGTGCCTCGGTGCCGAATCTCAGTCATCGTAGCTTCAGAGAGCTTGCCTGACACGACATGACTGTATTGGATCGACGGGATGATCTTGTCCCAGTCAGACTCTCTTGTAAATCTCCTAAAGAATAAATCACAGCGGAGACGGTATTCAATAACTTGGGATCTCAACTCACATTACTACCTCGAGCTTGGATCTTCCTCACTTCCCCCTGCAGACTTGCCAGCAGTCTCTTCCAGCTGTGCGTCAAAGCTTCCTCATTCTTCTCGAAGAAACGCAACTTCAGATCCCGAAACCGTGGAGGCAACGGCTCGGGCGTATAGTCTGGTCGCAGGCTGGGGAATACCGACGAGATATCTCCAGCCGCCTTGGTGGTCTGGGGCGACGTGGTGGCAGTGGAAGCCGCGCGAGCAGCAGACCGGGAGATAAGCCTCAACATTGCAGATCTAGATTTAAATATCAATATCGATAGCTCTTTTCTGTTCCAGACCACTTGTGATTGTGAGGGGAGCTTAAAAGCGAACACGAGAGCGCGGGATTTCCATCTCTGGACCGGCCGCCCAACTGCTGTTTCGAGTACGAAGCCGCCTGTCCTGCCGGCACAGGAATGGAATTACACGCCTGGCTCTTCGCTCCTCAGACGGAACATCTCCGTGAAATCATACCCGGTGTTTGACTCTAGGATGTCCCAGAGGCGATTCGATTCGATAGCTACTGGCGTGGATCCGCCGTGTTGGCAAGTGTTGGCAAGCGTTGGAAATGGAGAACGCAACCCCGCCTATCTTTGGAATCCCCCGCTTGCTGCACTGAAGCCCCTCGGCTCGATGGTGATAATATGGCGGGATATAAGGGGCGAGGGGAGTGTCTTGCATCGTACACGTTCCCTTGATGGTCACGGCGGTTCTTCTTCTACCTTTGTGTATCCTACAGAATGGCCTTCTCGGTCCAGGGGAAATCCGCCATTGTTACCGGCGCAGGCTCAGGTAGACTACACTGTTTATGAGATGTTGTTCAATTGATACAGACGCTAATGCGTACTGTAGGGATTAACTTGAGCTTCGCGAAGCTTTTACTGGAAAATGGATGCAACGTCTTGATTGCAGACCTCGGGTTACGCCCTGAGGCCCAGGCTGTCGTCGACAAGTATTCCAGTGGATTGCCACGGGCCATCTTTCAACAGACAGATGTGATAGAGTGGCCACAGTTGGAGAAGATGTTTGAGGTGGCGGAACAAGAGTTTGGAGAGGTCGATATTGTGTGCCCAGGAGCAGGCATCTACGAGCCGGTAAGCTGATGATTACAGACCATACCTTCCCCTGCTGGTAATAACCCGTATCTCTATAGCATTGGAGCAACTTCTGGAGGCCTCCAGGAACCCCGCAGAGCAAAGACCCGAGGGCTGGGGGTCGATACGCTGTGCTAGACATCAACTTGACGCATCCGATCCGTACCACGCAGCTGGCGATCTCTCACTTCCTTGCGCGAAACAAATCCAAGACACCAAAGCATATTGTCCATGTTTCTAGCATTGCAGGCCAAACCCCGGCTTTTAATACCCCGATGTACGTCGCCACAAAACATGCAATCAACGGATTGGTCCGGGCATTGAGCAACCTCGACAAGGAGTGTGGTATCCGAGTCACCGCCGTTGCGCCGGGCCTCATCAAGACACCCCTGTGGACCGAACATCCCGAGAAAATGTGCGTGGTTGATGAAAGCAAAGACATGTGGGTGTCTCCCGACGAGGTGGCCGAGGTGATGCTCGCCCTGATCGAACAAACGGAGGTCAGCGAAATCATCGGAGACAGAAGTGGCAAAGGGCAGCTGTTTCCCATCCAAGGAGGGACCATCCTAGAGGTCTCCAAGACAGTGCGTCCTGTCGAGGCGTTCCATGACCCAGGGCCATTCAACAGAGAAGGAAACACGGCCGCAAACACCAAGGTGCTCGACGACGAGACCTTTGCCCTGCTGTCAACTGAGGGATGGGGTCGACCGAGTCCATAGAGCGATAACCTAGTGTTAGACCACTTTCTTCACTTTTTTCCCATCATCTCCTCACTCTGTACTCCGCAATACTCTGGACTCTGGAGTAACTAGTCAAATTCTTAAGTAATAATACAAACCCACCAAGACTCCAGTCAGCCAGTCAACGCAACCGTAAAAGAAAAAGAACCCAGTGGTTCCAACCTCTCCCAGGTCCACTTTACGTGGCCGTGCGTTTGCAAAGATAAGGAGATAAGTTTGCGTGGCCACCGCCGAACCAAGTCTCCGCCCGTTGGCAATTAATTAGTTGACTTCCTTCTCTCGTCTCTCCCTCGCTATCTCTTCCCCTCACCTTGCCGAGACACTCGTTTTCGAGGGACCCTGCCGACACCAGATCGCTATTATGCCTGTCGGAGGAACTGGCATCTAAACTGTCGAGTTTCCTGCTTCCCCAGGCATCCAGCCCGACCCCCTTCTCGAGTCGTTTGATCGCGTGATATCGACCATCACCATGGTAGACGACGAGGCTACAATTGGAACCGGCTCTTTGGGGTCGTCCCGGAGTGCGCCGAGGTAATGATCTATTCTTTTCTTCTCATTGGTGTCTCATGAAATAAGAAAAAGTAGCTAATTAGAGGGACATCCCTTATAGGCGCGGACTCCGAGGAAAACAGGCTGCTGGATACGCCGGGCAGGCGAGTTGGCTTAGCAGTGTTATAAATTTGGTGAATACAAGTCAGTAGAATGGTTCTATGGATTTCATGAGATTCATGAGATTCATGGGATTCATGAGATTCATGGGATTCATGGGATTCATGGGATTCATGAGTCTTCTACGTTCTTCGTGATGGGCTTGCTAACATATGTGGGATACGCCTCACAGTCATCGGCGCCGGAGTCCTCGCCATGCCACTTGCAATGTCACATATGGGAATAACACTGGGCGTGATTGTCATTCTTTGGTCAGGCCTTGCGTCAGGCTTTGGCCTGTATCTGCAGTCTCGATGCGCGCAGTATTTGGAAAGAGGCTCGGCCTCGTTCTTCGCACTCTCGCAGCTGACTTATCCCAATGCTGCGGTGATCTTCGACGCGGCCATCGCCATTAAATGTTTTGGAGTCGGGGTGAGCTATTTGATTATAATCGGCGACCTGATGCCGGGTGTCGTTCAGGGGTTTGTTGGAGGGACCCCGGACTATGACTTCTTGGTTGATCGTCACTTTTGGGTCACTGCGTTCATGTTGGTGCTACTTTTTATATCCTCAAACTAAAGAGTGACAGAGACTGACAGGCTCCCTTAGGCTGGTCGTTATTCCTTTGTCGTATCTTCGACGTCTCGATTCTCTCAAATATACCAGCGTCGCCGCCCTGGTCTCGATGGGATACCTGGTTGTTTTGGTGGTGTACCATTTTGTCAAAGGGGATACCATGGCGGACCGGGGGCCTGTCCGTGTATTCAAATGGGCTGGCCCTATTCCCACATTAAGCAGTTTTCCTGTTATTGTCTTCGCCTTTACGTGTCATCAAAATGTACGTCTTTCACATATACAAGGACCCCCCCCCAAGTTCATTTCCCCCCCCTCCCATCTAACGTATCTAGATGTTCTCGGTAATGAACGAAATTAAAAACAACAGCCACTTTCGGACGACGGGTGTGGTTCTTGCCAGCATTGGCAGCTCTGCTGCAACCTACGTCCTGGTCGCCATCACCGGATACCTTTCTTTCGGCAACAACGTCGGTGGAAACATTGTGTCCATGTACCCACCCGGCGTGCCCGCCACGATCGCCCGAGCTGCCATCGTGATGCTTGTGATGTTTTCGTACCCGCTGCAGTGTCACCCCTGCCGGGCCTCCGTGGATGCCGTCTTGAAATGGCGGCTGAAAAAGACCGGCTCCAGTTCTTCCAGCCACGAGGGCTCTCCCCACCGTCATCCCCTATTGGGAGCTGCTCGAACCAGCCGGTCTCCTGATGCGATGAGCGATCTCCGCTTCTCCCTCATAACCACTACGATTCTCATCCTGAGCTACATCACGGCCATGACCGTGTCGTCCCTCGAAGCCGTGCTGGCGTACGTCGGCAGCACCGGTAGCACCAGCATCAGCTTCATCCTCCCGGGCTTGTTCTACTACAAGATCTCTGACCCGGACTCTCCGAGCCATCAACGACTCATGAAAGAAGACGACGAAGTCGCTGACGAAGTTCTCGCCCGTGAGGCCGACGACGACTACAACGACACCGACAGCCTGACGCGCCCCCTGACAGACAGTGGGATCATCCGCGCTACCACCCGCCAATGGCGCAGGAAGCTCATCCGCAAACTCAGCTTGGCCCTCGTCCTGTACGGCGTGCTCGTCATGATTGTATGTCTGATCACCAATACGTTTTTCGTTGCTTCGCACTAGCTCGACCTATGCCCGTCTGTTCTTTTCTTTTCTTTTCTTTTTTCTTAGATCTTGGATAGAAAGGTGGCTACGACTTTCATCTTTTTCAAATCTTATGATTGATATACACACTCCTTGCTTGGAGTTTTCTTTTGGGTTGGATTTCTACTCTTGCTACCCCATCGCTGTGGCGTTAAGTCTCCTTGTTTTGATTCTGATATATACTATACCACACTGCCATATATCGATCCTTGAGTGTTTTCTTCTCTTGTGATATAACAGAAAAGATACTTGATATTTAAATGGTATTGTCTTCCTGTACATATAGCCGCATGGCTACTTTATTCGATGCTTTACAACAAATCAATTGAATAACGGCATCATTGCTAGCTTAATAGACGAATGAAATATAAATAACACTGTAAGGAAAGCCACTGCTTCATCATGGCCATCAGTCAAGCATGTTGCGAATGTCGAGGTTATTAGTACGGGGGTTGATATTAAAGAAAGAAAAAGCAATCAATCCTTCTTGAGCTACGCTCTCATCCAATCTGTTAACGCAGTCAAGATCAAGACCTTCGGTGGGGGTGTTGTTAGCCTGATTGGCAGCTTCGGATTCAATTGTTGCTCTGGCTGTTCAGAATACGGAGAATAGCCAAGAACAGGTTGAGAATGTCCAGGTAGAGCGAGATGGAAGCCGCAATCTCCTCTTCGACATGATAATGGCGCATGATAAGCTGAGTGTCCACCAGGATGTAGCCAGAAAACACCAAGGCCGCAATCGCGCCGTAGACCAGTTCCGTGGTGGAACCAAAGGGGACAAACGCGGCCATGAAACCAAACAAAATCAAGAACCAGAGCCCCCCAAACAGATAGGGCATCCAGCTGGTGAAGTCGTACTTGGTTTGGCACGCGAAGAGGGTGAGCGCGACAAAGATCCCGACGGTCAAGACGAGAGCCTGCAGCACGATCCGGGCGTCGTAGAAGGAAGTCACCACGCTGATGGAGTAGGCTTCGAGTAGGGTGAAGCAAGTCAAGAAGAGCAGATTGGCTGGGTAGGACTTGCGCTTCCAGTAGGTGACGAACATGAAGCCCAGGGCGCCAAAGACCGAAACCATCATCAGCCAGTAGTTGGACTGGATCCAGGTGCGGTAGCTAGGACTGAAGAAGGAAATGGCGCTCATGATCGTCGTAAGAAGGAGCTGGACAGTCCTTTAATCGAAAACAGACAACGATTAGATCCTAGATGGTGACTGAGCAGACGACTACTTACAATATAGAGTAGACCTTGCGAACAAACTGCATACGGATGGGCAAAGTGCCCTCCGCAACCGTACCGCCGAACTACACCAAACCCAGATTGTTAGTCGCATTCTACAATTTGAATAAATGATATACATATTCCATCCATACCTTGAAATCATCAGGGACGTTGTCATCTTCGGTGCGAGGCGCGCCCTCAAAATCGGTTGCCTGATAAGAAGGCGGGGGCTGGGTAAACTGACGTTGCTCCTCGAAGGAATCCCGCTGAGGAGCAGGTTCATATCTGGCGTTTGAAGCCATCTTCTTGAATGATAGCAGAGAAAAACCTGTTATCTGGGAAGATGTAGGATGGACTGTTGTCTGAAAGAGGCGATGTACTGATTGCTTTGACAGTCTTCCGGGGAAGGTTCCAGCCGCAGACATGTGACGTCGTACACATGTCACGTGGTGTTGTCACAGGCTCCTGGGGTGATATGCACCTCCTCTGGTTAACCCCCATTTCCGCCCGTCTCCTTATCTTTATGATTATCACACTCTAGACGGATTTGTTCTTACTATGTGGAGGCAGCTATCATCTCGAAATTTGTTTCAATTGATATCTAGACCCTTGCCTGTAGAGCTTTTATCTTGCAGTGTTCCAGCTGCTATTCGTTGCAATTCTAATGTAGCGTTCGCCCACCCAAACCGAGCTCCTCCCCAAACAATGACGATGAAAGAGTCTTCTGTCCTGAACCGCATAGGTTTGCCATCTGATGTTTCGCTCTCTCCATGTAGCTGGTAGATGATCGAATAACTAATGCGATGTGGAATGTGGATGCAGGGAAAACGGAAGATCTCTTTCGTTATACGTCAGGTCGATGGCTCGTTGACGAAAAGGCCCAACAACAGCTGCGCTATGTGAAATTTGATCTCGATGGTCTTTGTCGCCTAGCTGCAGCACATTTCAGTGATACAACAAAGTGTGTTCGCGTTGTCAAGCTGGAAGGAAGTTTCAACAAAGCTTTCCTTCTTACCATGGACGATGGCAACGAGGTCATAGCAAAGATTCCGTGTCCAAATGCCGGCCCACCCTCGCTGACCACAGCTTCTGAGGTTGCCACTCTGAAGTTTCGTATGTATTGCGTGCTTCCGTTCATAACTTGCTTTGGCGTGTAGCTTATTCTCTCCTTTTCTAGTACGTTCTAGGACGTCTATTCGGGTCCCGGAAATTTTTGCCTGGAGCTCTGACGCTGCCAATCCGGTCGGCGCGGAGTTTATAATCATGGAAAAGATTAGGGGAGTTGCCTTGTCAGAGACATGGGAGGTAATGAGCACCTTGGAGCGCTACAAAATAATCGACCAAGTTGTACAAATTGAGAAGGAGCTTGGCAATATCTCATTTCCAGCATACGGCAGTCTTTTTCTTCGTGACTCGTTACCTGCTGCGTGTCGACAGTATCCGCTACCTGCAGAGCTAGATCCGGAAGGACTATTTTGCATTGGACCGTCCTGTAAACGAACCTGGTGGCACGGCAATTTCGTTGACATATTCCAATCGGTGTCAAAAGATATAGGCCCTTGTGGGTATTCCTACACCTGAGCTATTGAGTGATGTTGGACGAGAGTACTGATAAAGTGTAGGGACGTCCTTCCCAGAATATGCGCTATCGATTATCCAGCGAGAGCTTGCTCATATTAGAAGTTCAAGAGCGGAGGTGCAACGCCAACTCCATAAATTCGACGAATCCCAGTCGATCGATGAATATGAAAGTCTTCTGGAAAAAGTGAACATGGCCCTACCAATTTTGTCTTGCGACCCACGCGTGGCAGACGCTTCAGACCCTGTAGTGTGGCATACTGACTTACATCTGGGAAATATTTTTGTTTCACCAAATGAGCCTAGTATTATTGAAGGAATTATTGATTGGCAATCATCTCAGATTTGTCCTTTGTTCATACAAGCTCGCTTCCCCGAGTTCCTTACGCCACCCAAGGGCTACACTTTTGGCCCCGACTTACCCGCCTTACCGGACGGTTTCGATGACCTTAGTCCCGAGCAAAAGGATCAGGCTGCCAACGAGAATGAGTTAGCTTCGAGGTCAAAATATTACGAGATGTCCAGCCTTGCACATAATTATCGCATTTATAATGCTATGAAACTTGACTCCAGGTTGTGGGAGCCCTTCACTTACTGCCAACTATTCTCCCAGGGTAGCTTGTTTCCCCTACGCCGTTGTTTGATTCGTTTATACCAGGACTGGTCTTCGCTGGGGCTCCCGGGCAGCTGCCCCTTTCTGATATCAGAAAATGATCTTGAAAGGCACGATGAACAAAAATTGCAATATGAGGACAGGCTTTATCTGTGTGATCTTGTGAAGAGCCAGCTTTTCACTGATGATGCTGGCTGGGTTTCGAATGGCCGATGGGAAGCGACAAAAAAGGCAAATAAGGAACTGTACAATATGTATATTGAAACAATGAGTGAAGAGCTCACGCCTCAAGCAGCCGCGAAAAACTGGCCTTTTCCGCCGTAACAGGCCTGATCTTCATTAAGACACGTTTTTTTTTGCCTGTTCGAGCAATTCCGACATGATACGCTTGCCTTCGTACTTACCACCAAAGTGGAAAGTACTATTCATACAGACTGTCTAAGCGCCGCCCAGGGTGGCCTGACCTTCAATACCACTGAAGTGGAAAGATCTATCGATACATACCGTCTAAGCGCCGCCTAGGATTGTTTCAGAGTGTGAGGTGAGCCATAAGGTGGTGATTGGGAGGTCCAACATAATCATCTGGCTGAAGTAACCAAGTCGTTGTTCACCTGCCAGCCCTGCCTCAAAGACCCTGCCCAACACCCGCTGAGGAGTATTAATACCTCTAGCCAACCAATTCATGACTCTAGCCGCGGTACAAGGGGCGAATACGCTAGTCTTAAACTCCTCGCGTGGTTTCTTATCCTTCCAGGCTATGTACGATTGACCTTGACTTCTTCCCAGATCCGCTGTGACATCGTACAGATGTCACGTGTTGTTATTAACGGGCGAGCTTCTAGGCCTCCTACATAGTACGGAGTAGTATCTACGGACGGAGTAGGGTAGATTCTCAATTAATTTTCATTATCTAGGCGCCCAGACTATCAAAGCTGGGACTATATGTGAAGAAGAAAAAAATAAAAAATATCTATACTATCTGATCACACAGCTGGCTTCAGCAGGAGAAACCATATCTGTTAGGATAAGGTGGGAAGAGAATCATAAATGTAAGTATTTATATCATGGAAATTAGCGTGCAATGTGACTTCAGAGCTCATCAAGGTGTTCTTCATCAATGATGCCGTGGAGAGAGGGTTCGGTTGAATTTCCCGTGTCCTCTTCTTCCTCGCTCGAATCATCGGGGTCTTGGACGGCCCCAGCGCTCACTTGACCTCCGGGGAGAAGATCGTTCTTGTTCCGACGTTCAAAGTCTTGGGCATGCGCAGAGGCCATCATGGTACCCACACGGGAGATTCCAGCAACAACAGACGGACGACGGGGTCGCGCCGTAGTCAGCGGTGTTCCTTGCTCCATATCTGCCGATACCATATATGGAGTAGTAGGCATCTGTTGACCCTGTGGAGGGAGGTCTTGTGGTGCGGGAGTAGTGGTTGCCTCGGCAGTTGATACTAATTCTGGAGAAGAAACATCGTACGGTAATGGGACGTCCCGAGATGCTCTGACCAGTTGTACATTGGTGCAATGTTCATTCTCGACGCGGAAGATTGTCCAGACGCCTCTCCGGAGGACTTCAGAGAGCGAAACAAAGAAACTCAGTATCGCTGAGTGCTGTATATCGTTCGCAAAGGCTGCATAAAAGAGCCAGTTATTCCGTACAACGACATCAAGTATCATGGCTGCGTAGTACACCCATGTGTTGCGGAAGGCCAGCGTATCGCGGAGAAGGCGATTCTTGGCGTATGGATTGCACAAACTCCAGTCCATGGCAAGATCCCAGATGGAAGTATAGACAGCATTCAGCAGGGCGAAAGTGATGAAGGTGGCTTGAAGTTTGTCGCTTTTGTCAATTCGATAAAGGCTCAGGTTGACATAGTACAACACGCCGAACATGTACTTGCCAAAGTTGAGAAGATGCGGGAAGCTATTCCGGGTATCGGCATAACGCCTTAGACATTGGAACGCTCTCAGTATCGATGGTATGGTAGTGAAAAAGCCGAGTAGTCGAGAATGCGACGAGTTGCATTGTTCTGGGTTTCCCCAGTGTCGTGAATACAAACAAAAAAATAACTCGATATTCTGGATCAAGTAAGCGGAAGCCTTTTCGGTCAGTGACATGCACTTAATACTTACTCCCATGGCGTATACTTGTGAACAGTACATGTCGCCTAAGAAGAAATCCCGAAACTCTACTGGATAGAGCCCTGCGAGCAATAGACGCCACTACGATCGATTAGTAAGTATACTTCCCTTCTTCCGTGCAAACAAGATTGAGTGGCTTACGTTTGAATATGCCCACCATTTCCGACTGCGGTAGTACAGTATTCGAGCAGGAAAGAAGAGGACCAGAAGGATGAGGAAGATGAGTACGACGGGCCAGTATATGTACATTTCATTGACCCATGAGAAGTTTAGCCACATGAAAAGGCCTAGGAGGAAGTGGAAAAAGCATGGTATCTGACAAACTGTTAGCTTTGATCCAGGGTGAAAGAGGGGGGATAATCAAAAAAAAAGCATTACCTCTGAAAGTTGACGCCAGTCCAAAGCTGTTCGAGTATCAAACTCGAAGACGAAGACATAATTGATTTTCGATCTCGTCCAAACCATGCAGTCCAGTGTGAATAGAAGAAAGTGAAATATTGCAAGAAAAAACCCCGCGTATATCTGCAAGGGAGTGAGACACCAAACACTGTTAACGAAGGAGATGGGGCCACTTACCTGCAGGAGATAGCCGGTTTGGGTTGCAATGGTCGAATCAGGACTATGAAGGTGTTGTGACGCATACACGAGTGCCTGGATGGCAAACAGAGTACCGGCAGTTACCAGGAGCCCGGACAGAAATGTATTGGATGAGTAGTCGCCAGACTTCTTGGTTACACGGCGCAATTTGGAGACGGCTATTTTGCGGTTACCACGCTCGAAATAGCGGGAATAAAGATCTTCAACGACAACGATCAGACTGTCGACCACCTCGCTCTGTACGAACCATGCCTTGTTAACCTTTTCCGACATATACCTCATGGTGGGGCGAGCGTTGACGGCCTTGTCGTACTTCTTGTTGATCTTGCGGAAGGCAGTCCGGTTCAGGTACGCATAAGCCTTGAGAAGCTCTAAGCCACGGTAAAACTCCTGCAAAGCGTACTTCAGTTTCCGTTTGGCCGAGCGGTAGGAAACTTCAGGCCCTTGCGGGTCTGGGCGACGGGCAAAATCCCTTCGATTCACGACCTGTGCATCTCGTGGCTGAGGCCCTGCGGGTGTCGCCATTTGGGCCAACGCCTTGGAACTCTTCCCCACTCGGTTGCGGCCGGCAATAGTATCTTTAATACCCAGAATGCTGAAAGGATTGATGAATACGTTCGGATGATCCGAGGTGCCATTTCCGGTCTCCTTTCTTTTGGCGGCCAAAACATCCTCGAGCCTGCGATCTCGCATAATGTGCAACTGTTGCCGCAGGGTTTGCAGGCGAGAGGCGGCTTCCTTCTCTTTCATCTGATAGAAGCCATCGATCTTGGCAAGCTCACTATCTAAGAAAGCAAAGAATTCATCCTGTCGACGCTCGACTTCTGACAGCTGTTCTAACGGCACATTGCTGGTGGCGTCATCTGCACCAGTGCTGGTGAAAACACGCTGAAGGAGCTTTTTGCTCATCGATGGGCCTGGCACCGTGTTGCCTTTCAAATCCAGCAGGCTGCCCGGCCCCCGTACCGACGACCCTTTCCCATCAGGGATGCTAGCTAGGCTGGGGCGTGAAGTATAAGTCTCTTGTCTCGTCAGCACAGGAGACGGAGTCTTCGGGCCAGGTCCCAGATTCGACCGTTCGCGGGCTAATTGGGTATTAGATTCTCCCTGAGGGTCGAGCGCCGGGTCCGGCAACTTCAACGATGCAAGGTCAGAACCCTGACCCACATGCTGGTGCGGCGACGAGATGATACTACCATAGCCGCCGATGTTACTAGATAATCGAGACCCTGGGGTCCTCAGTGGCTGCCGTTCATCCCTGGGGCCTGGAGTAGAGCGAGACAGGGAGGGTGGGTTCCCCGCCGTGCCCTGCAAGCCGTCTCCTGCCTCCTGTCTCTTCTCCGCCCCATTGCGGTATAGAGACGATGCTCTCTGTGCACTTTTCGGAGTGGTCGAAGGATGTCCAAAATCTGCCGTCGCTCGACGAAGGCTTGGGTATGGAGGGCTTTTGTTGGCTTTCTGCTGGGCGCGAGCGACTGCTTTGATCTTTTTCTTGCCTGCCTGCAAACAACTCTCAGTCAGCACGTTATTCTAGAAGAAGAATTCTAGAAGACAAAGCCATGCAGCCACAAAGACATAGTTACCTTATAGTCTAGGTACTTAGACCGCCATTCGGGGACCAGCTCCTGATCCAACTCTCTAGAGCATTCGGGTTAGCTGACCGCCTCATGCTATATCCCCCGAGGATGACGAACTTGGCGAATTTCATTGTGAAAAGTTCACCCCACGCTCCCACATGACAAACCCAGCTTCACTCAGACGACGGTATTCAAATTGGGGCAGGTGGGCGATGGAAACGGGGACGAGAAAACGAAAAGGCTGGGTAGAACGTCTCCGAGTCAGCCCAGAGCGGCAGGCATATCTTAGCGGAGGGGAGAACAAAAATCTGGCACGCTCTCAGAACGGTTAGCTCGTTGGGACTCGATTTATTCCAGAAAGTCACGATTCCGATGGCTTCTTCCCTGATCTGGCCTAGAAGTTTTTTCCACAAGAAGATTTGCTGAGGAAAAGAAATGCTGGCCATGCATTGACAGGTCACAGCGCCGCTTCAGCGCACGTGCAAGACGCAATGACCTCACAGTCGACATTGGCCAATCATATGTTACGAATTTGAGTGTACGGCTGAATTAGGTTAAGGCGTTGCTGAGTCATGATTTCCCTTGTTTGGTCTCGAACAGCCCAGGCAGGAAGAGTTGGTGCCTTGCCTCATCCATGGATCAGCGGCTGTTATCAGATATCCATTTCCACGCAACACACAAGCAAAGGAAGCGATTCGACTTGACAAAGGCATCGGGGATACGCCAAGGATGACCAGCCCAGTGGGTTATCGGGAAGTTGCTAGATACTAATTATAGTTTCAACGTCGTGGTTTATCTGGACTTTGTTAGATGCTGACTGCAGCTTCAACGTGGTTGCCAGGAACAGTCTTTGAATGTCTGATTCACTCTTTACTATTTTTATACAGGATATCATATTTCTTCTCACTCAATACACTCGCTAACGGGACATTTCCGTCGCCTCGTCGACCCAGCTGTCAGGCAAGTAGCTTACCAGCGGTCCTCACGGGGGTGGTGGTGGTGGCCACCCGGGGGGCCCTCGAAGCCGCCAGGGCCACCAGGGCCACCGGGACCGCCGAATCCGCCAGGGCCACCAGGACCGCCGAATCCGCCAGGGCCACCAGGGCCGCCAGGGCCACCGAAACCGCCAGGGCCACCGGGGCCGCCATATCCGCCGGGGCCTCCAGGACCGCCAGGGCCGCGAGGGCCGCCGAATCGGTCCGGGGGAGGGTAGCGGCTGGGGTCGTAGGAGTCAGCGCCGTGGCCCTGAACATAGTGCTCGTCGTACATCCTCTCGGCGCTCTGCTTGGCTTGGTGGTGAGCGCGAAGCTTGTCAACCTCGTCCATGCCCTTGGTCTCGGCGAGCTTGTCGACCTCAGCACCGACAAAGCCGGCAAGAAGCTCCTTAGCGAAGGCGTGCTTGACCTCCTTGCCTATGGAACAGAGTTAGACAATGAAGGAAAAAAGAAAAAAAAGAATGGTGGACAGGGTGTGACCTACCCTCCTTGCGCTGGTGATCCTCAAAGGCCTTGAAAGCCGCGAAGGAAGCACCACCGGCAATCAGCTCGTGGGAGAGCTTGGCCTCGTGGTGAGGCTGCTCATACACCTGACGGTGAGCGTCTTGAGCTTCGTCTATTGGGCCAAAAGTCAGTGATACTTGCTCCTCAACAATTCAGTACACCCCGCTATACAGACTGCCACCTAAGCAGAAGAAAAAGACCATCAGGGAAACACATACCCCAGCCAAAACCCATGTTTGCTGTTTGTGTAGATTTGAAGGTATGTGGAAGAGTGAGGGAGTCAGGAGATTGTTTGATGGATTAAGAAAAAGGACTACAATGGAGGGGTTCCCTCCCCTTATATAGGACGGAGTAGTTACTCCTCCGTAAGAGAAAAGGTCAGCTCTGTTGCTTTGCCCCTCGTCCTCTGCCCCACCTCGAGCGTGATCATCTGAAGACCAGCCTCACGGAGGGAGGGACTAACAACTCGATTACCTTAGGCAGAAGTTAGATTCAGCTTATCCAATCGTCCATCCTTTGGTACAGCCTACAGAGACCGACCCCTCCTTTTCGTCGGTGGAGTTTACCAGGAGTGGCAGTGGCTCTCTCAATCTGAAGCGAAGCGCCGAGATACGGGCAATGGGCCGATTAGGTTACAGGAGGTCGCTCCATATGGGCGAGGACTACGGAGTACGCGTCCGATTCAGCCGGGTCTCCCGGTGATTCCATGGGTTTCATTATTATGATGCTCTGGGACTGCGCCATAATTAGAAGTCGTCTCCTGCAGAAGGTGCTGGAACTGTGGAAACACCCAAACATCATCATCGGAGTAGGAGAGTACGTGGACCAATCATGTGACATCATACTGGGGCTTGGCGGTGCTGCGCCAAGCTGGTGGCTGAGGTATTTGCACCTGTTTGCACTGCACTGCCACGCGTGGCTGGGCTAGTGTGGCTGCTGCCCCTCACCAGCTGCATTATTGACAATAATATTAGGTACTATTGACAATTTGACGTCAAATAACATCACTCCTACTACTCCGTACTACTAACTATAGGGATCTAACTATCTTGCCGCCTACTCTTTCTTTCCGTACAGTTTTCATTATGTATCTTGTACACCAATTACCAGATATCTCCACTGATTGAGTAAGAACCTCCCCCCCCACTGTACAGATACCTCCCTCGGCATTATTCTCTCCATATTGACTGGGCGGGTTTTGGAGTAAGCTAGGTCGAGGCCGTTACCAAAGCTCTCTTTGTACATTATTATTATTATTATTATTATTATTATTGCACAACAGAAAATGCCGACAAAGACCCCCTCGCCGGCCGATTTCCCCCCAAACCTGACAGTGACAGTCACCGAAGCCCCCTCCTCGTCGCCAGGCTCTGGCCCAGCTCCCAACATCCTCCTCCTACTGCACGGTCTGGGCGACACTGCCGCAGGCTTTACTGCATTCGCGCGGGCCCTACAGCTCCCCGAAACCACGATCGTCACGCTGCAGGCGCCGACGCCACTCCCCTTCGACCTCGGCGGATTCCACTGGGGCGACGATGTCTCGTTTGATTCTGCGTCGGGCGGGCTCGACATGGACGCCGGGTTCACGCGCAGCACGCGCATCCTCGTCTCGAATATTATACGCGACACCCTCCTCGCCAAATGCGGGTATCAGTTGCGAGAGATTCTGCTGCTGGGATTCGGCCAGGGCGGCATGGCTGCCCTGATGGCCGCAAGAGAGCTGGACAAGACCTCTAAGATTGCCGAAGTCGATGAATCTTCTTCTTCTTCTTCTACAGAGCTTACGGGTTCTCTCTCCGGGGTGATCTCTATCGGAGCTCCGTATCCGCTGTCGGCGAGTACGCTCGGATCGAAGAATCGCACGCCTGTCCTCCTTGTGGGCGGGAGGGAGTCGACCGCCGTGACGGATACCGCGGTCCAGCGCACAAAGGAGGCTTTTGAGTTCGTAGAGCTGCACCGGTACGCTCGACGCGGGGATGGAATGCCCCGGAATAGAGACGAGATGATGCCCGTCATGCAATTCTTTGCGCGGCGGCTACGAAGTAGACAGGGCGTGCCGGCGGGTAGTATCGAGATTACATGATGCGAACAATGCAGATAGAAGGGGATGGGGGAAAGGCATATGAGTGTATAGTACATGAGGAAAAGCTTTTTTATTATAACGTCCCTATTTTACTTGCGCGAGGGCTGTTCGTGCTCGGTCGATGGATTCCCTCATCTTGTTCCCGGGAACATCATCTGTCCTGGGCAGCCCTCCTTCACTGACTGTGTGGCGCAGGCTTGCCTCCGTCTCGAGCAGGGCGGTCCGGCCTTCCTCGCGGACTTCAGTCTCCCAGAACTCTCGCGCCGTGTCCCATTTCTTTTGCTGGCGGCGCAGCGAGTAAATAAACCCCACGGCAGCGAACGTGCAGGCCTCCGAGACAGTTGTCACGGGGAAAGACACATAGGTCAGGGCTGAGAGGGCGGAGGTCAATGTGGTTGTTGAGGCGCTGAATAGGACGAGGTTCTGTGCGAGTGCTTGCAGTGACGGAACGGTCTCATTAAGTAGCCGGGCGCGACTTGTCGTGACATGGGTTGGCCAGGGAGGAATTTCAGGCGGCAAAGCAGGGTTTTCCTCTGTGCGTTCTGCACCGGCTTCTTCGATGCTTGAATTGAATGCAGATTGCTGCTTTTCTGGCATGTCAAGCAGGCCCGCCTGCTGGAGTTTGCCTGCAGTGTATATCACCTCCGTTTCCGCCTGTTGGAGGTATTTCTTCTCCAGGATTTCCGACGTAATCATGGCCACATCATCGACACGCCAGAACAGCTTCCACCAGGAAAGACCCTTCCACCGCTTGCTGGCGAACCCTTCCTCCAGCGAGTCCCGAAGCTCTGTGTGTGCCTTCTCGGCCCACGCGGTCACGGACAGCTCGAGGTTCTGACGTACCGTATCCGGAATTGCCGCTTCTTCAATCTCCTTGGCCCGCACGGCCTCCTGCGTAGCAGCCTTTGCCGCTGTAGAATCGAGCAAAGACACAATGAGAGACTCTAGCAACGGGTTGAGACCTCCGTCTTCATGACCCTTCGGTTGAGACGACGACGACGACGACAGCCAATCTAGAATCGGCTGGACACCGCTGGTATTCCAACCACGCTCGTATTCCGATGCGTTCCGAACCGACTCGCGGAACTTGGCCAGCGCTACCTCTGCCTTCTCAATATCCACAAATGCAAGTCGATCATTCCCTGTACCCGTCTTGTCCGCAACAGCAAGTTCAATGGCGCCACGAACCAACCCGGCATCCGCTTTCAGAGCGGCGCGCGAAAACATGCTGCTATATGCCAGCAGCCCGTCTGCACCCTTCCCGCAGACCAAGGTCTTATGAACCGGGTTCCTGATCACATTGTACCGGCCGGAATGAGAGGTGGGGATCGCAATGGTAGGAACGAGAAACGTGTCCGCGGTAATTTCGGCATCGACGCGGCCTCCCTCCGTGCCAATCGTTGAGACAAGGATCTCTATATTCCCTTTCCTCAAGGCGGGAGACGGGACCGTAATCGTAGGCAGAAGATCGCCAGGGAGTGTCTGTGATGCCTCGCCATATCTAGAAATCAGCACCCCTTTTTGTTTAGACAAAAAGAAAAGAGGGGGAAAAAAGGACATACCTTATTAAAAGTCCTCTTGAAAAGTCCTCATCGTGTCCATCCAGTATATCCTCCCAGTCTTCTCTCGGATTCAAAGGGTCCGCCAGCAACAAGCGGACCAGTCTGCGCGCAGCGGTTGCATCATTCAATCCCAGGACTATCAAGCGTTAGATAAAGGAAAGAATTTTTTTTTTCAAAAGTAATATATGGGAAGCATACCCGCTACACGAACAACAGGTGTCTCCGACTCCAACCCGCGTAGCGCAAGGTGCATCCGACTAAGATTGACCTGTTCCGGCGCCGCGGCTCTCACCCTGTCCAGCGCCTCGTACAGCTCGCGAAACCGCGCCGGAACATTCCGGAGGGCATTGATACCTGGCGAAGTCGCGATAGACCGGTGATTAACGGTGGATGCGGAGGTTGATGGTGACCCTCTTCCACGGCTGTGATTGTCGCTGTTGCCGCTGCTGCGCGTTGTGGCTGCGCGTCTCCAGACGGCGCATGACGGGCAGTAAAAGACCCCCGTAGGGTCTGCCGGACGTGCGAAGCTCCTGGAGAGCGATCCGCGCAGTTTGGGAGGCATTGAGGGCTGGCGAGGAGCGTGGGTGGTGGACGTGGGTTTGGATTCTTTGATCCGTATGTTTCCTTGCGGCGAGTTAGTCGGGCTTGGCACCGTATACTGGGGTACAGAGTACAACTGACATCCGAAAAACAAGATACGGGTCTACAGTGATTACGTTATTTATTTCAGGATGGGCGTCTAATAAACATATTATTGGCATGTACTATCACAAGGCAAGCAAAACGGCAACAACGAGATTCGTGGTGTATATCTTCATCAACTCGTAGAGCCCAAAACGTCACGGACGCGGAGGCTACTGTCCAGGAAGCGAACAAGAAAGAACAGATGGTAGCAAGGCTTGTGCAGGGGGGTTCACTTCCATCTCCTGTCTCAAGTAGATCGAATAAGCCTCCCGGGAAATGATGCTCCAGTGAAAACACCATGGAAAGGAGGAAAATGGAAAATAGACACGGGAGGACAAGACCGGCCCTCTTGGGCCGCACGGTCAATGCCGGGCCTTTCTTTTGGATCTCTATACAGACAGGAGAGCCGGGTCTCCAGGAAATCTGACAGGGTATCTGTGAACAAGGCTGATGCGAGGAAAAGGAATTGCAAGATCAAGACGAGAAGAACCTACGAGCCGCAAACCGCTGTCCGGTGCTCTCACGCTTCCTTGGCTTCTCTGGTTGCGTCTTTGTGGCGACGGCCCTTGCCCGCACCAGCCGACCTACTGGAATTAGTATTGGATTTGCAGAGTGGGTATTGTCTATCATTGCGGGGGAAGGGGGAACCTTACATGCTGATCCGTCGTGCCACAGAGGCCAGGCCGGCGTCATTGTCAGCTTCGTGGTGGGCACGTTCAATAGCCACTCGTCTATCCTCCTCGCTCTTGCGAATGACTTCCTCCTGGCTAGGAGGCAGACGTTCGTTTTGAAGGTCAACCTTGCGGGCGTCTTCAAAATTATGGATGGCCTGCTTGATACCCTCGGCTCCAAGCATCAGCGTTCCAGTAGGCAGGCGACCACCAGCCGCGGTCTTGAGCTCTGTAACCCGCTCCGACTCTTCACGCAGAACCTGGAAGACCCGCGAAAGGCGGCCAATGGCGAGAATCTTGTTCTTCATAGCACGACGCTTGAACTCGCTGGTTTCGACGTCCATTGCCAGCGGGGGGGACGAGGGACCCGAGGGTGAGGTGGTTGGCGTATCGTCTTCAAGCTCCTCTTTGGAACAGGTGTTAAGGATAGCAATGAGCATATCCGTGATCTTCTCTCCAACAAACGGAAGGGACCAGGTGAAAACATCCATGAAGTTGGGCAGCCAGTACGGGTGAGGGGTGCAGTTGAACTGGCGAATGTTCATGACGTTATTCTCATACTTCAGGACGGCAGCTTTGTTGTTGTACACGTCCAGATAATTGGGGGCGCTGAAGATGGTCATCACGCTGGGGAAGCCTGTCGTTCGAGTCTTCCGGTACATGCGGTAGCCGGCGTCTTGGGCTTCGTGGGCACGGATGATGGACAGCAGGTTGTTCTTCTCGAGAAAGTTGCATGCAGCTGGGTAGGAGAAGAAATAGGAGCAGCCTCGGACACTGTTGTGGATGAAATATTCCCCGGTCTTCTCCTGGCCAAACTCCTCAAGAGGATCCGCCCATAAAATGTCACACATCAGGCCATGGGTAGGGGGTTCTCTGAAGCGGTCAATCTATGTGTCCAGTCAGTCAAAAGATCTATTCAACACCAGTGAAAGCGAGTGCCTACCGCTTTGATGTCTTCCAGGGTATGGAGCTCAGGGCTCAAACCACCGTGGATGCAGAGAAACTGCTTGTTCATGACGGCCGCCAGCGGCAGGGAGCAGAAGGACTCGATGCACGCCTCGTAAATCCTATCGCTATATTTGTGCTTGCACTCGAGCTTGAACGTAAAGTAGTCGGTCAAATGTCTGCACTCGTGGTTGCCTCGCAGCAGCCACAGACTGTTGGGGTACCAGATCTTCAAGGCCCACAGATAGAGAACACACTGCACGCAATTAGCATATAACGAGGTGAATGAACCAACAAGAAGCACTGTTCCCTACTTCGATGCTAAAATATCCTCTGTCGACATAATCACCCAAGAAGAGATATCGAGTCTCCGAGGGGTCTCCGCCAACCTCGAAGAGTTTCATCAGATCGTAGTACTGGCCATGGACATCGCCACACACGGTGATCGGGGCGTCCATCTCGAGCAGGTTGGGCTCGGACCTGAGAATCTGCGTGCCGGCATGGATGATCCATAGCGCCTGTTCCTCGGTAAGACGGCCTTCGCGGTAAAAATGCTGCTTGAGAAAGTTGAGGTTCGGCTTGGAAGGGTCTTCGGGCGACCAGAACAGGTCGTCGGTCGGCGTGTTCAGGGCCGGCGCTTGCACCTCTGTTATATTCCCCGTCAGTCAGTCTCCTCTATTTATCATCCTCTCTTGCAACCCCTCGGTAAACCTCCTCCACTAATTTTCGCCCTTCACCGTACCTTTGATCACCCTGTCCAACGTCGACACCTGCGTCCCATCCTCCATGGTGTGGAGGGTGAAGTCGATCTCAGGGACCGGCTTCTTGTTCGTTACCGCTTGCGCCAATGTCCGATCCATGGTGACTCCGACGAACGTGTGCTCAGTACTGATTGTTTGCAAGTCGCAGAAATGGGTCCCAGGGGACTTCTGGGCGGAGTGTTGGTGGGGTTGACGTTGACCCGCGGCTGGAGCTGAACCAGGGCGACAGGAGCTGATGTCAGATGCGTCAAGAGGGGTCTTTCTGCGCGGAAAAGAAGACAAGAGGCCACAGGAATTCCACAAGACCAATAGGTGTCCGTCCACAGTCGACGAGAAAAAATCACCGAGCAGCCAAGACAACCGAAAATAACACGGCAGTCGTGGGTCGCGTGGAGGACGGGGCTGGGCCAGGCGGTGATGATGCTAGCGAAAGATTCCCAGCAGACAGACTGAGCACGTAAACTTGGCGAGCACAACGGTCCTCGGTTACTATGGTCGATAAGGGCTAGTTTTAGAGCAGCGATTGCCAGCAGTAACTGGCTGGTTTGTGAGGTGTTTGCTGCTTGGTGGCGAACCTCCTCGGTGGGCGATTGTTTGTGTCGGACTGAGGCACCAATCGCTGCTTAGTAATGCTTAATGGCTGGGGCGGGCTGCGGGGACAAACAGCCCAGGCATACGGAGGAATTGGACTGTCGTTCTGAATGTTCTCTCAGCACTAGGTTACAACGGCATCATGTATGAATCGTATAGTAAGTGGTTCTGCTTGGTTTTGATTGCACAATATGCTGATATGCAGAACCCCACCCCCTCCTCGCCCAGGTGCCCCTTACCGTGTCTCCCTTCGTCAACCTGCCGACTTCGGTCACCCTACCCTACACGTACAAAACCGTGCCGACCAGTCTCCCTCCATCGGTGACTATCGATGCTAGCCAGCCAGATGGTAAGGCCCGATATGTGGTGTCCGCTAGTGGAGAACACGCCGCTCACCCGGAGGAGATCCTCGGGGCGTGCCGGTCTCTCGAACAGCATCTGAAGAAGACACAGGCGGACGCACAGGAGGCAATTCAGCGATGGGAGACATCCATCCGGGAACGAGATCTCGCTGAGAAACGGCGCGTTGCCCCCGGATGGCTCGATCGAGATGAGAAGCTGTTACAGCCCAGCAGAGCGGCTGCGAGTATGGGGTCATCGCATGAGCGCAGTCTGCTGGACAGCCAACCGGCCGGACCAGATATGTCTCAACTCCCATCTGTCTCCCCTCGGGATGAGGGTGCAGAGCTGGATCGGGCGTTTGGGGGGTTGGACATGCAATGAGATCGGGAGCCTGAAGAACACCATGCCCAGACACCCAAGCTATGTCACCGCAAAAGAAGTTGCGTTGTATCCCACAAGTCACTGCGCTTTTAATGAGCAGTCTCAATCACACAACCACACCCATCAAACGATGTCTATACGATATCAGGAACACCAACACTTGTAGTTCCTACAGGCTGAGTGGTCAACTTGATATCACAACTGGGAAGCAAACTTCGGAAACGATCTGATGAGTGGTTTTGCCAGTTTCCTTGCCAGATGTTGACTGCAAAGACAACCATACCTCATACGTCCAACGTCAGTGCTCGACAGTAGCCAATTCACTTGCCTTGCTCAAGCTCAAAAAATGGTATTGCTCGGGAAGAGGATATCATATCCGAATGTACCAGTGAAGTGACCGACAAACCTCCACTTAAAGTATCTCTATGGACAACCAGGCCTCCAAATTGGCCGGACTGGGTGAATCTATAATGGACAGCTTATTTTTGCTATACTCGGATCCTCATCGAACAGCGCTACCACACAATAGCTGATGGTAATTGGCGGTTGGCATTTGGCAATTCAAAAATAACCATGGAACCCCCTCCAGGGACACACTTGATTGATGGTAGCCAATCAGTGATCAATTAAACTATCAATTAAACTATCTGCTGTGAAACGATCCAACGATCCACCCGAACCCGAATACGAACCGAGATAACTTTAGATATCTCATGCAGAAAACAACCACGCTCCAGAAATGCAGACAGATCCTTGCTATTTCGAAATGAAAATCAGGCTCCTACATTCTTCGAAGCTGGATTTCTGATCCCGTCAGTGTACGGTTATGTCATTAGGCCATGTTAGTGAGTCTGGAAAGCCCTCAAGATGCGAAAGTTCGTATCCGATAGAGGGAAAACGTGAGTGCCTGGAAGCCAGAATTGATCGGCATAGACCCTTTCAACCATGGGCCTGGTAGCCCTATGCAAAAACGCTGTCTATATCATCCTATAAAGAGACCTGCAAAGTCGCCTTCTCTATGCGAATATCATCCAGCACAGCAAACACATCCAATCCATCCAATTCTCTTGATTTCTTCATCTCTATACAAACAATCGACCAAGTCGTCTCCACTCGAGCAAAATGAATTTCAAATCCTTTATGCAGCGCTCCGGGCCGATGATCCCCTTCGGCATGACCTTCGGCACGTTAATGATGCTACTCATTGTCGGCCTGAACGGCGTCCCAGGCAACTTTATGGGCCCTATCGTCACAATCAAAACACAAGACCTGTCCATCTCGCCGTCCTCGCTATCTCAACTGACTGGCATCAACCTGACGGATGCTGGGACATCCAACCTCACGGCCTCTTCGTTCGACCTTGCGGACAAATACATCTTCTACCTATGGGGATACGCCACCACGGAAGACGGAAAGACGACCTTCCACAAACGCAGCTTCAACTACATGAAGAACATCGATGTCTCGACCGTCACTATTGAGGGCGAGGACTATGCCACCCCGCATAAACTGACGGATCTCAAGAAATCCGCCCAGACCAAAGTGATGGTCTCCGAGGGCGCCTTCCTCGCCGCACTGAGCAACGCTTTCTTCGTGGTCGCCGCGGGAGTCGCCGGCGCTATGGGCCGTCCAGTCCGCCTCCTCATCGTCATCTTCTTCACCGGTGTCACGCTGTTGACGGTCGTCATCCTTGCCGCGATGGTCTCGGCCCTCGACTTCGGAACGAAAAGCAGTCTCTCCTCCTGGAAGCATTACGGAGTGGACGTCACCATGGGCACCTCCGATCTGGGCATTGTCTGGCTGGCGGCTATCCATGTCCTCGTGGTCGGTGTGATGTGGGTTCTGATGGCTGTCGGGGTAATGCAGATGAACCCTCTGCTTAAAAAGGACGTGGAGAGGAAACATGACCACGAAGCGCTGGCCCAGCTCAGCACGGCCAACCTGGTTGAATAGATGGGGAAGGGGGTGGTGATATACAAGATCATACTACATTCTTTTAGTTGTTTTCTTTTCTTTTTCTTTTTCTCTTTGTTTTATCTGCATATAGTCAATTGAAAGATTAGCGCTGTCGTTTTAATGTTATCAGTTACTTTCATTCCTGCATACAACGACCAAATATCTACTCCATAGAAATAGATCAAGTCTTGAAAATATCAGCATAGATAATAAATAAAATAAGGTATTCTTCACGGGTATTAGTTAAGCTCTAATCTGATTGGCTTGTCTTGACTAAACATTATGGAATAATTCTTAAAGTAGAAACTAAGGCACAATTCTAGGGTTCTACGCCAGCAGCTGATAGCTTTATATTAGGAGATATAATAGGCTCCTTTATTAAAGAAAGTATTTATGAGAACCCAGATGAGAATTATTAGTCTAATCCCTTGCTGTTTTATTTGGTAATTTCTTTATTAAGTTTTGTAATGTAATTCAATCAACCTATATATGTATTTGCAGAAGTTCCAGTGTTTAGGTGAGAAGAATATCTTACCAAATACTATATCAGACCTACGTTATTAATCCAGGAAACGCCTAGTTAAGCATACCTGCCTACCATTCCCTCTGCCAGCGCGGGTTCGTCCTGATGCGCTCACCGTACACGCGGAACAACAGTGGAATGCTCGCCATGCCTAATGCAATAAACCCGAGCAGGCTATTTCCCCATCCGAGTCCCAGACTGTCATACATGTTCAGACCTCCGAGCGGGACGAGGGCGCCGAGAAGACTACGTAAGACGGTGTTGGCAGCAATGGCGCTCGCGGCGTGGGCTGTGAAAGCGTCGACGAGATATGTGTTGATGCACATGAGGATGATGATCATGCCGAAGCCCGTGAAGGCGTTGCCAATCTCTGGCACGATCCAGTGCAAATGCTTGTCGGCGCCCCAGCCGTAGAGGAAGAGTCCCACTGGGACGCACAGCGATCCTGGGATGGAGAAAAAGAAGGGGATCCGGTCCTCCGGCTTAACAGGATGACCAGACTGCATGATCTTCTTGATGCGCTGGTCGCTAAGTCGGCCGACGAAGAAAAGCCCTAACAACATCCCGGCCCCGCTCCCCAGGTACGCGAGCCCGACCATTGACGAGGAAAACCGGTACTGGTCTTCGTAGACGAAGGTGAATGTGGTGAAGAGGATGTACAGCAGGCCGTACAGGACCGCCACATACAACGACAGCAGCGTGACAATAGGCGAGAACAGCAGCATCTTGGTCGGGCGTAAGATGCTCAGCCGAAACATCTCCCCCGCGGGAATATTGGGCTTGAGTCGTGACTGATAGGCATCATTCCCTGTCTCCTTGCGCAGGTGGGCGGCCTTTTTTTCAAGGATGATGGGCGCGTACGTCTCCCGCAGCACAAGGAAACAGAGCAGCGTAGAGGCACCGGACTAGATCCAATATCAGAAAATGGGGTCCTCCTCACACCCTTACCACAGCGAGCAAGTCTACTCACCACAATAACCAAAACCCAAAACACCCATCTCCACCCCTTGTCCTCAACAATGAAACCCCCTACTACCGGCCCAATCACAGGCCCCAGCAGTGGCCCCAGCGACCAGATGGCCATCGCTGCGCCTCGCTTCTCACGCGGCATTATATCAGCAATGGTGCCACTACCAATAGTGATGGGAGCCACGCCCACGAACCCGGCGAAGAACCGAAAGGCAATGAGCGTGTTCATGTTGGGAGCCACGGCGCAGACAATCGAAAACACCACAAACAGCACGTTGCAGACATGGTAGATCGGCGAGCGGCCTGCCCACTCGCTCAGCGGTGCCACAACGAGCGGGCCAAAGGTATACCCCAGGATAAAGACTGAGACGACAAAGGTGGCCAGCAGGGTGCTGTCGTTGTGGAAGTCGACCATGACCTGGGGGACTCCTGGAGCGAACATCGACGAAGCCAGGGGCCTGAGGCAGCGCCGGGTGTCAGCAGCACGTCCAATTTGGAAGGAGGTTGAGGTTGGGGCAGCTCACGTGAGGAAAGTGACTAGGGAGACGCTGCCGATTATGGACCATTTGCGTCTGCTCGTCCAGTTCATCGGGTTGGCGGAGTCTTGTTCTACAGGCTCCTCCCACCAGACGGAGAAGGAGTTCTGCTCGTCATTCTGGTTGTCGATCATACTGCTTTCGTTCCGTGAGGGGTCTTTTTCTTTTGATTCGGCCATCTCTGGATCGGCAGCGAGAGGGTTTGTCTCTGCGGCTGCCATGTTTCATAACGAACGGATTGTCACGCTCTCTGACGACAAGTCAAGGCTCATACACGAGGATGAAGAGACTCGAGGGAGATTCGGAAGACTCTAAGAAGTCCATGGCAGAGTGAAGGGGGAAGGGGGAAACCATCACAGGATTCATGAGGAGTTACTACGACTGAACAGCCACCATCACGGATCTTTCGAAGCGAGCCGAGAGAAACAGTTGTATAAATTGCATCTCGACAGAATCCTGGGGTTTATGTGCTGGTTTATGCAGACCTTGACGTATTCGGGTTCGTATTCGGACGAGTTACTAAATATTGCGAGATCACTGCTGATCCTAAACGACAGAGGATACGAGTACGAAAGTTACTAAGTATATCGCTATATGGTATAGGGTCAGTGACTTTATAAAGCCCTACTAATTGTCTTGACACTCTCCAACCAGTCGCTGAATATCCATTACAATTCTTGATTCTGTGAAAGTTCCTAAGCGGTACCAAATATTCGATTGTCAGGCATAATGACGACCATGGTCCTTACCCAGTCCACCACCCCAAGTGTCTCCACGATCAAAGCAAAGAAGGACGTCCAGACGGAGTTGGTCTACTGGGAGAAGCTTCCAGGTCGCACCAAGGTCATTGATTTCCGTACGCCGGAGGGAGAGGCGGAATACAAAAACATTGATCAGTACAATGAGACGCACACAGCCCTTATTCGGGACATTCGCGGCGACGAAGCCAGCTACACGCTGGAAAAGAACGGATTCCAGTATTTCAAGCACGAGGTGACCGAGCTGGATGACTGGTCCAATGAAAAGAAGGTGGTTGATATTCTCATCCCGAAGACGGAAGAGCTAGTCCGAGAAGTGTAAGTTGCTTTTTGACGTTTTATCTGTCTGTACGGACCTAGATATTCATGTTGATATAGGACTGGGGCAACCAAAATCATCACGTTTGCCCATCGCATCCGCTGCTTTGCTTCGCACGAAGCACAGCTCGCTGACAATCGCGCTCCAGCTCACAGCGTGCACTCGGACTTCACGGCCGTGGGTGCGGCACACCATGTTGAGACGCTCGTCACTGACCCTGCCGAGCTGGAGCGTCTTCGCCAGACACATCGTGTGATGGCGATCAACATCTGGCGGCCTCTCAAGCCTGTCCGCCGCGACCCCCTTGCCGTGTGTGACTGGCAGACTGTCGACTGTGAGGATGAGTGGATCAAGAACCGTTTCATCTTCCCCTCAAGCTGGAACGAGTTGGGCAAGATCGCCCACAGCGACCGCCACGCCTGGTACTACCTGAGCGACCAGCTGCCCTCGGAACCTCTCGTCTTCGTCCAGTACGACAGCTCCCGCACTGCCGAGGGTGGGAGAACCCTCGCACATAGCGCTTTTGTCGATCCCAACTCGCCGGCCAACTGCCCGCCGCGCGAGAGTCTGGAGATCAAGTTGTTTGCATTCGTTCCTCTCTAGATGTGCAATGGGTTGGTTGGCTGCCAGCCTGTTAGTTCTGACTGGGTCAATGGCCTTCAAGCTAACCATATGATACAGTTCGAATTTTTAGTTTTGAATATATAGAGAGTGTCAGCGATTTCAAGTTGTTTGAAGCCTTTGAGACAATTTTTTTGTTATTCTGCCTTAGTATATATTATCGTTAGTAGTATAGAGCTAGAGATTACTTTGATATTAGTACATAGTTCTATGTTAACTAGTACCACGATTGGTTCCCAAGATGACCCGTTACTTCAAGTAAGTTATTAAATATACATATTGTATAAGAGTAGTAAGAATTTTCTTACTACAACCTTTTCTTCTACCGTACAACTGCTTAAATAACACAAGCATCGTCCACGCCAAGACAGCTTCTATCAGATAAGCTACAAAAAGAAGACCCGCACTCCACCTCTGCTCTCCGTCTCGTACCTTTCCACTTTCACCTTTCGAATTCGCAATCGCCAACTCTCAATAGCAGCTCTCTTTTCCCAGCAGTCCACCATGGAAGTCATCCATTCCGCCCCCGAGGCGTCCTCGTTCGTCCTCCTCGCCGAGCATCAATCCCGTACCCCTGCCTCCTTCTACTCCGGCCCCCCGGTTCTCCACCACCATAGCAAGCGCTGCAAGGTCGTCATCCTCGAGGCCGACCTGCTGGCCACCCCTGCTTTGAACGGACTACGCGAGCCCGCGAATGGTTCAGCCCCATCCGGTGCCCTTTCCGAGAGAGAAGTCGTCATCGACGGCGTGGATGTCTGGGTGACATCTGAGTATGCAAACATTGAACATCCTTACTAATTGGGATTCCTTTTTTTTTTGTTACGAGCTCAGCTAATGAGACGCTTTTAAGTAAATTCCTCCTGTATGCCCCCTCTACCTCTACGGGAGTTGCAATTCCCTACCCGTCCATCTGTCTGCATGCGATTCAACGGCTCCAACTCCCCGCATCCTCCGCCGAGGTCCAGGGTCTATACATGCAGATCCCTTCGCTTGCCACAACCGCACAAGTAGCCGACGACGAAGAAGAGGACTCCATCACATTAACCATTGTGCCGCCGGTACTCGAGGAGAAGGGAGACGAGGAAGGAGAAGAAGAAGTGGAGAAATCGGAGGAAACGCCTGTGCAGATGCTCTACGCTGCTGTCTCGGCGTGCTCGAATCTGCACCCGGACCCAGTGGAAGACAGTGATGAAGATGTCGATGGTGGTGTGCAGGGTAGTTCCCTCTTCCAGTCTGGGCTGATTGCCGCCGGGGCCGCGGGGGGTGCCCTCCCGCCGCCTGTGGAGGGGGGCTCCGGCTGGATCACCGCAGAGAACATGCACGAGTTCTTCGACGAGGAAGGGAACTGGATTGCTGACGGGGAGGCGCCGTCGCTGTCCCTCGGCCCGGGGGCGGGCACGGTACGACAGCGCGACGAGGGGGAGAATGGGGTCGATGCGCAGGATGGGAGTGACGATGAGACCAAGTGGAGGAGGACAGATTAAAAAAAAAGAAATCATTTTTCTTCTATCATTACAAAAGACAAAAGAAAGAAAACAAAAACGAAAACAAAATATCTACGCATGTTGAAGACAGGTACTAGTTTCTATGGTATCAAAAAATGGACAAGAAGCTAAGCAGTGATAAATAATATCCTCTCTTCCTCCCTCTCCCCATCCCCCCCCCCCCAAAAAAGAACCATTACTCCTTGAGAAACCCATCCCGGTCGTATAGACTAGCCGGCGTGCCCACCCCCAATCCAAGTCCGATAGTCTGCCGCTGCGGCGTGGTGAGGCCCTGCCTCGGCGCGCCGCGTTCACTGTGCATGCGCGACAGTCTCCGGCTCTCGACCGATTTATGAGGCGAGATGAATCCCGCCCTACCCCCGCCGAACTCAAGTGACATCCGCTGCTGGTGGGAGGGGGATCCGAACGAGTCCGGGTCTTCCCAGATAGTCACTGTGTTGGTGTTATTGCGAGGCTGCATGCTGCCGCCGTGGCTCTCGCGAACGCTACGGGAGCGCGAGTAGCGGGCTGGGCTGATCTCTTGATCTGCTGGACCAGAGGTCTCAACGGATCGTCGAAAGTCCCTGCTGTGTGGGCCTGTCGCGAGGGGTAATCTGCTACTGGGGGTGTTGGGGCTGGAAGTGACTGATACTGAAGTTTCCCCTAGCGGAACCGGGATGGATGTGCGATGGACACTGTTGCGTGCTGCTGAAATAGGGGATTTGCCGGGCTGACTGCGAGGGCCCTTGATCAACGATCGTCGCGGGCTGCCGTCACTGGATTTGTTGTCCGACTGCACAGAGGCCCTCGGTTTGCTGCTGGGTATGGCCCAGAACGGAACAGGCTTTTCCGGTGACGGAGTGCGAGACAGGCTGTGACTGGTGGCGGTGGGAAGGGAGGTACAAAGCGCGGGCAAAACCGTGTTATCGTTCTCTGCGCCGAAGGTAGAGTCGGTGGAATCGGTTCGAGCGTGCTTTCGTTTCCGCGGCGGGTCTCGACACAGAGCTTGCGAGGTTTCATTGAACTGGGTCAGGCTGTGCGTGTCGTGTTGGCTGTTGTGTTTTGATGGTGGGGAGATGGGAGAGATGCTGGACACCGAGACAGGCCCCGAGATGGATGATACTGCTGAGTGATGATGGGTTTCTAGCTCTTCCACCTCCTCTGGTTCTTCGGCCATGGGAGAGAAGACTGGCCGCCCAAAGGAGACGGGCGGATGGATCGAAATCCGCACGCAGTTTTGCCGGCGGTGTCCCTTGCGTGTGCCTGGATTGCCCTTCATCGCGGAATACAGTGGTGATCTTCCTGAGAAGTCGGAGGGTCGCGGCAAAGATCCTTCTGGAGTAGTAAAGCTTGGTGTCCTGCTCGCTGATACGCCTTGGGTGCGCGGCGAGACCCCGTTGAGGAAGGGATCATGATGGCTTTCGAACATCGAGTATCGCTGGGCCATGTGCCCTTGAGATGAGACCAACATGTTCGGATCGGCCAAGTTCAGATGGTGAGCGGGAAGGTTCGAATACGGCGGGGGTTCCATTCCTTGAGGACCCCATATCGACGAGTTATGTCGCTTGCTTGGACTTGAACTTAAAGACTCACTGCGTCGCGGTGGTGCAGTGGCCCTCTCGGTGCTGTATCCTGGATGACGAGCAGTCAGACTGCGGCGAGGAGAGGTATTCTCACTTTCCATCCGACGCGTATCGGAACTGGAGTACCCCGGGAAGGTAGGGCCCGTGGATGATGTATAGCTTTTACGGCCGCGATCATGCAGCCCGACATCGTAGGCACTGAAAGGGATGAAAGTCGGACAGGGCGGCAGATGGGGCGAAGTGAACTCGGCGATTTCCGATAGCGAAACCCTGAAGTTATCATCCAAAATCGAGCTGTCTGCATCTGCGGTGTCTAGACTCATCGACGACAAGTGCATTATCGAATCATTCTTCGATAGGAATCGGTTAGGCAACGTCACTGCAGGAGGCGGCGGCGGTATTGGACGGTCTGGCACGATTCCAGCCGTCTGAGTCGTGATACTCCCGGCTCGGATCCGTGCTGGTGAATTATCGAATACGTTGGGGACACTCTTCGTGACCGGATTCAAGCTCAGAGGGTTTTTGTGAGACACTGGCCACGCCTGCGATATAGGTCGACAGCATGCATCGCGACAGAAACGGTCCTCTTCCATCTCCGGTGTTTGTCTGGGAGTCGTCTCTGCCGGTAGCTCCATCACGCCCTCAATAGCCGACAGCGGGATCTCTTCTCTTTCAGTCGAGATTCTGGTCAATGTGTCGCGGATATTCTCCTCCAAAGTGGCCAGGGAGTTGATGCGAGGGATCTTTGGGAGGGCCTTTGGTCGTTGGCTGGATTTTGACAGGGACAGGGACTTGCGTAAAGAGCGTGCTCTTTCAATCATTGATACCGTATCCGACCCAGTCTTGCCTGGTCCAGACAGGCTTTCTCTCGACGCAAGCAAGCCCCATTCCGTTGGTCTCCCAAATGGCAGCTGTCCATACTGTCGCAGGGCCGAGCCTTCCTCCCGTGATAAGGAAGTGACCGTATCAGCCTGAAACCCTCGGATACTGCGAGCGTAGGGTCCTTGTCCGGCATATCGTATCTCGCGGGCGAGCCTGTCATGGCGAACTCTCAACCAGACCACAGTGCCCACTGCGGTAGATATCATGAAGACCGCCGCACAGCCGACGGCAATCGCAACCACGGTGGTCGTAGCCAGCATTTTGTCTGTGATTTATCCTGGTCGTCCTCGATGTTCAGAAACGTGGCTCTCTCTCTCACCCAGTCGACTGTCTTTTGACCCGGGCTGTTGCTACCGTTCAGAGCTGGAGCGTTCGAGAACCACAGGAAACAGTACAGAGAGAAGGCAGCGACAGGGTGGTGGCAAAACTGGGATGGCAGAAGGTGGCATCTCTGGCGTGTGGTGGTTTGTTATGGGAGAGCCAGAGCAGGGTCTGGGAGGAATGTGGATGTGATCATCACCGAGGGCGCGAAGAATGCTTGCTGCTCACTCCCAAACAGCTTGTCAGATCAAATGCGCCTTGATAAATGGATATGAAATGACCATGCAGGCTTACGTCTCTGCTCTTGACACCTTCCTCCATGGCCATGCGTTGTCGAGGTCATCCTGTGGAATGGAGGTTGATATGTCGTGTTTGCGGCCCTCTTCCGAGCGAATCAACAGGAAAATGGACAAGCATAGTAAGAAGCCTGATACATAGTTAAGAGAAGTCTAATTGAGACCTTCTTTTCTTGAATTGTGTTCAAAAAATGCTGATCTAGAGATAGAGCGGGTAGTGTGAAGCGTGAAGCTGTCACTAACTAAACCACAGGTATAGGGCGCTCATACTAGCGAATAGCAGAACTTACAAATTGTAGTCATTTTACTATTAACCAATTTTATAATCTTTATTTAATTTGATAGACTAATGATAGACTAGAATACTGACTATTCAATACCAATAGAGAGATATTGGTGCTGTTTTCTCTCACTAATAGTAAATATCCTCCTCTCTTCTCTACTTCATCCTACTTATTTAGCTACTGATGGATTCAATATAGCCCTTTTCCCCTTTACTTTGATTCTATGTCTTGATATTCAATGATAATATTAAGAATAAAGGATAAAGTATTCCTCAGAAGGTATATAGTAGTATATGACACTAGAATATTGAACCCATGGATATACTTCTTTTATTGGTAGGCAGCAACTCTCACTTCTTACTTTTACTTCTCACTTTCACTTCTCACTTTCACTTCTCAATTCTTCTTTACTTCTGAAACTTCTTTTAATCTGTTCTCCTTTCTCTGCTACACTTCCCTCTCTAGTCTTCCCTCTAGCCTCCCCTCTACCCTTCCCACTACACTCTCGTCTACACTTTTGTCTATCACCACAGTCTCAGCCTTAATGATATTTACTCTCTTTGACCATGTCAACATCTAAGCCCATACACGCGTTTATGCCGTCAAAGCCGAAGCGTCTCCAGGATTTCGCCTCCGACTTGGAGACCGCAGTGAACGCTGTGCTCCCCTCTCCAGAAAACAAGTACAAGAAAGTGTCTGTTTTCGCCTTCCATTGGGAGAATGACACGATGGGCGTCGAAACCCTGGAGATGGAGCTACTGGAAGTTTTCAAGAGCGTCTACAACTACAGTACTGACCGCTTCGTCATCCCAACCAAATCCCCCCGGTTCTCTCTCGCTTCGGAGATAAACAGTTGGTCTGGCCAGCATGCAGGCAAGGATACCGTGCGTATTTATATCTACTCTGGCCATGCAGGCCCTTCAGGAAGCAGCAGCAGCGCCTGGCATCTAGCGTGAGTACTCCATCGTAATTACCAGGCATCATTGTGAGAGGACTAGTATTTACTAACTTGATATAGAGGAGAGTCAAGCAGCTGGGGACAGCTAGTTGGCCCCACGGTCGACTGGCGGGTTGTACGTGTGCCAGTAGAGGATCTAGAGGGAGATATCTGCTACATATTTGACTACTGTTCAGCGGGATCAGTGGCTATGCACGACGGTCCGGAGACTATCGCTGCCATCGGCTGGGAGGAAGCAGCCGGCGCGCGTTTTGAAACCTCCTTCACTAGAGCCTTAGTCAATACGCTGCGGGAATTGAATGGCCGCCATGAAACACTTGCTGCTATATACGCCAGACTCTTTCGGGACGCCTTTAAGAGCCAAGTCGCCGCTGTGCCGGTTCACGTCCCTAAAAGAGGAGCCCCGAGTATCACCTTCGCCCCGTGTTCAGACATCTCCCGGCCAGTCACAAGAAGAATGGCGACTGGACTGCATCACAGCACAGATTATAGAGTGCTACTCAGCGTTCATATCCGTGGCCATATCAACGAGGCGGATCTGGAGCATAACAATCTTCCTTCTGGCGTAAAAATTGAATCCGTTTTTCGAGGCTTTGGCATAATCCTCTTTACAGTTCCAGTTGAGATGTGGACGATGTTGTCCGCCGAAGACTCTTCCTTTCGGTTTCTTGCCCATGTTACTTAACAACATCTTTCCAGAGCTGGAGAGCAATATCAGACCTCCGTTCTCATAGGATTAAGCAGCTAACAGAATCCCCTTGCACTTTCATTTCTTACTATTTTCTAAGTTTCTATCCCTTTCCACTAGCTAATAGATTTTTACTTCATTATTTCCATCTATCGATTGGCGTCTATTGATATATTGAGTGCAATATCTGAATATTTTCTTATTTCTTTTGATCCCTCCCAATACTCGCACCAGGTACTGCTAGTACCAGGTGCCTTTAACCCCCAATTGGCCTCCTTCTTTCTCAGCATCCATGTCTGCTCGAAATAACCAGCACAGGAACGATTTTTATTCGGATCTTCGATCATCCGTTAGAATCCCCTGCCCAATGATGCTCCCTTCCTCATGCAGTTCGTGGTACTGACCGTGCAAATGACACAGGAGATGGTCATTATTTCCCCTGCGACTCCACCATTAGCAGACTCTTACCGCCCCTGATTCGGAAGCAGAAAAGACCTATTATTGAGAGCTCTCAAGATTAATGCTGTCTATTTGGAGGATACTGCTACTCTAGTCGACCGGCGGCAGAGATGGTGGATACGGATTCCGGTGAGCTGGCGGGATGGCAGCACTGCCAACTGGCCCATGATCCGCCGTGATTTCCCCTACGGAGTAGTTACTACGAAGTAACTGGTGGACCTGGCATGTCGGCGTTGCCTTTGCTCTGGCGGCCTCCGTAGCCGCCCTCTTTCGGGGGCGGGACGGAGACGATATGGCGTCACTTATCCACCATTGTTGTGTTCGAGGTCTCCACCACCTCTACATGCCACGACCGAGACGAGACGAAAGGGACTAGACCTGTGTGCTGGAGGGGGGAGCTGTGGAGGAGCTACGGGGTACTTAAAGCTGGCGAGATACTTTCACTCTCCCAGCTTTCATCGAGTTTTTTTATCTTCTTCCACGGTTTCAGTTTCATTCTCTATCACGTCTTTTACCTCATCTCACAATGGCTGCTTCACCCATCCAGGACGGTGTCTTCGTCTTTGACAACACCACGCCACCCGAGCCTTCTAGTCTGCTGAGTCTTTTCTCGCTCAAGGGCAAGACGGCCATTGTGACCGGCGCTGGCGCCGGGATTGGTCTACATGTCGCCCATGGCCTGGCGGAGGCTGGCGCCAACGTGGCGTTGTGGTACAACAGCAACCCCAGCTGCATAGAACGGGCTGCAGAGATTGCCTCCAAGTACGGTGTTCAAGGTTAGTGACAAGGAGGAGTGAAAGAGTGAAATTCTCGTACTGATCAATACTAGCCAAGGCTTACAAGGTCAACGTGACGGATGCCAATGCCGTGGCCGATGCCGTGGACCTCGTGGTCAAGGAGTTCAATGGTCGGCTGGATATCTTGATCGCCAACGCCGGCATTCCCTGGACTAAGGGCCCTGCGGTGGACGGCCCTCTGGAACACTACCACGAGGTGGTCGATATCGATCTGAACGGCACCTACTACTGTGCCAAGGCTGCTGCTGCCCACTGGAGACGCCAGAAGGAAGAGGGCACCGACATCAACGGCAACAAGCTCACCAACTTCACCTACGGCAGCTTCGTTGCCACCGCTTCAATGAGCGGCCACATTGTCAACATCCCTCAGTTGCAGGCTGCCTACAATGCCGCCAAGGCAGGCGTCATTCATCTTTGTAAGTTTTTGATAAAAAAGAAAACGCAAGTATGAATAACGACTAACCATCAGGCAAATCCTTTGCCGTCGAGTGGGTTCGGTTCGCGCGTGCGAACACCGTCTCGCCAGGCTACATTCTCACCGAGATCGCTAGCTTCGTCTCACAAGATACTCACGAAATTTGGAAGCGGAAGATCCCCATGGGCCGCGAGGGTCTCCCGGAGGAGCTCAAAGGGGCGTTCCTCTACCTGGCCTCGGACGCTGCCAGCTACACCACTGGCGCTGACCTTGTTGTTGACGGAGGGTACACTTTGCCTTAGCGATTTTTTTTTCTATAGATTAATGATAGATGAGTTATGAAACTAGACCATAGAGGTTAAATCTATTCAATACATAAACTAGATGGAAAAATAGAGTCTTCATCTCTGACTCTGAAACCATCCAACCGCAAAGTCAACCACGGCCTCCATCCATCCTCTGATTTTATCCCCATCGCTCTCAGAGGCTCCATCGCCCTCGACACTTCTTTCCTTTGTGGTCTGCATCAACAACTCCTCCTTGGATAGAACACGCCTGTAATCATCCCCAAAGTACTTCTTGAGCAGTTCGCTTCTTCTAGGGACAGAGTATGATGACGACGAGAGATCCGAAATATGGTATAACTGTTCTTCTGGCTCGGATTCAGATATGTTCAAAGGGTTGTAAGTCGGCTTTGGTAAATCTTCTTCTCCTTCTTCATTATCATCATCATTTTCTTCTTCTTCAGACCACTCGAATGGAAATGGCAGATCCATGTTCAGGGTAAGACTTAGATCCGTCTCTGATGGGAGCGTTTCGAGTTCAAAGATGTTATGGGGGGCAGAGGAAGATTCTCTCAGGGAGAGTTGCTCTGGTCCGGTCTCGTCGTGTTTATTCCTCTGCTTGATTTGGAAACATCGACGGATCCAAGGGCCGTAGTAGATTGTCACAAAGAGGGAGGAGAGGAGGAGGCAGGCTGTCGGAAAGAGAGGGACTAGAAGTGATGATATATTAAACATCTTGAAATTCGCTGTTGGTCTGTTGAGGTATTGAGAAGGGAGAGTTGATATGGTAGAAATGAGAGTAGTTATAACTGACGCAGATGCTTTGTATAGTGAGACTGTCTTGGCTTCAAACAATACCTTAGACAAGACAACACTTAGCCTAGACAAGAACAATAAGAACGTACTATATACTAATGTCATTCATTCACTCTTATAAAGACCTGTACCCATGACTCCATCACAAGCCCTTGCCCTTGACACTTGATCTGATCCAGAAGACCTATCTATCTTTTCACTTGAACCAGTCGATTATTCAATTATAAATGACTAGTATATCTCTATTCCATCTTACCTCTTTCTCTTAATAGACCATCTACCATGTATCCGATCCTACAGAACCGATACCTCGATCCAGAGGCCCTTCCCACTCAACCAGAAGGCATATCATGGCTAGAGACGCGAGAGGACGAAATGGTCTGCAAAACATATTTATTTGTATTCATATCTAGAACTACGTGTGGTGTGTGTGTTACTGACTCATTAGAATGCCTGCCTCTCAGAAGCCCTCTCATGCACGACATGCTCCATGCCCTCTCCCAGGAAGATGATCCACGATATCGAAACAAACACGTACCGGTTCTGGAGCGACCCGCCCTTTGCGCATACACGCGACGAAGACGTTTCTCCGCTCGACGAGGCCGTCGCACTGCGTGAACCGCAATACGGTCGTCTTGCGACGCCTGCCCAGCGCGGTCGATATCTGGCCCTCGTGGAGGAGAGTGTGGATTTCGTCCGGGCTGAGCTCAACGTGAATATAAACACGACTGTGGATGTGAATGTGGATGACAATATGGAAATTCACCTGCTGTTCGCCTGTTATCGGGTAGACCATCATATCCATCAGCATTATCTGGCCCGGTCTTCGGTCTTGACCCTCGTGCGGGACACGGACGAGCTGCACGAATTAAGAAGGTGGATGTGGACGGTTTCCAGTCCGAGATATAACTGGAATAGTACCTCCTCCCACGAGATCGGCTCGATGCAAAAACCAGGTGACAAGGTACGCAGATGGCGCTGGCCCCGTGACCACCTGGCGATGATGCATCAAGTGGCCCAGTGGAGGCGCCAATGGAGGCTGCGCCAGCTGCGTGTGCTGGAATCAAGGGTCAAGTGGGCAAGGATCATGGAGGAGAGGCGCTGGCAGAGATTTGTTCTGATGCTGTGGATTTCTCACACTTCTGTCAACTAGCCTAAAGGAAGTGACTGAAAAAGTATCCATATGCTGGATATGCATTTGACCAAAATGTACATATATAAACTTTCAGTAGTTATCGCTGAGAACAAGTGTATACCAGTTGCAAAACTCATGTCTAAATAAAACCCAAACTCCAACCAAGGGATATCAGGAAATGAATGTTATGTAATGATTGCGCCAAAGAGACAGAGCAGAATAAATATATATATATATATATATATATATATTTATAGATAAAAGAATGAGTCATTTGGAAGAGAGATGATCATGCTTTCTCTATCCCGCCCATGTGAACGTCTTGTTCACTTGTCGGCGCAGTGGGCAGCTTTTCATCGAGAGACAGGGATTGCTGGGCCGGCTGCGACGACGGAGCTTCCGACTCCCTGGCTTGTGGAGACCGTTTGCCCAGGCGGCTGCACCAGTGTTCCGCACTGACCAAGGTGTCGTTAACCACGCTATTGACCTGCGCCATCATGTCTAATCCTTCCTGGGCCAGGACGAGGATACGATGAGCACTGACGGTCACATCCGACGCACTCGCAGTCGTATTTGGGGGAGGATTTGACGTCGAGGCGATCTGGAACCGTTGCGGCAGCGATGTGAGATGGCGACGCACCAGATTGCGCGCGTTCTCCGGCAGCGCGCCGCCGGCATACTTGGAGATGATGTCCACCACCTGTTTCAAGGTGGCGAGGACATCCTCGCGGACAGCCTGGATCCGCTGTGTGAGAAGGTTGTTCCGGGAGCTGGTCGCAGACACATCCTCATCGTTCTCCTGCGTCGACTTCTCCCATTCCTGTAGTGCACCCTTGAGAGCAACGATGGATTTCCCTAACCGGCCATTCGCCCACCGCAGCCACGTCAGGCAATACTGTAGGCTTCGCATCGATTCCTCACTCATCGCCACTCCAAGACCCGACGTGGAGATCATCAGTCTATTCTGCCAGGTCGGGTTGACCTGCCTGGAGGCATTTTTCGTTTCCGGGCTCTGCGTTCCATTGCCCAGATCTTCATAGCTCGGTGATCTAAGATCGTCGTAGGGAGGAAGAGATTCGGGGAGAGAAAGGTCAGAGACGCTTCGTGTCCGGTGTACGGGCACGCCGTCGTCTCTCAACCCCTTTTCCACATCGACATCACCGTGGAAATGACTCTTCGTGTCCACCTTGCGACGTTTGGTGGCGGTGGGACCAGCGGCCTCGACGGACGCAGACCCCCGTCGCTGCAGCGCCCAGCGGAGTCCGCTCTCCACGCCCGTCTTCCGTCCCACGGTATGGACCGTATTGGCTACGGGCGAGCCGATGGTGCGCTCGATAAACTCGGCGCCGTACCTGAAGCGCGGAGAATACGACTTAGACGAGGTATAGGCGGACATGGAACCGTTGATGGCTGAGGAGATCAGCGGATGGGTCGAGGTGAGTAGAGAGAGGAGAGGTTCCGGCTGGTTCGAGTCGGAGGTAGAAACAGAGGTCGTCATCGTAGCTCTGGGTGAATGCTGCGAGGATGTACGTGGGGATTGATAATCTAATTATGTTTAATTTTTCTTCTTTAAAAAAAATTCTTTTATCCATAGACCTAATAATTTCTAGCGACATACCCGAACGAAGGCCTTCAAGAGCCTGGGCGGCTTCAATATCATCCATGGATAAGACACTGGTCGCCCGTCGAGAACGGTCATCGACACCGTCGAGATCCATTCTGATAGCCGGAGCAATCGAAGTAGAGGATAAAGGAGGCAGAGGATGGAGAGGAGGATGGAGAGGAGCAGCAGCAGGAGGAGGAGGGGTAGCGGTATCTTGAGGGCAGTCGCTGCTATTGCCGCCGCAGTTCAAAAGTAATCGTGCATCGTGCGAGACATGGGCAGGAATACTGCTGAGTGGCCCAGCAGTTCCGTTCGGGCGGTTTTCCATGGAATAACTCGTAATTCTTCACTCGCCAGCGTTCAACCAGAGGACAGGAGGCAGTTGGTCGTTGCTTGGGACAGCCAACCAGGGCGAAACTGGCGAGGGAAAGTCTCAGCGCCCGTTTTGCACGTGAAGGCGGGAAAACATGCGATGACGACGGAGTCTCTCCACCGCCCGGCATTCACATGTTACTAGTAGTTGCTTAGTAGAGAGTAATGATAATAGTAATAGTACTTATATTGATTTATTATTCTTTTGTATAGTAGTGGATAGGTAGGTATAATGTCAATTTAACAGATAGCTATATATAGTACGGAGTAGTACGGAGTAAGTACCATGATAGAATAGAACGTGGAAATACTGCCAACTGGCAAACCTGATCCGTACCAGGAGTTCCCAACAAACCATGGCGTGTCCCAACCCTTCTCTGTCACATGTCATGATCGATTATTCGCTTGTGTTTGCCGCTTGTTCTCTGCTTCGCTCTTTCTAATTGTGGCAATTTCAGCGCCCAGGAATCAGCAGATTCAGGCTTCAGGAATCAGCACATGCCTGGCATGTGATACGCCAGCTGACCGCCTGCTGTTTTGGGCTATTGGGGTGTCATCACGTGGGACGTCACATGTCAGCATCACGTGAAGTACAACTAAACCATTCTTGGAAGGAGCGACCACCGACAACCTCTGAATAGCAAGCACTTCTCTCTAGGCATCAATATTTCCTACAAGATTCACTACCTCCTACTCTACAGACTTGCCGTCGTCGAAATCAAACTCTTCACCCACCTCGTAGCCTGCAACCAGCATGGCTTCGATCGCGTCCTCGCCCTCATACACCTGATCGTCGGCGTCCGACCCGCCAGGCGTCTCCTCTAGCTGATCGGTCGCCGTCAGATGCTGCACCATCCGCTGGCTGACCTTGTAGCAGGCGAGGATCTCGTTGCGAACCGACCGGGACGGGGCCTGGCTGGCCTTGATCTGGCATAGCGTCTCGCCGAAGGCGTGGAAGGGGAAGCTCGACCGCCAGTGTCGCGCGTACGTCGCCGAGGCGAGATGCTTCAGCCACTCCGCGGGGCTCTGCTGCCAGGTGTGGCAGAGCGGATGGTCACCGGGGGGCGGGTTAATCGCGCGTACGCGCTCAACGGCCTGCTCGGCTTTGGACGAGTATTCCTTGCTCTCACCCTGGAAGGTGGCCGTCCAGGCGCGTTGCTGCTTCTGGATCTCCCGGGCGATCTCCTTTAGAAGATCGTGCAGACGGCCGCCATGCCGCCGGTCTTCATCCGCCATTGCTATCGCCTCCTGGTATGGGCGAAGCAGGTCTTCGTCTTTGTGGTGGACAATGTCCTTCTCCGGGAAGGCATCGTTGAGTTGTTTCAGCACGGCGTCTCGCTCCGTGCGAGCCACACGGAACTTCAGGTAGTCGATAATATTCGACATCTTTGGGCGCCGCTCCGGGTTCTTGTACGCCGGCGCCTCTCGCATCCGTGGGCTGATTGTGCGTCGGTATTCTTTCCACGCCTGCTCCGACAGGTGGACGCCGCCTTTCCGACCGTCGACCAGATGGCTCAGGAGGCACGCCAGTTCCTTTGCCTTGCTATGGTCGATTGACTCGTCGTACTTGAGCTTCTCGTGCTCGACCGTGCATCGGCCGAGGTTCGACAGCGTCAGGTTGAAGGCGAACGTTCCGCGCAGGAACTCGTCCATCGACGGAATCTGGTCCATGGGGATGGAATGGTTCGTGAGACCAAAGTGCTGGGAACCGTATTCTTCTTCTTCCGGGGGTGGCTTGCAATTGGCAAACTGGGAGACAATATTCTGGTCCCAGCAGATCCAGGGCGTGTCCCCATCGTAGTCGCCCCCGGACAATAGGTGTGCAAGAGGCGTATTCCCCTTTGTCGGAAACACAATAACGTCTTTGAAGTGACGCAGCTCTGGCTTCCAGACTGCCCGTCGGCGCTGAATGTCCGACGGCAGATGTGCTGGTAGTCGGCCGACCAGCACGTCCACCCCGTCGAGCAGGTTATCCTCGAACTGACCGTGAGGATCCTGCCACTGGCTGGAAAACTCGAAATGCACCTCATCCTCCTGCAGGACCCCGTACGGGTCCGCAATGCAGTATGCGTAGGTGGACAAGGGCACCTCGATGTGCAGCTCATCGACGTGCCGGTCCAGTGCTTCTTGTAGAAACCTCCTCAGGCGCTTCCGTAGGGGCAGAAAGCAGCGGGGCGAGAACCCAGCCTCGGAGAGCCGGATGATGTATTCCGCGTCGTCCATCATCCACTGTTCCAATCGTTTGATCCTCATGGCCATCATCATGGCACCGTCGGGCCCGGGCGGCCGTAGTTTCTGCACCAGACCCCGACACAGCACACTGCTGTCAGCCTGCAGCACGGCCGCAAAGTCCTGATACAGCTCGCGGATCCCGCGCCGCGTCAGTTCGGCAATGTACTCCTTCATCGGCCCGCCGTGCTCCAGGATGGCCAGCAGCTGGACGTTCAAGTCGACCGGGTGCAGCGGTTTCGACCAGTTCAGCACCTCAAAGGTCAGCTGCTCGTCATCGAGAGGGCCCGTCCAGTCGCGTGGATGAGGCTTGATCTTCAACTGGGAATCCGTGATCTGGATCCAGAAGGGATCGTTGTCCTCGCCCGCAAGGGGCGACTCGTGCCGGTCTACCATCCACAGGCCCTTGGCGCCGGCAATCCTGCCCTGGAAGCAGCTGGGCGTGTTGCCCGTCATCCCCAGATGGTCGCAGATGGCATTTGCCACAGAGCGCGACATGAGCGCACACCCGTCGTTCATGACCGGGCGGCCAGGCAGATCTTTCAGATGCAGGATCTGCGCCGGTTTCAGCACCACAGTCGCATACGTCTTGGACAGACCCAGCGAAAACCGCTGGAAGAGCTTGCAGTTGCTCTGGTTCCGGTTCGCTTCGGGCGGCATGTGCCAGTTGACCAGGGCCTCGAGGCTCATCGGCGTGTGTCTGTCGCAGTCCTGGCGGGCGGGGGAGATGGCAGGCATCGGCCGCAGACTGTACTGGTCAAAGTCGACGCCGTCGACTGCGAAAAAGTCTACTCGGAATCGTGGCTCGGCGAAGCCTTTATTGGATTTGCGTTTCAGCTTGACCTCTTCGACGTAGAACGGTCTCCATTTCCGCCCCAGGCAGGAATGCACGTTCTGCGTCAGCCAGGAGGCGATGCTCTCTCTCAACAGGGTCGGGTGCGATTCGATCCGCAGATGGTTCGGTGGGCGTGACGGTGCCGGGATGGTGAGGCTCATGAAACGGTCAGCCCCGAAGCGTCGACGAAATCGACACGTCCGTTCAGTCCGTAAGGGGTTGAGCCTCAGCTTGAGGATCCCGGGCTCCGAGGGACTGCACCAGTCCAGATCGCCCGTCAGCACAACCACCTCGGAATGTTTGTCGGTTTTGAACTGCTCGACCGCCGCGTCCCAGGCCTTACGCGAGGACTTCTCCGGAAGCCCGGCGTTGCCTCGTCGACTGTGGCGCTCGATCCATTTCCAAAAGTCCTCGTGCGATTGGAACGAGATGGTGTCGCCCACCAGCATTTCCTTCAGGGGCACCTTCCATGCCCTCCCGATTCTCTCGAGTTCGTACCGGTGTCGCAGCGGGATGGACCGCGGGAAGGACTGCTCGACGGAGAATGGCCCATAGGTCAGCAGGCGGTCGAGGATCTTCTGGTCGATGATGCTGTTGGCCTCGGCCACCATACGCGCGCCCTTCGGGTTCATCCCGTTGACTCCGTTGACTCCGTCAAAGAGCTCCATTGCGTGCGACGCCAGCAGGTACTCGTAAACAGATTGGCTGTCCGTCTCATCGTCATCGCCGCCCGCGTCCGGCTCGGTGATCGTTGTATTGGCAAAGGAGGTATTCATCGGTATGGTATCGGTGTCTGACATGAAGGAAGTGGCGACGGTCGAGAAGCTCTTCTTCAGCAAGCTTGTTCTACCGGACGGTCCTGCTTCCGACCAGAACGTCGGCCCGGCACCGACTGAAACGGTCGATGTCTGTCTTGTCGGGTTCTGGCGCGGGGCAGTCGATACCGCGAGAGTGTCATTCTGTGTCGCTTGCCCCGTGCGTCCATTATTCAAGTTCCAATTCCCCTCTTCGAGATCCGAGTCGAGGAACTCGTCCGCAATGGCAGCCGGTGCCGTGCGCGTGAAATCCAGGGTCCTGATCGGTGAGCACGAATGCTTCACCGGCGAACTCGGGGCCGTGTGGAAATCCGAAGACTCCCCGTCCTCGTCCTCGTCCTCATCCTCATTGTCGGACGATAACCTTCTCTTCGATGGTGGCCGGGGTAGCAACTGCTCCGCCAGTCGGCGGCCTTGCGACTCGACATCCTCAGCCAGCGGGGAAAAGGCACCATTGTTCAACAGCCAAATTTCATCATCGATCAGCTTCTTCAGATACCGAATATGTGCGTCTTGGTCGTCGCGCGACGGGCGCATTAGCCTATCTCCGTCTGTGAAGCTGTAGCCAACAGTCTCCCGCAACAACGACGCCGACGAAGATCCAGCCGTCGCACCAGCATTAACAGGCGTGGTACCATACGATTGACGACCGTGCCGACTGGACTTTTGCTGCTGCTGCTGCTGTCTCATCCCCCGCCCACGCTGCCGCTCATTCCGCCGGGAGATCGCCCATTCCTCGAAATTATCCAGGACCCGATGCAGATGGTCCACGTTGCGATTGTAGAACAACCGCTTGATGCCAAGGTAACAGATCAGCCCGGGCGGCTTCTCCTTCCCCTCCGTCATGGAAGGCGAGGAGAATAGGGGATTGGGGAGGTCGAGGAAGAATCGATCGTTCAGCGAATCGACCAGATGCTGCAGCTCCCTCCCTGTCTTCTGAGGGGTCCGGGGAAGGGCCATTTCTTTATCCAAGGTCCTCACATATAAAGAATAAATCAAACTAAATCAAAATACCGATAAAATTCTCTCTCCTTCTCCCTGTTTTGTTTTCTTCTTTGCCAGATGATTGTATTTTTTTTTTCTAAACCCAAGAGTCAACCAAAACAAAACAGCCGCTTTTCTTGCGCCCACCCACCAGAGCAGTAAACAATCCAAGAAGAAGAAAAAAAAGGAATCCAGCTGATGTATTATTTTATTTATTCTCTATTTCAAGGACCTCGTGTTAGGATGAGGGGAAAGAGGGGAAATAAGCAGATACGGATGTGACAGACTGCAGGTCTCGAACAGACGACTCACGCTAGACGAATATTTGCCCTTTGTTGCTATGGAGGGGGCTGGTAGTTATAGAAAAGAATAAAAAGCCATACTCCAACTAGTAGCCAGCCAGTCCGATCTATTTATTTAATGTTGACTACTGCCTCTCCATTAATTCCTTGAATGCCATCATTTGGCTCTCTCGAACCAAACTCGAGGGTAGTAAAGAACTACTGGTCCTGACTGCTTTGCTTATCTATAAGCTGGCTAGTTTAAAATGAAAACAAAATTCATAGGCGCAACATCGCAATAGCGTTCCTCAACCGATTGCTTCGAGGATATGAACATGGCTTCTCCCTGTCCGGGGGGGGTTGCTTCTTATCCGTCCACAAATCAGCTTGCTCGGGCGGGACAGATTTGCAGCTGGTCTTGGTCTTGTGGAGTAAGAACAACGTCGAGAACAGGGGAATCCCAATATACGATGTGGTGAACGCCACCCAGTTGAAGCCCCCTTTGAAGCTATCGAGTCCCTTGGTGAGGGAAAGAAAGCCACACAGAGCCAGTGCGATGTGGGAACCCGCCGACCCGAATGGCGCCTTGTAGGCCAGAGCCTCATCGGGCACTTTCTGGACAGTCCTGGCGCGCACAAACGAGATATGCGTCATGAGAATCGACATCCAAGTCAGGAGCCCGAGGATGGTGACAACGTTCACAAAATACGTGTACACCAACTTGGTGTCGCTAGAAACATTCGCGAAAGCGGTTGCGGCAATCAGCGAGCAGACGCCCAAGGCATTGATGGGTACCTCTCTCCTGTCAAGCGCCATGAAAAACAGAGGGGCTTTCTTCTCCTTGGAGAGGCCATAAAGGAGCTTGGTCGCCATGTAGAGATCATAGTCTGCAGACGAGAAGACAAAACACAAGATACAGGCGTTGAGGAAGTCTGGCAGAACTTGAATACCGGCAATCCTAATCGCCACAACAAAGGCTGATGCTGCTGATGTCTGAGAAGCCCTCGAAGCAAAAGCTATTTCCTGGGAGTCATACGGAATAACCATGCCGAGTAGGGTGATGGTGAGAATGTAGAACACCATGATTCGGCAGAAAATCAGCCGAATGGCCCGTGGAAGGGTATTTGGACCTTGGCTGACTGTCAGCCCGATCACTTCTGTACCCATGTAAGAAAAAGTGGCAGACGACATTGCGCTCCAGATTGCGAGGAAGATGCGTCCTCCAGTGGACGAGTTTGTGGCAAAGGCTCCAGGCTCCCCCCAATACCGGAACCCCGTGCGATCATGGTTCGGTCCTCCGCCGAGAGCGAGAACCAAAGACAAGATGATTAGTCCTATTAGAATGATGATTTTGAACAAGGACACCCAGCACTCGAAATTGGCAATGAACCTGAGACTATAGTAGTTGATGAGAATGATCGCTGCCCAAAAAAAGACAATCCAAATCGCAGGGTTGATAGCACTAGGGTCAACCCAATATGCCATGACCAAAGCACCGGCGGTAAGCTGGTTGGGAGTCACTATCGCGTACTTGAGCCAAAGCCTGCACAGAAGGTTAGCTGACCAGGGACATGCTTGGGTTCCACACCAAGAATAGGGAGACGGACATCCATCCTAACGTGAAACCCAGAGCAGGGTGGCAGAAGCGGACCGCGTGGTCAGTAAGAGTGGGAGATACAGGCAGCCAGGCGCACATCTCGCCGAGGGCGCACATCACCAAATACACAATAAATCCGATGGCAGTATACGCAATAAGAATCGATGCAGGCTGGAAGAATTAGCGGGCTGCGGCGACTGATATCTTGGTAGTGTGACTTACTCCAGCTCTGGACAGCACACGGAGTTATTAGTATGTAGAGACATCTTTTAATGATCCGGAGGTTCTTACTCTGAAAGAGCACTGCTGCTTCCAATCATCAATCCCGTGCCTATCCCTCCACCGATCGCTGATAATGATCAGAATTTATGCAGAGGTTTCAGATAAGAGACGAGGACGAACTGAGTAGCGTGATGCTCGCAGGCCTGAGTGGAGGGTAGGGGTCTCGGACTGTCTGAGAAGGAACCGCCGCATTTCCAGCCACAGGAGTAGGATCTTGCTCGACCAAGGCCTTATGGGCACCTTGTAGAGGGATCAAACTCGGTGGTTCTGCATCGGGAGGGACTTGTTGCGACATTGCCAAAGGTGATATAAGCCCATGGGAGTTCCCACTAAATGGGAACGGATAAACAAAGCTACCCAGGAAAAAAGAGAGAGCACGATTATTGAAAAGGTATTGTTGAACCGAGCCCAGAATAAGAAATGGTCAAGGGAGAAGACGCCTTCAAAGGATGAGGAAAGGGAAGTGAAGGAGGGAAGGAACGAGCTGTAGTCGGTCTTTCCATATATCCAGTAGACATAAATATAAAGCTCATACTTTGAAAGTCTGCTGTTGAGACAGTTGATTTGATTTCTAAAGAAACCTGCACATTCAAGAATGTGATCACTGACTGTACTGCAATAGAATATAAATGCAAAAAACGATCATGTCCAGGTGTGTGTCCCACCCAGTGGTATCACAAACTGAAATCAAGGGCGATGAGCTTCGAGTTTGAATCTCGTCGACTGGAGGTCGAGAAATAACTCTAGCCACCGATTCCAAACCAAAAACAAAAGAACAAACCAAACGCCGGGATATTCTATCACTCCAAACGAGAAAAAAAACCTGTTGTCCGTCACAAAGAGCATTTGCGTCCTGAGATGAGGGAAAGGCATGAAAAATGGATATACACAAATCAAGTGTAAGGTGACGGCTAGCATCGCCTCATTCTCCGACCTTCGGGTTTACACTCTGCCAAACAACGAATCGCTGGACTCGGTGCGAGGAAATGTCCTTCCTCTGGAGAAGAGCGAATCGCTAGACTCGGTGCGTGGGAACGACCGCTGCTGAGCCTTGGAGGCGATACGGCCGGTATAGATGCCCTTGGCGGTGCCTTGGCACACCATTTCAAGGTATTCTTTGAAATCGGAGTGCTTGAAATCGGGATACAAGTCTTTGGAGGTGAGATAGCCGAGATACTTGGCATACTCAGGGTTGTTGTCACCACGAATTCCCCATGAAAGTTGGTACTCGGCGATGTAGCGAGGAATGAACTTGAGAGGGTCGAAGGGGTATGTCTCGCTAGACTGCCTGGCGGCAAGGACCCGATGGACGATAGTTTCTTCATGAACCTTAGTGTCCTGCTGTCAGTAAGAGTAGTAGAAGGCCGGGCCCCTCATTTAAAAAAAGTTCACTTACATGATTCCTCTCAATCTTCTCCCCGCTGACCTCTTCCAGGAGATCGTAGATCTGGTTTTGTGTCATGACAATATTGTACGCAAACACCATCTTGTTGAGAGTCCTGTCATCAACGATGATGCGTGCGATGTAGCGTCCGATGTCCCGGAGATCGGTCAGTGCCGTGGGAGCGGTCCCGTCGCCGATGATCTCGTCGTTGGCGATTGTCATAGCATAGTCGATCTTCCCAGAAGCAAGACGCGGGTAGGAGAGCTGGTACCACCAGCCGACATCGACAATGGTATAAGGCAGATAGAGCTGCTTGATGTGGTTGTAAACTTTCTCCTTCTACAGGGCAAACGAGCTGTTAGCGTGTGTGGTTCGAGCCTCTCAACCGAACCGAAGGAAAAAGGTGTACCTCGTCTCTCAACCACATGATGCCGCCAGGTGGCGCCACCGTGATGAAGCCGCAGGGAACAAATCTTTTGACACCTGCTTTCTTCGCAGCCTTGGCCAAAGGAATCTGAGACTCTTGCTCTGAAGGGGCGATCGAGCTGACGACGACATCGATATTTTTGAGTGCCTGGACCAGGTCTTCTTCAGAGGCCTGGAGATCGCAAGACCGGATTTCAACCCCTCGTTCCCGCAGAGTGGCGATTGCTGGCTTGATCATAGACCTTGGGCGAATGAGGGCGGCGACATCCTAGGTAGCATCAAAAACGACAAGATTAGTATGAGTCGAAAAGAAAGAAAATAGCCATAAGTAGGGAAATAATATCTTACAAAGTGGCCGGCCTCCAGAAGCCCATCGACAATCGAACTCCCGGTCTCGCCGGTCGCTCCCACCAGGAGGACTCTTGTTCTCGTAGTCATGATTGTCTGTCGCTGATAATACTGCTGTGGATTGATTTGGCAATACGTTGGACCTGACTGTGTTTGGTTGACCAAAATAAAATACCCCAATCAGGCTCTCACAGAGACAAGTAGGAGGAAGGGATTGAAGTAGTGTGACAGAAGAGAAAGAGAAGAGTGCCGGATCCCTCCACGTTATAAACCAGAACCGTTGAGTGGCCTACCTACCCACTTTTGAGCCCATCCAGAGTGGACAACAGTGGGTCGTGATGTGGATGTTCACTTCCCCGAGAAAGGCACGGGTGGCGTCTGCGTTGTCCCTAGGAACAGGAGATGAGACAACCCGATGTTGCGAGCCCGTCGTCGATAACCACAAGGTGACCTTTGAGCAGGAAGAACTGGAGATCTGTCTCTGCTATGCCTTCGGAAAGTCAGATGCTCGAAATCTCTGCTCATTTTCCGGGCCGGTGATTCGGGATCAGAAGCTTAATGCTCCCCCTACGTCATATTCACATCGGTCCGGCAAGACGTCAATGTGGGCGCATTCCGCCCACCCAAACCAGCACGAAAGCGCTGAATCTCGCGGCCCTAAACATACAGCAGAGGTCAGCGATGTCCTCTCATAGTTCTTATAGCCCAAGACTACTGCCCTACCTGTTATCCCATCACGCAGGAGGCAAACCCAACAGTAAATCAGCCCCTTCTACTCGGAAGTGAGCCCATCTACCAGGCACCCCACCTGCACCCGTAGGATCAACGTGGCCTATTTTCCCTCGACACCGGTGACGACATGGGCAGCGCCCCGAAAGAAGTTACCACACACTTTTGGCTGCTTCAATTTGTGGCCATTCAGCTCTATTCTGGTCCTGCCTGCATGAGGTCGTACCGCAGGAGAGAAGGAGGGGGAAGCGGTGAAATCTCCTGGTTCGGTCGGAAAAGAGTTTGACCCTAGCGAGTGGACTGGCGAACTTGCTGGGATGGAATGTGAGGCTGATATGCAGACAAATGGATTCAAAATTGCGCCACGCTCGATAACTAGACTCGGAATTCCCCCAGTCAATCTCCTGCAGTAGTGAGTCAGTCGTCATGAGTTGGGGGTACCTGAAGCTACTCCAAAGCTCACTCCATAGTTACCAGCGGACGGTCCACTGATCCCCGGTTTGAGGGGTTTATCTGGGGCGTTAGGTTGTAAATCCCCAGAAATTTAGTTCAATTGAACAGACGTAAGAGCCAGAATCTTAATTGAGGCCTTAGAATTCAATTCTTCCTGCCCTGAGTCCCCTGTTTACCAGTTCTACCAAGGAGACTTTGTGGGAGGAGCGTGATTTTATCATGCTATTCTCAAATGGGTTAGCCTGTAGAAGCCTGAGGCCACAATAAATCACATGGCCAAAGGGCACCTGAAATCAAAACAACTACGGTAGTTACTCCTACCTCTCTCAGGAACTCAGACTTGGATTTTCAATGTCTCTCTCATCATATTTGTGACAATTTACCAATCGCTGAGATCTGATAAAGCTCTGTCCTCAACTGCCACATGGAAGCCAGCGCACGCCCATGTCTTTTCTCTAAATACCCCTTCCTTATCTCCGATTAGCCAGATAGGCGGAAGTTTGAGCCATTATTACTATTCAGCCTACAGATTACACAAGCCGCGTGGCCGGAGGGGCCATAATACAAAAGAGCCAGCCGTGGTATAGAGAATCATAAGCTATCACCCATTTGGCTATCTGTACGGTACGTAAGCCTGGGCGATATTACCCCATTGCCACGATTGGATATTCCGAGACTTAACACAAGTTGAAGACAGCCAGATTCGGACCCCGACGTTTTATGAACCAATCTCGGGTTTTCCGTGCGTTTCCCCCATTTCAGCGGTTATGATTATTATCAATCCATACCATGATGGCGCCGTCGGTTGGCTAGATTCGCCAGGCTACGAGATCTGGCCTCACCGACATCCTTCGGTGACTCAGTCTCCACGTTGCAACAGTAGCGACTGCTAGCGAGGGCTGTCTGACCCTGGAGGGGTTAGACCGGGGTATTGTGGAGTCTGAAGGATTCAAGAAATTTGCTAGATGTGACCTTTCTTGGGGTTTGACCAGTCATGTCGCGTTTGCTACATGGCCCGGTCTTTTTCTCCCTTCTTTTTTTCTTTCCTCTCTTCTATCGTTTGTCTCCTGCTCCTCGAAGACGAGGATCGGACACTTGAAGTCGACAGTCGGTCCTGGGGTATTGTGGGATAGCCACTGCTCAAGTTCCTGGCCGACTCCTGCAGATGCCCAATTTTGGTCCATCACAACTGTACATGACCTAGGAAGCTGAGCTCGGTCCTAAGAGCCCTTCCCCATCATGGAGGAAAAGAACTCTTCTACGGCTAAACCCCAGCCAACCTCTGACGTGGATACTCTCTGCACCGATGGCTACGAGCAGAATAGGGAACGAATTCGCATCGCAAATCCACAGGGCATGACTCGTTCCCAGAGTGGAGTAGATGTTGAGAAAGCCGAACAGGAATTCTCCGAGTTAAATAAGCAGTTCTCCAACATCTCATACCAAGCCCGCCGGCTGTCAAAGCAGGTCTCCAGGCATTCCAAACTCGCAGATGTTGAACAGGCTGTCAGCTCTACCGAGTCGAGCGAGCAGTGGGACCTGGAGAACACTTTGCGGGGCACGAAAGACGCGGAGGTCGCAGCTGGGATCAGAAACAAGAATATTGGTAGGCATATGTCCAACTTTTTTCTATCCAGCCGACGAATCTTTCTCTCACTGACTACTTGGCATAGGTGTGGTCTGGAACGACCTCACCGTTCGAGGCCTTGGTGGCATGAAAAACATTATTAAGACCTTCCCAGATGCCATCGTTGATTTTTTCAATGTGCCCGAGACCATCATGCACATGCTCGGACATGGCCGAAAGAGTCAAGAGTTCGATATCCTGAAAGACTTCCGTGGCGTTGCGAAGCCAGGAGAGATGGTATTGGTGCTGGGCCGTCCAGGATCAGGCTGCACCACCTTTCTCAAGGTGATCACAAACCAACGCTCTGGATATACCGGGGTAGACGGAGATGTCATGTACGGACCTTTCGATGCGAAAACTTTCTCCAAGCGGTTCCGCGGTGAAGCTGTCTACAACCAGGAAGATGATGTTCACCAGCCTACCCTGACCGTCAAGCAAACGTTGAATTTTGCGCTGGACACAAAAACCCCTGGAAAGCGTCCCTTGGGCGTGTCGAAGGCGGAGTTCAAAGAGAGAGTCACGGGAATGTTACTCAAAATGTTCAATATTGAGCACACTGCCAATACAGTTATCGGGAACCAATTCATCAGAGGTGTTTCCGGAGGCGAAAGACGCCGTGTAAGCATTGCAGAAATGATGATCACTTCTGCCACCGTTCTGGCCTGGGATAATAGTACCCGCGGCCTCGATGCCTCCACTGCGCTAGACTTTGCCAAATCCTTGCGTATCATGACCAACATCTACAAGACGACAACGTTTGTTTCCTTGTATCAAGCTTCGGAAAACATCTACAAACAGTTCGACAAGGTGCTCGTCATCGACAAGGGCCGTCAAGTATTCTATGGTCCCACGTCCGAAGCACGTTCCTACTTCGAAGGTCTTGGATTCGAGAAGAAACTGCGACAGACCACCCCGGACTATCTGACTGGCTGCACTGATCCATTCGAGAGAGAGTTTAAAGAAGGCCGAGATGAGAGTAATGTCCCGTCGACTCCTGCTGCGCTGGCAGAGGCCTTCGACAAGTCCATCTACAGCGAGAGACTCGCAGCCGAGATGGAGTCGTACCGCCGCCAAACGGAGCAGGAAAAGCATCTCCATGATGAGTTTGAACTGGCCCATCTCGAAGCGAAACAGAAGTTTACCCCAAAATCATCGGTCTACTCCATTCCGTTTCATCTGCAAGTCTGGGCTCTGATGCAACGGCAGTTCCTGCTCAAACTGCAGGACAAGTTCGCTCTCACCGTGTCTTGGATCACATCCACGGGAATTGCCATCATCCTCGGCACCGTGTGGCTGCAGCTGCCCAAGACCAGTGCCGGCGCTTTCACCAGGGGTGGATTGCTTTTCATTAGCATGCTTTTCAACGGGTTTCAGGCCTTTTCCGAGTTAGCATCCACCATGATGGGACGAGCCGTCGTCAACAAGCATAGGCAGTTCACCTTCTACCGACCGAGCGCCCTGTGGATTGCTCAGATCCTAGTCGACACCATCTTCGCCACGGCTAGGATCCTACTATTTGCCATCATCGTCTATTTCATGTGCGGTCTTGTTCTAAATGCGGGTGCTTTCTTCACGTTCGTCCTGATCATCATCACTGGCTATGTCTGCATGAGTGTCTTCTTCCGGACTATCGGGTGCGTGAGCCCGGACTTCGACTATGCCATGAAGTTCGCCGCCGTGATCATCACCCTGTTCGTGTTGACTTCGGGCTATCTCATTCAATGGGGGAGCGCCCAGGTATGGCTTCGCTGGATCTACTACATCAACCCCTTCGGTCTTGGCTTTTCCAGCTTGATGATAAATGAGTTTGATAGACTGACTATGACGTGCGTCTCTGACTCTTTGATTCCAAACGGGCCGGGATACTCTGATATCGCACACCAAGCTTGTACTCTAGCTGGAGGAGATGCCGGTTCTGCCATTATTCCCGGTACAAGCTATATCGAGCAGACCTTCAGCTATTACCGCAAGGATCTTTGGCGGAACTGGGGAATTATGCTTGCGCTCATTGCGGGTTTTCTCGGGATGAACCTATACTTTGGCGAAACGCTCACTTTTGGTAGTGGAGGCAAGACCGTTACTTTCTACTCAAAGGAAAACAAGGAAAGAAAGCAGCTGAACGAAGCCCTGAAGAAGAAAAGATTTGCACGCCGATCCAAAGATGAGAATGATCCCGCCAGCGATCTTCAAGCGGTCTCAAAGTCAATATTCACGTGGGAAGATGTCTGTTACGAAGTCCCGGTTGCATCGGGTACTCGTCGGCTGCTCAATTCGGTCTACGGATACGTGCAACCCGGGAAGCTGACTGCGCTGATGGGTGCATCTGGTGCAGGGAAGACCACACTGCTTGATGTCCTGGCGTCTCGGAAGAACATCGGTGTGGTCACAGGTGATATCTTGGTTGATGGCATTGCGCCCGGCACCTCTTTTCAGCGAGGCACGTCCTATGCGGAGCAGCTCGATGTCCATGAGCCGATGCAGACCGTTCGCGAAGCGCTTCGCTTCTCTGCGGACCTTCGCCAACCGTACGAAACGCCCCAGTCTGAGAAGTACAGTTACGTAGAGGACGTTATTTCCCTGCTTGAGCTGGAGAATCTTGCCGATGCCATTATTGGGGACCCTGAGAGTGGCCTCTCTGTCGAGGAACGCAAACGAGTCACCATCGGTGTCGAACTAGCTGCGAGGCCCGAACTGCTCCTCTTTCTGGATGAACCTACTTCAGGGCTGGACAGCCAGTCTGCATTCAACATCATTCGGTTTCTCCGAAAGCTTGCCGCCGCCGGACAGGCCATCTTATGCACTATCCACCAGCCTAATTCAGCACTGTTTGACAGCTTCGACCGTTTGCTCCTGCTCCAGAGAGGGGGTGAATGTGTCTACTTTGGCGACCTGGGCGATGACTCGGCCGTCCTGTTGGACTATTTCCGTCGCAACGGTGCCGACTGTCCTCCTGATGCTAATCCTGCTGAATGGATGCTTGACGCCATTGGTGCAGGCCAAACCCGTAGCATCGGCGACCGCGATTGGGGCGAGGTCTGGCGCAGGTCGCCTGAACTCGAGCGTCTGAAAGAGGAGATCATCGAAATCAAGGCGAGACGTCAGACCGAGGTGCAAGGGTCGTCGCAACCTGATGAAGTCGAGAAGGAATATGCCAGTCCGCTCTGGCACCAGATCAAGGTGGTCAGCCGCCGGACACATCTTTCGTACTGGCGCTCGAAGAACTACGGCTTCACGCGCCTGTTCACGCACGTCGTCCTCGCCTTGATCACTGGCCTTTCCTTCCTTCAATTGGATGACTCGCGGACCTCGCTTCAGTATCGCATTTTCGTCATTTTCAACGTGACCGTGCTACCCGCCATTATTATTCAACAGGTCCAACCAAAATATGACTTCTCGCGCTTGATCTTCTACCGCGAGTCCGCTTCCAAGACCTACGGCCAGTTCGCCTTTACCCTGTCGATGGTCCTCGCCGAGCTGCCGTACAGCATCCTATGCGCCGTGTGTTTCTTCCTCCCGATTTACTACATCCCTGGCTTCTACACCGAACCCAGCCGAGCAGGGTATCAGTTCTTGATGGTCCTAATCACAGAGCTTTTCTCCGTCGCTCTTGGCCAGGCGATGTCCGCACTTACCCCGAATAGCTTCATCGCGTCGCAGTTCAATCCCCCTGTTATTATCATTCTGAGTTTGTTTTGTGGCGTCACCATCCCAAAGCTGCAGATGCCAAAGTTCTGGCGCGAATGGCTGTACCCATTGGACCCGTTCACCCGTCTCATCAGCGGGATGGTGGTGACGGAATTGTATGGCCGGGATGTTGTCTGCAGGGAATCAGAATACGACACGTTCACCCCGCCAGCCAACGAGACGTGTGGGCAGTATATGAGCGCATTTTTCGCCGACGGTGGGCTAGGGTACCTCAAGGACAACGCGAGCAGCACGTGCGAGTACTGCGCATACAAGGACGGCCAGCAGTTTTACGCGGAGTTCGACATGTCGTTCAGCGATCGATGGAGGGACCTCGGGATTTTCGTGGCCTACATTGCATCAAGTCTGATTATTCTCTTCATTGCAGTGAGTCGTCACCTTCTTCCTGTTTTTCATCTAGCGATGCGTAGTATTCCATGTACTGACCTGAATACTAGTCTCGCTTCCTCAACTTCAACAGACGGTAAAAAGCAATACCAGCGGGCTAATCCTCTCTTTTGGATGAATTCACCCAATATATGTTGGGTTAAAGAAAAAGAAAAGTACATATAAAAGAGCTCACTACATAATTTTGGTCAACGATATCGTGGCGGGCTCAAGCCTGTTGACATTTTTTCAACTCTTGATATTCAATATAGTTGGTTGGGATTTGACGGCATAAATATAAGTTAATACTGTTTATACAATCATGATTCAATTGAATATAATATGGTCATGCCTCATCCTTTAGCTCATGTCACAAACTACGGATGGGTAGATTTCAACCTTTTCAATAGATATACCGGAAACTATGACAGTTTGTTAGCAAGGGAGTATAACCCATCAAGTGGATAGACACATTGTTCAGACATACTTTGGATTCTCTCGATCGGTCAAATCCAGAAATGCAGTGGCATCAAGGTCTCTCCCCTCCAGCCCCCCTTCCATCTGCGATTGGATCTGATCGCGTTTCTGGTTCTCCCAGCGAAGGAGGAAGCCCAATGTGGTGATCAAGACGGCCTCGACAAGATGCGAGACGATCATGGACCAGATGCCGAGAGGGTAGCTGGGCCTATACCGTGCGTTAACCCAATTAATATACTTTATCTCAGAACTACTGGTTGGCTGATGAGAAAGATAAATCTTACGACTGGTTTGTTTTGTAGAAGAAGGGGCCCGCAATGTTACCAGTGCAGTATCCCAGGAAGAGAACGGCGTTGGTGACGACTTTCTTGGTGTGACCTTGAAGTAAACGTGAGCATTTCTCTTTGCGTGATGAAAACGCGTCATCAAGGAGCTGGTAGTTTGAAAAATCTCACCGGCTGTATTTGCAATCTGCATGCTCAAGATCAACACGAAAGCGGCATTGTACGGGCCCGTAAGATAGTAGCAGATCAGACGGCCGACTTTCTGGTCCTGCGGCACGAAACGGAGCCCAAAGGCACCGGCAATGTTAGGGAGGAGGAAAAGTAAGACGAACATGCAGCGGCGGTTTTGGAAGCGGTCGTTGAGATACACGCAAAGGAGGATGGAGAGGGCAATGATGATGCCATATGGAATCTAGGCCAGATTAGAAAACACACTCCCACCATACAGATATTCAATAAACAATAAGCGGGGAGAGCTGCGACAACAGACCTGCATGAGGGTCGTAACGAGAGTTGAGAATCCGAAGCCCTCGATGATGATCGTGCCGAAGTTGGAGATACCCCCGTTGGGAATGTTGCAGACTATTCCCAGCGTAAAGAACAGGTACAGCTTGTAATCCATAAAGGCCTCTTTGATCTGATACGGTTTGAGGTGCTTGTTTTCCACTCCTGTTTGGTTCTCTCGCAGCCGCTCAACGGCAATGCGCCGTTCCCGATGGCTGAGGCCCGGTGCACTCACAGGAGAATCTGGCAGGAAGATGAACATGACAATGCCCCATGTGCAACACAGACAGCCACTAGAAGGGAGGAAAAAAAAGAGAAAGACAAAAAAGTCAGTGTTGGAGGGGCTTAACACAGGGGCAGGAACACATACATGATGATGAATTCATACTTCCAGGACGGAAGAGCACCCCTGATATGGCCAATTCCATACCCGAGAAGACCGCCCAAGGCAATACCACATCCGTTCGCAGTGTACCAGAGTCCAATACGTACCGGCTGCTCTCGCCGGGTATACCACATGCTGGTGATGAGCATAAACGCAGGATCCGAACAGGCTTCTGCCGCACCACCGAGAGCGCGGAGCACAGCAAGGGTTGTGAAACTGTTGCAGGCAGCTTGAAGCATGAGAAACACCCCCCTAAAGGATAGAAACACGTCAGTTCATAGTCCTCCGGCAGATAAGATACGCGTAGGGCCGCTGACCACACGAAGATATTGGCACCCAGATATTTCCCTAGCATCCAAGAAGGAGAATAGTCAGTCGGTTGCTATATCTGAGCCTCTAGTGCTAATAACAGTGACATACCGATTGGCAAGCGTTGAAGAAGAAAATTAGTAGGAAATGCCCAGGCCATGAATCCAAAGTAGAAGACACTACTGAGCCAGTTGTACTGTGTGCCATGGAGGTGCAGATCGTCGCGAATGCCAAAGATTGCCGCATAACTTAAAGTCGTCTTTGATGCATTATCAGCGGCTGCCATATCTAAGCCAAAAGCAAGAGAGAGATGGAATAACATACCTTGTCGATATAGAAGAATGCGTAGCAGACTGCCAAGTAAGGCAAGATCATGAAATCAATCTTGCGCAGGACTCTCTTCTCCTCCTCAGGGTCAACCGCCTCGTGAAGTTCGTCCATGTCATTGAACAGCGCCATGGCGGTGTCCCCGTCAACGGCCTTTGCCATCTTCAATCCAGAAATAGTAGCCTGGCTGCTCTCCTCATGGATAACGGAAGGCACTTCTTGACCACCGGCCTTGGTGCCTGGGTGCACCTCTGAAATTCGATTGTCCCCCATGACAGCGAATTATCTGCCCTTTCAAGCCAGTCAGGGTATAGCGGGTAGTTTGGTAACAGGCAGCAATCGTCTCTCCTTGACAAAAGAGAAAAAGGAGGGATGCCACCACAGCGACCGAGGAATGTGGGCTCACGTCCAACCGCATATGAATAACCTCGAAATATCAAGATTGACCTCTACCGGACTACCTCCGTGCAGCGTACGCCGTATGCTCCGGTCGTCAACCGTGAATGCACGGTACATATGCGGAGACCAACAAAGACCACAGCTTCCCCGCAGGGTGACGAAGACTTGAACAGGGTTCTTTCTCGTATTGTCAAACTGTGCGTCTGTCTGGCCTGTACCGCATATCGAATGGCAGGGAAGAAAGGCTTGGTCAACTTTACCCCGCTGCCATCAGATGACGCTTCAATATACGGAGTCCGACCTCTGACGGAATCCAAACCGACGAGGCTGGGCACAACGTCGGCGATAGCCCGACAAATCGTACAACAGACGTCTGTAATAGGCACTTGATAGGTGGAAATTTGCGCTTGATCGACACCCGGAACTAGAAAGATAAGGCAGCGATCTGGGGACGATCTCTCCATGTGGGGGTGAAAATGCGGGGATTTGCATCATAGAAAAAGGAAACGAATAGAGTGGTTATATGTAATTTTGCTGTATATCCAAAAAAGAGAAAGAAAGAAAAGAACAGGTAGTTGTGGACGAGAAAGAAATGTCCCTTTTGCTGCTGCTCTACTACCCCGAGTTCTCCTCTTGCACGTTGTGTTGACCGACTATTGTCAAGAAGACCTGATCCAAAGATGTCTGGCTAACGGAATAGTGCTGGAATCCCAATTGTTGCTTGTCGTTCTCAAGGCTGGCGAAGAGGGTTCCGATCCCGCTGTTCTTGGACGTTGCATCTGGGAGGTGCACGACCAGGCCGTCCCCTTGTTGTCTTTGACTGATGGAACAATCTTGATTATTATTGGTAGTAGGAGTATTAAAGGGCGGGTCGACAGCAAGTGATGCCGGCACACTGAATCTCAATTGGCCATGGTAGGTCTTTTGTTCGATCTCGGCACCGGGGAAGGTCTCAATCACCCATCGGCGGATGCGTTCCATGTCCGAGTCGGAGGTGTGCGGTGCTTGCGAGTGTACCAGATGGACATGGTACATGTTACCATACCGGGCCCGGAGATCGTCCGTTGTGCCTAGCGCTAGCATTCGCTTCGCCATGATCCCAGCCCGGTTGGCCAGCGCGTCTGCTTCCTCCATGGAGTGCGTGGTGAGCACGATCGACCGTCCGGGTACCACAGAGACCAGCGTCTTCCACATCACCCGTTTCGAGGCTGCGTCCATGCCCGAGGAGGGCTCGTCGAGAAGCAGCATGGCCGGGTTCCCCATCAGCGCGATTCCCAGCGACAGTTTCCGTCTGTTTCCGCCAGACAGCTTCATCGCCATGCGGTGCTGGAATGGTGTGAGTCCCACGGCGCGAAGCACCTCTCTGATATTGTGCTCTACATCCGACACACCCCGGATACGGGCGTAGAATCGCAAATGCTCGAGCACGGTCGTCTGGTCCATCGCGTCGAACTGCGGACACACCCCGAGATGCGCTCTTGCGGCAGCTCGATTTTTGATGACGGATACATTCTCGACTAAGATCTCCCCGCCCCGCCTGGACGGCTTGATATCACCGCGTATGAGACTGATGGTGGTCGTCTTTCCGGCGCCGTTGGGTCCCAGAAGCGCGAAAACCTCGCCTTTGTTCACTCCGAAGGTGACGTCTTCGACAGCGGTTATCTTTTTGAACGATTTGGTTAGGTGCCTGGCACCCAAGCCGTCATTATCAGCAGGCGCATTGCCGCCGACAATTGGCTCTAATCGGCCACTGTCTTCCAGATCCGGTCCACGGCCCTTGGTGCATACTAGCAGCCTTGACAATGCGGGACCCTCATCCAGCAATAGAAGTGCTGCAAATAGTATCAAAGACTGGACAACCAAATAGACAATAGGGCCGCCGTAAAGAGTGATCTCTCCGGGGTAGGAGGCCACTTCTTTATCACGGCAGAGGATAGAGAAGATGTTGAGAGAGGAGAACATTGCTCGAGTAAGGCTGCCCATAGGCGTCACCACAGAAATCACAAAATGGGCAATGGTGATATAAGAGTCGATCTTGGCAGTGGGAGCATAAGTCAGGATACACAGGTAAGCAATTAAGTAGATCAGGAACCCTACGCACTGGGCCCCGGCAGCAAATGCGAAAGCCGCGAGTTGTGAGCTCACAAATAGTGAGATCACATACGAAAACAGTGTGGAGCAGAGTCCGTAGAGGAAGAAGACAACAAAGAGATACTCCGAATGATACCAGATATCGGAAGCAGCTCGAAATGCCACGATAGCCAGCACGCTGATGGCGACCACGATGCAAAAGTCAAAGGCGAGGTACACCAGCCAGAGCGGGAGGCTTCTGACTCCATTGCTGTAGTGTAGACCCCGAATCCGTCTCAGTCGCTCGAATGTCGGATACAAGGAGAAAAAAGCAGGATAGACCGCCATGGCGAGACAAAAGTAGACAATGAGCTGAAGGGACTTGCCCAAGCCCGATGCCCATGGGATAGCAAAGTAATGGAACTGAAAGCCGATGGAAGTGTTCGTCACGAAGATGTCAAGAGCGTTTTGAATGATAGAAGCCAGGGCAAAATCGTCTTCATCGCCATTCCAAGCTAATGATGGTAGAGAGGAGGAATCCCCGATATAGAAGCCTCCTGGCGTCACATTCGCAAAGTGGTCGTCGATGTAGGTGTTGAATTCTTGAAGACTGTCGACCAAATGAAGGCGATTTTTCCAACATTGACAATATCTGGTCCGTTGAGTTGGATGATGATGCTTTCGTAAACTATTCCACGAACAAATCCAATGCCGACGTTGTTACCTTGTCAGTTGGACCCAACACTATATCAATATTCGCAAGTGTGTCAAGGGCTTCTAAGCTGGGAGTGGAGTAGGCGCTGGTACTAGAACAGCCAGCTCTGCTGGCACTCTTCAAGAATAAAGTAACCAGAGCTGCTGCAATGACAGGAATCAGGAGTGCTGCGACATACAAGAAGTTGTTGCGGCGGAGGATGGTGACTCTCTTGCAAAAGAGCACCCACGCTTGACGCAGCATCCCTATCTGCTTTCCAGAAAGAAGCCGGGGCGCGGTGGAAGACTGATTAGGAATTTCCTGCGTCCCGTCATCTTTTGGCTTCTCATTGATAACACTGGAATCATCTTCAGAAGAAGCAAGAGGAAGGTCTATATCCTGTGCAACCTTGAGGAAAACATCTCCGATGGTCGGTCCACTAACACGGTATTCCGTGATTTTTTCTTCTTCTAGCATGGTAACAAGATTCGCGGCATCTGCGGATGTTGGCACAGTGTAAACGGTTTCGTCAAAGTGGACTTGCTTGCTGGCGCCTGCAATTTTCAGGTTCGAGATCCTGGACGAACTGGGGAGATTGTACACGTGAATACGGTATCCAGAGCCAAGCCGGTGCTTCAATTCCACACTGGACCCTTCGGCCTTGAGCGCGCCCTTGGACAGAATAGCGATATGGTCCGCTAGTAGCTCTGCCTCATCAAGGAAGTGGGTGGTCAAAAGAATGGTTCGGGACCCTCTCTCAGCCAAAGGATATCCCAAATCTTCTGTCTAGAGATGGGATCAAGCCCAGAGGACACTTCATCAACACAGCAGATGGATGAGCCGCCAGTGAACATCATGGCTAGCTGAAGCTTTCTTTTCTGGCCTCCAGAGAGCGTCTTCGAGAAGGCTTTTACCTTTTTGCTAAGATCACAGGCATGTAGGAGCTCCGACAGCTGCTTCTCTGTATCTCAATTTTCCAGTGCCTTCAATCTGTTGAAGATTCTCACATGTTCCATAACAGTCAAGGTGTCCCATAGTACATTCTTCTGAGGGCAAAGTCCAGATCTTATGCCGTCTTCCTCGTGGTTCAAATTGATCTCGCCTGATGTTATCTTTGTGAGACCCGAAATGGCATCAAGAGTCGTGGATTTTCCAGATCCGTTTGCCCCAAGAAGCACCATGATCTGGCCATTGACGATTTCCAAACTCAAATCATCAACAGCAAGTACATCCCGATACTTAATACCAAATATTGTAGCTATTTTCCGACGAAATCAGTTTGGTTGGTAGATTTTGGTGAACCCTTGAAGCCTCAGAGCAGACGGTGATCCAGATCTCGATGTGTTCCGATCTTTAGAGGCAGTACTGTAAAGCCTTCGCTCTACAAGACCGCCGATGCAAGGGTATAAGACAATCTGAATGATTAACAATATCCATAGCACAATGCCTGGAACAGTCCACGGGCTCCCTGGAGCCGCCTGGGTAAGGTCCGTCGGCAGATTCTGCTTTTCCCACCGCGCCATTAATATCGAGAAGAAGACGTAGTTCATCGGTGGAAATATTAGGCTGAGAATGACAACAGCCGCATTTGCAGTGATCGAGGCCAATTGAGCAATGATCCCCAGAACCAGACAGGTTATTGTCATGGAGATGCCACTGAGCTGTGCTTTCTTGAAGAAGAAGGCACCAAAAATCGAGAATGAGGATAGAGATAGTCCCATCAGGAGATTGAAGATGACAGTGACTCCGGCAGACGTCTTACTGTACACGCCGAACTTCAATATCAAGGCAGTGATGATCCACGCAGGACCGTAGACCATGTCCAATGCGAGATGAGCTGCAGTAAAACGAGCAGCTTGCGGCTGCCAACGGGCTGTATTTGGCATCATGCAGTCGATTAACTGGCTCATTCCCAGCTCACGCTCAGAAGCCATGAGACCAGTCAAATGATATGTGACGCCGACGCTCCCGATGAAAATTGCATCGCCCAAGATATCAATGATTGCGCTCATATAAGCAGATCTGATCTTTTCTTCACGTTGCTTCTGTGTCAAAGATGTGTAAGGATACTCGTCGACCTAGGTATAGGAGATTAGCAAATTCAACCGGTATTGCTATCAACACGTCAGTGTCAACGCATGAGCAGCAAACAAACCTCGCTAGGGAGACCAGTGACATTCTCGACTCGAGCAATCGCCCAATCTATCGAATGCTGAAACGGTAGGAGATATAGCTCCTGGTCATTCCTTGTCTTTTTGACGTCGATCTTTTCCCCCAGCGAGCCATCTGTGCGGAGAGTATAGTTCCATATCCCACCAGGGCCCTCTGTAGGCGAAGAATGAAAGATAACAGCCGCTATACATGACGAAACACCACGGAGTGAGCTTCGACAATCAAGGTCTAGCTTTTCTTCGTCGGTAAGGACGTAGAAGTCTTTCCCCTGCGCTTTCGCGGGATCGGAGACGGCGTCGATGACCTGTAGGATGTTGCCGGTTTCAAAGCCGCTATTGACAAAGACAAGTTTATTTCGGCCTCCCCCAATTGTATCCAGGGCATCAGAGAAGGTCCGCACCGGGGTTGGGTCTCCGATTCCATAGATAGATGGTTCGACAAACAGGTTCTTGGCAAACGATCTGATAGCAAATGAGAGACCGTCAGAACCACATCCAGGAAAGAAAGAGGGGAGACATACATGAAGGCAATAAAGACAACCGGCAAGACCAAGGCCCTCCACCCAGTTGAGCGATAAGGCCGGACACAGACGAGCAGCAGGTTCTTGACCGTCAGCACCCAGACCTGCCTCAGAAACAGATGCATTTTCCGGTTAAAACAAAACCGGGAATTTAGATCGCTCTCAAATCGCCCTGGCGTCAGATAAGAGAAAGCGATAACTATCGCTGTCTATGCAAGTTGTCGTAGGATGGTGGTCATCGCCGTGTCGGTGGGAGCACGATACTCAAGTCCTGAAGTATCTAAACAGTCATAGCATCGTCTTTTATCGAAAAGACTACAGATATATCAAGAGTCTTTCTAGCTTGCCTTGAGAAACTCAAGATGCACCCCCCTGACTAGTCCAATTGTGTGTCGTTTATTATTGGGTCGACTTCGCATTCCCGATTCAGACTCGTATTCGACAGGATTCATCGCGAAGGATCTTGTTGGTCTTGCTGGATTATCAGGCTTGCTGCTTCAAAATAAGGGCTGAGTATGAAAGCGAGTAGGAGAAGTTTTGTGTCAAGTTGTTGGCATATTTTTGTCCGGCTAGACGTTGATCCCAACTTGCAGTGGGACATAGTCTAGGCCTTCTATAGGAACCTAGATAGAGATCATGTCACTGCGCATGATATTCTTGGAGGATTTAGAGTACAGGAAAGACCGATGGATTTGAAATTCTAGACCAGGTATGCAGATATTATACACGAGACAACTCCCGATAAAAACCACTCATATTCAATTCTTCTTCTTTCGTCCACCGGAAACTTGGCCGGTGACTGATGTCTTCTGTCGGAGGTAGTGCCACACAGTGCCTTCAACACTGCGGACGTCATGCTTCCGTTGCCTATGAAAGGAATTAGTTGAGGGGTCGGGGGAGAATCCGATGGGAAAAAACATATATCAACGTACCGCATGTAGTACAAGCGCGCCCTCCTCTTCCGCGTCGCTGTTCTCTCCACAATCTCCACGCTCTTGACGTTCGGGCTGAACAGCTTGACGGACATCTCAACCGCAGTGCGAGTAAGCTCGTTACGTAGCAAAAACGAGGTGTCAATGCCTCTCAATCGGATGCTCAAACAGACGCCGGAGAACGGATCGCCGTTCTTGAACGTGACCCGCAGAATGTCGCCGACCTTCACGCTCCGGGGGTTCCTGCGGTAATCAAACAGTTTTTTGCGCTCGCTGGTAGGGTCAAGCACCGACAACTGTGACGTTGTAAGAGTAGCAATAGGGTCTCTGCAGACGGCACGAGTCGACGGCGGAGGCGGATAGATCTTCAGTTTTTTGGGCTCTGAACCAGCGCACACATTAGCCCAATCCACAACCACACAATCAAAAAACACGGCCATCGTATTCCCTTACCCTGATCAGGCCGCAGTCGCTGGGGAAGCTGCGACAGGAATGCCTCGGGCAGTTTCTCGGGCAGAGGAGTTGGCTGCGGTCGTGCAGAATACACAGTCGACAGTGCCCGCCGGGCGATCTGGGGCTGAACCAGTTCCCTGGTCCTCAGCGACGAGCGCACGCAGCCCAGCTGCCTTAACATCGGTGAAAAGGCCGCCATGACCGATGGATAGGGTGACTTCTGTTGGCAGCAACTGGAGATTTCCTCTTCTGCTTCTTCTGCTCTTTCGTTTTTGGTGGTTGATCCGGACCGAAGCGGCAGAATCACTCACCGCCCAAACACATTGAGCACGAGAATAATTTAGAGCGAAGCATCAGTTAACCAGGTAATAATCTTGGGGTTGTGCTGCCTTCGAATTTGCATTCATCCGGTCCTTTTCTTTTGAAGTGTTTACATTCTACATTGGTTGAAACACATATCTTCGTGATTTACCACAACCATGGTGCAAATGATGGCTGGCAGACTTTTGCGCCAGCAGGGCTTTAACTTGCGTCAATTCGCCTTGACGCAGACACGCAGTTACGGTAGGGCTTATCTTCCATTGAATTTCGTGTTTGTGTCTTTTCAGAACCGGTTGCTGACCGGAAACTTTTTTGGTTGTTCTAGCCATCCCTTCATTTACTCCCACGTCCTCCTCTCCCGAGCTAGATGAGGCTCTGGACCGGGTACGCAAAGGCCTTATTATTCCCTTCAGTCTCGGCGAGCAGCAGAGGAGGTTAGTCTTCCGGAAGAAGTACGCCCAGCGTCTGGAGGATAATCCTGTCGTTTTGAGACTTGGGGGCGCCCAAGAGGAAGAAGAATACGCCCTGCGGCCGTCGGGGCACCCAGAAGCGAAGATCACGAAAAAGGAATCGCTGGCAGTGGTTAGACTCTTCAAAACCCCCGAGGACTGGCAGAATGCTGCCCCCCTTCTGGCCGGTTTGAAGAAAGCGAGGATGGTGCTCAAGCAGGATCAGAGGGAATGGCTGGTGCGCCGGGCCGCCATGGCTGGCGCCCTGGGTTCTATCCTTGAGTGCGCCAAGCAAGCGGATCGGACAGCGTTTTGGTTAAATGAGGTCGGTGTGGTACATCGGATATTCTTTGCGCTGCACGTTATGGCACAGGAGGCAAATTTCGAGCCTGTAGCGACCAGCAAAGCCCTGAGCCTGGCGAAGCAGACTTCTAGGCTCATGGATATGCCCAGGCATAGTGTGCGCGACGTGGAGCTGGATCCCAAACACAGACCGTCCGTGATCAGTGTGCTGCTGGAGCTCAGCGCGAGCCAGGCCCTGAACAAGTTCGAGGGCCATGACCAGACCGGAGATGTGCTCCGGTACGCCGAACGTCTACTCGCCAACTGGAAATATGGCAACTTCCGCGGCACGGAGACCGACTGGCCCGCCATCGACTACATGTTGCAGCACAATGTCCTGATCTACAATGGCATGAAGCTCGCGCTCCAGGTCCAGGGGATCGCATCGAACAAATCCGTCAGCTCGATGCTCAAGAGCCGCGTCAACGAGATCGGTACATTGATCGCCAAACAGACCAAGGAGGTCCCGGCAAAGATTCAGGAACGACCGAGCATGGGCTATATCCAGAGCAAAGCTTTGTACCCATGATCTTTCTTGTGCTTTTCCTGCCTTCTTGCCTTTGGTATAAAAAGAGGCACAATGCATGTACATTATCGCTATCAGGGCAACCTTCTACTACTACCGAATTCACTAGTGTAAAATAGATTCACATTGTCAGGCACTACTTGAAGATAATAAACCCTAAGGGCTTTTTGAGCATTTACGAAGATTCATGTACCCGGGCATGGATATTCGTATCAATAATCTACGAAACCAGTTCCAGCGTGTTGTCCGAGCGGAAGCGTCCTCGAGCAAGCAAGCGAGTCGTCCCGGACACAACAGCAGGTCCAGACACAACAACCTACGCATTGTGAGCAGAATGATAGATAATAAGCGAACCATACAGTTGGGTGGGTACCATACCTGGCCTTCAATGGCGTGTGTCGACACTTGACTCTCTGGGAAACCTGCCAGGAAGATTTCGACACTGCTTGGCGGCACGCCAAAGTGACTTGGGCCATGATGTTGCCGGTAATCAAAGACATGGGTCTGGCTGATGGCACCGGCGATCCCCGGTCCGGTCAAGGCATATACCACGCGAGCCCCAGTGAAGATCCGGAGATCTGTCAGCTGTTGCGAGGTTAAGCGGTACTCGCGGTCAGCATCGACCCGGTGCGAGATGCAGAGCAAGCGGAGCTTGTCGAGTGAGAGTTCAGCGGTCGGCCCGATGTTGGCGAGCTGGCTCAGCACATTGCGGGAAGGCATATGCCCGGCTTCTAGACTGCGTGACTGGACCCATTGGCCGAGCTTGGACACAACCCCCGTGTGTGGCTCCATGATCTTTTTGTGGTAGTCTGAAATGGTCCGGGAGGAAGCAATAATAACCGTTGGAGACACACCAGCCGTCGCTAGTGCAAAGTCAACGCTCTCGCCTGCCACGGAGTTCAGAGCAACGGATGCATTTGCGAAAAGAGCAGCCATTACTTGGCACAATGGATACGACCGAGAAAGGGAATCAATGCAGAGGACCAGGTCGTTGCTGGTGACCTTTTGGGGCCGTGGCAGCACAGAGCTTAGAGCGCTGATTCCGGCAACCAGGTTCTATCGCACAAGTCAGCACCTGTCCAGCTTTATGAATTGAACCCGTCAAAAAATGACACACCTTTGGCGAGTACTCAACAAAGTCACCGAGGGCGGCTCCCGAAGGCCAGACAGTGGTCACAGAGGGTGTCGGTGTGCTAGGGTCATAGGAAGGCACGTCTGATCCGTGGATATTCCGGTTCTCTTCCACGAGGTTGTGCCAAACATTTACTTCCAAACGATTCTTGAGCTCTTCCGGGACGTGACTCCAGTCCATGTGTCTACTGCCATACTTGGCGACCCAGAGCACATGGGCCAGCTGGTCGTTTCCTTTGGCAACTACTGATAAATCGAGCGAACCAGCTTCCGCGATCAAGGCATCGGCTTTTATCTTTTGCAGATGAGCGGACAGAATATCCGGCTGCATATTGTGAGGAACAATAACCGTCTTATATCCGTAGAAGGCACCAGCTACTCATGTATTCAGTAACCATCAAATAATGCAGGAAGACGACTCGACATACCGAATATCGCAGCAAGTAGCTCAATCGAGTCCGTCAGACATACTGCAACTGTTTCCACCTTGGCACCACTGAGGTGCTGACCGATCACATTGATCTCTTGAGTGATGTTGTCCAGGCTATGCTCTTCCACGTTCTTTCCCAGTACGGTGTAAATCTTTCCTTGTTTTCCGGTCGCCGAACCGTCTTCGTTTAGCACACCACGAACAGCAGTCTTCCAAATATCTCGTAGATCGCCATTTCTGCCACTAGTCCATTTGAGTGCCCCAGGGTCTCGGATGTTCAAACCAGCCTTCAATGGAAACCCGTACGGTGTCTCTAAACTCCGGTATACTGCTGACTCCCCTGGTTGCCGGACCGGCGACGTCGTAGCTTGGCGAGCGAGCAGGAACGGATGGGTATCCGGCTCATTGGAGAAGACAAGCGAGGAAATGGCCACAGCGACAAGAGCCCCAGCGATTAGAGTCGTGTAGATGTTCCAGTCCGCAAGGATATCCGAGACCAAGGCATCAAGCCTGGCAACCAGCGTCGGGTCCGTCGCCATTTTGGAAGCAGCAGTCAATCCACACCACAAAATAAGAGAAAGCAGAGCACCTAGATACAGGAAAATATCAAGAAACAATAGTAGGATAAGGTAGAAGAAGGAAGACAGCAACTAACAAGACTCAGCCCCAACGTCATCGCCAGGCTCCAGCTGGCGTATGTCGTAAGGCCCGCTTCACCGCCTTGCCGCCAAGGCCCCGGCTGTCTCTCGGGGTGATCGATGCTTGTTGTCCAGGCCATTGTCTGCAGGATCCAAGCTCCTTATCACAACAATCCCACCTACCCCCTCCCCAACAAGGTCTTTCTGTCAGGTTTCTTACCCACAGCCTTGTGGTTGTGCTTAGGGAGGCTCTATAGACTTGAAGAGGCTCTTGTTTGCACAAATGAGACTGTGACAAGAGTTTTAAAATCTCTTTGCAAGGTAAGTCAGGTAAGAAAAGATTTGTTTCTTCAAGGTGAGTGATTTCTATGTAGAGAGAACAGGAAAAGACACTCACTGTGGTCAGTTTTCGCATTGTTCCTTCTTTTTGTCCCTGTTTCAAACTTCAATGGCATCCCAGCCTGTGCCCTCGACCCCCAAACCCCCGTCTGCCGCGTCGGAAGATACACGGACTCCTGGAAAATGGCGGCACCCACGTCTCAATGAGATTGTTCAGAGACAGAATGCCGCGACGTTTGGTGACAACAATATTCGGAGGTTGTCGTGGAATGGAGCTGCGCTGGTCGCAACCTGGGTCTTTGGGCCGACGCTGAAGTCACAGTGAGAAAGAGCCCAGGCAGTAATAACCAGACTCCTCTGCTGATTCTTCTCCCTTTTAGGGCGTTACGGGTGCAATTGTGGTCCCAAATTCCCATGTACCCAGATCTTTCGGCTTTCCTCCTCCAGGTTTTCTTCATCGTGAACATCCTCGTGGCATTGTTCCCTCTCTTCCGGCCCAAGGACGATCTGTCCGATATTCCTCTGACACCTACGCAACGTTCACTTCTTGGGCTCGACCCGACAGCAACTACCCCCCTGACGCCTGGCACTACTTACGTCACTCCGCCTCGCTATCGGCTCTCTTCGTCTCGTGCAGCTAGCCCCGCGAGCCGAAGCGGATCGCCATTGTCGGCGAACGCGGGGTTTTCCGGGCGCAGGGTCTCAACAGGGGGCTCGTCTTTCTCCGCATCGACAAGTCCTCTTCTACACAAGGTGGCCTCCAACGGAAGCCGAGAAAGTGGGCGAAGACCGAGCTTTGGCTCCCCATCTCCACTGCGAAGTTCTTTCGGAGAGTCTACGATGGCGCCTGCAACGCCCACTCCGGCGGGCAGGAAGCGTGCAAGCTTGGGTCTGAGCAATAAATGGTTATACGAGAGGAGCCGTCGACTATCTGCCAGCAACGGTGTTTTGTAATCTTTCTTTGGGTCATTTCGGTCGAGCTTTGGCGTGTCCGGCGCAATTTTAGATTAATGTGATAAAAATGATATATGAATCTTCATTCGTTTCCCTTTTAATTTCTCTATTTCCTCTTTCTGTCCTTTTCAGACAAAGAAACTCTCTATCTTTTCTTATTGTACGCCGAATTTGTTTCTATAGGCTAGCCCCGTGGGGTTTCCGCCTACGTATCATCCCGCATTCACAGCACAGGCAGGAGCACAAACACACCTAGGTCCAGATCACAGTCTCACGACGGCCAGCTTCTTCCTACAAGCTAGTTTAATTCTCTAGGCTATTTCCTACCGGCCACTATACCCACAAGGGACCTTCTGTATGAAATTCATAGCCTGAGGCCGCCCGCGCGTTATTCTCACGATGGGGGCCTCGGAGTCCAAGCTCGTTTTCAAGCAGGGAATCTTCCGCCTCTCAGAGGAGAAGAACATTCCAGCAGACGATCAATACTGGACTAAGGTGTGTGCTTTTACCTCTTGAACTTCTCACAGACTTCCATCGGTCGCTTACCCAAATCCAAGTTCTGGGAGCTCCCAGAGTCGACAGAAGATGTCTTCAGCCTCTTCACCCCATCGGACATCAGGCGAACGAGAGACCACGCGCTGTCAAACCTGGAGACGCTGCTATCGTCGGTAATATCTCGTCTAACGGCACTACGAAACAATCCATCGTTCCCAGATCCTCAGCGTGCACCGGACAGAGATGCTCTGAATTGTATTCGCATCCTCACACGCATCCTCCCCTTCATTTACGAAGCTGAGCATCTGGAGGAGTGGGAGGAGAAATTTTTCTGGACTCGTCGCAGAAAGTCTGCTCATGAGGCCCAGGTCGCCAATGAGGTTCTTTTCGATGAAGCCCAGGATGATGAGCAGCCGATCCCGGTTAGAGAAAATGAACAGGAAGACCTAAAGCCCTGGGCAGAGGAACTGATCGACACCTTGCTGGATCTTCTTTTTTATACCGATTTCACCATCCCAAATCTACCGACAGTCAAGAGCAAGGTTTCCTATTCGATATGGCAGAGTGGTGTCGGGTGTAATACCGCAATGGGGTCGAGCAAGGAACTGGAGAACAACCGATGCGAGATCCTCCGATTGCTGTTAACTTTGACCGGAAAAGCTATGTATATGCCTTCAAGTAAGTTTTTTTTTGATGTTTTTTTTCGTTTCTATGCCGGAAGCTATCGTGGAGTAGTTGGCTAACCAAGTGTAGATACCTTACCGGTCCAAGGAGTCAAGGCTATCACGTACATGGTAACCTGCTCGGACAAGCAGGCTGTCTTGACTCTCTTGTGCTCGTTATTGAATACAGTATGTTGAGAGCAACACATCTATATGGGAGGAAGAACACTAACCAGTGGTAGGCAATCAAGTACAATCCTGCATCTTGGAGGGTTCCATACGACCATGTAGTTTGGAAGGATTCCAAGCAGATGTTGGTGATTTACTGTCTGCAACTTTTACTCGTCCTCTTGCTCTATCCCATACCGGAAGATGGGCGTGGGACACCCCCGAAGAATTACTATCGGCATTATTTTGGACGGCTTCATCGACCGCAAGATTTCCAATTCCTCGTTGACGGCATGACGAGGATTCTGAACCAGCCAGTAAGCTCTACCTTCTTGATTTACTCCTTCTGTCGTGCTCACATTCTTCTCCACTAGATGCAGGCCACCAATTCATACCTTCCTGGAAGCCAGAAATCTGTCAAGTGGGCGCCCGAAATGATAATGTTATTCTGGGAAGCCCTGCAGTGCAATAAACGATTCCGATCGTTCATTATCGACTCGAACCGCTCGCATGATTTTTTGATACTCTGTATTTTCTATGTTAAGGAGTACAGGAACGATTCGTCCAAGCAGGGCATGGTTAGGATGTGCGTATTCATTCTGCAAACCATGAGCATTGAGCCTGCTTTTGGTCAAAGCCTGAACAAGAAATTCGAGGCGCAAGAGACTCTGCCGCAGAATATTCGACTATCTGGTTTTAGAGGCTCCTATGCTGACTATCTCATCATGGTATAACTTGCTCTCTTCTTTTCCATGCGTGACGGTCACTAACATTGTCCAACTTGACAGTCGATCCACAATCTGATGACAACAAGCAAAGGGAAACTGGACACAGTTTATCCAGCTTTACTCGCGATCGTGAACAATATCGCACCGTATGTCGAGAATCTGTCGGCCAGCACGTGCTCGAAAATCATTCAGCTCTTTTCATCAATGTCTGCCCCTAGTTTCTTGCTGGCGAATGAGACCAACCACACCCTTCTAGCTTCTGTGCTCGACTTCATCAACACGGTTCTTGAGAATCAGTTCACGAGTATGTCACCCATTATGTTATTCTAGGCCAGAAAACCACTAACCCGCTTTCAGAAAACCCCTATCTTGTCTATGCTCTTCTCAAATACAGCAAACGGTTCGAGGATCTTCGCACATTTACGCTTGAAAGCGGCCAGCAGGAAATCCAACGGCAAAGTGAGAGGCGCAAGTCCGAAGGAGGTTCTAGCGATATGGTGGCGAGTCCCACCTTCTCCCACTCTGAAGAAGATCCGCACGCCTCGTCCGGGGCCCGCTCGCCGCTGAGTCGCATTCCCGAAGAAAACAACCCGTTTACGATCGGTGGAGACGATTCAGATGAAGAAGGGGATGGCCAGAACACCCCATCTCGGTCTTCGCCTTCGCTTGAAAACTCAAGGCGACCGTCCATGTCATCTGTGGATGAGTCTGTTCCGTTCCGGGGTATGTCGGAGAAGGCACGGGGAAAGATGCCCGCCGGCCAACCTGGGTTCTCGAGACAGAACAGTATGGCAAGCCAGAGCAGCATGTCTGCGATCTTCTCGACCACAGCCGGCAGCTTTACTCCGACAACGGCTTGGGTCAGTCATTCTCTTCTCTTTGTTGGTTTAGGTAGTATATTTACTAACCTCTTCACCAGCTGGAGTCCTGGTTGCCTGAGCTTCCGCTGCACACAATCTTGACCATGATATCTGCGATCTACCCTCATATCCCTGAAACGGCGTTGAAATCAACCGCCAACCCAGAAGCACGCACCCTGATAAGTAACCTCGCATCCTTTTCCGAGGAACCACATGTTCACAGTATCATTGCCGAACCTCCACCCGTGGAACCACGTGGGTTTGAATGGACAACGCTCTCTCTGGGCTGGTACGAGTCTCTTCTGTGGGGTTTCATCTTTTCCAGCGAGATGGTTGTCGGGTCCGTGTCCGGCGCAACCCCCGGAACAGTGGGAGTCTGGAACGGAACAAGCATCAAGCTATTCAAGGTTCAGGAAGCTGCAGCCCAAGGGCCAACGCTTCTTGCTCCCAAGGGCGCCGTCGACGCCGTCGGCAGCAACCTAGTCCAACGCATCGGGAACCTGAGTCTCCGTGGACGGACCACGAGTGGTCAAGATATCTCTTCTCCCGTCGCTTCTCAGGCACCCAACGTCCGTGAAGTCTAGTGAATTCTATTTTTATTCTTTTTTTTTTTCTTTTTTAATGTCTCTCTATTACGTTCTTGTACTGTTTCATGACTTTCATGATACCTCATGGCGTTGCAAGAATCCAAGTAGCGTTTGTTTCGACGGAGTCCGGTATTCTTACTATATAGTTACCTGTTAGTATCTCAATATTAACCTTTCGAAACTAAGCGTTTAAGATACCAAAATACCTTTTTTGTACTTCTTTTTTCTTCGTATTTCTTGTAAAGGTGGTTGAATGCAAGAGTCGAAATATGGCAGGAAGAACATTGTTGATCAGTGGCCGCACGTGCTACAGGGATGAGACTGAGTGAGCTCCACGACAATCCGATCGCCTCATCACATCAACAAGGGTAGTTGGCAGTACTGTCAGCAAGATCGGGCTTTCTATTTAATTCCATGGTCAATCGAGTTAGAAGCTCTATAATTCACCTCAAATTCCGATGGTTCCGCTCCTCTCGCTCCTCGCCGCGAGCTCCGCGCTGTGGCTGGCCTGCGCGAATCATGCTGATGGAGCACCCATCCCTTCGAGTCTGCAGAACATCCTAAAGAATACCCATGGAAGCAAGGAATACGAGTATCCGACAGATTTCACCAGGGGGATCATGCCTGTAAGTGTTTCCGAGGATTTCAAGCGCTAAGATTCGTGCAGTGTATACTAGAAGCGCAAGCTGACATGTCTAGATCCCTGTTCACTCGCACAAGTAAGAGTCGTCTTGAAGACAGACGGAGAGATATCTAATCAGCATCTAATGGCACAGTGATTACTGGCGAGATGTTCCTTTTTACACCGGTACGGTCTTTGCTAGAGTCTTGCGCTGGTAAAAGGGGCACCACTGACTATCAAATAGGCCTGTCGAGAGGCTGCATGTCTACCGAAGCCGACGTCTGGCTGTATAACGATACCCTCTACGTTTGTCTCTCTATATCTCTCTGAGCTGTTCATTCCGAGCTATTCTGATTCGTTTAAGGTGGGCCATGACCAGTCTTCTCTGACCGAAGAGCGAACGCTAGAGTCGCTGTACATTAATCCGATACTGGACGTCCTCAAGCGTCAAAATCCAAAAAGTGCTTTCGTAACCTCGCCAACTAAAAAGTACGTCGGTGGGATTTACTGCTACCAAGTCTCACGTTGATTCTGACCAGAGAACCATTGTTGTTAGTGGCGTATGGGACACTGCTCCAGAGAAAACCCTCTACTTCTTCATCGATGTAAAGACATCCGGAGAGGAAACCTTCCAGGCCGTCATCTCAGCCCTTGAGCCGCTGCGTGAACAAGGCTATCTCACCACCATAACGGACAACAAGACCATCACCAACGGCGCGGTCACCATCATCGGCACCGGCAACACCCCGTTGAAGATGGTCGGCCCCGTCGCAAACCGAGACTACTTCTACGATGCGCCTCTTGCCTCATTAGACGAACCGGAGTACGCCGACATCACCTCGTTGATCTCGCCCATCGCCTCGGCAGACTTCGAGGCCGTCGTGGGCACCGTGACCGCCGATACGGACCCGGTCTTGAGCGATCGGCAGCTCAACACGATCCGCGACCAGATCGCCGCTGCGAAGAGCAAAGGCATTGGAGCCCGCTACTGGGACACCCCTTACTACCCGGTCAGAAAGCGTGATGCGGTCTGGCGCACGTTGTTGCGCGAGGGCGTCGCCTTGCTAAACGCAGACGACCTGGATGCCGTAGCGGAAGTCTTCTAGATATGATCGTATATTATAAAGCTAGAACATTCAATATAAATTATATTGAAGTAGAAATTAATTTCTGCATTAATCTGTTTAACTGGTCCACCTTTCAATTTGTATGGAAGTCACATGACCTTTTAATTAAATCCGGCACGCGTCCAGCACGCGCCACTTTGGCGTTCTGCGACGTTTTCTAACAGTCTTGAGAAGGACAACAGCCCACACCCGCCGAATCCTCCCATCTCCATGTCCAAGTCCGAGCTGGGCGATGTGCTGGCCCGCGAGCTGCCCGCAGACGTGAAGCTCACTGTTCGCCATGTTTCGTCGACGCCCGCTCCGTGTGCGGCCCTCTTCGCGCCCGCCCCGGGGGACAGCGCGGAAGCGACGTTCTGCGCGAGCCACTTCTTGGCGGTGTCGATCGATCAGCAGTCTAGCGGCCAGGAGCTGATGGTGTTTGGGATGGAGGTGCTGGTCTACAGCAGTGCACACCTGACGACCGTGTTTGTCTCCAAGGCCGACTCGACAGGCTACCTGATGAGCCCTGGCCGACGGGCGACGACGGCGACGACGGCGACGACGGCGACGACGACAACGGCGCCCAAGGTTTCCGTGCTGCGGGTATTATCCAGCACGTTTCTCTCCTATCTGGTGCAGACGCATCAGCGGCCGGGCGTGCGGTTGGTGCTTTCGCTGTTTGCCCGCGCCCAGAACCAGTACCTTTTCCCTGGGAGTGTTGAGAATCCAGCGAAACATGTTTTGGACGACCGGGGGTTGATCCGATGGTGGTGCCGGGCGGTCGATCCGATCTTGCGCGAATATGAGCCGGAGTCGTCTGCGTCGGCAGATGAGAAAGAGTTGCTCGACCGGGTGATGGAGTCGGATAAGACGTCCGCCACGGCGTTCCTGATCGTGCCCGGGTGCGATAGGTTTGAGACGCGCGGGTTTTTCCCCGGCAGTGCGCGGTCGGACGACAAGGACCGGCCGAGATGGGTGAACGCATACCCTGTGCGACAACTGTGCAAGAACCCGGCCGCGCCGCCTCGGTGTCTGGTCCCTCGGTTTCCCGACGATCCGAAGACGCGGTTCCTGGTCGATTTGGATGATGAGCTGCCCGAGGAGAAGACGGAGACCGGTGATGCCCCTTCGTCGGCGGCCGGCCAATGGCGGAGTGTCAAGTCGTTAGATCAGTTCTGGGAGATGATGTCGTTTCGACAAGAGTGCTCTGCGGGGAGACTGGTTGGGTTTCTGTGGTTGGTTTTGAACCCGCCGGGCCTGATCAATTCGATTCCCATGTCAAGCTCGGCTCTGCCTGCTGCCAGCGAAGTCCCAGGCACGACCTCGGGGTTGGGATCGGTGGTGTCCGACGGAGCGACTCGGCAGACTTCCTCTACGGCGGCGATCGGCAGTGACACGACTGCGTTTTTCTGGCCACAGCCAGGCCGCGGACACGTTGTGCTTAGCGAAACCGACTACAAAGCAGCCATGGATCTGCTACTTTCCAAAGACTTTGAGACCGAGGAGCTCGCCGTCGCCAGCACCAAAGTATGGTCCGACAAGGTCGCCTCCCTTGCAGACGAACTCTGGGTCGGTCAACGCATCGTCGGTCAGAGAGAGGAGGCTACGGGGCAAGACGCAGCGATATCAAGCGAGCCAACAGCCCTCCTGAACACCGGTTTGGTTCGCAAACGCAAGAAGAGCGATGCGGCCGGTCAATCCAACGTAGACGACTCGACACCTGCACAGGAACCCGGGGACGTGAATGTGCTCAGCGCGAGCTTCATCCGGAAAAAGAAGAAGACTTGACCTGGCTTGGTGTTTGAAAAGGATACTTGGGGATGTCATTATGCATAGCTAGGGGCTTCGGCGTTGTCTTGCCATCACGGACTAGACGGGAATTATTGGAGAGCATCTATGGAGTTCTGGCAACGTCTTTCAGCGAGATATCAATATTATTACCATTTCCTATTCATTCTCGAGGGATTTTCTATATATAACCTGGCAAGACCACGGAACGCAGTCCCCATTCCATGGACACGACAATAGTATTTGTATACACCAACAAACCAAATAGTCAAAAGAAACGTGGCGTGTCGAGTCGAGTCGAGTCGAGTCGAGTCTTGACCCTGGCCAATAATAATAACAACGATAATGCGGTGAAGTTGACAGGTTGAAGCAAAAAAAGAAAAAAATACCGAAGCGAAATCCCAGAAATCTCGGCTCCGCTGAAAGAATCCACCTGGCAAAAGACATCCACGCCAACTGCCAACTGCCAACGCCGAGGATCCGCAGTATCCGGCGTCGGGGTTCTGTTATTAGGTCTTAATTTTGCCTGGTGTTTTGCTATTTGGTTAATTTATTCGATTATATTCTTTCTTTCCTTCCTTCCTCTCTGTCTGGCTGGTTTAGAATGTCATCGTGTCTTTGGGTCCGTCCAGTTTGCCCATGCTAGAGCCAACGCCGGTTTCGAACCCCCTGAATGGCGCTCCGTCCATGAACCATGGCGGTGTCTCCCTCCTGGACGTCCTAGGATGGGGTTGCCTGATCTGGTATACCTGTGTGGTCGCTGTCTGTGCGTTGGGATACTGTCAGATGTACATTTCTGCTGCTTGCTTCCTCCGCCAGTCGTTCAGTCAGTACTGGAGACGACGTGTGTGATCATATCATGGCTGATCAATTCGATTTATTGAGAATAGATGGAATCATTTCTCCCGGCGACCACACAAGTCGTATGCGGCCAGTGCCTCCGACGCGCCCCATGTCACCGTCATCCGCCCGGTCAAGGGCCTTGAGCCCTACCTCTACGAGTGCCTGGCGGCCACCTTCCGTCAGGATTACCCACGCGACAAGATGACGGTGTGTTTCTGCGTGGCGAGCAAGGATGATCCGGCCTACCCGGTGCTGCGACGTCTGGTGGACGATTTCCCGCACGCGGACGTGCGACTATACGTCGAGGAGGAGGACCCATTGCTGCAGGACGACAGCCCGTACACGCTTGGCCCGAACCCCAAGATCCGAAACATGAGTCGAGCGTACCGTGAAGCAAAGGGCGACGTTGTCTGGATCGTCGATTGCAACATTTGGGTGGGCCGGGGAGTGTGCGGGCGAATGGTCGACAAGTTGTGCGGATACGGACCAGCAGGCAACAAACCCCATAAGAAGTACAAGTTTGTACACCATCTGCCGATCGCGGTGGATGTGAATGGCCGGGTGACCCTACGAGACGAACAAGAGGCTCTGTTGGGAGGCCACGCCGCCGACAACGATTCCACCGATTGGTCAGGGGACCTGCTTGCGGCCGGGGGCGGGCGTCTTGAGGAGCTGTTTCTCTCGTCGTCGCATGCGAAGATGTACACGGCCATCAACACCGTGTTGATTGCTCCCTGCATTGTGGGCAAGTCCAACATGTTCCGTCGTTCGCACCTTGACCCTCTCACCGCGCCGGCTGCGTCAGACCCGTCGAACCACCCCCACGGCGTTCCACGCCATCCGGGCATCGACTACTTCTCCGACAACATCTGCGAGGACCATCTGATCGGCGACCTGCTATGGAAGAACCAGATCCGCGCGGAACAAGAGCAGGGCGAACGATGGGGCAAGCACGGCCTGGTGTTCGGCGACTTGGCCATCCAGCCCGTCGCGCAGATGAGCGTACACGCCTACTGGGCGCGCCGCGTGCGGTGGCAGCGGGTGCGCAAGTTCACCGTCTTTCTCGCCACGCTCGTCGAGCCGGGCACCGAGTCGCTTGTCTGCTCGCTGTACGGCGCGCTGGGTGTGACCACCTCGCTGGCCCGGTTCTTGCAAGGAAAGGGCATCGAATCCGCCGCCTATCTGTCCACCTGGCCCGCCTTTGTCGCCTTCTATTTCGCCAGTCTCCTGACCTGGATCTTTGTCGACTGGACCCTGTACCTCAAACTCCATTCTGCACAGACCGTCGAAGTCGACGAGAACACACCCTTCTTCGCGCGCCCGGTCTGCCGCTCTTCTCCTTGTTCAACCTCCTCCTCCTCCTCTTTCATGTCCCCGCCGACGGCTCGCCGGCCCTTTCTGCATTGGCTCGCAGCGTGGCTGGGTAGAGAAGGCCTTGCCCTCCCGGTCTGGGTCTGGGCCTTTTACGGCGGTGTCACAGTCGACTGGCGAGACCGTCGGTTTCGAGTCGGTCTGGACATGAAGGTCCGTGAAATCAACTCTTCACCATATGGATCTCGGAAAGTCAGATGCGATTGATTATCACCTCACTACTTGTACATATCTTCGGTTTAAACTTCGGTTTATCAAACTCTTGTCATAGATTTAGAAGAAATCCAAAATCGAATACTTTCTTTTTCTTTTCTTTCTATACGAATGGTAAGGGAGGTAAAAAATTAAGGCTCCGCCACGCCACTCTCCAAGCCTGCCCCCTTGTCACATCCCAACAGCCACTCCACAACCTCTTCGCCAGGCGAGAGCTTCCTCGGGGCTGCGTCTTGCTCGGCCTCCTCGCCAACGCTAACCTCCACCTCCACTTCCTGCTGGTCTTGCTGTTCTTCTGTCTCTGCTTCTGTCTCCGTCTCGGCAGCCCAAGCAGTCCGCTCCGCCAGGAAAACGGCATCGTGGCCTGCAGCGTTCTTGACGGAGAGGTCTGCACCGGCCTCCACAAGCGCCTTCACACAGGGTAAATGCGTGTTCAGCGCCGCCCAGTGCAGCGGCGTATTGCCCGAGTGGTTCTGGTGGTTCACCACCGCGAGAATCTGGGCTTGGTCCAGAATATTCCCGGATGTGAGTGTTGAGAGGAGGAATGACAGGATTTCTTACTCGTCAGTTGAAGCTTTACCTTAGGAAGAACTGCACTAGAGGCCATGCTTACCATGGTTTCCATTTGCAGCTGGAAAATGCAACAGACACGCCCCCGAACCGCCTTCACTCTCGGGCTCTGCGTCGATGGCCGAGGCGACAATGCTCGCGGGAGAACAGGCGTGCTGTGTCGCGAGGGCGTCGATGTCGGTCTTTAGCGCGGCGAAATCACCGGACCGTGCATCATAGATGAGGTCATCGATTGCCTCGAAGGAGAGAGATATCGTCGCCATTGTGTCTGGGGGTGTTAGCCTTGGGAAACTATATCATGAAGACATGTCGAGTGGAGGGGGAAAGAGGAAAAGGCAAGAAAATGCATTGCGCGCATGTGAAAAGACTTGTTTCATAGAAAAGAAAAATCAATAGTATCAAAGTACAGAGATCTTGGAATTTTTCTCTCTTTCGATTATCTTGAGGCCGTATCGGACCCCTCCCTCATGATATCCGATAAAAATTAAGAGCAGAAAAAAAAAAAGACAGGAGAGGGGATAGTCAGATTGAAGCTGCGCAGCACCTTGATAATACATAGAACAACAAGAATCATAGAACCCGACTCAATTATTTGACGAAACAGTATACTCACTCACCTTTTCAGATCAATAATAGCTTGCTGTTGCTGCGGGGATGCCATCTTCTTCACGGAGGAGGAAAATCTCGGATCACGTGCGCTGTGGGGGGCCATAGTACAACATAGAAGTTACTATGATACTAGGGAGTTAGCATAACCATAATAGTTGGGTGGTTATAGATTACTGCTGCCATCTATTGATATAATCCATAATACATGATAATAAGAGAAAACGCCCGGCCACCCATACTCCGCTAAAGGTATCTCGAGGGGGGGAAATAGAATAGTAGAAAGGCGAGGATATTCAACAGGTCAATCCCTCAACCAGGCGCGTCGTTTTTCCTCCTTCTTCTCCCTGCGCTTCTCTTTGAACTGCTTGACCTCCTTGCGCGTCAACTTTTTTGCGCTGCGCTCCGCCTTGAGACTGCGCCCGTCGTGGCTGTTCGCCGCCGCGTCCACGTCGAAGAAGGCCCGCATCTGCCGCCGCGCCTTGTTCTCGTCGTTGAAGTTCTCCGGCGCCAGCTCTGCCGCCTGCCAGCGTCCTGTAAACCGATTGAAGGCCCCCGTCGCCGCGTAAGCAGTCGCCGGCTCTGTTCCTTCCGCCACGCCTCCAGGCCCGGCCCCTTGCCCTCCTTCCTGCTCGTACCGGCGCGCATACGGCGCGGTGGGATCGTAGTCCCCGTGGATCGCCGGGTTATATCTTCCAACATCTGCTGCCGCGTCGGAGGGAGACTTGCGCTTCTCTGCCGTCTCCGGCTCGTCCTGACCAGCACCAACACCGGCAGCGGCAGCGGTAGCAGCAGCAGCATCCGGCACGCGAGGGTTTTCCCATTGTGACACGCTCGTAAACCGATTGTAGAAATAGTACGCTTGGGCAGCGGCATCCCAAACCGGTTCCCATCCATCGTCGGCCGTCTGGGCTTGACCTGGCGGTGCCTCGTCGGGGAGCGGCGGAGGGACTTCGTCGGGCAACGGGGGTGCAGGCGCAGACGTAGATGCGGCAGGAGCTTCTTCTTCTTCTTCTTCTTCCTCTTCCCACTCCTCTCTCGCTTCCCCTTCCTCTTCCTCTTCTTCTTCTTCTTCCTCCTCCTCCTCATCATTTGGCTGTGTAAATTTCGGCTCTCTATCTCGTGATGTCTCTTTCTTCAATGCGTCTTCATCGTCCCCTTCGTCGTCTGAGGCTGCCCTCTTCGGTGGTAACGAGGGAGGCACCGACGACACCCCATTTGCCTCTCTGTCTGAAGAGTGACTAGCGGACATCTTGAATTAGCGGAACGGAAATTCAGCAAGGGTAGAACCAGTCAAAGAAAAGGAATCTTATTTATTCTTTTCTTCGGTTCTCACGATGCCAGCCGGTTCAAAGCGCGAACCAGAGAGACTCTCCTTGAGCGCATTTCGTATTTATTATTGGAGCGCATCGGATATTTCGCCTGAGGCAGTCACGCTAGTCTACTTATGGGCTAGTGGTCACGCACCGATGAATGCCACCGCCTTCTCCACCGCCTACATCATGCATCGGCAGTTTTGGACCTGGCATTTTTCATACAACGATCTAATTTAATAAAATGATGGCAGCATTGAAGATACATGGGGAAGATTCAATTTAATACTACAGTCTGATTGCCTGTTCGAAATACTTGTTCAAAATACTTTTTTCAAGGCCAGCGAGAATCGCAGGAAGTGGAATTTTCAACGTGCATGCAGCAGGTGAGATCTCGATCGACGGTACTATTCAACAAATCGCATGGGTTTTGCCTGTTTTTCCCTGCAAGGAGTGCTTTTCGCCATGGTAATACGAATGCTTGTGCTTGCGTTGAGCTCTGGCGGAATTGGAGCCGTGGATATGAGACAGTCTATAAAGGATTAGTAGTAGTTCCAAGGAGACAGTAAAATGGAACGACGTACTGTTCAAACTTCTCCATGGTATTCTTATCCATATCTTTCAATGTCTTCAAAGCGGCCTTGATGTCTTCCAGTAACGTGTGGCAGCGGTTCATGGTGAAGTCCTCGCGCAGAACGACCCGCATCATCTTGAGATTATTACTATGCGGCGCCATGGTGTACGCCGGGACAACCCAGCCGCGTTCACGTAGAACATGAGCAAGGGTGAACTCATCATAGAAGCGAGATTCGTCGGGGGGAAAGCGGAAGGCGACCAGCGGCAGGCCACGGCCATGAGTGTCGCTCATGATAATAAAGCCCAGTTCTGTCAGCTTCTCGGACAGATAGTCGGCGATGCGGGTAATATTGGTCATGATGGCGCGATAGCCATGCTTTCCAAGGCGAATGAGTTGGTAATACTGGCCGATAACGTGAGAAGCGCCCTTGGAGAAGTTCAAAGTGAAGCTGGCCTGCTCGGCGCCCAGGTAGTTGATGTTGAAGATGAGGTCTTTGGGGAGGTACTCCGGGGAGCGCCAGAAGACCCATCCCACACCGGGGTAGACCAGGCCGTACTTGTGACCGGAAACGTTGATAGAAACGACATTCTCCAGTCGGAAATCCCACTCCAAGTCGGGATTGACGAAGGGAGCAACAAACCCGCCACTGGCCGCGTCGACATGGATCGGACAGGCAATCTTCTTGGACACAAGCAGGTCGTTGATGGCCTTGACGTCCTCGTACTCGCCCGTGTAGGTGGTTCCCAGGATTGCGCAGATGCCAATCGTATTCTCGTCGATCATCTCCACGGCCTCTTTAGGGTCGATTACGTACCGTTTTTCCGTGCAGAACACGTATCGTTCCTCAACGTCAAAGTACCGTGCGGCTTTCTCCCAGCAGACTTGGACTGCGCTGTTCATAATGATGTTGGGCTTTGAACAGTCCTTGCCCGCCGCTTTGCGCTTGTTGGCCCAGGTCCTCTTCATGGCAAGCATGGCCAGCATAATAGCCTCGGAGGACCCGACTGTTGACGTGCCCAGGGAATCTTCCGTCGCGGCGCTTGCAGTGGGTGCGTGGAACAGCCGGGCAATCATATTGACACAGCGGTTTTGGATCTGGGCGGTTTGGGGATATTCCTCATAGTCGATGAAGTTCTTGCTCAAGGATTCGGTCATGAGCTTCTGGGCTTCATCTTCCTATACCCGGTTAGATTTGAACTGGGTGCGTTTGTTAAATTCAATGGCCTCCTTACCATGTAGGTAGTAACGAAGCTTGCAAGACTAGTTTTTATCGGCGTTAACAATGTGATCAGTAATGCTATATTTCTCTCTGGCTCTCACTTTAGAAGCGGCTGTCCATCCAGGCTCAGCTCATCCTTGATCATTCGATACGCAATCTCAGGCGGCATCTCCTTCTCCGGCATCTCATGAGCTGGTAATTCTTCCGCGGCAAAACTGCTTCCATAGACGTTCATGGATAAGGTGTCCTCTCTGGACGGGCCGGGCTGCAACGGCTGCAGGGGCTGGATCTCAGCATCCTTATTCACTTTGGCGAGATGGACCATTTTGAAACGCAGTTATCAAAGAGGTAGTTTTGATTGCATCTGAGGCATGCTTGATGGAAAAGAGCTGCTTCTGCCGTCTTGTCTGAAGCTTCTCAGAGTTGAGTTGTGCCGGGAACGGACGGCTGGGGAGAGGATGACGTCGTCTATACCACAACCCCTCACAATCATATGTTATTTTTTGATCTCGCGTTGCATAGGAGTGTTATTGCTAGATTAATAGATGAGGCAAAGGAGAGACTTGGTTTATACTGTCCAGTGACTACTCTCTTGTCTTGTATCTGGGTGAGGTAATGACCTCAATGGCGTCTAGACTCCATCAGGGCCTTTTGAGCAGCCATTTAATATTTGCCTAGGATATCTCACTGGTGAATAGTGTCAGCAGCTAGTGACTGGAAAGATGGAAAATACTTGGATTAGGTACCTTGGTATTGGGCAATTCACCCCCATTTGATTCTCTATCACATTGTCGTGCTAGGGCTCAGGGAAAGGGCGACTATCTCCTGCCATCTTCGCCCTGAACCATCGTCGTCTCATTCTCTTGAATTATTATCCCAGCCGACTGTCTGTGAGGCTCGAAGGTCGAGGAAAGTGTCGTTCGATTCCATCCTTATATAAGATGTCGATTCGCTTTGATGATGTCGAAGAGACAACCTGCTTAATACCTTAGGCTTGGATTTGCTAGGACGGCCAAATCTCGATATTATCAAAGGAGATACTCTGTATTATCTCGATATCTCTCCGGTGGGCAGGCAGAGCTGCTATTCTTTTCGGCCTGTGATTTAAGCATCACGTGGAGACGCGTCAACGTCGCGTCGCGTCTTCCCCGCGTCGGAGGTTCGAGATATTTGCAACGCCTTGCTTCAACATGTCCAGCTCTTTCACTGTAGATGGAATAGAAGAGGCACTTCTCTTGCGTTCAGTGCTCCAGAACGCTGAACATTGAGAATCAAATCAGTTGTAACTATGAAGCAGGCCGAAAAACGTGCTGTGTTTCCGACAGCGGACTGTCTACAAGCAATTTCAGTTTCTGACGTAGATGAGTTTCAAGGTTTCATATGCTAATACTGAGTTATCGGAGCATGCAGATACCAGTCTCTTGAGAATTGATTCGGCCTGGTTGCGCGAAACCGAGGAACGATCAAGCGTCGAGCCTGAGGATGGGAGGTTATAGTACTTTGTTTCTATCATGCGTTATTGTAGTATAGGGATATATGTAATGCTTTTTCTTCTTTGTTTGCCTTTTTCTTAGATGTTTAATCTTAAAAGTTCTACAAAATACCATCACAGATATTAGTTAGTATAAGAGTACTTGATATAACTATAGGCCGGATCCAACCTAACATATATCTTATCCATCTTGTCTATTTCTACAGCTTTAGATGTGGGTAATGAATAAAATTATATGTATATATAAGTAGATTACAATACTATGATGTCAATAGGATATGGTATTATTATTTAGATATTGGTGTTATAGACTATTCTGTCTTGTCAAGATATAAGAAGTATATATAAACTGTTAGAATATATATAAAGTAATATCAAAGTCTAAGTATCAACAAAACTATCACCACTCAACACTAATACTAAAGATATTAAACATGAATCTCACTGGGAGAAATAGAGTCCTTAATTCCTATTACCAGGTAGTATCTACAGTGTCTTATAAATATGATATGGTGGTATATGCTAACCATGGCCCAACATCAATACTAACTACTTCATACTACAAAACAGACAGTATAATCTTACTAGAGCCTAAGAATATAAATTATTCAATGCATAAAATTATGGTATGTCTACACTCTGTACTTCGTTGATGGCGGTGTACACTGTACAGTCATATCGAGTCTATTGACGCTCTCAACACACAAGTCCAACATGCCCAACAGATAGCCAACATCTCACAGTCAACAGCAGATGCCCAACTATTCCATATCCCGATACTCCATACGCGAACTCCAGAACCCACTGCTACAGCTGCGATGACCCTTTGCAACGGCGTTGAGCGAGTGGAGCATTCAATAGCAAGCGCAAGGAATTCGAAGCAGCTCGAAGACAATGTAGTCTCCTGCCCGGTAGATCGATAGATCCCTGCAAACGAACAAGGCCGAAATTAACCTTAGACAAAGGAGGCGATCACTGGGGAATCCAGCATGCAAAGATTTACTAGTTGCCAGCACGAGGCAAGTCGCTGGGGAGGAGAGAAGGCAGGAGGATGCCCACAAGGATGAGTCAGCAGCTGCAACCACATGCCCTCCCTCGCCCACCGTCATTCCTCTCTGACCTCCACGGCAAAGAGTCGGCCAAGACGGCCAACACAGGCATCAAAACACTGTTTTCATGAATGCATGGGATATGTGGGCTCGCAGCAGGCTGGGCGGTGTGATTCTTCTTTCTCTCCTCCCCACCGGTAATGGCGGAGGAAGAGATGCAGCGTGGGCATGACTCGGACGCCCTTGCAGGCCGCCCTTGGGCCGACCGACAAGCACCGCGCCAGGGTAATCTCCGGATGGTGCTTGGCAGGTCTCGATGAGGTCGGTGGCAGAGGAAGCCAGCAAAAGGAAGGATGAGGGGGGAAGATGGGCGTGAGGAATGGACGCTGCCTCCCCAAGTAGTGGTAGGGAATGGGATAGATGGGCAGCAGCCGGCGACAGGAATGCAAGCAAAGGCACAGACATCGTGCCAGTATGGAGGAGGTCGGGATGGTAGATCCATACCAGAGGGTGAGATCTCTGAGCGCCCTGTGGTCACGGAGAAAGTGCCTTGCGTGCTGCATTCCAGGGTCCAGGGACAAGACACGCAGGAACAACAGCAACATTGAGGGAGAAGCGAGCTCACGGACCGCCGGAAAGACCTATATAAACGACCTGGAATCGGGCCTTCAATCGACTTTCTCTTCATCATCCAACACTCATTCACTTCTCTCACTTCCTTTCGGGGTTTCCAGTCTTCTTCCAAGCCTTTCGCTTCCAAACCACAAAACCGTTCAAAATATCTCTCCGAGTTCAAACTCTCGTTTAATACCAACCCCACAGTCACAATGCAGTTCTCTCTGACCGCCGTTGTTCTTGCTCTTGCCGCCACTGTGGCCGCCGCTCCCTCCAGCCCCATGGCCGGTGGTACTGGTGCCGGTAACGGTGTTGGCAACAAGGGTAACAGCGAGATCAAGTTCCCTGTCCCCGATGACATGACCGTCCAGCAGGCTCAGGCCAAGTGCGGTGATCAGGCTCAGCTGTCTTGCTGCAACAAGGCCACCTACGCTGGTGACACCACCACCGTCGACAGTGGCATTCTTAGCGGTGCTCTCAGCAACCTGATCGGCGCTGGCTCTGGTGCCGAGGGCCTTGGTCTCTTCGACCAGTGCTCTAAGCTGCCCATTGCCGGTAAGATCTTCCTCATCTTGAAGATATTGATTTCTCTGACAACTTTTCAGCAGTCATTGGTGTCCAGGACATTCTCAACCAGCAGTGCAAGCAGAACATTGCTTGCTGCCAGAACTCTCCTTCCGACGCTGTGAGTATTCATATCAAAAGATTTCTAAACGCTTCAACTAATCAACTTCTAGTCCGACGACCTGGTTGGCCTCGGCCTTCCTTGCATTGCCCTTGGCTCCATCCTCTAAACGTCTCGCCATTCAGTTGGGCTCGTCCATTCAGCATGTTGTCCGCCACCTCGGTCTTCAGACCGGATCTTCTGGTCTGTGGTGGCTTGGTCGGTGGTATATTGCGCCGTGCACGGGTTTGAGTCGTTTTCTGCATAGGGTTCCTCTCAGCATGCATATGGTGTCGAGTGTTTAGATAGGCACATGTACTGGTCACTGCGTGTATCTTTACTTGTGTCATGTGGTACTCGGAGAAAGAAGACTTGCTTTTGTTTTACACTTACCTTTCTGGCACTCGCCAACTCTTGTAGTTTGGCTTGTCCAGATCGCTTAATTCATAGACTTGCTCCTAAAACCTCAGTATTATGATCAACTGATCGTTTCCCCGTAAGCAGTAAATTTAATCTAATTCCTTTTCTCAATCATCAAATAGACATCCTCTTACCCTTCTATCAAGTAGCCTCCTGCAGATACGAAATAAGACTTCACAGCCTGTCAGTAGAAGCTTACTTTCCTAGCGATTCACTCTTTTCAATCGCCGGCCGGCCGTCCTCACTAAACACAGCAGGCTCTTTAAAACTATACCCTGAGTAGTTATAGCATACACCTCCACTCACAGGTTAAACAGTCCCTTGGATTTAATCTGAGCATATTTCATTCTTTATTACTATCTAGGGACCTAGGTTGAGATAAAAATTACAATATCAAATACTCCCGATAGATTCGTGCATAGCCTACAGCTTGCTCGAGATACCCTCAACCCACAATGACTCTGTCTTTTTCATCGACTCTAATGCTTCCTTCTCGATCCGTGTCAGGAGTTCTGCGCATGTAGGGATATCGTGTATCAATCCGATGACCTGGCCAGCGGTCCAGACCTAAACAATAGATACTTAGAATCTAGTTCATGGGAAAAGAGAAAAAAACTGGCAAAGAAAGAAAGAACTTACCCCAAAGTCCACGTCGCCGTTAAGGAAAACCTGCCGTCCACGTTTCCCGCTGACGAAAGGCGCAATCTCCGAGAACTCACCCGAAGTGCTCTCCTTTTCAACCTTGATGGCCTCGCGGGTGACCTGGTTAGCGAAGAGGCGGGTGGTGTTCTTCCACCGGCGCATGACGAGCGCGGTGTCGGTTTCCTGTGCGTTGACGATGGCTTCCTTGACTTTGAGATGGATGGGGGCTTCAATGGTGCACATGAAGCGCGTGCCCATGTTGATGCCCTCTGCTCCCAAGCTCAGGGCGGCGGCGAGCCCCTGGCCGTCCGCGAAACCTCCCGAGGCGATGAAGGGGATACCGCCGAGCTCCTGGCGTGCCCGGCTCAGCAGGATAAAGTTGGTGATGTCGTGTTCGCCGACGTGGCCCGCACATTCGAAGCCGTCGATCGACAGGAAATCCACGCCCAGCTTCACCGCGGATTTCGCGTGCCGGATCGTCGTGCATTTGTGCAGGATGGTCGTCCCCGCCTGCTTGAGTTGCGCGATCACAGGGCCAGGGTTGTTGCCTGCCGTCTCTACAATCTTCACGCCTTCTTCGATGATGACCTGTGCGTACGCTCCGTAGTCGGGGGGAACCAGCGCGGGCAGCAGAGTCAGGTTTACCCCGAACGGCTTCTTGGTCATGCTCCTGCATTTGCGGATCTCCTTTCTCAGGTCTTCGGGTGTGGGTTGTGTGAGGGCCGTAAGCTATAGATTCATTAACCACTTGACCAAAGTTTTATATCAACACCCATGCAATTTAAGAAAAAAAAGGGAGAGACACACGATGCCTAGCCCACCTGCATTGCTCACTGCCGCGGCCAGTTCAGAGTAACCGACCCATTGCATCCCACCTTGCACCACAGGAACTAGAAAATAATCAACCAAGTGCTCTCAAAACAGGGTAGATGGCTTATTTTTTCTCGTACTTGAGATCCCTAGCTTCCGGGTGAGAGCTGTGTTGAAAGGCATAGTTATTGCCGAGGAGTGAGATAAAGAGGCAGTGACGTCAACGGGATTTGCAGCACCAGGAACACAAGTCTAATTTTTGACACTTATTCGTTCAATCGACACGTATCTTAGTGAGGTCGTGTACTGACTCGTCGAGATATCTTGCTCGAGAAATGTGGTGTTGGAATGTTGCCTCTAAATAGTAAATACCATCCCCGTCCAGGTGACAGTAAGTTGCCGAGGTTGATGACCGGCTGTAACTAGTGAGAGGAGATCATCTATCAACAAGGGAACGCCACAAATTGGACGAGCTAAAGGCCATGGAACTTCAGGATTATTATCAGAATAGATCTTGCCAGGTCATAACGCAATTATACAGCGGATGGAGAGCGCTCTGTTGACAGGCGTGAAGAGAGAAGAGTCCAAGAGCCTGAGGCTGGAGCAGCAGCATGTGATCTGGGGACAGTCACTGTAGGACAATCTTCAGACGCTCAGTAATTACGTAGGAGATGCTACGAAGTACAAGAGTATTAAATAGCACCTAGACGCTGGGATATCAAATAGATCATATTGATTGATTTTGAAGATAAAACTCGGGAAGTCGAGTTCAATCTATCGAGACAAGAGGTTCCCATTGAGATTTTTCTACCAAGCAATCCACTGAAAGCAGGAACCGGTGTAGATCGAATCCCTGAATAGAATCTCTGATAGTCTACGGCGTACGGTATTCAAGCTTGATATCTTTCAAGTCATGTCGCCTTGATATGAAACCCATTTGTCTCATGGAAAGAAAAGAATGGGCGATTAACGACGGGCGTCCTTCTCAGGATCTCGCTGGGTGCCTCTGCAGTCGCGACAGAAAGCCGAAACTAGTGAGACAATGCTCGTCACGTCGGTGTCATCCCAGAAACACAGCAGAGCTGCCAACCGGTCGCCGACGTGGAGGAGAGACCCATGGAGAAGGAGAAGAGGAAAAGGAGGAGGAAGCTGGAAAACACACAAAAAGAAAAATCCAAGCTCGGCTGGTGGTCACGGGATCGGAAGATGGATCTTCCGTCTGTGGTAATGTCGCAGCTCTGATTGGCCCGTTTTGTCCGCGAAAGTCCCTGTCCACGTGACTTACCTCTTTCACGCCCGAGGTTGCCCGTCCCGTGATTCCGAAGCGTCGGGTTCTTTCTGGGAGAAAGAAGGACAGGACGAACTTCCAACAAGAGAACTCTCCCCTCTGCCACCGCCCCTAGTTTCGCGGACGTGCTTTGCTTTTGAAAGATGATTTCTCAGAAGGTCGCTCAGCAGTCGCTGCGGCGGTGTATATTTGCCCACTATCCCTCTGTGTTGCAGGTATGCTAACTAGGTTTCGATGGCAGTCGCCGTCCAGCAGCCGTATGCCATGCGCTGGGCGATGATGAACTCCGCCTCTCCCGTGGCTGTCGCGATGGGCAGAAACATGCAGATCAGGTCAGTCGCGTGCCAGAATCACCCAGCTGTCTTATACCTTCTCCCTCGGACCCCCGTCAATCGAATATCTACGTCATGTCGTGTTCAATTAAAGAATTGAATAATCCACGGAACACGCAATCATCCCGTGTGTATATACGACCATACTAACCAGTTGATAGACCGGCTACCTCCGCCGCCAACCTCGCCGATCCCACCAAGATCCTCCCCCAGCAGCGCCTTAACCGCCCCGTCGCCCCCCATCTGACCATCTACCGCCCCCAGGTCACCTGGGTCCTCTCCTCGCTGAACCGTATCACTGGCTTCGCTCTGTCCGGCTCTCTCTACCTCTTTGCCTCTGCCTACCTCGTTGCTCCCCTGTTCGGCTGGCACCTCGAGTCTGCCTCCCTGGCTGCCGCGTTCGGCGCCCTCCCGCTCATCGCCAAGGTGCTGATCAAGAGCACCGTCGCTCTGCCCTTCACCTTCCACAGCCTGAACGGTATCCGCCACTTGATGTGGGATCTCGGCCGGGGTCTTACCAACCAGCAGGTTATTAAGACCGGGTGGACTGTTGTCGGTTTGAGCGTTGTCAGCGCCCTGGCTATTGCGTTTATGTGATTTGGCTTTCTTTTTTTCATTCTTTTTTTTTTCTTTTTGTATACTTGATGCTTTTGCAGGGAACTGTCCTTCAAGTCTCCTTTTGGTTTCTGTTTCAAAACTGTTCATATAGGCTCCACAATGCTAGAATTCTTTCTTACTAATTCAAAGCGAAGCGTATTCTTCGTGAGGCATGGTGATGAGATTGTAATTTGATATCAAAGATTGTATTATCACATTATGTCTAGCTTATCGCCCCTCGATGTCTTCCTTTCAACAATTTCACTCTTCAAGCATCCAACGCAACAGTCTAAATATGGATCACAGGCAAATCGAAGTCGATGCAGTATTTTCAAGACAGTTCTATCTCTTTATAAGCCCGACTAGAAACAGAGTTGGATGTATTTATCAGGTCTATAATTGTCAGCTATGGTTGAATTTTTCCAGGAAGAAAGAGTGAGGTATTCACGCACGAAAGTACTGTCCCTGGTTCGCTATGCTGGGCTTGGAGGGGGGTTCGGAGGGCATGGTCTAGGTGAAGGGGGATCTTGTACAGAACTGGCAACGTCGCTAGCGGGGACATATCGGTTGCCATTCAGCGGATTGCACATCGAGCTGCAAAATGAGGGGTTGGAACTGGTGCTGGCCATGATTCTCGCAGGAAATCCAAAGAGCCAGGGCTGAGAACAGAAAGTATATGTAAATTGTCTTTATACAAGTCTTGTTTTCTGTCTTGGGAACTCAAAGAGTTGTTTGTGGAACTTCTGGTAGCCCGTGATAATGTCCCGGCAATTTCAGGGATGTATAGATTTGAGGTCTATCGAAGAGCAGACTTCCCCTCGTTCTTATACTTTCCTAAGAAGCAAGACGAACGACTCTCAAAGTAAACCCTGGCGGTGTTTTTGTGGAATGCGTATTGCTTTGCCCTTCTGCCTTCCTCCTCGGAGTCAGAGGTACACCGCCACGGCAAGAGGCCGTTGCCTCCCGTCCTTGATGACCTATTTCGACAGCTTCACGGCCATAGATCCGGCTGAAATCGGTACCTTGAGGGGAAGAGAGAGGAGGGCAGTTGCCCTGCAGGGTCCCGTTGAGGTGCGGAGAGGGAATGTGTGAGACCGTAACGTTTGCTCTCCGCATTTGGTCTCCCGTCGTATGCTCTGAATGGCGAATAACCATTCAATTCTGCAGCCCGGTCTGCGGGCAATCTTCGACACCACGGGAAGAAGAGTGATACTCGCCCCAGTCGTGCCGACCAACCGAGGTGGGTCGAAGTCACACAAACGAGCTGGACAACTCAATCTCCGGTTCCCTGCATGGAAGAGATCAAACTAGGCAAAGAATCCCATCCACACATCTCTTAGCTGGAGTGAGAGGTCGAAAACGAGTCTACGTTCGACTCGTGTGTGATATATTAGCATGTACATGTCTTTTCAAACCGACGTGAGAGACCTTTCCGATAGTCTTTCGTCGGGTAGCATTTGAGAAGTGATCGACTTGGGACAAAAGCTTCCATTGCCCGGGAATTTTGACGGTGCACCATGGCCAAATGCTTCTTTCAATTAGCCTGACAGATCCTCGCATTGAGCTTGCTCGACCCTGCACTGTGGCTGTGAGCAGAAAGTTCTCAATGGGGGAAATATAGCTGGCGAGAGCAAAGCCAGCGTCAACAGCCCCAATGGAATCACTTCTACCCTAGTATCTCAACACGTGGATATCTTCGCAGTCCACTGGAGTTGTACAGCAAGGGTACTCCCCTGGCTTTTAGTGTAATCGCCGACTTTAGATGAGGAAGGCGTGGCGGTTGACTGTCATCCTCGGAAGTCGTGCTAGCCAGCTTATTTTCAAGGATGTCAGCGGGTGTACTCAAACGATTCCCACAGATATCCTGTGTGCTGATCACTCTTAAAAATATATATATATTTTGCTGTTATCCACGTTGTCTTTGTACGCGAATTGCAGGACTAGGACTCTAATCTGTCGAGGTGTGTTCTTGCATCCACCTACCTTTTATTTGCCTCACACGACCTTGGCACAGAAGCTATCCGTTAGTGAGAAAGTTAAGCAGCTGGCTTAATTCCACCCTCATCTTGGCGTGTAGCCTGAGCAACGGCTCTAGTGCTAGTATAGAGAGCCCCTGAAGCAGCGAAGGTAGGAGCAATCAAACATGCCAAATATTCTAGAGCCGTGCTTCTTTGAGAAGATTGACAGCGTTGTCAAGCAATGAGACTAGGTAGCTGTGACATGAAAGGACTCAAGCTTCCGGTAATGCGGTGTAGCTTTCGACGTCTAGTCCGACTTCCTTATACAGTGAGGTGCTCAAGGAACGGTGGGAGTAGCATTGAACCTCATATGTAATGAACGGTCCTCGGAAGACGCCATACACCTTGGTGTCTAACCCATAGCCGTAGTCTGATGTAGCTTTCCTTGTCCTTCTCTATTGTCTGGAAAGACAAGCGTAGTGTGTTGACCGCTCCGATATGGTATTTGCAGAGGAGCAAGTATGCTGATGACAGTTTAAAAGAAGGCAAAGTAGCTCCATTCGCATCAAGGGAGTCCTGGATATCCATCAACGAATTGAGTCACATTTTTTCCCGGATGACGAGTGGTCAAGAAATAGGCAAGAAACAGGCAAGAAGTAGGAAATTGTGATGGTTCATCTGCGAGAGGCCGGGGAGTTGCCGTCCCAAATAGGACTAGCGCTGAATCTCCGAAATTCTTCCCTCGATCTTCCCTTTCGGCGGCCGCGACAAACTTCTGACGGCGATGATCATTACAGCAATTCACCATCATGGCTGCTAAACTATCTTCTCGTGTGTCCACGTCCGTGGCCTGCTCTTCCTGCCGTTTTCTCGCGGTGCCCAGCGCGATTACCCAACGGAGCTTCTCAACATCAACGAGACTGGCTTCGGAGGAGCCACCTACACGCAGCCCGGAGAGACAGCCTCCTCGATGGTCGCACACGCCCCCCACGGCAAAGGCTCCGTTTAGCTTGCACATTGGATCGAAGCGGCCTGACTTCTACGTCAACTCGGACCCGAAATTGCTCGACCAGTTCTATGTCCGGATGCTGGGCGAGGGCGGTCACAAGCTGCTGTCGGAGGAGACCAAATGGCTTGCGGTCACACACAAGAGCTTCGATCAGGGGCGAAGGGGGTTTAATGACCGTTTAGCGTATTTAGGTATGTGTGCTGGGCTCGACACCATGGCGTACGACTCCACGTGGTACCATCATACTGATACGTCCCGATGAACAACAGGGAAGCGCATTGTCCAGTTGCAAACCTCGCTTGCTCTGGTTCAGGACGGATCGACTGTTATCACTCAGAATGCAGCCGTGCCCGATACCTTTAACCGGACGCCTTTCACACACCCGGCATTAGACGGCTTGAATAACCTGGACGCTGATGCCAAGGCATACCAGACCAGCAAAGAGAAGCTTGCAGCGCTTGGAATGAAGTACGGACTGCAGAAGGTTATGAGATGGGCTCCGCGCAAGGTGAGAAACTTCCGTTGCCCTTGGCCTCCTACAAGATAACTTACATCCCTTCTCTGTAGCCTTACCAGCTTCAAGCCTCTGGAATCGACCTAGTCCTGGCGCACACCCTGTATTCTATTGTGGGTGCTATAGCTCTCGAGCAGGGCGGTCAAATGGCCAACAAAGTGGCACGGGAAAAGATACTGGCACCGCTGGGCGTGAGAATCGTTGCATAGAACAACGATACTGAACCTGAATGTCTGTCTTGAAGGAATCGGCCGTGGTGAGCATTTTTCCAGGCGTTCTTGCTGTGTTTCCCACTGTTTTTTTCTTGAATATGTACTACCTACCCATCTCTTTTTTGCGAGGACTCCTGGTTCGCCATTTATGTACATGTACTTTTATTCCTTCCGGCGAAGGTTCCTCAAGAGAAGTCTCTCCACCACCGATACAGCATGGCGACAACAGATAGAAAAGTGATTCCGTAGATACAGTCTACGATTGAAAATATATATTTAAATAAATAAGAGATCAGCAGGAACATTCTTATTATTATTATTAGATATGTACGGTTCCTCTGACACCGCCCGAGTAACAGTAAGCAAAATACACGGCCAGCTCTTATGGAACCCTCAGTTATGATTGTAGTCTCCGCACCTTCAGTATCGCAAGTAAGCAAAGAGAGAAATAGCCGGACGACCCGACAGAAAGTCGGATCGATGGCAAATACTGACTTGCACTGTCTATCGAGGGCGTGATTTCTGAATAAGAAAGAAAAAGAAGAAAGGAAAAAAATTGAGCAGAAGAAAATCCGCTTTTCTTTTCGGCGACGGATACGCGCTAGACCACCTTGGGACTCGCGGGGCAGCTAGCCCGTATGTGGGAAATAAGTGAGCCTCAGGCCAAAACGGGTGACCGCCCTCCACAGTCCGAGCCAGATATCGGCCCTGATCACGACGACAACGAGAAAGAGGGTGGGATTTCTGAGAGCGTTCTTTCTCTAGACCTTTTCTTCTTGTTATTAATTTTATTTTGTTTCATTTGATTCTGCTAGGCCACCGACAGGAATCGATAACTCCAGCTAGAATGCGGATGATCTGAATGAGAAGCAGCAACCCCCCGTTTCATACCACCTAGCCGACACATCCTCCCTGAATCTGCCGCGTCCACCGAGTCTGGCTTGTATCTCTCCATCATGGCATCGGCGATCTTCTTTCTCGATCTGAAGGGCAAGGTGTGTTGCGGGAACGATTGCGGGTGTCAATTGCGATCCTTACTTCCAAGAAGCGCAGCAGCAAGCATTATGCAGTCAAACTAACAGGTATTCCGCCAATAGACCCTGCTGGCACGCAACTACCGCGGAGACATTCCCATGTCCGCGGTAGAGAAATTCCCTATTCTGCTCAGCGAAGCCGAGGAAGAGAGCTCAGCAGTACCGCCATGCTTCTCTCACGAAGGGATCAATGTATGTCCTTTCGATGCGCTTGACCTCCCCCCCCCTCCTCTCCTCCCCCACCATCAACGAACACGGACTGAGAATGTCTAGTACCTCTACATCCGCCATAGCAACCTGTTCATCCTCGCATTGACGAAGCGAAACACAAATGCCACCGAAATCTTACTCTTCCTGCATAAGATCGTCGAGGTCTTCACGGAATACTTCAAGGTGCTGGAGGAGGAGAGTATCCGGGATAACTTTGTTATCATCTATGAATTGCTGGACGAAATGATGGACTTTGGATACCCGCAGACTACTGAAACCAAGATTCTGCAAGAGTAAGTGATGGATGGGCGGCATGTCAAGTTGAATTCTCCGAGATGCTTGATCCTAACAGTGCTAGATACATCACGCAAGAGTCACACAAGCTCGAAGTCCAGGCCCGACCCCCTATTGCAGTGACTAACTCAGTCTCATGGCGAAGTGAAGGGATCCGGTACCGCAAGAATGAAGTGTTCTTGGACGTCATCGAGTCGTTGAACCTGCTGGTTTCGGCGAATGGAAATGTGCTGCGATCCGAGATCCTTGGCGCCATCAAGATGAAGTGCTACCTCAGCGGGATGCCCGAGCTCCGGCTGGGCCTCAACGATAAGGTGATGTTTGAGACGACCGGTCGCGCGACCCGCGGCAAGGCGGTCGAGATGGAGGACGTCAAGTTCCACCAGTGCGTGCGGCTGTCGCGCTTCGAGAACGACCGAACAATCAGCTTCATCCCGCCAGACGGCGAGTTCGAGCTCATGAGCTACCGGCTGAACACGCAGGTCAAGCCGTTAATCTGGGTGGAATGTCTGGTTGAGTCGCACTCAGGGTCACGGATTGAATACATGCTCAAGGTATGATTATCCTATTTCTTGATACAGGATGGTACCAACCACCAAACGATCACTCCAGGCCAAAGCGCAATTTAAGCGCCGAAGTACGGCAAACAATGTGGAGATCTTGGTCCCTGTTCCTGAGGACGCCGACTCGCCTCGCTTCCGGACGAACATCGGCACCGTGCACTACGCGCCCGAGAAATCCGCCATCATCTGGAAGATCAAGCAATTCGGCGGCGGCAAGGAGTTCCTGATGCGCGCCGAGCTGGGCCTGCCCTCGGTCAAGGGCGACGACGAGCACGGCGGCGGTATGACCGGCGGGTTTGGCGGCAGCATGGGCGGGGCAGGCCATATGGGCAAGGCCAAGCGGCCTATCAATGTCAAGTTCGAGATCCCCTATTTCACCACCAGCGGCATCCAAGTGCGGTATCTGAAGATCACAGAACCAAAGGTGAGTCTGATCTCTTCTCTGTTTTCCTTGACGCTTGCAGCTAATCTTGCAGCTGCAATACCCTTCCCTCCCCTGGGTCCGCTACATCACACAGTCTGGCGATATCGCCGTGCGCATGCCAGATGTCCAATAAGCTATAAGCTACTGCAACGGCTTTGTAGGTTGGTTAGGTAAACTAGCCATGTTAGTAAATACATTATTCATTACTAGTAACTCCTATAAAATAGTCTACGGGATCAGTAACATATCTTACATGCAACCTACATCTATAACGCCGTTTAGTATAAGAGTCTATAGGTTAGAAGTAGCCTCCACTGCTGCTACTTTACTGTTCAAATAAGAAATAATTGGGTATCTAAAACGCATACAGAAAGCCATGTCAACGAGCGGAAACTCTTAAGCCTTATCTTCTAGGGGAAACCCTTCACCGGAGCCGGAGGCGGCAGCCTTGGCGAAGCCCTCGCGCGCGAGCATGGTGTTCAGGACGGCGCAGTTGTACGCGGCCTCGCCCGGGGGCAGGACGACAAAGATATAGGTATTATCCGTGAAGCGGCCGAGGAAGACATTGAACTGCGGGGTTTTGGTGTGCATGACGAGAAAGCTGGCGGAGGCCGGGGTTGTGTGCGTGTTGCGGGCGGCGCAGTGTTTAAAGGCCTTCATGATATTTGAGAGACGTTCGTGGCGGTCGTAGATGGGGTTGAAGAGGCCCGTTTCGGACGCGACGGAGGTAACGGTGAGGAAGGTGGAGCGCTCGAAGAGGATGACTTCCTCGGCGTCGATGCGTGCCGCAAACGCCGAGAGGAACCGCTCGATCACCGTCAGGTTCGGGATGAGCTTGTGCACGATCCCCGCCCACGCCTTGTACAGGCTTTGGTCCCAGATACTGCTGCCGAAGGTGTCGATGGAGAAATCCCCGGACCGGCTGCGGATCAGCGCAGACCGTTCCTCGTAGATCCGCTGTCGGTGTTCCGCCTGGATCAGGTCCAGCTTGTGTACCAGGCAGAACACGTATGCCGAGGGACTGAACTCGCGCAGCGCCTCGATGATCGCGCTGTACGTGTCTAGATCGCGCTCCACCTCGCGCGATTCAATGTCGAACACGTAGATCAGTACCGCCACGTCCGAGAAGATGTTGCCCCGCTGCGACGCCAGGTACGTTTCCATGAACGCATCTTGCCTAGAAACGATCAGTAAATGATCAGCCGGTATGCCAGAATGAAGAAAAAAGGGCCGTACCCCCCACAATCCCATAGGTTCAGAGTCAAATTCCCCATGAACTTCACATGGCTGTGCTCGACGTCAATCGTTGCCCCGAGCCGCCGCACGTCCTTGGCCACGTAGTTGCTGAAGATGATGGAGCGCATCGACGACTTCCCGGACCCGCTCTTGCCCATCAGCAGCACCTTTCTCTTTTTCTTGCGGCTGTCCATGTTTGGGGCGCCTTCGTGTGAAGCTTGGATGGACGTGGGAGTGGGAAAGGAGAAGCGTGCCTAGGGAGGTCGGGAGCCGGAGCTCGGGTTTAGTCACGTGCTCTATATACAGTGCTCATTGCTGAGTGCACTGAGTGCAGACGTCATAGAATAGCCAGAAAAAAAATATGTGCCTCATGCGTTTACAGATATCTTTGGTTTTAATTGCTTTAATTGAGTCAATTCTTAAAAAGGTAGAGCAGTCTAAAGGGCTCTAAGAGAAATCTTTTTGTAAGTGGCCGTTGGTCATCAATCCACTCAATGTCAATACAGAAATGATCGGTTAGATCAAAGGGTAGTAGAATGCATAAAGGAGGAGTCCTGAAGAGAAGAGAAGAGGAGAGGAGAAGAAGAGGAAAGGAAGAAAAGGAAACAAAGAGGAGGACAAGACAAGGATATAAGATAGAAGAGAGTAATAAAGGAAGGAAAAGGGAGAGGAAAGGAAGAAGAGAGAGAAGACGTGAATAGAGGGATAAAGGAGAAGAAGAAAATGGGAAGAGAAGACAAAAGAGAAGAAAGGGAAGAAAAAGAACAGAAGAAAGAAAAGAGTAGAGAAGAATAAGAATACCATGAGAATGAAGGGAGAGGTCATGGACTGAAAGAGAAGATACACGAAGTGAAGGGGGGGGGGAAAGGAAAAGGGAAGATGGTGAAGGAAAGGATAAAGTGTCATCAGATCATAAGAGCCACCCTTAGCTTAGAAGACGGTGCCGTCGGAGCAGATCATGATCGGGGGCTCCTTGGTATTAGGTCTCGAGACTTCGGCAATCTCACGGCCGCCCTGGTTCGATTAGTGGCGGATATTAAAAGGCAGAGAGATAGAAGCAGTCATACCTTCCATGTACCAGCCTCCAGCATCTGAGCGAGGGAGAGCTGGTCGGGGCCACACAGGCCAATCTGGGAGTTGACCTCGTCGAGCAGCTCGTCGAGGAGACCGACGGTGACGGCGCGCCATTCGACGATGACGTCGTCGTCGGCGGTGAACAAGGGGACGACCTCCATGCTGCGCTGGCCCTTGAGCTGGGCGTTCTCGTGGTAAGCCTGGATGCCGCGCTCCATGTCGTAGTCCTTGAGGGTGAGGAGGCCGCAGTCGATGAGCAGACCGCCGTTGCGGTACTCGGGGAGGCCTGTGAGCAGCTCGGCGCCGGCGAAATGGATGCTCAGCAGCTTCGACATCGGGGTCATGAGCGAGTAGCACAGCCATTGGGTTAGCTTGTGGAAGGGGACGATGCTCTCCCACGGCTGCGCGGGGGGGGACCGAGGCAGGTCGGAGCAGACCCAGGCGTCACCGATGGAGACACCATCGATCTGGGTACGCGAGGGAGGCCAGATGGAGGCGAAGCCCTCCATCAGCACGGACCACAGCGTCGTGACATGGATGATGGGGACCGAGGAGGCCAAGGTTGAGGGGTGCGACAGGAGGTAGTCTAATCATGAGTGATTGTGTACATGGAGAGAAAACAATGCAAAGGAAGGGGATGGGGAAAGAAGGATTACCTAGCATGTTTCCAGGCCGGGCGTCGACGCCAAACAGCTCCTGGTTGTTGAGAGCTTCGGACAGGCGGACGAGCAGGCCGGCGCGGCCCTCGATGCCAGCCAGCGGGTTCTGCTCGGAATGCTGCAGCCCCTTGGCGAGGACGTCGACGGTGATCTTCCTGAGACCGGCACCATCGACCTGGCAGGGCTCGGTGGGGTCGCTGCTGAAGAGACCGGTCTTGAACATTTCGATGGAGGCGACGGCCAGCCCCTCGCTGCGGGAGTAGAATTTGCCGGATTCCTTGGACTTATAGGACCACGAGTTCCCCGCACCGGCATCGAGCAGGACGGAGACGACAAACAGGTCGATGAGGCGACGGGTCCGTTCCAGGGCATCGATGGTGCTGGGCCACGACTGCAGCAGCTGGTTCACACGGGGGCGACCGCCGACGTCAAAGTGCTGCCAGCGGCCATGGGGGGGGATGGTATGATAATCGGGGGCGTAATCTCTCTATTTGTTGTTGTACTGTCAGACCACGCACACAAATGATAGTGTTCCTTCTTCTTCTTCTTCTTCTTCTTCTTCTTTCTCTTCATTTCTCTACCTTGATGATGGAGACGACGTAAGAAGCCGTGGCGACAAACTTGGACATGTCGACGTCAAAGTGGGCGAGCTGGTTGCGTTTCGCCCGGCGCAGGATGATGCGCGACCGTTCACGGACGGCGTGGATGCTGCGCAGATAGGCGGCGGGGTCGAGAGCCGGGTCTGGAGGTCTGGTCACTGGCAACTCTGGGATGGGAGCAGGCATGTTGCCGGGCTTGTAGCCGGGGGAGCGCAGCGAGGCATTGGAGGTGCGGGCGCTGTTGGCGGAGACGAAGGAGTCCTGCTCGTCCCGGTCGCTCTGGATGGAGTTTTTCGAGTCTTTGCGCTTGAAGAGACCCATGGTGAGTATATCTCTGGTATATACTCGGTATATACTGGTTGTATATACTCGGTCTGGCCTTGTAGACACGGATCGAGGGATGGATATGGCTGGGTATATGAGGGTGGGAGGGAAAGAATCAGGAGGTCTTTCGAGAGGGGGGGCGGGAGTTTTGCTGCAGGAGTAAGACTCTGAATGCTAACACTAATACGAATCCAATACTCTTCACGATTAATTCTCTAGTTCGAGTCTAGTTTAGTATTGAATTTAGTATTATGTAGTATTTACTTTTTTCGTACAGTAACTCACTCCTAAGTAATAACTATTGATTATTATGTGTTTATTTACTCGTCAGACTGTCCCCTCCCTACCGTTCCAGTGCTCTTCTAGACTCTGGGTAATTTTCAGCGGGGCGGACCCTCCATTACGGTAATATTAGTAATTGAGTTACCTGGTATACCTGGTAACCTTAGTACCTGGTAATTTAAATAGTGCCTGTACCTACTAGGTACTGTAGGTTAGGTACTTACCAGGTACCTAGGTAGGTACCTATTGTAGTACTGTATACTATTGTTTTGTATTCTTCTTAGCAAGAAAGCCCGATATGCTTCGATTCTGTTTCCATGGCCTCAGCTCAGGTCAGCACGGACTAGTTCTTCATTTACGGAGTACATACTATATTGTTCTTGGATATAACTAGATAACTATTATATAGACATTGATAGGTCACATAGTATGACCATGTAGTACCTATGTACAGAGTACAGAGTACAACAGAGTACTCCATACATAACTAGCTGCTAGGTATCTTAGGTAGACAACAGTACTACAGGAATATGTACCACTCTACCTTGAGGACTTAATACTTATGGAGTACACCTCCTGAGCACGTGCACTCGGCTATCTAATTCTACTGCAAGGGACACAGACGCCGTTGGCCAGACAAGTCTTTTGAATAGTATAGATTAATTAACTACCTAATAATCTATCACTCAGATTGAATTCTAGTGACTGCATTTAATCTTTATTTCTTAACACTTAATTACTTATTCCTACTCTGCATTTATTCCTAATTCTATTGTCTATTCCATCTCTTCTTCTCTATTCTATTCTTCTCTATTGTTTGTTCTATTGTGGTGGAACCATCGGACCGCTTCCCCGGCCCCTCAACAGTCCTGTTAGTCCGACTCGACGAATCAATCATTTATCTGGGACGAACCGTCGGTTAGACGATCCATAGTATTAGTGGTGACTAGTTACTAGTAGAAAGTAGTCAGGTACAAGGTCTAAGCAGGTACAGATAGCTATGTACTACATAGTAGTTATATGGTATACTACTCCGTACATATATTACTCCGTATCTTACTGAATAACCTCATTCAATACTTGGTACTCTCCTTCTGAGCCTCTCCACCACCCCCCCAATACCGCAACCCCATGGCCACAAGGAAGAACGGGCGTCCGCCGCGTGTGTACACATCCCCCTCCGCCCCGTAGTCTAGCAGCAGCTCCGCCGCCGTGGCGGGCAGCCGCCGGCGTACCGTTAGTGCCAATAGGTCGCCTGTGTTTTGGGCCCGCCCCGTGTTCCAGCAGCAGGCGGGCGAGGTCGTGCTTCTCCTTCCAGTGCGAGATGGCATGGTACAGACTGCGAGGATCGGGAATAGCCTCATCTCCCTCTTGTTCCTGTTGCTGCAGGAGTAAGCGGACGAGATCCCGTCGGCCCGCACGCACCGCGTAGTAAAGCGGCGTCTCCCCCGACCGGCCGCAGCAGTTGCCCGTCCTCGCGCCACACTCGAGCAGAAGAAACTCGACCACGTCGAACTGCCCGTACTGCGCGGCGTGGAACAGCGGCGATCGGGCCACCAGCACGTCCACATCTTGCTCCCCGAGCCACTAGAAGCCGCCCCGGTTCTGGAAACCCCCTCCCGGCCGCCGTGCACCAGGGGGGGGAGGGTCTTGCCCTGCCATCCTCTCGCCTCAATATCGGCCCCGTACTCCTGGAGCAGCACCTTCGCCACGTGTACGTGGCCGTGTTCCACCGCGGTCAGGAGAGGCGTCACGGTAAATCCTCCTGTGTTCAGCGCGTCCCCCCAGATGGACTCGCGGTGTTCGATGACCGCCTGTGTCTTCCCACAGTGCTCAATCAGCACATGAAGCACGTCGACATGCCCCTTGGCCGCCGCCACAACCGCCATCCCCCTCGCCTCTTCTTCTCGGCTGGAATATGCCCGACACTCCAGCAGGGTCTTCACCATCGACGCATCGCCTCTGCTGACCGCGATTTCCAATGGCGTCTCGACCCGTGAAATCGGTGCGTGTCCATGTAAACGGCCATCGAGAGGGAGTCAGAGACCGCCCCGCCGTGATGGATTTGCGAGCTGCGCCCTCGTGGCCGTGTAGAACGGCCCAGAACAGGGGCAGATCCCTCGTGTTGCTGCGCGTTGAAGCGGTCCCGATACGCGTCGAGCAGACGGAAGAGCCGCCGGTTGGTCTGGTGCAAGGCGTTGAGATCGGCTTCCGCTAGCTGCGCGGCGATGGCGTGGAGGAGTTCGTTAGGGAGGTCTAGAAGGGCATTGGTCATTCTCTTCAATTAACTATCAGTTAGTTAATTGAGTCCTGGTTAATTGATTAGTTGGTTAGTTCTCAATTCGAAGCTGTAGGAGCAGTTGGCTGGTTATGAGAAAGTTGACTGTTGTCAGACTAGACAGTCAGCTTAATACAAACACAGAATAAATTGCATTAGATATATTTATAATAATCAAGAATTAATTATGAGAACTCTTGAAGAGTAAAAAGTAAAATATAATACGCAGTAAATATATAATTGACCAGATATCTAGATACTATAACCCCAGATAGAGAATAGCTATAGATTCATTCATAATAATTAAATACTGCAGTAACTATCTCTCTATTAATTAACTACTACAGTAACTATCTCTCTATTGATTAATTACAATAACTATCTCTATATTTCTCTTGGAAGCTATAGCCAAGTCTACTCTCTCACTGTTCACTGTTCACTGTGTTCAGCCTCGTCGTCACGTGCAGTCCCGCGTATGAAACGACGACAGCTTCACACGCAGGCGCCTCGTTCGAATTATTGAGATCTCCATCAAGGCGCCGATCGACTCCCAACAGCCTGGCAGCCTCGCTGACCGTTCGTCCCTCCTCCATTCTCGCAGTCCGCTAGCCCGTGCACTGGGGGGTGACATGGCCAGTTGTCTTTCCCTCCTTCCGATCCTCGTCCTGATCCGTCCGCTGCAGCCCCTCCCCCTCTGACTCCCCGAAGCCTTTCGATCCGGACCAACAAGAGAAGCTACGTGGCCATGGATGATCTGAACGGCCTGAGCTGGTCTTCCACCAGTGCGACCGAGTCTCGCAAGCCGCCGCCGATGAATTCTGGCCTGCTCTTCCCGAACGTACGCCTCACGGCTGCCACCACCACACCAGGTAATACTAATCCCAACAACAACAAGAGCAACAACAGCACCTCAGGCCGATCCACCCCGATTTCCTACTCTTCAGGCCCTGCGTCAAACCCACCCTCGAAACCAGCGACCCCGGCCAGCGACAGCTTCGCCAATCTGGTCAATTTCGCCGGCTCAGCGGCCGCCACCAAGAACCTCTCGCTGCAGGAGCAGCAGAAGAGGCTACAGGAGGAGCAGCGGAGACAGGAGGCAGAGAAGCGGAGACAGCTGGATGCCCAGTTCGGAGCCCAGAACAGTCAGTTCTGGGACCAATTCGAGCAGAAGAAGACGCCCACCTCCCCTGCCCCTCCTCCCCCCCCTCCCCTATCCTCCCAGTCGCCCAACGACGATGACGACGACCTCCTTGCAGCCTTCAACGCCTCCGCCCCCGTGGATGCTTCGACAAACTTCCCTATTCCACGCGCTACCCCGTCTCCGCATAGGGAACAGCAACACAATGGATCGTCGTCGCTGCGTCAGGAGGTCGAGCTGTCGTTTCCGGACCAGGATGATGACCCGTTTGGTTTGAATCAACTGAAATCGAAACCAGCACCCTCGCAAACAGTGTCTCGCACTGCTCAGCAGGATGACGACATCGACTTCCTCGGCGATCTCAGCAAGCCAGTGTCGGAGTTCGCACGACGGGAGCAGCACTCCCCCGCGGAACGGGAGTCTCGGGGCACGGAAAACAGTCCGCCTCGACAACAGCCATCGAATGGGGTAGATCGTGCCATTGCTGAGCTGGTAGATATGGGGTTCCCTGCTGAAAAGGCACAACAGGCCCTGAAAACAACAGAGTCCGGCACGGATGTCCAGGCCGCCGTCGGCTGGCTGCTGACCCAGGCACATACAGAATCCCGACAGAAAACCAGAGAACGGACTACGGTAGATGAGCATTTTGGAAACGAGCGTCCGGAGCGCAGCAGGGAGCGCAGCCAGGTGAGAAACCGCAATTCACCGTCGTGGATGAGAGAGGAGGAGGCGGCTGCGCCAGGGAAGGACCCGAACCAGACGGCCGCCACGTTTGGAAACAATTTCTTGAAGACTGCCAATTCCCTGTGGAAACAAGGCAGCAAAAGGGTCCAGCAGGTTGTCAACGAACTCAGTGCCGAACATGACTCGAACCAGCCTCGGTGGATGAGAGACGCCTCAATGGCAACTCATGAGACACGACCACAGCCACCCCCGACGCGGGAATCTCGCACTACTCCCTCGATTCGCCAACAGCAAGAAACGCCAAGTGGATTCACGCATGAAGCTCTTCTTCTTGACTCAGGAGACGGCCGACCGCATCATCCTGCCCGTCCAAAGGCCGAATCTCGGCCATCACCGGACTCTCGTTCCCGGAACTTCTCACCTGCAGGGCCTGAGAGGCGTATGCAGTCACCTGCTTTTATGCAGCAACAACAACAGCAGCAGCAGCAGCAGCAGCAGCAGCAGCAACCACAACCTTTCAGAGACACGAGTGACCCTCGATCTCGCGTCTCGCGGAACGCTGTCGAAGAGCAATCGGCACAGGCATACGTGAGCCCTGCTCGGAGGAAAAAGGCCAGTCCTGCTGCGGCCATTGCTGCACCATCTAACCCCCAAGTGGATCTGTTCGAGTCGTCGGCTCCTCCACCAACGACGCGGTCACGGACTCCTGTGACGGCAGCCGCCGCCGCAGCAGCTCTTCCGACCCGCCCCAAGGCTAAAGCTCCGCCTCGGGTGATTCCTGATGTCTCTTCCTCCGCGCTGGCATCGACGCATCGACTCCGGGAAAAGGGCACGGAAGCATACAAGCGGGGCGACTACGCTGCGGCGCACGAGGCATTTTCAAATGCGCTGGGCATGCTCCCAGACCAACACCCGATCACGATCATCATCCGCAGCAACCGGGCCATGACGGCGCTGAAGATCGGTGAGCCCAAGACCGCCATCGACGACGCGGACACAATCCTCACCCTGATCGGGCCGGCCAAGGGCGAGGCCGAGAGCATCGAGCTCGGCTCCGGCGAGCCCAGCAAACCCATGCGTGACTTCTACGGCAAGGCGCTGATGCGTAAAGCCGAAGCTCTCGAACAGCTCGAGCGCTGGGCCGACGCAGCCAAGGCCTGGCGGCTCGCCGTCGAGGCCGGACACGGCGGCAGCACGAGCATCCAGGGACGCAACCGTTGCGAGAAAGCAGCGGGGATCGCACCAAGCCCAGCCCCAACTCCATCATCACGACCTGCACCACCGAAGAAACCTACACCAAAAAAGTCTGCCCTCGCCGATCTCAGCGGCGGATCATCCGCAAGCAACTTCGAAGCCGTCAACCGGCTGCGCGCCGCGAACGACGCCGCCGAGCGACTGGACGAGGAGAAATTCGCCCTGTCGGAGAGCGTCGACGCCCGGCTTGCTGCCTGGAAGGGAGGGAAACAGGACAATCTCCGTGCTCTGCTGGGGAGTCTGGACACGGTGCTCTGGGCCGAGGCCGGGTGGAAGAAGGTCAACATGTCGGAACTTATTTTACCGAATAAAGTCAAGATCCAGTACATGAAAGGCATCGCCAAGGTGCATCCTGACAAGGTAAATTTCCTTCCTCCTTTACTTTAATCGTTCAAGGTCGTTTTCTAAATGTATAGATCCCTACAACGGCTACTACGGAACAACGCATGATTGCCGGCGCGGTGTTTGGCACGCTGAACGAGGCGTGGGATAAGTTCAAGGCAGAGAATAATTTATAGAGGTAGTACATAGCTAGTACATAGATACATTATATTATTTACTTGAGTGCCAGTGGACTGCGTACACTATTCGTTTTTCCTTCTCTCCTCGTCCCGCTTCGCCTTCTCCTCGCGCTTCAGCTGCTTCTTGCTCTTCGCAGGGAAGGGTTTTGAATCAACGACACAGGACGAAGGCCACTTGGCGCGGCATTTCGCCTCGTCTGCTTCGCTCCATTCGCGTGGCAGCACGGCAAACACGAGGTAGGAGGTATGTGTTTTGAGATCGGCTTCGGTGCGGTGAACCACCCGCCCGAGATTATACACCGGGGTATTCTGTGTAGTAATAGTAGTAGTAGTGGTGGTGGTAGTATTAGCGGTGATGGTGGTGGTATTGACAGCGGGAGGTGTTTCTGTATCGATAGAATCATCCTTGTGATTCCTGAATCGACCGCCCCGGTCCGACGCGCGGAGCTTGCCAATTGCCTCGTCGACGGATTTGGGGAAGACGACGGCCCCGCGGACACCACGGGCGTCGAGACCGTAGCGCTCGCGACGGATCTCGAGACGGCGGTGCTGCACCTCGACCATCTCGATGGCCACCCAGCCCAGCTGGCGGAGAGTGCTGATGGTCTTCTGCGCCTGTTCCAGGCAGGGCGAGAATGTGCAGATGTACACCGGGGTGGACGGGTCCAGCGGCGAGACGGGATTCCCCCCCTCCACAGGGCGACGGGTCAAGTGTTTCAGCGCGAGCCACGGTGCCGGAAGGTCGAGGAAGATGGCATTGGCGTGAGGCGAGGCCCCGTCGAGCAGGAAGCCGTCGCCGTAGACGTCGCGGTGAGTCGCGTGCACGACACCCTGCAGGCCGTGCTGGACGAGCTCGTCACGCACCCGCTCCACCCGCTGCGCATGGAACTCGAAACTGCACACCTTGCCCAGGCGGCGTTTCTTGCTCGGCTGCTGCTGCTGCTGGTCTTCATCAAGAGATTCCTCCGACGAAGGGTATCCGTTGAACACGGCCCGCGCGGCCGCATGTGTGAAAGAGCCGCTACCCGCTCCGGCCTCCAGAATGGTACATCCCGGCCGCGCGCGCAGCCGGTGCAGAATATAGCTGTAGTCCGGCGTGTAGACCACCTGAGTACGGTGCGGCAACGACGCGGTCCACGACTCCGGGGTCGGATACAGGAGATGCAAGTAGCCACTGGCTGCCGCAACGGCGGCCTTGGGCGTCGGGCGAGCGTCATCCGTCACCGTCGGCGAGTCCTCTGCCTTGCGCTTCAACTGCGTCTGTGTTTGTGTCTCTGTCGGCGTGGATGTCTGGGTTTGCGTGGGGGGTCGGCGTCCGCGAGACCCGGTATCGACCTTGGAAGCAGCAATCTGCGACCCCCAGGGCTGGCCTAGTAACGTACTGTGTGGGAACGACCCAAACCGCGTGTTCGTCACCTTCCCTTCGTCGTAGCCCAGGTTCTTGTCATCGTGGATCTGTAGCACGGTCGGGATGGTCTGGTCTCTGCGCAGGTGCAGCAGCGCGACTTGATCTGCTTGTGACCGGGTGCCCGGCGTAAAAAATGGGGAGGGCATGGTCGATACCGATAATTCAGCCTAATCGCTCCGTGCTCAAGCACTCGGGTTGTCGAAGCTGTCAGGCTGTCAGGCTGTCAATCTCGGGCTGTTGCAGCTGCCAAAGAAAAGTTGGATCGACGCCCCGATAAGGGCTGTACTTAGGGCTTAGGGCTAGCCATACACGTGCCGCCGGGTCTAGCCAGAATGGGACGCCAAAACCACGTGAGCTCCCGTTCTGAGCCTGGCTGTTCCTGAGTCACCTGAGGCTGCCCCTCCTTCTGTCCCTCTTTGTGTTTCCGGCGAAGGCTGATCTTCTCCTTGATGCCCCTCACTCTCTCGCGGTCCTTCGCCACCCGTTCGCTGCGTCTCTCGAGCCCCCGGTTGTTGCATTCCTCGTTCAGATCCAGATCCATGGCCACTGCGCGCCAACAGCCGCCCTGGCGGGCGCCCGCCGTCTCTGCAGAGACCAGCGCGCAGCTGCCGCCGCTGAAGATCTTCAACTCGCTGACGCGCTCCAAGACGCCGTTTGTGCCCCTCGACCCGGCGGGCAAGAAGGTCACCTGGTATGCGTGCGGTCCGACTCCGTATGACGACTCGCATCTCGGCCATGCCCGCAACTATCTCACCACGGATATCATCCGTCGGATCATGCGCGATTACTTCAAGTTCAACGTCAACTTTGTTATGAACATCACGGATATTGACGACAAGGTGATTTGAGAGCGGCCGATCGTGGTGGCTTTTGAGAAGCGTTTGTTTTGTGGCTGACACTCGGCCCGTATATAGATCATTCTGCGAGCACGCCAGCAGCACCTGTTTGCCGAGTTCGTGGCGGCACACCCGACGATCGATGCGGAGGTTCTCGAAGTGGCCAAGGGCGCGTATACTGCGTATCTGAAGAAGAACCTGGGCTTGTTGGACTCGAGTTTGGCCCCTGCCCAGTTCCAAACTGAGGTCGAGAAGGTGTATGCGATTGTGTTCAACGGAGGACCGCTACCGGGGAACGAGAAGGCGGGAGACGATGAAGCGAAGGCGAAGATGCATATCAAGACGGTAGCCTCGGCGGCCAAGGTGATCGCACAGGCGGAGAGCGGCTCGGCCTTGCCCGCAGGCTTTTCCGAAACCTTCTACACCAGCGCCCAGGATCTGCTGCATCCGTATTTGGACTCTCTCAAGGGGTCATCCATTGATGCAGAGAACTACGCAATCTTCTCTAAGCTGACCAAGAAATGCGAAGAGAGCTTCATGCAAGATATGGACGACCTGAACATCCTGCGCCCCGATGAGCTGACCAGGGTGACCGAATTCTGCCCCGAGATTGTCGATTTCGTCGCCAAAATCGTCGAAAACAAGTTTGGATATGTTACCTCCGATGGGTCCGTCTACTTCGATATCGAGGCCTTCGAGGCCGCCGGCCACCCGTACGCACGTCTCGAACCCTGGAGTCGATCGGATAAGAAACTGGTGTCTGAAGGCGAGGGGGCATTGACTGCCAAGGTCACAGAGAAACGCTCACCGTCCGATTTTGCCCTCTGGAAGGCTTCGAAGCCTGGGGAGCCCAGATGGACGAGTGCCTGGGGTAAAGGTCGCCCCGGGTGGCACATCGAGTGCTCTGCAATGGCAAGTGCCAAGCTGGGCAAGCAGTTGGACATCCACTCGGGTGGAATCGATCTGGCCTTCCCGCATCACGACAACGAGCTGGCACAGAGCGAAGCGTACTGGGCGCAGCCTCACTCCCACGGTAGCCAGTGGGTCAACTATTTCTTGCACATCGGGCATCTGTCCATCCAAGGTTCGAAGATGTCGAAGAGTCTCAAGAACTTCACCACCATCCGGGAAGCTCTTGACCGCAAGGATTGGACTTCCCGTAGCCTTCGGATTATCTTTCTGCTCGGTGGTTGGAAGGAAGGGGTAGAGATCACGGAAGACCTGGTCAACGCTGGAAACGCGTGGGAGGATAAGGTGAATAACTTCTTCCTCAAGATGAAGGACCCGGCGGCCTTGCAAGGGCCCGGTGGATCGGATCGTTCTCTGGCTGGGGCTTTGGAAGCCGCCAAGACGACTGTCCATGAAAACTTGTGCGACTCCTTCAACACTCCTGGAGTCATGTACACCATCTCGGAGCTCATTACCAGCTACAACAGCGCCGACAAGTCTGCTGTAAATACCTCCGATGTGGAAGCAATTGCGCGATGGGTGACGCTGATGGTCAACACCTTCGGTCTCAACGGCTCGGCAACCGTCGACAGCACGGAGATCGGCTGGACCGGTATTGACGTGCCCGAGGAAGCGAAGCCATTCCTGTTACCTCTGTCCGCAATGCGGGACTCGTTGCGGCAAGCCGCGCGGGACAAGGCTGGCATCTCTGCCGATCAAATCAAGACGATCGTTGACAGTGGATCCGTTCCTGACCAGACGGTGACCGAGTCGGCCAAGCCCTATGCTACCGTTCTGTCGGATTTCCGAGTCAAGATTTCGGCGCTTGAGTCGTCTGATACTCTCAACAAGGAAGTTTTGGCGCTCTGCGACCAGCTCCGTGACGTAGATCTCTTCGACATCGGAATCTATCTCGAAGACCGCGACAACCTGCCGGCGCTGGTCCGTCCAGTGACGCGAGATCTGATCCAAGCGCGGGAAGAGAAGGCAGAGCGCGCGCGTCAGAAACAGATCGAGAAGGAGAACAAGGAGAAGGAAGCCCTGAAGAGGCTCGAGAAAGGAAAGCAGAGCCATCTGGAAATGTTCCGGACGAGCGAGTACAGCGCGTGGGACGCAGACGGCATCCCGACCAAGGATGCGGCAGGCGAGGAAATCACTAAAAGCCGGGCCAAGAAGCTGCGCAAGGACTGGGAGAGACAGAAGAAGGCCCACGAAGCCTGGCTGAACAGCCAGGCGGGGGCGAAATAGATACCACAGCATGATTCTACTTCCGGCTATACTCTTCTTCTTTTGCGGCGTTGATAAAAAAGCATACACCATCGGTCATTCAGTTAGATACTCCGGGCCATACCATGAGCCAGAAATAGCCATCATTCCACATCCCAGCTGAAAATCAAGCATTGATTCATAGTACTGTTAATAATGATAGTATTCCTTTGGCAACTCAGCATTGGTCGATCTGCAGCCCCCGGCAAAGCTGCCTAATAATTTGCCGTTGTCACTGATCCCTCACTTCCCCTCATGCCCCCTCTTCTCTCTCTCTCTCTCTCTCTCTCTCTCTCTTTTCTGTCCTCCATCTTCGCTTTTTCATCTCTTCCATCGTCGGGGATTTCTAGCCAATCCTTTCTTTCTTACAGCGTCGACATCATGGCCTCCACATCAGCGCTGGATACTCTTCGGACACGCACAGTTGTCGATTGCGATACAATGGATGTCGAGGGTAGTACCCAAGAGATCTGGTGGCTAGATTGTCACTAACAGGGCTAGTTGCGAAGAAATATGGTCCGTTCCAGGACTGTACATCTAATCAGGTACGTTTTCTTGTCATGATTCATCTGGTTCACGTCTGAGCTGGGTTGGTTCAACAGGCAATTGCGTTCTTCGAGCTCTCGAAACCTCAGAACGCGGAGCTGGTCAAGTCGTCAATGAAGGATGCAGAGGCTCTTCTTCCGAAATTTCCTGCAATCAGTCGAGAGAATCTGGCAATTGAAATCGCTGTATGGACCCTCCCTAGACGTCGATTACAGTCTTCATATCCTAACCCTCAAGATGGTGAAACTGGCTTTAGGGATAGCTCCCCTTATCAAGGGCTGCGTCCACATTCAGACAAACCCGTACGAGTCATACTCCACAGAAAGTACTGTGGTAAATGCGTTGAGTATGTCCAGAGTTACCCGGCTGGTAGTCACCTGCTCATTACTATAGGGATTGTTAAGCTCTTTCAACACCTGCAGCCTGGTTTCGATACCTCAAGAATCTGTATCAAGATTCCCAGCACCTGGGAAGGTCTAATGGCGTGTCGAACTCTAGAGCTCGCAGGCGTTCGCACCCTGGCCACCACCCTTTTCACTATGGAACAGGCGATACTAGCTGCAGAAGTTGGATGTACCTACATTGCTCCGTACGTGAACCAGCTAAAGGTGCATTTCGAGCCTGGGTAAGTCACATAGCCTGTAGTAAACATTTCCCTTTCAAAAACTAATAACATACTCTAGCTTTGTCGACCCAAACAAGCTCCTCCCCCTCTGTTTCGACATCCAGCATTACTACCGCAGGATTAAAGCAAAGACTCAGGTCCTCCCCGCGAGCTTAACCTCCACCGATGAGATCTTACAGCTAGCTGGGGTCGATCATATCACCATTGCCCCCGGTCTCCTGGAGCAACTGGCTGGATCGGCATCTACAAACAGTGTTCCATCGTTATTTGACGCATCTCCCGTTCTGCATGACTTCGAAACATCTTTCATAAATGACGAAAGTCGATACCGCCTCGCCGTCACTAGAGATCTGGATGGGGCTAGCGAAGGAAAGCTCACCCAGGTAGGTAGTTTGCACACATGGAATCGAAGGCCAAGCTAATCGCTGCAGGCGATTAATATCTTCTGTGATATGCAAGACAAGCTTATCGAGCTGATGAACACTGCTGCATAGTGATGGAATGAGAATTAGCAGACCTTTAGAACTTTCCACCTGAGACTTACCAAGCTTCAAATATCAGTCTAGACTTCTTTCTCTATATAAGAACCCTCTCTTCCAAGCTTGAAGTTTCCAAGGGTCCTTTTCTATTTAGTGCCAAAAGCGGCTAGCGTTCCCCGGATTTCCAAGGACAATCACGTGACTCACTGAATTCTTCTAACGTCATCCGGACATTTTCTTTGACGATTTTCTCGTTTCGAGTTATATCGGCATGATCGCGTGGAGATAAATTTTCTCCTGTGTGATTTCAATCAGATTGTCACTTGCTAAGATCCTCTGCGTCTGCAGCCTTCGACTGCGTACCTTGCATAACCAGGTACTACTGCAGTATACGCCATGTTCCCCCCGCAGGCGGGTAATCTCGACATCGAGGCCCTGAGCGGGATTTGCGGGTGAGTTATATTAGATCCTATTGAAACTTTCTAGAATGTTGCTAATGGGTAGGTCAATTTCCATCGCCTGCTGGGTTGTCGTCTTCTCGCCGCAGATCATCGAGAACTTCCGTCGCGGATCGGCAGATGGACTGTCTCTGCTTTTCCTAGTTGTCTGGCTGGCGGGCGATGTGTTTAACATCCTGGGCGCCGTGCTGCAAGGCGTGCTTCCCACGATGATTATTCTGGCTGTATACTATACCCTGGCTGATATCGTGTTGCTGGGTCAATGCTTCTACTATCGGGGATTCACTCTGCGTGATGAAGTCCCTACCCCCGTCAATGGGGCTGAAAGTCGCGGTGATGTTGGTGTTGAAGCCGGAGTTCAAGCCCCTCATGAGACCACCGGTGCAGCGCCCGTCTCCGAAATCACAGCCCTGCTGTCCACTCAACGCCGGCACTCTGCCACTTCGTTCCGGGATAGTATCCTCAACCCCTCCGTTGACGGGACGCATCTCTCCCCCGCCACCCCGTTTATTGATTCGCCGGCCACCAAAGCGGCACGTCCCTCGCGTGCGGTTTCTACCCTGCAGGCCGCGCTCTTCAATATCACTGCCATTTTGCTAGTTTGTGCCGCGGGCGTGCTGGGCTGGTACGTTAGCCCGTCAAACGCCAAGCACCACGGCAAGCGGACCGAACAGGCGAACACAAGTACTACGAAACATCCATCCTCTTCTTCTTCCCCAAGTCTAGACATGGACCCTCTCGGCCAAGTGTTTGGTTACCTTTGCGCAGTCCTGTATCTGGGATCCCGCCTTCCACAGCTCTTGCTCAATTTCCGTCGCAAATCCACCGAGGGCGTCTCCTTACTCTTTTTCCTGTTCGCCTGCATCGGCAACCTGACCTACGTGCTCTCCATTCTAGCCTACTCGCCGCCTTGTATCCAGGGGAAGAAACACTGCCAGCCAGGCGAAGCATCGACTCTCTACGCCCGGTACGTCCTGGTGAACCTATCGTGGCTGGTGGGGAGTCTGGGCACGTTCTTCCTTGATATGGCTATCTTTGTCCAATTTTTCCTGTACAGAGATAATGACCTTAGCGAAGTGAGCAGCGAAGACACAAGGGGATGAACAGCTTAACATTAGAAGATTATCATATACATTTTTTAGAAATTACGCTAGACACTACATACACGCATATATATCTATCTCTATCTACCAATCAAGTTTCATGTTCTTGCCAGATTCCTTACTCTCAATCCCCCACCGTTCCCTCCAACAAGTCATCTCCTCACGCCACAGATCCATCACACACGGATCACACGCACTCCCGCAACAGTCTCCTGGCGCAGGGCGTGGAGGAGGGTCGTCGTATTCCCGTCCTGCAGCGCGGAGGAGCTGTTTCGTTCGGATGCGGGTTAGACGTTTGGCGGATTTGATATGTGGAACCTCTTCGGGGGTGTAGATGGGTTGTCTTTGGGTTGTTGTTGTTGTTGTTGGGATAGTAGTTGATGGTGACGGTGTGTTGGTTATAGCCATATTGTGGAGAGAAGATAAGAGAGAGGGAGAAGAGAACCTTAGACCGGGAATAGCTGGAAATTGTACGGTGAGACCTGGATATATACAGTCCCGGATGAAGATATTCATATCGTGGGCGGCTCCGTGTTTTCCCGAGCAATACCCGCTGGATCAATAAAGTCGGGCTCCCACCAGGTAGAGCATACTACAAACGAAGCATGAATATATATATTGAGCAGCAATGTCATAGTCTTGGACAGCTAGGCAAATGAAAATACTGCGCTATTCATAGATGTGATACTGTATGCAATCCTGCTACTCGCTGGGGGGCCGGACATCAACCTTCCCCTTCTCTACCTCCGACCAGTTGGTGCTCAACGCAGTCCCCTGACTCTCGGTGAAGCTCTTGATCATCGCCCGGCGAGTGTCCGGATCGGCATTCGCGTATAACTTCTTGAAGAACGAGTCCACGGGGTCGGCACCGCCAGCGTCCGAGTCGACAGAGTCTGCCCCGTCGGACTCGTTCCCGGCTTCGTCGCTGCCGCGGGGTTTGGTAGCATTTTTGTTCTTCGTTTTGGATGACTTCTTCTTCCCCGTCAGCGTTGATGCAAGCTTATCCCAATCCTTGGCCCCATGACGAGACGACGTAGGGTAAACAGGCGCAGCAGCAGCAGCAGCAGGCGCCTTGGCCGATGGTGCAGCATCCTGCGCTGATTGCAGACTAGAGAGTTTCGGAGCCGTGGCAGAAGCTTCCAAAGCAGACCATTTCTGGCCCGGGGTCTTTTTGCGCAGAGAAATTTCAATCTTCGTGGACATCACAGTAACCTTGGAGGCAGAGGTATCTATCGGTGCGAACAAGGGGTCAAGGTTGAAAGCATATTCTGCACCGGTTGAGAGAGGGAATTGCAGAGAAATCTTGAACCTTATTAGCATTTTTTCCTGAAGATGGAAGAGGAACAAGTAGGTTACAAGGCGCAGGTACTCACTGAATCATCTTTCAGATCGACATCCACGCTTTCCTTTGGCACCCCCTTCGCGTATAGAGTCACGACAACCGAATCATGAGATTGGTAGAATTCATGCCGCACATTGCTTTGAGCGGGAGCACTCGACATTTTTGCGGCTGGTGATGCTGAAGGCACGGGGGCTTTGTAGTCATCAGTAGCACCGTCGTCCCTCTTCTCCCGACTACCAGTGGAGCCTTGCGTCCCGCTGTTTGCACTCTCTTCGACGCCCTTTTTCCCCGAGTCCAAAGCCTCCAACTCCTTCTTCAGATCCTTCTCTGTAGGAATCCGGATATCACTGGGATACTCCGCCACCGTGACGGTAGCCTTCTCGTCCCCTTCTTCAAGCTTGCTCAGCTTCCCCTTCGTCTTGAGAATCCAAATTGGGAGTTCTTGTTCATAGCCGTTTTTCGGGGTGCGTCCACCCGCACCTGCGTTTGCCATGGCACTCTGCACACTTGCAGATCGATCCTGGGGTTCCTGATCCCCGCCCGTTTTATCCTGGATGGTCTTGAACACGAATGCCGCATCTCCGTATCGTTCGAGCTGGAAAAGTGCCACACCACGCCTCATCTGCGCCGATAGAATAAGTTCTCGTTTGCCGCGTTCCCGGGCGAGAGCCAGTGCGATTTCGGCATCCCGAAGCGCAGCGGGGGAATCGGGTCCGCCGTCGGCGGACTTGAGACGGGAATGCGCAGTCGCTCTCTTGATATAGTAGGATGGGGCACGAGGAAGCTCGATGAGAGCCTGAGTGAAGAATCGGATGGCGCTAGGAATGTCGGAGTTGGCCAGGGCCTTCTCACCCTGCGATGCGGAGTTCATGGTGAGGGGTAGTAGAATCGAACTCGGTAGTATAACTTTCAATTTAGAATTAGCAGGCTGAAAATAGCAGAATCGGTGGTTTTTCAACCCTATAACTCGAGAATGGAGTGATATATATATGTAGAGAGAGCTAAATAGGTGAATTGTCCATGCAGCGTGGAACGGTATAATATTTGTAGAATGATTCTATTGCTTTCTGAAGCTTTGCGGAGAAGCTCTTCAAGCTGCCACGTGATTATCAATAAATGTAGACTATTAAATATGAATCACCACAAATGATGTCTGGGGAGAAGGAGAGACTCTAAATTTTTCTTAATGCTATTGATATGATTATGATTATTATTATTATACAATGTAAGAGGAGGAATATCAAAAGTCGCCCACCGAGGTACTGTCTAGAAGAGATCCTCGTTGCCGAATTTCCTGGCGTAGAGACCCAGTGCTCGAATGGGCCAGTAGAACTTGTAGTTAGGGTACGAAATCATGCTAGGCGGGCTGGTTAGCATTTTGCTTGTTATGACAATGAAAGAACCATAGACGTACCAAGACTGGTTGAAGACTCCCTCGATAGCCTCCTGAAGCCACTCGCCATTCGGCTGCTGGCGCGACATCAACAGCTTCATACCTTTGCGAAGAGGCTCTTTGTGGGGGTATCCAGCCTCCATGAGTGCCAGGCATGCCCAGGCCGTGTGGACCACCTGTGACTTTTCATGGTGGGTGTAGATGTGGGTTTCGCTGCTGAGGTACGACTCTCCCCAACCGCCGTCCTCCATCTGCTTTGATAGGAGGAAGTCGCAGCCCCGACGGGAGTTATCGCTTGTTTCGTATGTCTCGCCGACGCTGGCGAGACTCTCCAGGGTGAACATGGCAGCATAGGTGAAGCAGATCCCCCACGAGCCATACCAGCTTCCATCGGGACGTTGAATCCGCTTCATGAACTGCACAGCTTTCTCCTTGGCAACCTTGATCTCATCGGCGCGATAATCGGGGTAGAATTTACTAAAAAGCGAAAGCGCAGTGATTGAGGCAGTTGTGCATTCGGGGTGATCGTAACTGATCATGATACCGCCAAAGACTTCGGCAGCGTTCAGCCATTCAAGCATCTTTGAACCGCGAGTGATTTCATACTCGCTGTATCCACCAGACGGATTCTGCATGAGTAACAGACAGTCCACACTATCCTTCAGACGCTCATCCGAGATCAGTTTAGGAAACTTGTATATTTCTTGAAGTTGAATGGTTGATCGCAAACCCTCTGCTGTGCAGTCGCTGACGGTATATCCCTGGTCCTTGTTGCTGAAAGGCCAGGCTCCCTTTCGGTGCTGACGATAGCATTTTTCTTGGTCAGGGACGTTTTCTCGCAGCTGATGATCTTCTAGAAACTCCAGAGCCTTGGTGAGCATGGGACGCCATTTCGGATCGTCTGCAAACCCTGCCACAACAATGGATTGTGTGATGAATGCCGTATCCCAAACCTGGACGCCGTTTGTTCCATTTACGAGCATGCCTTCGTCTTTCATCCACATGTAGTCATGGAGTCTCTCCCGATGACGACGGACTGAATAGCTATCTGGACCATCATGAAGATAGCAAGCCACCATGTTCATTGGATTGCTTACGGGCGCCAGCCCCGAGTAATCCGTGTTCTCGTCTTCCATGCGGATCAACTCCCACGCCCACTCTTCCGCTCGCTTGACGATGGAAGGGAGTCGAAGGTAGGGATTCCAAACATTGACCAACACACTGTTAAGAGAGTTAAGCAGCCATGTCTTGGGGTAGTAGTTATCCGCTTCGTGTATGGAGTTCCGGTGCGCAGCAAAATTAATCGAGTCGTATGGCTGTACGTACAGCTCCTGTCGAAGCTGTCTGGTGAGAGGGGTCAAAGGATGGGTGAACTTCTTCGACCATAGATAAGACATCGGTAGATAGACTTGGCGGATATGAATCCACCAGCGCCATGGAGCAAATGGCACCCAGTCCGGGAGAAGCCTGGACGCGTTAGCAACAGAACAACGCGATATCTATCCCCACAACAGGCATACCAAAGCTCTGGGGGAACGGGGTTCACGCAGTCCCATTCCATCACACCCAGAACACTGAGCCAGAATTTGGCCCAGTGAGGGCCGTAGATGGCACCACCGAATTTGTGCAAAAGACCCCGGGCCTTGATCATGCGTGGATCGTCTTCACCAGCCCCAACTAGGCGCAAGGTCACATAGTTCAACGTCGTACCGAAGACAGAGCTATGGCCTTCGATATGAAGGCCCCAGCCGCCATCGTCTGGGTTCTGACGCGCGAAGAGGTACCGAATAATCTCGGTGGCATACTCTGGCGGGATCGGGGTATTAGTCACGTAGTATGTGATGATAATCCCCGGAAGAAGAAACATGGGCCCGCCATATTCACATCCCCAGTTTCCTGGCGGGAGCTGCAGTTTAGAGAAGAACTCCAGGCCATTCGCTGCGCCTTGTAGGGGAGACTTGGCAGCTGGCAATTCCGGGAGTTCCTGAGATACGGTTCAGCAGCCATCTTTATAAAGCATGGTAACAAGCAACATACCGTAGGGAGACCAAGAAAATACTTGTCAGCTACCGATTGTGGCCACTTCGCTAATTCCTCGTCAGACTCGAGATAATGCCAGGTTTGGCGACCGCGGTCATCGAGCAATCGCCACCTCAGAGGATCTGTTTTCGCATCGCCATTGGCGTCTTTCGTCAGGTGGCCATTGGCAGCAGTCCTCCAGGGTCCGATTTGCTCGTTAGACATGGTGTCTTTGGTATATTCTCCAAGCTTAAAGGTTGGTTGGTGGTTGAGGAAGGAATGATTATCTTGTAGCCTGGGGATGTTTAGATGCTTAGTCATCAGTGGTCTGACAACATCATAACTATGTGATGCTTGAAGTATAAGACTTCAAGCCAAAATTTTTATCAATCATGATAATATGATAGCTACTAGAAATATCAATAAGAGGGATTTTAAATGCTGATTCCCATTATAGAGATGGCCTTGTATAGTATTTGCTCTTAATTTATATTTAAAATATAGTAAACTCACATGAGCTCACCAATCTAGTTAGACCCATGACCACTAGAAGGGAAGTCGTCGATTCAGACACAAAACTTCTATTTTCTGTTTAATTTCATCATCCAGCTCGCCTCTGGTAGAAGGCAGAAATGGAGGTCTCGGACAGAGAGAAGCTTCCTTCTGGCTTTTCCATGCCTCCTCCCCCCGGTTCTCTCGAACAAACCCCCAAAGAACGAGTCCTGGAATATATCGAGACCGTTTTCTCAAATATCACGGAGGAGATTGTTCTTCCAGATGGTAAACCAACAATCACATTAAAGAGGCGAGCGAAGAAACCTGCCCACCTGTTCATCGATCCGGTCAATGGAGCTCTGGAGAGCAACGAAGCTGTGACATATATGACATACTCATGGCCGGGAAAGAGTGTCCACGAAGCGTGGAAATTTAGTACGTTTGAGACGTATGCAATACCTTAAATGGCAAGCCATTTATTTGGCTGACTCCGTTTCATATAGCTGTCATGGCCAAGGTTCTGAGCATTATTTCAGAGGCACTTCGAGACGGACTGGCAATCTCGAAGAGGTGAGCTTGGTTGACTTTCAAAAGGCTGACTAACTAACGCATATAGAGACATATACTATAGTGACCCTGCCTGTTTCGGCTCACAGAGAGTAGTGGATGTGGCAGTCGATGACATTGCGAATACAATCGGGGTTGATAGACTGGCACTGAACGTGGTAAGAACAGTCACAATCGAGGCTTGTTTCGAGATGATCCAGCTAATTTTGATTTTCTGTCAGGAAGCAGCAGCAAAAGGACTCACGGCAGGGTGTTATCGTATCAGAACCAAGTTCAATAGGGAGATAAATCCCTGGCTATCAATGGAAGTATGTTGCAGGTGTAGCGCCATCCACGAGTCAATGCAAATGATGACAGGTTATGTAGGACACACTTGTTCCCAGAATGGATGATATTGATGAGGTTGATATCACGGATATCAAATGGGTGTTGATACTGGAAAAGGAAGTGAGTGGTGTAGCAAGTCTGAGCATATAGCATCCATTCTGACGAATATGCCCACCCGAGGCTGTCTTTCGGAGACTTGCAAGCAGCGGATATCAAATTACAGCAACCATGGGCAAAGGCATTCTCGTTACTGTGAGTAAAATGCAATAGAAGGGAAAAAACACTCTGAATAGGAAAAGCCAAGCCAAGCTCACTGACTACTCCAGGCGAAAGGATACCCGGACCTGCTTACCCGAACTTTCGTTCGACGGCTTTCAGAAACCAAGTCTTTCACGCAGTCGGTGCCGAAAATCTACACTCTGGTCGATTGTGACCCAGACGGAATAGCCATCATGGCGACTTACAAATATGGCTCGGCGGCACACACCCGTGAGAACTCAAGGCTGAATGTTCCCAGCCTCCAGTGGCTAGGGCTTCGCACCTCAGACCTCGTCGAGGGAGCGGACGAAAGGGGAGACGAAGCCCTTCTTCGATTGACATCGCGCGACAGGAGGAAGGCACTGGCAATGCTGAAGAACAATCCGGTGTGGGCAGCCGATGGCCCCGAGCCGGAATGGCGCACAGAGCTGCAGCAGATGCTGATGCTTAATCTAAAGGCCGAGATAGAGATCCTCTATGGAAGGGATGGAGGGTTGGAAGAGTGGATTGATCTGCAAATGCGAAATGACACACTGAAAGGAGGCTCTTGAAGACGGAAAGGATGTTACCTTGCCCAGTGAAGTGGCCAGTTATGGACAAAAAACTATATATCGATTCTAAAAATGTTATATGCCGGGAACCAGGTTTTGTTCAAACCAACTGAAACAAAAGTCACCACTTACTCCAAAAACGCTCTGCTGATTCCCAACAACCTGCTATTTACAATGATGCATCGCAGGGGACCTAAACCCCCCTGTCTCGCCTATATAAGCAACACCAACTTCAAAGACCCAGGCCCTTGCGGACCTCCTCGCGGACCTTACGGTCATATTCACTCTTGCGTTCTCTCCACATCTTGGCAGCTTCTATATTCGCCGGACTCTCATCGTTCGGCTCCGCCAGCATGCTCATCACGGAAATCAGGATCTTCTCGACGCTCTGGATGGGAGACCACCGTTCGGAGGCGTGTTCGTAGTGATTCGGGTCGTCGCCGGGAGGGTGCAAGATCGAGATACAGACTGTTCCGTTGGGGTAAACTATAAGAAGACGGGAATTAGCAAAAGAGGATTTTCACAAAATGATGCATAGCATGTTGGATCTCTCACCATTCGGATGCCACACGCCCCCACCCACGAACTTCATTGTCGGCGGACTGAGTGGATAATCCCTTGGGAACTTCAGCTCGGCCGCAAAGACACCACCCTCGAACGGTGTCTCTTCTGGTCCCTGGATAAGAGCTTCCCAGAGAAACAGATCATCTTCGGAGACCGGACCCGCAGTGATGCCTTCGGGCGGGTTCGTGGCGAGGTTCTTGTACTCGGTGAAGAGCCGCTTCTGCGCAACTGTGGACGCCATTTACCTTGACGATTGCTTATGGGCAATGGGAGGTTCTTTGTGAGGTAACTGATTTAGAGGCAGCGCGCGAGCGGTCTTGATGACGTCGACGTGAGGAGAGCGCGGTTAAGATAGAACGGAGACTGGATTGTATTCAGATAAATCAGCAATGGTAGATTTGCTTCTTCCCTGATAGCTGGGCTTCGCAGGGAAATTGGCTGGAGGTCAGACTGTGAATTGCCACTTGGGAGAGGGACGAGAGGAACCGTTCGTTGGTGGAGGATGCAAACTGGGGATGGAAGACGCATTTGGCGGGGCGGGTGGCGGGTTCGCCAGTTGGCGCCGATATAGCTATCTTGCACAATCCAGATACAGTACACTGAGTAGAGTTGATCGTTTCATTTTCCAAGGCTGTATTATTTGCAAGATATATATTAGAAGTACATGGCTTTAATTATAATTATGGTCTATGCTGCAGTTTTCTAGACGAGGCATCAAAAATCAAACCAGTCATCGCCCTCACCCTCTCCGTCAGCATCTCCTTCTGCTTGATCCAGGCCGCCTGTGCTCCAGGGGTCATCACGAGGCTGTGCCCAGGGATTATCTGCATAGAAATCAGTTTCACCCGGAGTTGGCAGCCCTTGGTCTCCCAGCTGTTGCTGCTCTCCAGGTGTGGGCAGAGGCTGTTCTCCATGCTCGCCGTACATGCCCCTTTGCATCGCATCGTATCCTGCCATAGCTCCTGCTCCTGCAACCCCAGCTGCCGCGCCTTCAGCAATCCCAGCTGTAGCACCAGCTCTACCAAGTGCGCCTGCAGCAGCTTCGCCTGCTCCCACTACACCGGCTTCACCTGCGGCGGCACCACCCGCGGCGGCACCGCCAGCTGCTGCCTCGCCGCCAATGCCAGGGAACCAGATGGGCATAAATCCGAAGCCACCCGCTCCACTATGTCGACTGAAGTAGTCGAAATCAACGCTCACGGCTGTTGCCAGCATCACAGCGCGCTGGTCCAAGGTCATTCCAGGACTATGCTGGTTCTGGGTGTTGGTCGACTCGTCCGGGGCAAGGGTAGCGGAGTCCATGCGTAGTGCGTAAACGCCTGTGTCGGTGAACAGTTCCCGAGCGAAACCGACAAAATTACGGTTGACAGAACCGATGAGGCGGTCATCAGCAGACCGGAGGGAGAAATCCCAAGACAGGAACGGCTCATTTACATATGCAAACTGGGTATATTCACCAATTCCGGGGCCCTGGTGCGAGGTTGTTGCCAGTTGTGCTCTTTGAGCTATTGACAAGTCTGTCCCTGATAATGAGAGACGCTCTGTCTTCACCTCTGCTGCCGTGTTGGGGAGATGGTGGTAGAGAAAGAGATCGTATTTTCGCCTCAGAGGAGCCCAGACTTGCTGTGCTTCCCCGATGACGCGCATTTCGTCAAACCCGAGTGGCGATACTCTGGCGTTCGAGCCTCCGGTAGCCTGTACCAGGGAGCCAGGCGACACGCTCTGTAGAGCAGTAGATGACGAGTAGGTCGTACTGGCGATATCAAGCGGGTCGTAGACCCGAATTCGCGAATTGATCCACGAAAAAGGACGGTGGAACTAGCGAAATATTAGCAAATTGCCTGGCTTGGTAAATTATCACTCAAACTTGCAGACATACCCGGAGGACTTCATTCTCATGTCGATCGAAGACATGTGTCACGAAGCTTCGATGGGTCCGAAACCACTGTCGCGCCATCATATTGCCCATCCCCTTTTCTTGCTCTGCCATATACCCTATATGATTCCCATGGGCGTCCATGATCACGTATTTGTTGGCTTGTTCGAAGCCTCTGTAAGGAAGTCCTAGTTTAGTACAGGATCCTATTCAACCCCCAAATCTTATGGACAACTTACATCATCACATTCATCAGCTCCAACTGCCTTTGTACAACCAAACCCGAATTCGCCAGTATCCCTGTCGCCGGGTGGTTCTCTTTGAGCACACCATTGGGGTCCTCGGGAATATGGACGGGAGAGAGGAGCGTGTTGGCGGCAGGGTCGTAGCTGGGCGTGGTAGGATCATAACTTGGTGCCACTGGTGTTTCTGAAGACTGCGACGGTGACGATGCGGATGGCTGAACCCTTCTCCTTAGTATTTCTTTTCTCCGTAAAGTATTTCTAGGACCGCAAAGACCGATGTTACTTCTGCCTGTTGACAAGGCTCGTGAGAGTGTCCACCGCACAGGTGGCAGCCTTGTGGCCCACATAGTTAGAAGGTCGTTTTACCAGCTTCGTGACGCAAGTTTGAATATTATATGAAGACTGTCCTGTTTTAAAGTCACGCGAAAGGCGGACGTTGAAGAAATTCTCTAGAAGCAGTGGCGGCGCAAAATGACGAAGTTCTGAAGCGCTGCGGGGTTTAGCGGAGATAAGCCCGCCTCTACAAATTTGGAGAATGTGGTAGAAGAGACAGACGCCTTGCTCGCTATCAGCTGAGAACTGAATATAAATTATAAGAATGTCTTGAGTAGGGTATGTGTGTGGTTATCTGCATGTGCATTGGATCTTGTCAGAAGAGCCGTCTTCCACACGGACAACCGATATGCAATAAGTGACAGCATGATCCATTATAGTCTCTCATGGGACTCGGCGCTTGATGTCTGATAGCGATTTGAATTTATTCAAATTTATCCAGAAAGATTGTTGGTATTCATATAAGCCCCTTGCGCGCCAGTTCAATCTTGCGTGCTGCTTCCCCGGGTTTATATCCTCCTTTCGAGACGCAGACCGCGCTTCCTTCACCCAACTCGACTTTTTCCTCGACTGTATCGTGTGGGCAGGGGCAGTGATGCGGGAAGTGGACGCATGCAAGAGTTCCAGGGCATAGATAGTTGTTGCAGCGAGCTATAACCGTATGAAATTAGCAACGACAGTAGAAACCACGGAGGGAATATTGCAAGCATAGTCTGCGTACCTCCTTCCCAGTTCTTCTGGTACCATGAACTGTCGCTAGCGACGTTTTGCGGCTCCTGACGGGCATGCTCCTGGCGATGTCCTCCGAACATGTTCTCGAAGAACTGGAATTGAGCCTGTGCTACTGAGGCCAGCAGTAGCAGCGCCCAAAGGGTGTGGACCCAGCGCTGAAGCATCTCGTTATAGAAGTATTGTCAGGTATATAGTGGAAATGTATCCAGACAAAAGGAAATAGAGGAGTAAGTGTGGAATTCGGCCTTCTATTCCAGTCAGCCTTCACGATGCTCAAGTTGTCCTGATGGGAGTCGAGACCAGGAATCCGGCACGTGACCACGCCAAGACCGCATCCTGATTCCCTGCCGTCTCGAAAAAGTTCCCGTTACCAGCAGCAACAGCAGCAACAGTCTCGATCTCCGGCTTCTCTCCATACCGAGAGCCCAGCCGGTGCCATACAGAGAGAGAAGATGTTGCAGCCCAGATTATTAACACCTTTCCGGGTGTTCGAGCGAGCAATTGCACCCTCACTCCGCTCCGCGCAGAATCTCTACCAGTCTCGCCCTCTCCTGCCACGAGCCCTTCCTACGCCCTCGAAACCGACACCCTCGTTCTCTCTGCTCCCCTTCGCGCAGGTCCGTCACGCCTCGCACGCTACACAGGGTGCTGCCAATCGTCACTCCCGTGATCCGGCCGGAAAACGCCTCGGCGCCAAACGAACCGGCGGAGAATATGTAGTGCCCGGCTGCATTATCTTTCGCCAGAGGGGAACGAAGTGGTTTCCCGGGGAGAACTGCGGTATGGGCCGTGACCACACCATCTACGCCACCCACGCAGGGTATGTGCAGTACTATCTCGACCCGGAACGGCATCCAGACCGGAGATACATCGGCGTGTGCTTCGAGAAGGAAGGCAAACTGCCCAATCCGCGCAACGCTCCGACGAAGCGCAAGCTGAACATGGTCGCTATCCCCCGCGTGGTGGAGGAAAATACCACTGTCGCCGTCGTCGGCGAGGAGGAGGCAGCTACCGGCCCGCAAATGCGTCCGGGATACATGTTCCGTGAGGCCAACTGGGTGATCGGTCGGGCGGCCGAGGAGGCCGGTGTCACCGCCAAACCGTTTGACCGCACGAATCGCTGGCTGGCCTGGAGGAAGAGGCAAGCCCGTGTCAAGCGGTCGGCCCAGATGAAGAGTTTCAAGAACAACAGCAAGAAGGGTGGAAAGAAGTCCGGCGGCGGTCGCTAGTTCATGGCATTATACGAACGAGTCTGTTTGTGAAGCGATGCGAGGGGTCTTCAAATCTGGTGTTAATATGTATTATAGAAGCAATTCTCTACAATTCTATTCTTTTGTATGATGTTCTTCTCATGAAAACATTTCATTTAGAACAAACTAGATCTCGTAACATAAGGGTATCTTCGGTTGTCATAATATTCGAGGGGTTCTCAATAGGCCCAGAGCGTGACACAGCATGTCCAGTCGTACATGGCAAGAGACAACACATTTTGTGTGAGTATATTCAGACTCGAATTCCGTGCCCAGCTTGTCGACATCACTCCTCAAAGAGTTTCCCCAGTATCAAACTCTGACACACAAACTCGTTACCGACAATGCGTGGTTTTCGACTATGGTCTAACTGGCTGCTCGTAGCGGTCGAATCCATCACCTCGGATCGCTTACGCTTCCTGCCACGAGAAGACTGCGTCGTCTGCGACCCAGCAGGGAGAGGAGCGCCTAGGAGCATCTTCCGCGCGGTGGCCTGTTCAAAGTCATCGACGTACACCCAGTCCCAGACGGGGGGCGCGTCGGTATTTTGCGGAGGCTGGTCCAACACGGCTTTGGCTGCCCGCAAGTCGTGGACGCGTTCCACGCATGAAGCACCCAAGGCGTAGGTGAGGAAAATGTATGCTTTGCGCTTCTCTTCGGCTTTCCCACGGCCCATCACAAGGAGGACGGACTGGCCTTCCAGAAGCTTTGGTCTAGCTGTGATGGTTTGAGATAGCTGTGCTGAATGGGCCGGGGCGAAGGGCAGGACTCGCGACTTTGTTGCTCCCCCAAGGTACATCGATTCACCGGCAGGGAGGAGATACATTTCCCAGTCGACAATGCGATTCTGAGCCACACAGTCCTCCACCCAACGGCCTGCAAGACACGGAAGATTCAAGGCCAGGGCTTGCATATACTTCTCGCGTCGAGAGTGTTTATCTGCGATCAGACATGCGAATCCTACTGTCTCGGCGCCTCGGGTAAGCCGAAAGCTTGAAGGGGTCTTCTTATCACCTGAGGTTGGAGACCTCGTTGGAGCGGCAAGTGGGAGACTAGCCGGCATTTCAAACAGTTCGTTAAAGCCCTCTCTCAGAATTTGACCGCCATTCTCCCGAATCAATTTCGTCACTCGGTCTTTGGCGTCCTCATTTTCCACAAAGGAGACCGCAAACACCATGCCTGCGAATAGACCACCGAAGAAGTTGATGCTGCGCGAGAGACGAGTGCTGGGGGAGACGGGTGTTGCATGCCTATCAGATGGTGTCTTGAAGCCGCCGTCTGTCTGTTCTCTCTCGGATATGTAAGAGAAGCTGCGGTCTTTCAGCTGGTTCCATAAGATAGTATCGAGATAGATTCTCGATAGAGGAACTTTGATAGTGCTTTCAGACACCGACAGGCCGCGCACGGGAAGACTCTTGCGTTGCTTTGGGCCCAAGATGAGGGTTGAATGGCCGTAGACATCCGTCACTGGAATGAAACCATACATGTCTGGCTTTGACATTTCCTCTGGTTCCAGCTTATCCGCAAATCCACGAACAATGTGAGTAACCTTGGGCACGTTAGGCATATCAACCTTAACAGCATCCCCGACGCGCAGGTCAAGTCTCTTCACAGAGGCAAGAGGCACCTCGACAAAAGGGCTGTCTTCGAATTTAACGACATAGCGAGTTGAGGAACCATAGATTGGTGTGCCAAAGCATGTGGCAGGATAATACGCTCGCTTCGGTCCTTTCCAATGAGCAAAGACCTGATTTGGAGCAATTATCGGATGAGTGGAAGAATTATCTGAAGTTTCAGGATGGTTATTGGAAGAGTTATGTAGCGTCGTAGACTCTTCTTCTTCTGGCCCGTCATGACGAGGGCTTTTTCTCCTGACCAAACTTGGATCTTTGACAATGGGAGCAGGTTGCGCGGCCGTAGATCTAGGACTCCTCTTGGTAGGCGAGGCCTGGAGGCTTTGATGTCGGGATTCCAAAAACTTTGAAGACCTGGCCTTACTAGCCATACTACTTTCGGGCGACTCTTCCACGTCCCACAGGCTACCTGTTGCTCGAGGGGTACGCGGCCGTCGAGAGGGGAATCGATTGGAGCTCTCTGTCGGCTGTAGCCGTGACGGGTGGACGGCTTCTTGTCTTTCTTCGTGGGGCTGTTGGATGAATCGAGGTGTGGTTGGAATGACGGGATCTGAAGCAAATACAGCGCCATCCTTACCGCGCCTCTTTTTCCTCGGCGGAATGGGTGACAGACCAACCAGCGATCCGAACTCCCGGTCTTCCGCAGTGAATATCCCGAGGTCAATGTCGAAAGGGCCTGTGCCAATCTGGGGTGAGACATCAGCGGCAATCTCAGTCAGCCTCCTGCGCTGTCTACCACTGGGACTTGACAATATTTTAGGATTGTATGTAGGCCTCGTTGGCGGCAGGCTGAGGGGATCAGCCGCTTGACTATGGCGAATTCGATCATGATCAATCGGGTAAGGAGGAGGAAGATCATCGTCTCCATCATCTAGGATTTCGTCATTATTCAATAAATCGTGGGTGGTGAGTCGGTTAGGGCTGGTCTCTGGAATGCTCATAGCAGGGACCGCGTCTCCGAAACTTCCCAGAAGCGGGTGGAGTGGCGTCTCTGCAACACGGGAGGGCATGGATGAAGATTTGTCTCGAAGCTCGATGCCCGATGACCTAGCAGAACGACCCAAGTGCTGGCTACCGACGGGGCCAGACTTCAGGTGGGTGTCTTGAGGATTAGACAGGGGCTCGGGGAGTTCAGATGCCGATTCATTCGTACTAGCTGATAATGAACGGTTATGAGAACCCACATCATGACAAACTTCGTTGCTCTTAGCGAGACGTTCTCGCTCTTTTATGGGAGATGATTGTATCAGCGGCTTCCTCACAGGCGATGAGGCAGCCCCGTCAAGGTCAGAAGAAGGGTCAACTTGGAATCGGGAGTAAGGATATCGGGCAGTAACTGGATAAGCTCTGTTCCCAAGACTTTCTTGGGTGCCGTCGATTTCTTTTCGCCCAGGAGACTGCTGCGAATCCTTCACAATGAACACTTGGGAGGATCTATTGAGATCATCCGGATGATCGATTCGAGTTGGGCTACTATTAGGTTTGTGGAGAGAGCCGGTGACCTCGGGCATTGAGATCCTGCTGCGAGTAGATGGGCTCTCATGAAGAGCAAGCGCCTGAGATAACCTATCATGGGCAGTGTTTGCGGAGACGACAGCAGGCAAAGGTGTAATATCGAAGTTCTCCTTGTCTTCCTCGGTCGAAGACTGAAGTGGCTGAGAAACTGCGACTTGCGCATCCAACTCGTCTAGGTCTTCCTGTTCAGTCTCCTCTTCGCTGGCGCCGCAATTTGCTGCAACAGTAGACTCATGACCGTCCTCATCGACGACAATAATGGCGGAGCCGCCAGTCCAAGAACGTGATCGTAGTTTTCCATGCGAAGGCGCGCTCTGCTCTGGGCTCTGCCTGCCACGCAGACTCAATCTAGACCTAGCCGGAGCAGTCAGACCAGAAAGCTGGACATGGGCTTCCTCATCAATCCTTCTTTGACGCCGCAAACGTTCCACAAAGCTAGGTTCTTTGCCAAACTCGTCATCACTGTGATCTTCAGAGTATATGTCGTCTGCAGACCGCGTAGCTCTCTCCCCTATCCTCTTATTCCTAGCAGCCTGAGACTCCTTCATTGAAATATAGGTCAAATGGCCATCTGATGATTCCCGGGGTAATGCCGGTGGCATGCTCATGAACGGCGATGAGAAGTTTGTACCAAGGGGCCGGTTCTGGATAGGGATGTTCGGAGAAGGCCGATCAGACATTAGGTCTGCTTGGGGACCGTTTACCAGAGGTGAAGACGGGGCCTGTGTCGCTTTGAACACCTGGCTGAGAGCCATGATGCCGCCACTCGAGTCAACAGTCGACGCCAGAGGGTTGCGTGATATCGAAGGAGTAACGGTCGAGGGTGCCGCGAAACGGCTATCTTTCACGATAGTTGCCGGCGTGGTGGCCAAGAATCGCTGAGACTCGGGGAACAGGTCAGGCTGGTAGTGTAGAGGAGAGGATTCGTCGTCTAGCCTAGCACTGCTACTATCTTCGGCATCATCCAGGTCATTTGTCGCCGGTCGTAAGTCGTCGAGTCCAGATAACAAGTTAATGTGACCGGTATCTCCTTCATGCAATGTTACCAATGTTGCTCCATCGGCTCCTGTATCCTGATGATGTCTAATAAGACCGTCATACACCGACTGAGATACCACCTGGGTGTCTCCCTGGGGGGTATCTGCGGAGCTCATTTTCTTCGATTGTGGTGCAGAGGCACTCTGAGGCAGGGCCGAGCCAAAGCGCACAGTGCTTGTAATCAACGGACTCGATGCATGCCGTTGTGAGTAGGGAGGGAAATGCGTCGTGGATGGCAACGTAGTATCGGCAGGGTTCGACGAGGACTCGAGATTTTCCAGGCGGACATCACTGGAACGGCGTTCGGTTCCTTTATTCGGCGTACCAGGAGCCACTTCTTGTGCCGTTTCTAAAGCGATCAGAGACTGCCTAGAGCAAGGCTGAGACAGTTCATACTCCTGAAGAAAATGATAAGGTCAGTAACTCTGGAGATCGGCGACGCCACGAGGTTCTTCCTCAGTGCTCACTAATCCTAGCGCGACGCGTTTCAGCCTCGCAATGTCGACGCTGTCCTCCTGGGAATTCATCACCCCGGCAGCCAGTCCCTCTGAAGACATTATTCGGCGATGGATATACCATCATACACTCATGAAACGAGGAATAAAGCAACAGTCCGCACGATCTGGGTTGAACCGTCCGTCATGGTTGAGTGAACCGAACGCGAGACGCGTTGATCACGTGGCACCATCCGTCCCATTTAAAAGTAATCTTGCCGTATATGGAATAGCGCGTTTCTCCATGAACTTGCTATGAACAAACTATTCAGATGTGCTTACGATGGAAAGAAAAGTATCTAGGTAGAGAAGATCTTCTCGCACATGATTATTGGAGTGGATTGACTTTTAATACAGTTGCTTATTTCAAGTGCCACTTTGACTTTGGACTGCGACGTACCGAAGCAGTGTCAATCACGGCTTCGGTTCGGCACCCATCGCTTGATGCTGATTTCGCGGACCCTGTACCGCCGCAAGTATGCCCCGATGTCATCGGTTGGAATAGAAAAATCATGCGAGGACATCGGCGGAGGGATTTCCACGTAGCACAGCACCAGGCTTTTCTTCACTTGTGCCTGGACTCGATTGACACCGTGCAGCCACCACCAGCTGCGGGCTTGCTTGGTGGCCACCATCTCCCGTCTGGCTTCGGTCTCGCTCCAGTACGGGTGATCGTAAGAGGGAAGAACGACAACCGCAAACTCGGCGTGAGAAAATACTGGCCCACGATTGTAAAGGAGATAATCAACCCCGAACTTGACACCCGAACGCACGACCCACCCCAGAGAGCGGAAGTGATGGTAGACAGCGTATGATACAACGAAAGGGTTGTCTGGCTCCGGATTGGCGGAGGGTTCACGAGGGGGGAAATAAGAATGTTGGGTGAACATGGAGAACAAAGACAGAGAAGGAATCACAGTGTGCTCCTTTTCGTCGAAGATCTGCAGGACACCAAGACCATAAGCAAGGAAGAAAGCTTCCTCATTTGAGAGCTGAAGGTGTTCTTCATTTTTCAAATCAGACTCCTCAGCCCGCTGCTCCTGGTTCGGCGGGTCGGACAGTGTCAGCTGGTCCGGCTGAGTACTAAACTCTCTCTCCTGAACCACGGGCGAGAACCGTACAGATTTGCTCGGAGATGAGGTCTTCTTTTCAGAAGCTTCATCCGGGGCATCTACATCTGCCGACTGTCCGGCCAAGCGTTGAGACTCGTGGGTTCTCGCTTCTCTGGCTTTCTTGAGGGAAAACTTCTCAGAGGCTAAAGCGGTTCCATTTGTTGCCCCGCCTGGAACCGACGTCGAAATTTCAGAAGGCATTACAGTACCGTTCTGCCGAGCGGCAGCCTCGGACTTTAGCCTCTCTTCGATGGCCAGTTTCTCCATCCTGGCGCGCTCTAGCTTCAACTCACGTCTTTCTACCCGTCGTTTGCCAGTAATCTCCTCACTGGTTGCGCCTTCCAATAGTCCTCTCCTCTTCTTCTCTCGCTCCAGCCAGCTAGGCTCACTGCGACTCAGAGACCCCTTACCGAAGAACCCCATCTCCCACAGTGCTCGGATAGTCTTCTCATTTGTTACATGAACAGACGAAGTAGCCGAGTCAAAGTAGGCATGGTAGGTCTCACGATGCGGGGGAGAGATGAAAAAGGTCAAGTATGACAGGGCAACACTGATTATGGAGAGCGGATTATGAGGGATTAATGGAGGGAGGGGATGAACAGTGAGTGGAAGAGGGAAGCGATGGATATGTCTATAGTTCGGCCTTGGCGGCCTAGCCCGATGGTTTGAAGACACATTTTCATGCCTAGGCTGTGGCTTGGAGGATGCCACGGCCTTGGGGCTGCTAGGGCTCGACATCAAGATCTTTGAGGCAGGAGCAACCATCAAAAGATCATTAGTTTAATTGCCCAGAAGCAATTAAAAAGAGAGCACGCACTGGAAAAGAGAATATTAGCTCAAGTCTTCCAAGTAGAAGAAGAACAAAACAAGCTGATGCTATCTCCTCAGATACCGTTGTAGTCTATAATTAAGCAAATCATTGACAAACAGCTAGAAATCAAGGTGCCATTTGCCTGAGCTAAAGGAATCATCACCGGAGAAAAGCATGAAGGTATGCAACAAGGGTAAAAAACAGAAAACCTGTCATTCGCTTAGGGTGATTGAGGTTAGTACTCACGGAGTAAATCTCTGCGGCTCAGGCTGTCCCTCGAATAAGGAACGAACACCCAATGGAAATCAATTCCAACTGGTACTAATGTGTAAAATGTGTGCTAGTAGCAACAGTATCCCTTCAAGGTCATACTGGGACCCGGGTAGACAAGAACTTGTTCATCATCGAGAAGATCGATGAAAAAGCTGGGTTCTCACCGAAGGAAAGAAAATTTGCTGGACCTGGCGCCGAAGAAAAGGAAAAAGTCGGCCGCGCTAACTAGATAACGGGTTGGTGGGTGTTACGTAAGCGTATCTGTGCTCCGGAAGCAAAAAATATTCACCGCGAACTTTTTAGCAGCCGGTGGGAGTATCGTCGTCGACAGAGCAGCAAAAGAAGGATCGCCGGTCGTCTAGTTATCGTCAAGAATACCGCCAAGTAAGTTCGATCTGGCTCTTTTATTATGCTGAATGTTTCATCCAGAAGCTAATTTTGATTCTGCAGAATGCATCTTATGGTAGGTCGCCGAGTCACAGATCGCAATATTCGACTGTAGCTAATAGCTATCAACAGTACACCCTGGACAAGGAGGGAAAGAGAGTCTACACTCTCAAGAAGGTTAGAATTATTTCTTTCTTTGGCTCTTTACTGTTTCGTTGCTGACAGTCCTTCGCACACAGGTCTACAACGGCGAAGTTTCCAAGTCGGCTCACCCCGCCCGTTTCTCCCCTGACGACAAGTACTCGAGGTACGTTTTTTCTTGAGAAATTATGGGCTCAGGATGCTAGGGGCTTGTGAATTTGGACTCTAGGCTGATCTTTTCACTAGACACCGGGTTACCCTGAAGAAGCGATATGGTCTTCTCTTGACCCAGCAGGCTGGTATGTGATATGAGATCCCCAAGACAAGTCGAATGCAGAAGGCTAATGCTGTCTTTCTTGTACAGACAAGGAGGCTGCGAAGCTGTGAAGGCGTCAGTTGTTCGGTTTTAAACATAGGAACAAAAAGGGTGTTCGAGCTGCTTTTGGCGCATGGTGTTTAATTGCATGGTTCCCTGGCGAGATGCCAAGGGTTTCTTTTTAATGTTGGGCTTCTAAACCTTGCTTTCTCCAACCTCTGAGATGATCTTATAACCAACTCGAGGTGCTATATACCAGTGATATCACTTAGGATGTATAGAAGGATATCTCTGCATGTAAGGATCTCTAGATGTGTATATGGCTCGAAAAAAAAGGTCATTTCTTCATGAATCTAGAGATAGGAATGCAGTATGTAGTCCATCTTGGCAACAATGACAAAAAAACTCAAAAGACATTTTTATATTCCAGAAAACTCCAGGTCATTTTCAATAAACCCTGTAAGGGTTAGGGCCAAGGATTACCGCCTCCTCGAGTTGACGTTCCTGCCAGCTCCGACCTTGATCCTCCCGCCCTGTCTGTTCCTCTCTCCGGTCAAAATGCCAGGGAGGTAGTCTTCGTCCATAAGGTCGCGCTCTCTCCGAAGTCGCCTCTGCTCCTCGGTGACGGCTCGGACGTACTCCTTCTGGTCTTCAGCGAGCATGAGTCCATTTCCCCATCCACCCTGACCACCGCCCCCCTGCCACTTCCCATTTGAGCTGCCGTGGGTAGGCTTGGGGACGCTGAATCGGTTTCCCCTGTTGTTCCATTGCATGTTCTTCTTCAGGTGCATCTTGAATTGTCCGTTCGCATCCGTGGTGCACGAGACACGAGTAAGGGTATCCTTTCCACAGCGTGGGCAGAATTGCTTGTTCATTTCCCTGGTGGTAAAGAAACAGCCATGGCACCGCTTGATGAAGGACTTCAGGTGACGAATCCGTTGCAACGTCGCTGTGGAAAGCAAGTTGAGGTTCATTTGAAGTAGGACGTTTTGGCACTGTGAAAATGGTTTAGCCCGGACTTCACCGAGAATGTGTAATGTAGTAAGGCACAGATAGGAGGCTTACCGCAAAGTCAGTGGTCATCGTCGCGACCTGCATCACCTTCGGCTCTGGGGTGGACGAGGCATCCTGCGTCTCATCACGAATCTGCATCTTCTTCAAGTTCGACGGCGTAATCCACTCGCCACCATCCGATTCTGGGTCATCTTCTTCTTGCACATCCACATCTTCTGTGGATTCTGTGGGTTCTTCGGTTGCTTCTGGTTCAGCAGTCTCCTCAGAAGCAGCGATCTCTTCGGTAGGCTCGAGAGTAGTTGACTTCAAGTCCTCAGCAACTGCATCCACATCGGCACTATCCTCGTGCTGCTCCGTTGAAGCAGGTGTTATCTCCTCGTTGTCCTTTTGTTCCGCTTTGCTCTCCTCCTCCTTGACAGGTGGTTTCCCGTTGACTTGCTTTTGCCCCGGAACACTCCTAAGCCTCCAATCGCCGCCGTTCCTCTCACATTCCAACTCGTAGGCCAGTGCCAGAACTTCGATATCGGTCTTGCTCAGCACCGCCCGGTCTCCTGTCTTCCTGGCGAATTCGCTCAGAACGCTGATGCTCTTGGGATTCGGGCTCCGCTGCTTGAGGAAAGGAAGATATAGTGTCTGGACTCGCATGCGGGCATCGGGATCCCGAATTTCATTGACAACTGACGGCGTGGTCACGAGCTCCTCACATTGTGCGAGAAGAGTAGACAGCGGCGGGGTATTTTTCAAGATAGGACCAGCATCGAGCACGATAGTGTGCACCGGTTTCGGGGGCGACTTGGCGTCCGCCATTTTTCCGCTCTATGTCTCCTTCTTGCCGAACAACTGGTGGGAATAATTAGGAAGAAGACCTTCGCCGACAAAGACTTGAAAGGACCTTGGTTGAATTCCTGAATCTTTTGCTAGATTTTCTCGGTGTCTGGTCTGTGCGTTATACTTATCTTATCGTTGGTTCTTATCACTGAGAGGAGGCCAACTGGTCATGGAGTATAACTACCTAGGTATTTCCATCTGCTCGCACCCTTGGCATAACGATGAAAGAATATGAGAGTCATCAAGTGGGTAGAGCTCATATATTTATCTCATTCATTTAAAAGAATACAGAGCTTGCAAGATCAATCGGGCGTATGGCGGATGGTAACGTCTCTACTGCCTACTTGAATTCTGACTCAAAATATATACTACATAGCGACTGTGAGTTTCGTATATATTTTACGAACAAATTCAAATGGTCTATTATTTGTTAAATTTGGCTACTTACTATACATCATAGAAGCTTCAAGTCTTTTGACTCGTTGCTCCGTACTCCGTACAAGGTTGAAGAAAGAAATTGACGAATTGAGCCTTCTATCGTTTATATCGCATAATCAGGACTGGATATGGAGTGCATGGAAACTGTGCAGCTACTCAGCAGACAGGCAGTGGAGATAAGGATATTCTATGTGAACTGAGCTTGAGATCAAACAATTCCTTTCTCGTCTGCTGAATGTGAACACGCTTCAGCGCCTGAATCGCACTTGCAGTTCCAACCACCGACAGCTAATCCAACGCTTTACAACTCACAGAGTACCTGCTCTGTACTGTTATTCCATCAAGTCAATTTGCCTCTCAGGTATGTTCTATTAATACCACAGATATGAGTGTACAGGTTTTTTTTACGTGTTTATTCTGATACGGCCGGGGTTGACGTCAACGAGCAGGATCAGGGCATAACTAATTCAATCCAGGAACTTCGTACGAAGCACAGCTTCCGGAATACACGGAAAAGACGATTTGATAGATCCACATGAATCTGGCCAGTTCTAGCCAACCGAGTACGGAGTACGGAGAACTCAGGAAGTACGGAGGATGCTCATCGGCCATGGTGCGTTTTAGCGAAGGTCTGAAGCCCCCGCGATTTACGTCAAGGGCTGCCTCATTTTTTACTATTATGACGCATTGATATCGCCTGTAGGTACCGCTTCCCCACCGAAAAATTATAGGTCAACATTGCCAGAGGTTTGAGGGAGAGGCCTCCAGGGGAAAGAGGCAAATACCCTCCATGGCCCAAATGTCAGCCGCCAGCATACAAGGCAAATAGTCGGTTATCGCACCCAAACTTTCAAATCGATCGACGTTTAGTTCGCACGAGCTTGAAAGGCTTGATCAATATAGCGCGTGTACTCGAGTCGCCAGTTATTGCCCCGACAAGGTAGGACAGGGGACAAAAAAGGGACTAGCAACTGCACGAAGTATTCCGTAGCTGGGGCTGTCAAGCTTGGACTACTAATTCAAGCACGGATGATGTTTTAGCAGAGAGACAAAAAAGCAATGCAGGAGCTGTCACACAGGTACCAGGCACGTGGCTCATACGGGATGCTTCCTGCATGCGGCTGGTGAGAGAGGAAGAGTCGAGCTACGCCGTACAGAACAGCTATGGCTCGGCTCAACTGGGCCGGTTCGGTGGGATTCGAAAAAAAATTGATCGTATCGGAAAAGGAGGGAATGATCTCGTATCAACACTATGGCTCAGGGCTACTCCAGTCCTCTGTACCTGCATGGATTCATTTCTCAGGGGCATGTTTACACGGAGCAAATAACTCCGTGGACACAAACATCACGACTTACCATTGAGGTATATTTGTCCAATATTGCGGGTTACGGAGACGAAGCACGGAGTACACGCTCTCGGGTATTGGTGTGGAAAGAAAATGTGATACATCAATAAATACTGAGCCGGCTGGCGATGGCGGGCTGTACTCCGTATGAGCCAAAGACAGTGCTCACACTCCGCGGGGTGCATGCAACAGTCAATAATGGCGGTAAGCTGGCCAATTCTGTTGGGAATTCTGTTACTGATTTGATGCTGCCCCGGCTGCTATTACCCATCATTTGCTCAACAGGATTTCAAATTGTCTCATCACATCAGACTGAAAACGTTTTCCTGTCTGACGAGCGAATGATAAAATCGACGATACTGATCGAGATTGATACCACCATCAAGGACCATTCAACTAATAGAGTACAGCTGGCTATAGTTGACTTTGAATACTACCTAGGTAGGTATAGTGGGATGACGACAACATCGTCAGCCTCGATAGCTCCAACCTGATGTGGACAAGTTGTCATGAAATGGCAATGTTGGTAAGTCAAGAAGCGACCAGTACGGAGTAAAAATCGTTATCCAATAAGACAGGCGAGTCTTTGTTACTTCGTATCCCCATCCCCTTGCTCAGCCGAGTCTGTGCGATGAGCTTAATCGCCCCTAGTCCACTGGAGCTTCTTTGTCGGATTTGACACGACTGGAGCAAGGAATAGTGAATTAAAATATACTATTCGTCTGACAAAACCAATCGTCGCCCTGGGTGATCCTCTCAGGGAATTGAAACTGTCATTTCCTTCTGCTCGGAGGGAGAACAGGGGGCCAGGGGAGGGGGGATATTGTACTCCTCCGCGTGAATTGAAAGAGAGCTCAAGAAAAAAACATCATTGAAGCTCCATCGGAATAATATCGCCCAAAACTAAGGCTAACCATGGGTCGTGGTTTACTGCACAGATGGGGCATATCCACTGAGCGTCATCGCTTCATCTGTCACTACCGGTGGAGATTGGTACGGAGTCCTCCGTACGCCGTACAGATACGCATTATGCGTCTTGGGCCGAGACCACTGGCTTTAGACACGATCTATACATTGAGTTATCGAATCCTTTCACTCTCCCAACGGCTGATCCGAAGGCGAGGAGAGACGGAAGACAGTACGAGCTAGCGATTGCTTTCTGAGACTGGTAGCCGATCATCTGGAGAGACGAGACTTTGCGCCAGCCAAGCCTCAAATCTTCATCTTTCTTTGTGTCTGCTGCTACTATCCGGAGGGAGATCCTATGCATCTGTCATCTGGCAAACTATACACAGAAGCCCGGGGGAGACGGTGCTCTTGAAAAGCTATGATGCAAGTTTGCTTTATTTGGATCTCCCCTTGCTTTTTTTCACTCCCCCCTCCTACTCCGTATACCCCGGTTGGACTGATCCCTGTCTTAGTTTAGCTCAAGCAAAACAGACATGAGACAGAATCTGCGAGGGCCTGACATACAGATTTGGTTGCTGCGGAAGAGAGAGAGACAGGGAAAAAAAAGAGGGGCGGTACTTTATTTTTGTTTGATAATACGCTGGTTTAGAGCTACAGATGAATCTTATATCTGTCTATACCCTATACTTAGCTTACAATTGTGCCTGCCATCTGCTCCGCCCACGTCATGCATGAATTGCTTGACTTGATCCCGGGTGGTTGTTCTTTTTGATAGTATAGTATGCAGTCGGCGTGGACCAGCGCGGTTACCATCATCATTCACAACCACCACGCAGACACTCGCTTGATGTGAAGGAGGAACGGGTGCATACTTGCGAGCCCAACCACCAAAGACTGACTCAGACAAACGCCAGACGCAGTCGTTGAAACTGGAGATGTTCGAGCTTCAGCCGTTGCTGCTTTCTCGAGGTCAAGCGCAGGAATGGACGTCAAACGGAGGTGCGCGGGGCTTGGCCATCAGCATCGTCTTCACCATCTTGGCAACAATTTTCGTTTGCGCTCGGCTATACACTCGAGTCAGTATCATGAAACGCATGGAGGCCAATGACTGCATGATCTTGTTCGCGTTGGTGAGTCTTGGGTTCTTGCATGCTTCACCACGTGTGGGTTCAAAGAAGGAGAAAGGAGGGGGATATCAATTGATTGACACCGGAGAATGCTTAGGCCAACTCTTTTATCTTCATGGGCTTCTTCATCGTCGAAGCAATAAGCGGAATGGGCATGCATGAAGCGGAAATCCCACCACATATCCTGACGAGGCAAATGAAGGTAGCGTTTTCCATGAGGAGTCGGCATTCGAAGTTTGAAGACTAATAAGTCCATTGGGGCAGGCTTTCTGGATCACAATCCCTTTCTACAACGCCGCGTTGGTCTCTGCGAAAGCCTCGATCCTCATGCAGTATTTCCGGGTGTTCCCAACCAAGCGAATGCGCGTTATCTGCTGGATCATGCTCACCTTCGTCGCCCTCTTTGGACTATGGGCAGTCCTCAGTGCGTTCCTCAATTGCATTCCTGTCGCCAAGTTCTGGAATCCCACCATCCCGGGCTATTGTCTGGACAAGGAGGCCTTGTGGTTCTCTAACGCCGGCTTGCATATCACAACCGACCTCATCATACTGGCCATACCTATCCCGGCGTTGCTTTCCCTCGACCTCCCGCGGAGACAAAAGATGGCCCTATTTGGCATCTTTGCCTTGGGTGGATTGTACGTATTCTTTTTTTTTTCAATCGCCTGCTCGACATGAAAGACTGACTATTTCACAGTGTTTGCATCACAAGTGTTATCCGACTGCTTGCCTTGAAGAAGATTTCCGGCTCCACAGATCCCACCTGTAAGTCCTCCAATTGAAGAGGTGAGAAAGAGCTTTTTATCTAACTTTTGAAACACCAGACGACAATGTCGGTGCCGCGATATGGTCTGCCATTGAATGCAACACGGGCATCATCTGTGCCTGTCTCCCCACCCTGCGGCCTCTCATCTCGCATTTCCTGCCTCACATCCTGTCCACCTTCAGTAATGGCTCGCGCAGCGAGGGCACCGTCCCGCTCTCTCAAGAGCGGGCGCCGACGTACTGGAACGGCATGGCTACCATCTCGTCGACGATCGGCGCACCGTGCGACGAGGTCGAATACGACGACGATGAAGCAGACGTTGCAGGTGGGATTCCCCTCGGCCCAACAGGCGGCTCCAAGATGGCATCCTTCAAGGAGTCCCTAAGGGGATCCCGGAGACGAGGAAGAGAGTCAAAGGCTACTGCTTCTTCTTCGTCTGCTTCTTCATCATTACCCCCTTCGCCGTCCAAGCAGGACTGCGACCAGGTGTGAGAAGAAATCCACCTCAATTCCTTATTAATTTTCTGATGACCACTTATTAACTCCCATTCGTCATATGTATTTTCTTCGTGGAGAACCTTTCTATTCATGTGATATAAAAACAGAACAGCTTGGTCCACCGGGCTGAAACTTTATAATACCATTTATTGATTGTCTAGCTATCTAGCATAGTGTATAGTGTATGTATAAAGGCGGAAGTTGTATGTAGGAAAGAACTAGAAATCGAGAAACTCCTTGTCCACCTCTTCAAAGTAATCGAAGAAGCCCTTGAACAGCTTGACACCCAGGCCCGGGTCGAGACTGCCCGTCGTGGCGCGGATGCTGTGCATGCTCAGCTGGGGAATACCGGCGTCGATGGCGCGCATGCCGATACGGGCGCTGGTCATGGGTCCGATGGTGCCGCCGCTGCGGGAGTCGTTGCGGATCTGGAAGACCTGCAGGGTGGCGCCGCAGCGGTGGGCGATGCGCTGCAGGATGGCAGTGCTGACGCTGTCGGTGGTCATATGGCCATTTGGGTCGGCGGAGATGGCGACGCCAACGTTGAGCCGGGGCGCGTGGTTCTCCAGGTAGACATTTGCGAAGTTTGGGTTGACGGCGTGGATGACGTCGGAGGAGACGAGGAAGCTGTTGGCCACCGTCTGGGCGAGCAGGTTGGGCCCGTAGGTCGCTGCCGACGCGGCGAACGCCTCGGTGATCCGCTCCATCACGCTGCTCATGAAGTTTGACCGCGCCCCCTGCCGCAGCAGACTGCCAATCTCCTCGTCGTCGAACATGCCTACCATCTTGACGATCCCGGGCGACATCTCGTCCGGCGAGGCCAGCAGGGCCTCCTGCGCGGCAAAGCAGCACAGCTTATCGTCAATCCGCCCCGCAAAGATCAGGTCCTTGTCCAGTCCACCCACCTGCGCCGGCTGGCTGTCGAACAGCTCCAGCTCCCAGCTTACAATCGTGCTGTAGTCCGTGATCCCCAGCTCGCCCGAGATGACCTTGACCAGCTTTGGTGGCTGGGTGGCCGCGAACGTGCCCGGCTTGATGCCGCTACCCTCCACCTGTGCCGCTTCCCCGCCCTGGAAGAGATCCGAATTGTCAATCCCGACAATGGGCACCATCTGAGTCTCCTTATTAAAGGGTCCCTGCGAGGGGGCCCCAAAATGCGGCGCCAGCGTCGGGATCCGCGCAATCGGCCAGCCCAGCTTCACGAGCCGGGTCTCGACTTTGCCCGTGATGGGATCGCGGACCAGCACGCGCCCCCCAATGGACAGATCGCGGTCCCACCACGTCTCGTTGAGGCCGCCGGCGTACGGCGCGACGGCCAGCTGCGCGAACCCCGTCTTGTTAGGAAGCTTGGACACGGGCTTCAGCCGCGCCGTGAGGGCGTCGACATGACCCGCCACAATACCCATGCCATTCCCGCTCTGGTATTCTTTACCCACGACAAAGGCGATCAGCGCGCTCCCGTTGCGTGTGGTGTAGTACTTGCCCCCCCGTCGGAGCTCCGGCGTCCACACCGCCCGCTCGGACAGGTGCCTGTAGCCGTGCTGCTCGAGCTGTTTCGTGAAGGTGTCGACCGCGTGGAAGATGGTCGGGTTCTCCGTCATGAACTCGCAGTATGGCTTGGTGTAAGCCTCCGGGCACACCGTCGACTTCGAGGCCGAAGCCAGAGTTTCTCTTCCTCGTTCCTGCGACGGGGTTGGAGACGGCACGGGGACATATTGAGCTTCGGGGAGCTGGCCGCCCAGGTGGAATGCCAGCTGCTGCGACTCTTGCAGGCCGAGAGCGATTTTCCTTGTCATTGTTGTGGGAGCGGAACAGAAGAAGGAGAATCGAGCAGTTGGAAGGAGGTGATGGGGGAGTTGGAGATGAGATGAGAGTCGAAGCAGGCAGAAGCACGTCACCCCTGGGCTTATCTTTCACCGACAATCGGCCATTTGAGATAGCTTAGATTCGATGCCTGAGGCAACAAAATGGATATACTGACTTACTAGGTAGTTACTAGATAGTTACCTGTTAACTAGCTATAATAGCTATGATACTTGAGTTAAGATGAAATAAAGCATTGGTAGAATGGCTCGATTTCTATCGCCCAGCAATCTAGTCTATGTAAGGTGTATCTAATCAAGAGCTGGTACTAGTATTGTTGACGCTGGAACCCACATATGCGTTCCAGTTGATATTGCCATCGCGACACTGGTCGGTGATGGCCGGACCGGTGATCGAGACGACCTCCTCGCCATTTCGCTGGACGGAGATGGTGACTGCGCCGGTCTGCCCGTTGAAAGGCACGGAGAAGTGGTTGATCCCAGCGGTCACGGCTCGGAGGGTGGTTGCATCGGCGTCGCCGATCTGGATGGTAACGGTGCTAGGTGCCGCGACCAGCACGGTGGTGAAGACTTTGTCCAGAGACACCAGGGCCGGGTTGACGACTGGCTGGCCCTGTGATGGGTCGTTGCCCGTCGTGCCGTTGGCGCTCCCGGAGCCGCTGGGGTTAATGCGGTACCAGTAGGTGATCTTCTCGGCTGTCGTAGAGATGGTGGTCTGGTTGTTGGATTTGTAGGCGTCGATATAGTACGGGAGCAGGGCGCGCCAGTCATCGTGAGGATTGCCAGTCACGTACGTTGCTGCGCCGGTGGGGATGCCTGCTTCATAGATCGGGCCGATGTAGTGTGTTTCGCCATAATCGTTCCAGGTGAGGATCTCCACCAAGGGCGGCTGCAGTTCAATCACTTGTTGCCAGCGATCGTGCCATAGATCGTCGCCACGCCAGAGCCAGTTCTTACTGTAGTCGGGAAGGTTGGTGTAGAACCACGGAGAGACGGGCATCATGTACGACTTATTCCCCAGGGCTTCGATCCAGGCCTCGTCCGAGGTGGTCGTCATGTCCTGGGCGCCCTCGGGCCAAGCATCCCAGCTCAACATGCCATCCATCTCGTCGATGTAGGTCTGAATACCGGACTGCCCGAGGCTTGTCCAGGAAGGAATAAAAGAGCAACCGGTGGCAGCCTTGATACTGGTCCAGTCTCCGGCGTTGCTGGTGCCCTCAAAGGTCGACACCAGCGGTTTCCCTTGGTAATAGAACTGTGCCGAGCTGTCCTTGTACGTATTGACCGTCGACACGACACGATCTTCCGGCCACGCTCCGCCCGACTCATAGTCGAATGACAGGAATAGACTGAAGTTCCCAACTGTCTCGGCGGCTGCGTATGCGGTCTGGAGCACGGTGTCGGTGTAGCTGTCTTGGGTCGCGATGTTCAACGCAAATCCATCGATGTGCGCTCTCTGGGCCTCGCGAATGTCCGCTTCCCACTGCTCAGCAGTCATAGCCGCCGCATTTCCTACCTAGGAACGAGTCAGCTCAAGGCTGGGGATCTTTGTTCTTCTTTCACAACCCGAATACTCACAATGAAATGGGCAAAAACACTCTTCTCGCCGGAACTAGCCATAGCAACGGCTACCAGAGAGGAAAAGAAAAGTAAGTATGAGAAAAACATCTTTTGAGTCGATCAACGAATTCAATGAGAGAACAAGGATTGAATGGGTGGCTGGTCGAAGGAGTGTAATTACAACTCGACACAGTCGAGTCTGTTTTTGAGTGCAAAGAAAGGATCGAACGGTGTCAGAAACCGACCACCAGGGAATAAAGGAACGAATAAAGGAATGAATGTTGCTCAAGTGTCGTCCAGGACACTGAAATCAATTCATAGTACCTGCTCTCATGTTACTCGACCGTGTCCTGCGAAGAGAGGGGGAAGGGCCAGGGCAGGGCAGGCAAAAAACTCACCTTTGACGGGAAAACAAAGCCAACCAGTGGATGAGGGAAAGTGAAGGAGAGGAAATCGAGTATATAAAAAAAAAGAAATCGAAAATTCAAGCTCCTCCAGAGGAACCAGACTCAGCCAAGTCGTCGAATCGATCTTCTCTCACCTTCAGCCAATTTGATTCTGAGGACTGATAGTGGGGGCCAAGGTCAGGAACAAGGCCAGGATCTCCTGGCTAGAACCATTGTTTGCCAGGGCAATCAAGCCGTATTTTTTTTTTTTTTTTCAAGATAAGGTAATACAGAACCAGCCTCAGAAATTGGCGAGAAAAGCGCCGTATATGCAGCTCTTTGAGTTCGGATGATGTGAGGGCGCCTTGGATTTTGTTTGGTCTCCCCTTGGCATGTCAAGGGCGCTTACAGAGGAGGAAATGGTAGAGACATACCAATTAATATTTAGCTTCTATCTATCTATTCTCATTAGTATATTCTCATTTATTCCATGGCGGTAGAATGCTATTCCTTCATTAGTACTCCGTACTATTACAGGCAGGAGTATTCTGTACAGGAACGACACTGACGCTCCCTTGCAGGGAATAGCATCATACAACAGTCACACCAGACGGCGAAAGATTAAGCAGCATAAGGTTTCTGTGGAAGGGTCTACTGGATCATATTTTTTTTGGCTAATTAAACACGAGTAAGAAAATAATATCAACATAGGGGAATCGTATAGAGTAACTACTACCTGTTACCGAGCCCCTCCTGTCCAAGATGACCAGCTCACAATCCATACACGGCACCAAAAGGAAGCACAGTGCAACAATTGTATATAACAATAGACGCTTACCTAGTTAGTCCGGGTTGGGTTAATCAAATTTGTCGCCAATCATTGACCAGAGTCTGCCCGGCACTTTTGAAACACGAGGGTCTGTTCAGCGCTTACGTTTCAGATCTCGCCTGACCGACAGATATGATCATGTAAGGGCTTATCATCCTGTATACGACTGGACGGAAAACAAGAGGGATGATTGTTGTCAACTGTAAGACATGGTTTTCGGCAAAGACTGTCCCGTTTGCTCTGAGTTTAGGACCAATGATCGGACATGCTTCTCTGGCGGAGTGGCATCTCCCCCTTTTAGCCAACGTCTCTTCTCGGGAAACAAAGTGGTTGTGAGTGAGGCTCGCGAATCGGTCAAGTCGTCAGTGGAAACAGCAGAGACAGACAGAAGGCCTTGTAGCCCATTGCTGTCAAGGATGACTGTCACCATTGAGATTGCCGAAGACGGAACCCGAACCAGATGGTCTCTACCCAAACCCATTTGTGCCTCTTCGTAATGAAGGTGCCCGACGAGATAAGACCTGTATCTTTTGGATGTGTTAGCTATTCTCATATCATTGTGTTGGCAGCATTGGGATCTAAATGAGAGCCACGTTGACGGTCTGGGACCAGGCCCTTTTGAACAGATGGTGACCGGCCTTCTCCTTCCAACAAGATGAAGGTGGGGAGTAGAGATCAAAAAAAAAGACTAAAAGAAAAGACAGTGTTGAAAACATACAAACTCTGTACTGGACTCGCCAAAACCAACGTGGTGAGGTTGTTATCAAAGAGATTTGTCGTCGACAGCGCTGCAAATGAATTCCATGAAGCGATATCCTTCCAGATGCGGTTACCACCATCACATGACCTCCCAGCCCGACGACTTTCTCGATCAAGGACAGAATCCTTTGAGATTACAGCATGGAATATAGTACGATAGCATAACTCAAGACTGAGTCTCTACCTTGCATCTTGCGAGGCAAGATTTCATCAGATAAGAATCAAAACAAACCTAGGGATTCCAGATCATAAAGAGGGTCAGACTGTATACTCTCGAGCCTCGAGAATAGGGGCTTTAGTTTTGCGCCACTAGGGATCAATGGCCCAAGTCAAGGTAGCTTGCTATGTGGTAATCGCCCTTTGAAGCTCCTTTTGACTGAAGAATCGACCAGGCGAGTGGGAGGAACGATTCCATACAACTTTCTATCATTTACCACGACAGGGTTAGCCTCACTTTAGAGCTCGCAGTGTCAACTGTGAGCAGGGTTTGTCCTCCCCATATCAACTACTTGTCTCTCTGCCCCGCTGAATTCGGAACTACTGTAGCACGGGCGATAGTTCTCGCGTACCTCGCTGTTCCTCACGGTTGCGGTCCCTCCGTAACGTTGGTCGACAAGAGATCCTTGAGAGAAATACGGATTGCTCGGCGTGCGTTTGGAATCCCTGTTGTCGTGGCTCGAAGATATGCTATGGTTGGCTTTCGTCTCCATCGTTCACGGGATGGTGTCAGATGCCTCGCAGGTTGTGATAGAGTGAGGTCATTAAGAACCTTGTCAAGGAGTGCCAAAACTCCAAAATCCATTTAACTTAAACAGTTTCAGGATTTCAGTGACGAGGAAGAAAAGAAAATGGTTAAAATACTAATACTTGCGACGATTTGCGGTGTAGGAACCGGGGCAACTCTCCCAGGGCCTCCCCGAGTTATCACCGCCAGCACTTCTGAGCAACGCCGCAAAACTGGTTACGTCTACACTAAAAGTCTGGAGATTCCTAGACCGGCCGTTTGATTAAATGAATGAAATGATCCACTTCTACGGAGTACAGTGCCGAGAAAAACCATACCCTTCAACCTTGGATGTGCGGTCAGTTTGTGCTAGATCCAGGCAGTGGAATTTTTATTGGACGCATCTCGAGTTTGACGGCCACCGACTTAATACGGAGTATGTATCCACATGCGTGAATTTTGCCCATGGGGGTACATGATGTGGAATTACTCACAACTAGTGGAATGAAGGTTATTGATTGATGCTCTTTTCACCACTTTCATCTAGAACCGGACTGAGATTGAATACATCATCGGATAGAGAAAACGGGCGAACCATCTATGGTACAATTGTGGCGAGGCATGGTGGGACGATGGAAATGAATCAAAAATAGCGTGGGACGGTCCAGTAATGTACTCCGAATCCAGGGAACTCGACGATGGTGGGACAATTAATAATTATACTGACTAGCTAGCTAGGGGGTTACTATATGACTCAGACTGACCAACATCAAACATATGCCACGACTGTCTTGAGCTTTCCTCGGATACTAGTTTAGAATCTTCTGATCATTTATATGAATCTAAGGGCTTATAAGTTATGATAATCCATTCTAAATGGCACAGAAAGCAATGCGTCCCCTTTAGCCAAACACAACCATATGGATTCATTTACCTAAGGATTTACCACTCATGGCTTGTCTTTTACTGATTGATAGCCGAATCCAGAGCCGAGAGGGGAACCCGGTGACAAGACATCCAGAGTGGTGTGAACTCTATATCCAATACTACTGGATAGGTGATGGATGCAAAACCCGTACCCCTCACGACCATCCAGCCAATCACTGCTGGGTGGAAAGCTCAGAGCTCAAGCTACCTGCAAGCTACTGGGCCTACCAATGAGTCAATTCCACAAGCCTGAGCCGTTTTGATCGGAGGCAAATGCAATCCCAACTGTTTTCGGTCCGTCGATCGGCTGTTGGCCCTCGAGTGAGGAGCAATAGCCAAGACCCGAGGGGGGGCTGCAGCCGGGTGGAGCGCAGGACCTCGCATTTTACCTCATCGAAGACTAATAATTTCAAAATTTTCTCGCCCCAGCCATCCTGGCCTCCGTGCAAAGGCCTATCAGCTTGGAGGTGATGATCCGATCAGACGGATGTGACCGGGATGCTTCCCAAACAGGACTAGCACAATCAGATAAGATGGGTCGCCGAGCTCGGCAGCTTCTCGTCACCGAAGTCGGACATCACGTGATCACACGATAATCTAATCTGATCCGATCTCTTTTCCCTCCCAGCACCCCTCGAAGTTCCTCTTCTCCGTTTCTCTCCTCACCCGATGGTCCCTGCATCGACAGTCTATCGCCCACGCCGCCTCTATTCGCTCTTATTATTTACTCTTTTTATGCTAGGTAATTAGCAGGTCACGAGTTGATCAGAACTCGATTTTCACGCTAGTCGACTGGAGTGGCGTGATCGCAAGTTGGCCGGAATTCGCTGGCACGGTCGGTCGGTCTCATTCCTCTTTAGCTGGGCCATCCACGCACAACTCAGGACTGACTGGGCGTTAGTTATCTCCAGAAATATTGTCCACCGAAGCAATGGCCTCTCCCACAAACATATCAATTGCCCCCGCGGCGTCTGTGCCGCCCCTTGCGCCAGCGTTGGCGATCAAGCCTGTTGCTGCGACCGCGTCACCCGGCCCGGGCACACCCGGCTCCGTCACCTCCAAGGAATGGGTGATTCCTCCACGCCCCAAACCTGGCCGCAAACCTGCCACCGATACGCCGCCCACCAAACGCAAGGCACAAAACCGTGCGGCCCAGCGAGCGTTCCGCGAACGGCGAGCCGCCCGTGTGAACGAGCTCGAGGACCAGATTAAGCAGATCGAAGACGAAAATGAGGTCCATATCGCCGCACTGCAGGCCAAGATTTCGAACCTCTCCCAAGAGGCTGAACAATCCAGAACTGAAATGACATGGTGGCGGGATCGCTGCCATGCCTTGGAGAAGGAGGTTGCCGTCGAGCGAAGTGCCAAGGAGACCCTTGTCAAGGAGTTCAAGAGCACCCTTTCCGACAACAGTAACAACAGCAGAAATATTTCTCCAAGCCAAGATATTGTCCCACTCCCGGCCCGGTCGTCGAGGACCCGCAACGCCCAGATCGCCCGCGACATCAGGGACCAGGAGCGCAGGGATGCCACGGAGACCGAAGACGTTGCTATGGGCTGCGGCGATTGCTCTCACGCCCGCTGCCAGTGTATCGAAGACGCTTTTGCCATGAACGATGCCGTCTCTACTCGTGATTCGTCGAGCTCCAAGAACCAGCGCCCTCATTCTCGCAGATCGGGCATCCAGCGTATCGAACCGGAGATTAAGCCTGACCCCGAGGAGATGGAGATCGATTTCACCTCGAGATTCTCGACCATCCATTCTCTGTCTGAAGACCACACGTCCCTCGCCGTCTCCACTCCCGTTGACCCCTGTGGGTTCTGTCAGGACGGTACTCCATGCATCTGTGCCGAAATGGCGACGATGGACGAGCAACGCAGACAGAGAGACAGCTACGAAAACAACCGCCTCGCACCGATTCAGACCCTATCCGAGTTTACCCCCCCGCCATCCGACAGCGATGCCCGCTCAGAGGTGACTCTTCCGTCGATCAGTCAAGCGACTAATCCGTGTGCCAACGGTCCCGGAACCTGCGCCCAGTGCCAGGCGGATCCCCGGCGGACCCTTTTTTGCAAGACCCTCGCTGCCTCCCGGTCTGCGGGCGGCGCCGCGCCCTCAGGCTGCTGCGGCGGTAAAGGCCGTGATGGTGGCTGCTGCCAGACCCGTCCGACCAGCAAGAACTCTCTCCCCGCCGGCAGTTCGGCCAGTTCCCCTCTCACCTTGTCCTGTGCCGACACGTTCACCACCTTATCCCGCCATCCCAACTTCTCCCGGGCAACGGATGAGCTGGCCTCGTGGCTCCCCAAGCTGCATACCCTGCCCAACCCAAAGGACCTTGAGCGGCTTGGTAGCCGCCCCGCAATGGAAGTCGAAGCAGCGAGCGTGATGGGCGTGCTCAGATACTTTGATCGACGGTTCGCCGACAACTGATCAAAAACCCTCTTTTGTTTCTCTCTACCTATCCCCCCCGGCCCTTCTTCTCTGACACGCTTTCCCATCCATGCTTTCCTGCTTACGAATTTTCTTATTCATGATACCCATTTTCACCCTTTTCCACCTGATACAATACCACCGTCATCAGAACGGGTTTGTAAACCATACCCATCTCCTCGCAACCTTATCGGCTCCTTGCCGAGACGCGCGTCGTGAGATTGGGCTACTACATCTTCTATATGGGAGGCACTTTTGGATGATTAGACGGCGAAAAAAACGGCGCATGTTAGATGACTGATATGATGGTTTTTACCACACGGTCCAGTAAACTTGTTTCAGACTAGTTTTAGTTGGACATAGTGAACCAAAAAAAAGTGATTTCTCTTCTTATGGAATACGAATTCTAGTATTCTCTTCATGGAATACACCAATCATACTGCCATATTGTCAAGAAAAACGAGACCGATTAGTTTTCAAGTGTCAAGGGTTTGTATATGTACATGGTATGATAAGAAAGAATGGGCACAGCCAACGCCTTTTGCGCTTTTGACGGTATATAGATAGTAGATGAGAAGAACCCATAAGGCATAAGCACGGTTGAAAGTACTGGAGAGAAAGACACAGAGGGAGGGGGGTGGGTTATTGAATGCAGTATAACTGCATGACTAGTTTAAACTGATAGAATGTTGGGCACGGCGATGATGTGTATGTGTGTGTGTGTGTGTGTGTGTGTGTGTGTTAGAAACGCCCACTGCTCCGAAGGTCTTCGTCCGCTCCGCCCGCAGAGCCCAGCAGGCTGGCGCCCCAGATACCTGCAACCCCCCACATCCCGATCCGCCAGCCGCGGTACAGACCCTGGATGCCCTGGCCGCGCGGCCGGCGTTGCTGGTCATGTTTCGAGACGGACTTGCCGAGGAGCTCGCGAGCGCGCTCGTTTTCGGACGGCGCAGCGCGGGCACCTTCTTCGTGGACGATGCCCCACATTGTACTCACGATGCCACGGTAGGAGCGTGGCGTAGGGACGATGGTTTCGATGTCACCCACGGCCATGTCCGTGGAGGAAGAGGCAGACGCGGTGTGCTGTTGCTGAAGACCGGGAGAGGTGAAGGTAGAAATCTGGGCACGGCGCAGAACAGTCTCAAGAGGGAACCGGACGGCGAGCTCCAGGCCGGAGCTCAGGCAGGAACAGAGGTTCCACATGGACGGGTGAAGGACCGGGTCGATCGACAGGTAGGATTTCAAGAAGAGCGGGGCGCTCGTGGTGATCAGGCTCGGAAGACTGGAGTGCAGCACGGTGATGGGGACAAGGTGCGGAGGGATGGTGTGGTTAGGGGTTGGGATGAGTCTGATGGCCCGCAGGAGGGAGCGGGGGCCGTGTGTCGCGGACGTGAGGATGAGGAAAGTCCGCGCCGTGTCGATGGGGGAGAGGATGATGGCGGTCAAGGAGGTAGAGATGAATGAGAGAATGAGGGTGGCTACGGGCGACGCGACAGTCAGGATGTCCGCCGTCATGGATGACGCAATGTCTTCCTCCGGGAGGCCCACGATGGCGGACAGCAGACTGCGAATGAAGGTGTTGAGGGTCGGCAGGAGGAGAGAGTAGATAAACGTCGTATTGGTAGCCTTCCAGGGTGCGGTCGGGCCACTCGTCGACCACAGCTGCGACAAAACTTCCATCAACGAGGACGGGTTCTTGATCGTGAGGGCATGTTTCGCCGAGGACGGAGGGCCCGGGATGTACCCGCTGCGATCGGTGATGTGTCGATGCCTTTGAGACTTGGGCGTCTTTGGCGAAGCTGTCGTAGGGGCTGCAGATGTAAAATAATTGCTCTCATCGTCGGACGACAGGGAGTTCTATCTCATGCACCCTGAGATTAGTACTAAGTCTTGTCTTGTTCTACCTCCCCTCCCCTAACGAGGAGAGAGGACACAAAACCAACGCACCTCATCTTCATCTTCTCCATCTTCACGATATGAGTTCTTCCCAGGTTGCGGAATCGACCTCCGTCGATCGTCTCGCGCCCACTGCCCCTCCTCCTCGGCAGAGGGGACGACATACGCCTGCAGAATGGTCTTTGCAACGTCAAATGGCTGCGCGGTCAGCGCGCTCATGTACCGCCACAACGCCTTATCCACCACGTCTCGAAGCCATTCTGAGACCGACGGAGATGGATCCAGATAATCCGAATAGTCCAAGTCCGAGAGCAGGTTGCGGGCAGAGCCCCCGAAGACCTGGGCCGACGCTGGGCCGTCGGTGGCGGCCGGCGAGACGTGGGCAACGGACCCCGTCGACAGGCCGATCGGGGGAGGCACGTAGTATGGACGTAGGGGATTCGGGCCGTCGCGCGAGCTGTTCATCGTGCGCCCTGCGTATGTGTTGTGGAAGCAGTATTGCCGAGGGGGGGGGGGAAAGTGACGATAAGAAGGAAAAGCTGGAGCTGTTCGGAGCGGAGTTTTCTAAAGAAGCACGCCCGAATTTCCCGCGGACCAGTCACGGCTGACGTTTTTCCCTCTTTTCCTCACGACTGTTTTTTTTTTCTCCCTCGCCCAACCCCGCAAGTGCTGTGGTTTACTGTTGATTCCCGGGACTATTCTTGTTTCTAATTATTATACTGTCATGTCTTTTTTCAGAGAAGCTATTCAGCCGGTGCGCCGTGCAGTCTCTAGTACGTTGGCTATGGACCGCAGCGGCGCCTTACAGACTCGGAGGTGCCTGAGTCACTCTACGCGAGTGCGGGTTGTCCAGTCAACAGAGTCGAGGTTTATGCAGTCTCGGAATGGGAGGAACAGTGGGATTTGGAGGGAATTGAATGCGAATCAGTCGTGGTGTTCGCGGCGGTCGTTCTCTGCTACTGCGGGAGCCAGCCACGGGCATATCACGCCCCCAAAGCCCGGAGAAGAGTGAGTGGAGCGTTTCCTGTGATTTTTATGTGTCGCAAACGATGGTAGCTGACATGAGTTCAGGATCAATATCAGTTTCATCGATAAGGACGGAGAAAAGTGGGATTTCCAGGTTGCCGAAGGTGATAACCTGTTAGATATTGCTCAGGCGAACGACCTGGAAATGGAGGGTAAGATAATGAGATATCTGAGTCAAGAGACCTTGCAGAGACTAATGTGGATGCTATAGGTGCCTGCGGTGGTTCCTGCGCCTGTTCTACGTGCCATGTCATCGTCGAAGACCCGGATCTGTTTGACAAGATGGAGGAGCCGTCAGACGACGAGAACGACATGCTGGATCTTGCCTTCGGGCTGACGGAAACTTCTCGTCTGGGCTGCCAGGTGATCATGACCAAGGATCTAGACGGGATGGTGGTCCGGCTGCCGTCGATGACGAGAAACTTGCAGGCCAGTGATTTTGTCGAGAAGAAGAGGTAGCACGGTGGGCAATAGGGTAGTTGGGAAGGGGGTGGGGTGGTGTATGATTGGGATGAATATACTGTGTGGCTTTAGAAGGGGCAATGTGTAAGATATCAACTGTAATCATTCAATATGTGCTATTCAACTAGATATCAACTCCACTCATCAGAGTGACCTGACAAACTTTTTGGTAATATGCTCTAGAGTCGACACCACCAAAGGAATCCATCGCCAAACGCCAGAACATGCCTTGAAACACTTCTATATGACTTGGTTCTTTTAAGCCTCCTCAATCTGCAACGGCTTTCCCTTCTTCCCACTGATCAGCTCGAGGAAACCCTGTTTGCTGACCTCATTGACGGCCTTCTCACGCTCACCCATGCCGACCGTCCCCTTCTTGCGTTCCTCCCTGGCGGCCTGCTCGCCGCGCACCTGCGCCGCCCGCACGGCATTGAACAGCTTCACCACACCGCGCTGCGCAATCTTGCGCAGCCGTTTCTCCTCTTCGGCGACCTCACCCGCCTGTCCACTTTCAATACCCATCACGTCGCGCACACGACCCCGATCCAGATCTTCCTTCTTCTCAGCGCGCAACTTTGCGCGCGCCAGTGTCTCGAGTTTCTCGTCGGCGAAGTCCGTATGTGTCTGCGCGGCGGTTTGACTGCGGGATAGGACGGGGTCCGCTCGAGCCGAGTTGGGAAGCTTGGTCGAAAGAATCTTCGAGATAGACGTCGAGAATGCTGTCGGGTCGTTGCGTTTCGATACCTTCCGCCGATCGCTTTTCGCACCATCTCCGTCTTCATCGCTGCCATCGTCTGACTCCATCGATACATCATCGTCATCACTGGCATCCTCGTCGCCGTCGGCTTCGTCATCGTTGTCGTCGTCGCTCTCGCCAGAGCTAGGTTGGGGGTTTTCTGCATTGGATCTCTTGTTCGCACCCAGCGACTTGGTCTTCTTCTGCGCCGCCACCTTCTCCGTAGGACGTTTCCTAGGTCTCGTAGTCTCCTCTTCTTCCTCCGAATCCGCCAGATCCACGGCTTTGAAGTCTTCCTCTGCCTCGTCCTCAGAACTGCTGTGGTACTCGCGCTGCTTCCGCATCTTCTTCTGCGGCCGAGCAATCTTGCCCTGCATCCCCTCAAGCACCTTGCGTTTCTTGTGTGAAGTAGAAAGCCCCATATTGATCACAAACACACCTCAATTCCTTGTTGTGCGGTTTGCTGCTGCTCCTGCTGGGGTTGCTGGTGAATTCTTTCTTTTTCTCTTCGGGAGACTTTTTGGGCGGAAAGAGCAGTGCCGCCTCCCATTGGCTGAGATTCCTCCCCAGCACAACTCGCCCCTCCGCCGCACTCCAGCGTATTTGGCTTCTGCTGGAGACAAGACAAGAAAGAGAGCCTGCTGTTTGACAGAAGGGATTTATCTTCTAGCGAAATAGTTTCGGGCTCTTTTTATTTTTCTTTCTCTGTATAATAGCCCACCATGGTCCTTCAGGATCTTGGGCGGCGCATCAACGCCGCTGTCAGTGATCTGGCACGGTCCAACAACCTGGACGAGAAGGTAAGTTTAGGATTCTATTTTTTTCTTGGTCTGCATGTTGCGGGAGCAGGTTCTAATATTGGATTTAGGCATTTGATGATATGTTGAAGGAGATCTGTGCTGCTCTGCTTTCTGCCGACGTCAACGTCCGCCTCGTCCAGTCGCTTCGGAAGTCGATCAAAGCCAGCGTCAACTTTTCGTCGCTCCCTCCGGCCGTGAACAAGAAGCGGTTGATTCAAAAGGCGGTGTTCGATGAGCTGGTGGCATTGGTGAACCCTCATGCGGACCCGTACCGGCCCAAGAAAGGACGGCCGAATGTGATCATGTTCGTGGGTTTGCAGGGTGCGGGAAAGACGACGACGTGTACCAAACTAGCGAGACATTATCAGATGCGTGGGTTCAAGACCGCCCTGGTGTGTGCGGATACGTTCCGTGCGGGTGCGTTTGATCAGCTGAAGCAGAACGCGACCAAGGCGAAGATCCCGTATTATGGCAGTCTGACACAAACTGACCCGGCCGTGGTGGCCGCCGAGGGTGTTGCCAAGTTCAAGAAGGAGCGGTTCGATATCATCATCGTCGATACTAGCGGTCGTCACAAGCAGGAAGAAGATCTTTTCACAGAGATGACTCAGATCCAGACTGCCGTCACCCCGGATCAAACCATCCTGGTGCTCGACAGCACGATCGGCCAGGCGGCCGAGGCTCAGTCTGCTGCGTTCAAGGCGACGGCCGACTTCGGGGCCATCATTATCACCAAAACAGACGGTCACGCCGCGGGAGGTGGTGCCATCTCTGCCGTTGCGGCCACCCATACCCCGATTATCTATCTTGGTACGGGTGAGCACCTGATGGATCTCGAAAGATTCGAGCCCAAGGCATTCGTCCAGAAGCTGCTGGGTATGGGTGATATGGCCGGGCTGGTGGAGCACGTACAAGCCGTCACCAAGGACTCGGCCGCCGCCAAGGAAACATACAAGCACATCTCTGAGGGCATCTACACGATCCGCGACTTCCGTGAGAATATCACCTCAATCATGAAGATGGGCCCGCTTTCGAAACTCTCGGGCATGATCCCAGGCCTGTCAAATCTGACCGCAGGGCTGGACGACGAGGATGGTTCGCTCAAGCTCCGCCGCATGGTGTACATCTTCGACAGCATGACCACTGCCGAGCTTGACGGCGACGGCAAGATCTTCGTCGACCAGCCCAGCCGCATGGTCCGCATTGCCTTGGGGAGCGGTACTAGCGTCCGCGAGGTCGAGGATCTCCTCTCGCAACACCGCATGATGGCGGGGATGGCCAAGCGCGTCGGTGGACAGAAGAAGCAGATGCAGCGCGCCCAAAACATGCTCAAGGGCGGCAACAAGGAGCAGCAGCTCGCCGCCATGCAGAAACGCATGGCTGCCATGGGCGGTGCGGGCGGCGCCGGCGGTTTCCCCGGTATGCCGGGCATGGGCGACATGGCCAAGATGATGCAGATGTTGCAGGGCCAGGGCGGAGCCGGCGGCAGTGGCGGCGGTGGCGGACTCCCCGGTCTTGGAGGAATGGATCTACAAAGCATGATGAGCCAAATGAGTGGGTTGATGGGTGGTATGGGTGGTATGGGTGGTATGGGTGGTATGGGTGGTATGGGCGGTATGGGCGGTGGAGGCGGTGGTCGGGGGAGGGGAAGATAGACAAAAATCGTTTACTTTCGACCCTTTCCTTTTGTTTGTCACATAGTTTTATCATGTCTTATTCGCTCTCCTTGGCTCTGCTTGCTGTGGTCCCAAGTTGAGCGTGGTTCATGTCGGTTAGCATTAGTCGGTGCAGGCGTTGGGTGTTGTATTCAAATACCACTTCGAATATATGCCATACATGTAGCTACTGTAACTGTCTAGACGATTCAAATTTATTGTAAACTTTTCTAAAAGTGAAGAAACTACAATCTCTCCACACGCTCAAGCCTATCAAAATACTCGTAGTACCTCTCATTCAACCCTCGCCAGACTCGGAATCCAACCTCTTCAATCCTTCCAATGGTAGTCTTCAACAGGACGTCCCAGGCACTGCTGACTGTTTCGTCAAGCACGACGCTACCGGCCGGTAACCTGCCGGATGCGTGTTGAAGATGCGGAACGCTCAGCTTATACTTCCAGACGGGTTCGCCGTCGACATAAAGCGAGTAAGTGAGCGTCGAGCTAGGCGCCGTGATTCCCAACGAGGGAATCACGTCCCCATCCTCGGTGTCCGTAATCTCAATCATCCCGAACTTGCTGTTCCCGTCCGGGACGTACTTGACCGCCACATCCTCGTTGTCCGTCTGGCGGTACGTCCGTACAGGCAGGTAGAACATGTTCAGCGGGCCGACGCTAAATTCGTGCACGCCTTCTCCCGCCGTGAAGGGGGTGATGGCGGGAGCGTCTTGACCGTCCAGCTGCAGGAGGTTTGGGTCAGGAAACCGGGTGGCGCCGAACTCGTGCCGGTCGCCGCTGAGAAGGACCACGCGGACGCCCAGCTCCCGCTCTGCTCGCCACATGGCTTCGAAGACGGTACGACGCTCGTTGAGGAACCCGCCCCAGGTGTCGGTAGTGCCGACGTGCCAGTTTTTCGTGAACGGGACGCTTGACGCCACGATTTTCCACCGGACGTCTGAGGGCTCCGGTCGCGCCAGATAAACGAGGAGGGACTGCAGCTGGGCGGAGCCGAGTATGGTGGATTCCGGCTGGGCGGGCTCAGAGCGGTATGTACGCGTGTCAAGCATGAAGAAGGAGGCCGGGCCGTGGATGAAGGAGAAGTACGTCGTGTTTGCAGGCTCGGCGAAGGCCAGTGGCGGGATGGGCGGGTTGACGCTGACATGGTAGTGAGCGTATGGGTCAGCGGCAGCAGGATACGGCGCGGTTGTGTTGCCCTTGGACCAGTCGTTGGCGATTTCATGGTCGTCTAGGGTGTGCAGCCAGGGTAGATTGATTGCTGGGTCTTCGGCGGGAAGGGCCCAGGACGGCGAGGAGTAAACACGCCTATACTCGCTTCGATAGTGATCCCTCGAGGACCCGAATCGAAAAGGAACATCTACATAGATGAAGTCCCCCAGAAAGAGCATGAACGCAGGCCGGAGCACCGAGGGAAGGTTTGCGACAACCTGGGCCAATTGCTCAATACCGGGAATACGCAAAGGGTGCAAAAAGGGGCTGTAGGGGAAGTTGGCCTTGATACAACTCGATGACAGAAACGTCAGCCGTTTCGCTTCTTTCGACCCCGGAAGCGGTGCTGTTTGAAATGTTCCCGTGACGTTATTGGATAACGAATAACGATACTGAGTCGAAGGCTTCAGATTCCTGATCATCACGGGCGCGGTATAATCCGTCGTTGTGTCAAGGGAGTAGATGACCCCTTCTTCCATCCACTTATCTTGGTTGCTCTTTGAATCTTCTTGGTAGAACACAACCAAAGGCAACTGGGCGAGATCTGGCTCCCTGACAAGCAGGTTTGCCGTCGTAGGAGAGACATAGCCAATGCGAGCGAACGAAACATCAGCACTTGGATAGAAGACAAGACCACGAAGAAGAAAGTCCAATGTCAAGACTGCCAATAGAATATTGGTGAAAGCAGTGAGGCGAGTAACCGCCCTATATCTTGACGGAAGTCCCGTAATCAGCGATTTGATCGCTGATCGGTCGTCCTTCTTAGCATCGGAAGTTGTTGACCGCTTAGCTGAGCTCTCTGTAGATGAATATGGTCAACCTATTTTTCACAATTACAAAACTCCAGCTATACCATCAAACTCACTCTGGAAGCCTCTGTCCGCAAGGAGGGCGGAAAGCGATGTGAGATACACCACTAGCGAAGACAGAATAAGAGGTGGGAAGTGATGACCTGGTATCTAAACCCACAGTTAGCCTGTGATCGATAGTTCTTGGTAAATAAGACTGTTAAACAACTCCTCACCCATCGGAGAAAAACAACAGCAGTGATTCTGATGATGGCAGAGCTCGTCACAACCGCAACGCAATGAAACGAGACCATAGTGTTTCAACCGACTCTGACCGGGCTGTCTGAATGCCAATCTAAGATCAAGTCAGATCATATCGTTTCCCACAGCGACGCGGAACCGCAGATGATCCCTTTAGCACGAGACGACGTCGTCTTGAAGCTCTTCTGTATTTGCCTGAGGATGGAGTAGCTATGACGACATGCACGTGCTAGCCCGTTCTGTCGACATTTCAGTTCCGCCTTGGAGACCGCCATGGCCCTTCGTTTTGCTGTTCGACTTGCAAGTTCCTGTTTGTTTTTGTCTGTCCGAAGTGACTTTTGCATTGTGTGGATTACTCGCCTGTGTCTTTGTATACCCATTATTCAACTGCAGAAGGCGATGTGCTTCTGTTTAAAGCAGAAGATGGACTGTGGGGGACTAGTTTAGTGAGAAGGATCATGTTGTAAATCATGAAGAAGCTCAATAATGACGTTGATGCTAACTTTGGATGATCAACTCGGTCCTGTCACCGAAACAGCTATGTACACGATATGACGGGTAAAGCGGTATATACATGCGAATTTCGTCTCTACCTCCTATTCATCATGTCTCTGAAGGCGCTCACCAGATTGTTTGCCATGGAGTTAGGGGTGAGAAGCTCGCGCGCCGTGACCGCGACATCCTTCATGTTCATGCTCATGGACATCTCGGCAGCCCATTCCCACGGCTTCTCGCGCGAACCAGGCAAGGCGTTGAAATATTCCCATCCCATGACGCCGCCGAAGTTGGGGAATTGCTCGACCAGCAGGGCGAGGATGGGCCCGATCTTCTCGCGCGGAACGTACCCCTGCGAGCCGTTGCCCGGGTTGGTGAGCAGGCCGTAGACGACACGCTGGGCGGACCAGCCCTGGGCTACGATGGCGGCGTACATGCGCGGGTCCTCGGCGGGGCCCCAGCCGTTGTAGAACTGGGCGTTGTACCAGTCGATCTTGGCGCTGCGGGCCTGCTCCAGTTCGCGGTAGTCGAAGCCGGAGAGGTTGCCCATGCCCAGCAGGGCGGCGGCGACGGGGGTCAGCGTGATGATGAACGCGTCGCCCATGTCGGCCTTCAGGCGGTCGATCAACCGGATGATCCCCTGCAGAGACATGTGCTCCTCGACATCGAGGTCGAGCCCGTCCAGCCCGTGCCGGCGGACCATCTCCAGGAGAGGTCCGTAGAAGCTCTCAAACTGGGCGAGCGGACCATCCAGCCGGGCGTAGGTCCCGCGGGCCGCGCCGCCCAGCATGCCCATGACCTTGACACCCGCGCGCTGCACGATGGGTACTTCCTCCCACAGGGGGTCAAAGACCGGGTTGTCGGGCGGGTCGTCGTTGAGCGTGATATGGCCGGGCTGGGCGTTCAGATGAATCGCCGCAATGATTATATGCGTCACGCCCGTGTTGTTGTCCAGCAGCGGCCGCATGGACACATAGTCGCCCCGGTTTGGTCGGATGGTTTGGTGGTAGCAGATCACCCGGCGACGCTCCGGGAAATCCGGGCGCCTAGTCGTAGGAGGCATCGTAGGAATAGGTACTACTTCCTAACCAGTACCTTGGAAGAAGTAGTATTTATAACAGTACCACTGCCCTTTTGATTCGTTCACTAGTCGTCCTCTCGCTCTTGTTTGATCTGCATCTCGCAGATGACTAGACAGCCGGGAAAAGAGGCGGGCTCTGGCTCTTAATTAGTCGTCGCTTCTGGTTGCCCCGCAGATCAGCCTGATGAGGCCGCGTCAATCCCCTCAATTGGCAGCGAAGTCGGTAGATTTCGAGCGTTGATAGCTTCGACCAAGGTATGTCTATGACCCCCGGCTGTAGAAATAGACGCTCGGTATGTCTGGAGGCCGTAGGGCCAGCCTCAATCACTTACGGGGGGCTGGGAAGCCTGTGGGGGAGCAGAGGAAGTGAGTGTTGAGCCTGTGCTTAGTCATCACAGGCTATCAGGTGTCTGAAAATGGTGAACCTGAGGCATCTTTATGAGGCATCTTTATTGCTCTACTACAGAGTGCTCGGTATAAGAGGAAATAGCACAGTTTAGGTAGACATATGAGTGGTAGGTTATTAAACTAGAATACGCGTTATTGCTTCACTATCTACCTGTCTAGGATTGAACTCGCCAATTGCCTCCGATTTATATAGTTATCAGGTGCAAGAACGTATAGAGTGCCTAGTAGTACTCATCTTCACTAGATCACAGGCGTTTCTTTTAATCTCAGGTAGAACTTTTAGCATTAGTTATGTATGTACTCCGTAGTATTGACCATCACTAGGAACTCCTGCCTCAGGCACCTGCATGGTGTGCCACCTTCCTATTTAGGTAGACTTGCCAGCTAGCCTGAATTGTTTTAGCTGCAGTACCTTCAGGTGACCTTCGGACTAAGCCTCAATAGGCAGTCGGCAGCAAAGGGTTGGCAGCAGCAGACACTCTCGTCATCTTGATTTGTCTCCTGTCTTCCTCTTCCACCTACCTTCTTACGCCTTGCGACCTCTGTACCCTACCAAACAACCAGCGCCCGGCATAGCTACTTAGATAGTTCTAACTGGGTGCCCACTTCTTCGCATCGATGACGAGGCTGGTTCAAACACCGCCTTGTCTTGGCCTCGTGGGTCCATCTCTGGGCATACTACTAGAAGGCAACGTTAGTCAAGACGCTGGTTGATCAAGCTGTTACTCCGAATGAGAGTAAAGAGGAAGGATTATGACGGAGATCCTACATAAAGAGTCATCTTGAAGAATCGTGGAATATGTAGCCGGCCACATCAGGCAAGACGAATCCATGGGGAATAACTTGATCCTGGAAAAGCTGTGCTAATTCACACGGTGTACAGGGCATGGGCTGATCACTTGTCCTTTCCGTCCAATCCTTTCTTCATGGGCAACCGGACATGATTCGTACGATATTTGACGGGACGAACAATAAGCAAAAATAAAACTGTTGGGGTTTTTTGTTGGATTGGACTTCTAACGATCGAATATAGTAGTTACAGACAGGTGAGGACAAGTATAGAGGGAAAATCACTTCATCTCTTACAAGTCTTATCAATGAAGTACTCATCTCATCTCATCTTTTTTTTTCTGTCTCTTACTAAGTGCATGCCTTGGGTACTGACAGGGATTTGATCCATCAAGACAGCCAAAGACCAATCATCTGACGCAATGGGCATGCACGGTCGATTTATACACGAGACTATCAATAGCTAGCTAAACTGGCCTCTTATTACTCCTCCCCACAAGCTAGACGATCAATATTTCCCTCTCACAAACACAATGACGACTTCCAACCCCGATCCCAGCTCCGAATTCCTGGATCCTGCGCCTGTTGCCGATGTAAAGGCTTTCTCTGCCTCCTGGCTATAACCGCTATTAGTGAAGATGTTTGGCTGATTTCATCAAGGATGATGTTCATGCTCAGCAAGATCCAGATAATGACTCAGAGATTTCATCAGAGGCGGATTACATGTCGATCAAATCCAGCATCTTAGACTACCAATATGAAGTGTTACCCCTATCCCCTTCCTTTGACGGCGTCGACATCGGCTAAAAGATGGTCGTAGAACGGTCGTCGTTACCAGAGCTATCGCAGGGGTGAATACCTATTTGTATGTCGTATGTTTCGACCCTACATCTTTATAGTCTGCTCATCCATCTTCTAGCCGAACGACGAAGATGAACAAGACCGTATGGACTTTTTGCACCACATCTATGGAATGATCTTGGAAGGGCGATTGCACCTCGCGCCCATCGGAGATAAACCCCAGCGTGTTCTCGATATTGGCACCGGAACAGGAATCTGGGCCATTGATTTTGCCGAGTAGGTCAATTAATCTGCCTTCAATCACCATCAATCACGAAAAACTGTCCTGTGCTGTTATCTTGGGGAAACCGCCTTTAATATTTTATCTCTTCAGCCAGTATCCTAAGGCAAAGGTGATCGGGAACGATCTGAGTCCAATCCAACCAGATCGGTGAGGTTAAGATTGGTATCTGATGTAGCTCGAACTGACGGTTCTGCCAGGGTGCCGCCAAACTGCATATTCGAAGTAGACGACTTTGAGTCTGAGTGGGCATACAGCCATCCCTTTGACTATATTCATGGCCGCGAGCTGGCGGGCTCAGTGAAAAATATAGAGTGGCTGGCGAAGCAGGCATTCGAACACCTCAAACCCGGCGGGTACCTAGAGTTACAGTCGGTTGCCTTTAAACTGTTTACTGACGATGGCTCAATAAAAAGGGCTCCATATACAGTCCAGATGTGTGAGCTTGTTGAAGAGGCCGGGAAAAGGTTCGGAAAGTCAATGCACAACCTAGATGTATGGACCGAGGCAGTGGAATCAGCCGGCTTCAGGGATGTTGTCACCAAAGTCATAAATGTCCCAGTCAGTCCGTGGCCTAAGGACCCTCAGCAGAAAGAGATCGGCCGGTATTTTCAGCTCCAACAATCCCAGGCTTTTAGCACCCATCTTCCTGGTATTTTGTCTAATGTGCTGGGATGGTCAAGCGCTGAAGTCATTGTCCTTGGAGCTAGGGTGCGGAATGAGTTAATGGACCTCGGTATACACCAATACTGCAAACTGTACATCATCTATGGCAGGAGGCCTTAGACGAGGCTTATTTTCCTCGAACCGTTTATTCTCTTTTTCCCCGAGCGATCCCTTTTTGCTTAACCTGGTCTTTAGGGAGGAGTTTGGTCCAATTATCGGAGCCACCCTTCTGCAAGAACTTAGGCACACACTTAGAGAATGAATCCTATTTTCTCTCTACTGTGCAATGTGTCCCTCGTGTTCCTAGATTTTCTTCAAGCTTGATAAGCTCGTTGAAAAGGAACCTGAGCGGGGGGTCCACTGTTTCTTCATCTGGATCTGGCTCGACCAAACAATTGAAATATGCTCAACAAATGAAACCAACTCAATCAATACCTATGCGAGCGTAGGTATAGACTTTCCCGTATTGATTCAACAAATCAGTCTCATGTAAACATGTCCTCTTGAGATCTGGTAAGGGTCTCCAGCAACTCAACAGAATAAGTTATATAAGAAAGCCCTCTATGAAGCCAAAATTCAGTCGATTTATCCATTCCATAGGATGTACAAAAACATGGCCACCGGTATCATCATTGTGACGTCCAGTGGCTATAGAAGTGGGATGCTGCTTCATCTTTGTGGCGTATACCACTATATAAGAGAACAGAAACCCCTCAAGGAAAGAAATCTTTCATGAAGCGTGACTCACTATTTTGCAGGTAAAATGCAGTTCCTCCGCTCCATCTTCTCCTCCACTCGAGGCATCTCAACCATCGTACCCACCAACCATCCCAACCCGGGCAATTTCGCCAATCGACCCAAGTATGAGATGCGCGAGATAGCACGCAAGGGAGGGCAAAAGGGCGGCAAGGCAAAGGGTGTAGGCGGGTTTCACGACATGGATCCCAAGAAACAGGTAAAGTTTTCTCGAGGGTATGTATATCTTGATTTGATTGATGCTGACGACCTATTTATTGTTGAAAGCATGAGATTGCGTCTATGGGTGGTCGGGCGGTACACAAAGCAGAAGAACAGGGAGGTCATTATACGAGGGGAAGGAGAGGGGGGGATCCATCATATGCAGCGCCGGGGTTTGGAGGTGAACAAACTGCATAGTTGAATGATAGTAGAGAAGATGAATCGAAACAATTGAGATTCGATCCTTGCTCGTAGTCCGTATGAATTCTGAGATGGACGTTGAGTTAAGCAGGCTTGTCACTTGATCGACAAGTCATGTGATAGTGGGTTGGCTGCCCATCCTGCCTAAATAGGAAACCGCGTAGCACGAGGCAGTGCTTACTAATTGTTGACTAACAACTTGGCGCTAAACCCAATCAGGCACTCAGTAAACACTCCGATTGCTGCCTGAGGAACCGATAATAATGAGGCGCGCATCCGCCTCTTCTCCTCTCCTTCTCTCTCCCTCCTCCAACCCAGTGTTTATTATTCCCATTAACTATCCATCAGCTCATTGTTAACGACACTAACTGTGCCATCAGATAGGTCTATACTCTGTCTTTCTCCAGGCGACTATGCGCCATTGATATATCGAATGAGCTGTCCCCATAATTAGCTGACCCTCCCATCTTTACACCACGCGCGCGCGCAACTACCATCATGGCCGACTACTTCTCCTCGCCCTTCCCCACGACCCACGATACGATCGGCACCTCGACCCTTGCAACTCCTTACTTTATGCCCTCGTCTCCTCCACGGAGATACAGCGCCACCACGCTCGTCTCTCCGACTCGTACCAAAAGCGCCGGCTCTGATCGCGTGTCGACCCCCAGAGAAGCGCCTCTTCGTAGGAACAGCTCCAGAAGATCATCTGTCGCCTCTAATCGTGCGAGTGACCTCGATGCCCGTCTGGCGAATTACACTATCGATTTTAGCAATTTTGCCAGCACGCAGTTTGGCCCCGACGACAAGGATGATCTCGAACCACTTCCCGACATGACCTCTTTGCTTGAGGCGGACAAACTGTCGGATGTGGGAGGCCCGGAGGATTTTACCGTGAATATGGAGAAATATCTGTTTGGCAATAGTCAGGCATCCACACAGCAGGAGAAATTGGAGCAGGCAGAAGAGGCCACGGGGCAGGAGAGAGAAGATGATGCCGAAGAGGCAGAGCAGCAGGAAACATCCACCTTGCCCCCTCGTGCTATCGAAGATGAACCGGAGCTAGGGGAAGAGAGCGAATTCGGGCCGCCAGTTGATATGTCGACGCCGTCTCATCTCCTGCGCCGGTCAAGCGGGTTCGTCAAGGAAGTTACCCACCTCGAAGGAATCGAAGAAGATCCAACAGATGAGCCGGAGAGCCCAGCTCCCACTCCGTCCGTTCGCCGGCAAAGTGTCGGCCACACGCAAGGGAATCACAACGAGAAGCTGTACGAGGAGATGCGCCGGCAGATTGAGGATCTGAAAAAGACAGTTCAAGACAGGGACGAGCAGATTGCGAAGAATCGCAAGCGTGTTCTGGAGGCGGCCTCCGCAGCGGAGCAGATCAAGCATCTTCAGTCGGAGTTGCAGCGCAAGTCCACATTATTGGATGATCTCAATGCGAAACGGGGGGAGGAGTCTTTACTCCGCGAGCAGATCCAGTTGCTGCAGAAGCAGAACGCCGAGAAGGAGACGCTGTTGCACAAGTCTACAGTTGAAAAATCGGAATTCAGCGCCCTTCAGCAGCAGATCACCGATCTGCAGGCAGACCTGCGCACCCACAATACACAGCCAAGTCGGCAAGACTCAGAGCGGCTGGAGACAATCGGTTTCCTCCGTGCGCAGTTGAGCGCGGCCCAGGATCAGGTTGTAAAGAACGAATTTCACTTGGAAGACGCCTTGACAAAATTGAAGGAGGTGACAGCGGCGAAGGAGCAACAGCTACGAGAAAAGAATACGGAGATCGACACTCTCAAGGCGCAGGTCGAGGACCAGGCCTTGGACATCGAAAAGCTGGAATCGGATTTGGACCAAGCAAACGATGAGTACCAAACTCTCGAGGGCCGGTTTGCCTCTCTTGAGGACAAGAACCGGCCACTTGAAGAGAAGAATATCAGTTTGGAAGCAGATCTGACGCGCGCCCAGACGGAAATGACAGCCCAGCAGAACGCCCTCAAAGCGGTGGCCGCAGACTTCCCCATGGGGGCAGGCGGCGACACGTACACGGATATTCTCGAATTGATCAATAACCTTCACCAGCCCAACCACCCGGGAACCTCAGTGACACTACCCGTGGATCCAGTGAACTCGGAGATTGAGAAACTACGCGAGGAAATCGCCAATCTTCGAGCCCAGCTGAAAGAAGCCATTGCTGCCAAAGAGTCACTGGAGGAGGAATTGGGCCGTTCTCAAGACCAACTAACTGAGGCTGAATCTCTTGTCAAATCACTCGAGGGGGAGAATTCGCGCCTGACAGCCCGAGTGGACGATCTCAACGCCACCTTGAACAGAGTCCAGAGCGAACTCAGCCGCGTGAAAGAGGAACGGTCAGAAGCTCTGGCCACCATCGAGCGTCTTCAGGGAGAGAAAGTCCAACAGCCTAGCCCTCCGCCCTCGCCGCCAAACACAACGCACGGCGCAGCTTCGGAGAAAAGCCGCGAGGCCGAGCTGCAAGAATCCCACCAGGCACAACTCCAAGGCATACAGACAGCGCATGCCACTGCCGTATCCACGCTGCGTGCTTCCCATGCAGAATCAGCGCGCAAGCTTCGCAATCTCCTCGCCGCCGCAGAAAAGCGTGAGGCCGATCTCCGGTCCGCGCTGCAAACGCTCCGTCAATCCCAGTCCCAACACGATTCCCAAGTTGAATCGCTCGGCGTGGAGATCAAGAGACTCGAGACCATCATCGCCAGCAAGGAGGAAGCCGCCGCCGCCCTCGACCAGCGCATCGCCCGGTCCATTGAGAAACGCGAGCGCGAATGGGAGCGCCGCATCGACCTGCTCCTTAAGGAAAGGGACCGTATGGGCAAAGCCCTCCTCTGGACATGGGGGGAGAAGGAACTTCCGGGCGTGACGGAGCAGGAGTCTACGGCTGGCCGGCGCCATAGGCAGGGATACCAATACAAACATGCAAAGAGGTATGAGGAGGCTTAAAGAGAAGAAAAAGATTTCTGGTCTGGTATGCTTTGGTTACGATGATTATAGTTCTAGATAATGAAGTAATGACTTTGGGATACCTTTTTTTTAAAAAAGACTTGTAACTTCATTGAAATTCAATGGATTAATGAATGTTGGTATCATTATTGACAGACAGACAGAACACTACACAAATAAAAATACATCTGGTTGTAAACATACATGTGGTGAAGAGAAATAGTCCAGCTACCCCTCGAATGTCTAACAGGTTCCAAGTAGGTAAGAAGAGAGAAAAAAAAAGTTATGCACGAACACCCGTCCGGTTGACGCCGCGATAAGTCTTCGCGTCAAGTTCCGCAGTGTACATGTTATCCCCGTACTCGTCCACGGACAACCGCGTCGATTCCCGGATGCTATCCAGCGTGTTGAAGCCGCTCATTCCACCGAACGTGCTGCTGCGTGGCCGTCTGGTGCTTGGGTAGAGGAGCTCGACGTTGCTGCGCCGGGAAACGGGCGGAGGAGGCATGTGGCGGAAGGAGCCGATGCGCTGCGGTGGGCCGGCGTGGTGGTTATTACTATACTGCTGATGGTTCCGGTGCTGGCTCCGCGTATGACGTGGGATTTGAGTCTGGTCGAACTGGTAGAGGTCGTTCCGGCTGGGCTGAGTGGTGTGGAGAGTGCCAGAGCGACGGGGGCTCTGGCGCTGAAGCCGCTCTGTCTCGGCGAGATAGGAGGTGGCCGTCCCGTGGCTTGGAGCCCGGGCCAATGGGCGAGTCATATGGGGATTCGGGGAACCAGGAATGTAGTTTGGATGGTGAGGGTGATAGATAGATCGAGATGGGGCCACGTAGGAAGTCCGTGACCGGCGCACATGGAGTGGTTCCGGTTGTACTACTTCAGGCGCATCTGCAGAGTTCATGGTCATGGATCGTTCATGGGTCAGTCCCTGTTTCATGGAGGAAAGGCCTTTTCCAGACCTTTCAGCCTCGGGGACAGGGGCACTGGAGGCCGCTGATGCAGAGATAACAGGAGCTGCAACCGCCAATTGAGGTGCTGAAAAGCAAGTAGTTGGTGGGTTAGCGTTTCTCTGCGCTTCAGGGTCCGTCAGAGCTCGGATCTGCGGGTCTGCAGACAATGGCAGGGAAAATGGCAAGGCCTTCGGCAGAAATCTCCTGAGAGATGAAATAGAGGACTTGGCCCGTTTGTGGATGTACTTCTCTGGGATCGGGGGAACTTCAGGTGTCGCCGGCAATTCTGCGATGACTGAATGCGGCGGGTGATGGTCAATAATAGTAGACTGCCTCGTCACCAGAGTGGATGCACGAGACAAGTTGTGAAAGTCCGGGGCTATGCTCTGTTCGCTGGGAGACATTCGAGACGAAACATCGTCCGGGGAGATGACTGAGCGGTAGGAAACATCCCCACTGATAGAGGGCGGGTTTGTATTGATCCTTAGTTGAGGCCTGAGACATGCACTGCTGGGATAACGAAGACTTGGAGGCCGAATCGGGGAATCGCTAGCGGAAACATCACTGGAAGACCAGTACAGTCCACGGTGATTGGAGCCAAGATGTGGACGGCGGCAGAGATAAAGGATATCGTTCTTGAGGGTTTCGCTTTCCCAGCTAGAGCCGGATGAGACACTTCCATCTCGCATTCTCTGACTCTGCTTGTAAACGCCGAGTAGCGACACATCATATGGGCGATCGCACAGTTCGCGAGAGCAGAAGAAGCTACACACCGTAGCACTAAGAGCGATGCCAGTCAGTCGAGGCTGCTTTCGAATGTATATCGCGTGTGAGACTTACAATGATACCACGGCGACGATGATTACCGCCCTATGAAGCTCACAACTAGTCCCTGAGTCCCAGTATCCGGTACCAGCGCCCTCCGCAAGACAGGTAGGTCTCTGAGAGACGACGATCAACCCTGCCACACTAGCGGCCAACCAAGCGAGGATAGTGAATCGCAGAATATAAGTGCAGGCAGTGTGCAGCATTGTCTTCTGCATGCCGAATCCCGCAATTTGATTGTACTGCCATGCAAGTATACTATGCAGAACAATCAGGGGAACGGAAAAGAAGGACTATGAATCAAAGTATCAGTCTCGACGAAAACGTTGATTTGTAGAGGAGAAAATCGTACTGCGGCCAGGGAGAGGACCAAACTGGGCGTCATCTTCGAATCCACCTGACCGATGCCGTATAGATAGAGAACTAGGACCCATTCGATGATAGATTCTAACAGAATGCCATAAAGAGAGGCAAATATCACTGCTCGAGTCCGGGCTCCTCCTCTCTTTGAGATCATTGGCGGCTTGTTCGTCATATTTAAAGAGCCCCGGGGGGGTTAACCTAAGCCAGCACCTTCCCAACTGAGTTGAAAGCAGTTTAACACAGAATACTATTCATATAAAGTCAATTGTTGTGCAGAAGAGTATCATGAAAATGACGTCTATACCAAGAGCTTTGGTCAACCAAGGTCAAGTGCTAGTCAGGAAAAAAATTGAACATTCACTTGCAAGCGTGGTGGACTAAAAAGGTCATATAGATATCAAGCTTGGGACGCGTGAACGCGACCAGAAAAAGGCCAGAGGGATAAGAATGCATCCCTATGAGTGGCCGGCATTCAGGGAAATGACCCAGAATCGCGTCATACCGCCGCTCAAGGGACGAACCAGAGCGAGGATAAAGTCGTCCCTTCTGGAATGTCGACTCTAGTCGACACGCTGTGCGAAGGGGACGTGCACTATGCTGAACGTGTGGTGGCCAGAATGCGCGATGCAAGGGGCTCACGTCAAGACAGGACCTTATCCCTCCGCTTTGATCAAAGCGCTTCTCAACGAGGGAAGAGCAAGGCATCGGAGATTAAAAGCAGCTGGAATTCACATAGTACAATACACCCATCGATCGCTTCATCTGAAGGGAAGGAAGGTTTCACTTTTGTGAGATCATCACCCATCCACATCGATCATCGCGTGGGGTTGGAATTTGAGGGCCTGGACACTGAGTGCTGCCCCAAACCAAACTCCCCTTTTTTTCATCTGTCCCGATACCACATTGGACTAACAAAGATATTCAAAAACTCGTGCTGGGTACTGATGCTTCTAGCAGCAACAAGAATAACCAAGTGCTGATAACGGGCTCCATCAAGAGTTGCCCATAGAAAATCGACAAGGCAAAGCACGTGATCAAGGGAGTCGAACTCGAAACTTGGAAGGGGCTTTCCAAGGGCCAGTTGCAGTAAGGATGGGAATTCGATAGAGTTGATGGGATACTTTGGGAGTGAATGGGATTGCTGATGGTCAAGGGAGCAGAAACAATAGCCATAGCCCTTGAGCAAGCTGGAATGATGACAGTGGAGGAAGAATACAGAACAGAGAGACCAAAAGGTTGTGGTAAGAAGACCCTAGAGAAAGGCGTGAATCACGTATCATAGTCTAATCAAATTGTTCATTTTCTCCATCTTTCAATTCATCTGATACTGTGTATCGAATCGCACGGCGCCAATGCACAATCCTGCGTGTTCTCTCCCCTTGATGTGGAGGTAGGGATCTCGTTGATATTGTCGGAAACCGACATATAGTCGGGTGGTTTGATCGCGCCACTGCTTTCATATTTTTTTGCATCACTCGACTGCTTCTTGTTCCTAAGCTTGCAGCCCCTGACTCGGGCAAGTACCGCGTCGACGACCGGGAATCTACCGTGACGTTCCTTATAGCGCATGCCCATGAACCACAAAATCATGGCAAGCCAGTAGAGGTTATATGAAAGGACAGAGCCGTATGTGGCCGAATTCGTCCAGCCCAGAATGCCCTGGAAGATTCCCCATCCGCCACCGCCATTGAGCAATGGGTTGCAGCAATTGACATGCCAAACACTATCCTGAATGTTATAAGAACCTGGTCCAGAGCCGGTTTCGGAAGAGTCGCCCCCAGTGCGTTTGTTCCAGGTATTGATTTCCAAGAATAATACGCCTTTAGAGAAAAGACCGGCAGACACAAGGTAGAGAAAGCAGGTTGAGATGACCAAGAAGACCTGCAGTGATGCCTGGTTGCCACCACTGAGTAGGAAATGATCTCAGCCCTGAATCATATAATCAAAGAATCTTAACTCACCGATAGAGGACATATCCGACGGCAAACCCAGCCAGCAAACCACACACGACTGGGAGAGGGAAAGAAGAAGCTGGAAAGCTCAAACTAACACCACCGATAAACACAATGGCCTCAAGACCCTCGCGGAGTACCGTGATAAAAGGAAGAATAAACATGGCATATTTCTCTGCCCAACGCTTGAAGCGGTTCATTGCCGTGCCCTGGGGGTGATCGGTTGTCTCGAGTGACTTGGCTAGTTTAATCCGCCATTTATCCTGTAGTTTGTTGACACGAAGCAGGGCCGCACCCATGATAGTGATGATAACGCTTGCGAGCAAGGAGAAAGCCCCCTCCCAGATATCTTCTGTACCTGAAAAGTGATCTTTTCCCAGGCCATAGAAAGCGCCAATCATGCCTGCACCGATACAGATGCAGATGAAGAAGCCGATTCCAACTCCCCACCAAACCTGAAAATCGCTTACTTAGCTTGATTCCCGTTCTTGATTGCAGTGCTACCATACCTGTTTGACTAGTCTCTTGTATGTAGCAAGATCGTTTTCTCTACCCAGTGTCTGCTTCAAGAACGACAGCAAGACCGACACGATAATGCTAGTCTCAACACATTCTCGAAAGCAGATGAAGAAGACTGTTGGATAATAAAATAATTAGGACACTTTTTCAGAGGCATTATCTCTCATCTTTTTTTTCGTTCTCTCACCGGGCACAGCGAACACGTTCACCGTCATCGTGTAGTGGTGGTGATATCGAGTAAACAACCCTTGCCGTGTAGACCAAACTCAACTGGCCAAGCTGATAATCTGATTGATAAATCTAGAGTTTCATGGAAAGCAGTCAGTCAGCACTTTGACAGCGACCACAGACGCTTTTTTAAACCGTGACAGAGTGGGAACAAGGGAACGCCTTCAAACCTTAACTCTGCTTGCTCAACTGACTCTTCAGCCGAAGTCGATTCCCACTGTGACTAGCACTGGCTCCTTGGTTAAGATCGAGTTGTTGTGGACTCCTGCCATTGTCGAGGAGGAGGTCTGTTCTGGAGGTTAGACAGGCACGTGCAAGTTGAACTGGGAAAGTCCCTCCCCTACCTCAACCCCCCAAGGACTTCGGCTCACCTGTCCTCCAGCAGACTCAATCACGTATTACAAGCCATGAACCAGCAGAGGAAGTAATGCAGCAACAGTGCCAAGGTGGAGTAAGTTTAATGTGCGCTCCGCTTCCCGTCACCTAAGGCTGGAAGAGTGACATTCTGCTCGATTCTGGTAGGTGAATTGACTCCGAAAATCACCGTCCCGCTCTTCTCAGTGGGCTCAAGACGCAGTACAGCTGACTGCTGGAAGCAACAGATTGGGCTGCTCCCGTTTGTTTTTTCCTTGGACATCTGTGTGAGTTTTGCAAATTATTATGGACTGTTTGCGGATGGTGAAACCACGGACAGGTGAAAGTTTGTCTGTGATCAGATACCGGGTAACATGAGTGCAAGTTGCCTCCCCCAAGCCTTGAGGAGCTTGCATCTCCTATGAAAGGAAAGTGAAAAGGATCAAATCTTATCAATCTTCTTGCTGATAATCTGATTCTGTCTTGTCAGGTTCATGTCGGTCGCCTCGCAGACCTGAGCTGTTGCGAGTATCCGGTCATTTCCCGCGAATAATAACATTACTCCGGGGACTGACTTGCTGCTCGTCGGCGCGACAATGATGGATTTGGATTGGAACATCACTTGGGTGATTGCAAATCTAGATGGCATGCTGGAGCGGCCTGTAGTTGGCAACAACAGTTCATGGCCACCGCCAGTTCTCAAACTCACCAAAGGTGACTAAGTGGTCACCATGGTGTACAGCGCCTTGGGGGAGGGGGAAAGAAAAAGCATCCACGGGTACGTATCAGAATGGCTCAAATTATTGGAAGGTTCTCCCGGAGTCGCTCAGTGTCAGAGTTCTCCCGAGTCGAAAATTCCTTCAACTTCACATCAAGCTCCTGTTATTTATATATTTTCCGGTTTTTGTGGTAAGAGAAATCCAGGACTCACCAATCTATCCAACTGCAACTGCTATCATGACCGAGTTCCCAAGCTACTCGACGAACTTATCAAGGAGGCCAACTCGACAGAGGCAGAGCCTATGTTCCAGACTGCATTAATGGATGCAACGCAGAACCTGACCGTTGCGTAGGACCAGAGAAGATTTATCTATTCTATCTGGTTGGTGTGGGCGCTTTTGCGAGGAGGCACTGGATAGAGCAGGAATGATTTATATCACTGACGCACAGCGCTACGGTGTGCTGACGACAAGGAAAACGAGATCGGCAAGAATTACGCCATATCTGGGAGTATAGATACGTACGGTCGACCATTCTACCTCAAAATCGATGTAAGTCAGCTAGCCAACTGACAAGTACATTAGGGCCGTTCGACAAGGTTCCATAAATTCTGGGTTATAACGTGAGTGGGTGATTAGTTTACGATTATGATGCAGAGAAGCTTCCACCTACTGAGGTTGTCGAGTTCGATCCGTACGGTGACTTCAGCCTCGTACCGGGATACTCAGAGAAGCGGACCGGATGGTCTTTAGACCTCGCCGTGGCTAATCTTGAAAATGGAGCAATCTAGTTAGTTGAGAGCTCTTTTGAGTTTTCATTCGAAAGACGAATTATTACGATAATGCCATGCAATAGCATCACCTACACTTGTCTCACGATACTGGGTCCAAAAACACAGATTCCACGCTCTACGGAATCTATATCAAGCCTTTCGTTCTGAGAGAGGGCAATATTGTGGATATTGGTCTTGTCAATAATGACACGTGCAAATATCCGTTCAATACATGGACGTGTTTTCGAGGTGATCCATCGAGGCGAGGAAAAAAGTCAGCCACCATGACTCGAGCAACCGTTCAGCATTTCCATGTGTACCCACGGAACCTAACACAGCCCTGGGCAGTTTCTTTCTTCGATTTCAAGCAAACAATCCAGGCAAGTCAAGCAGGGTGCTTGTTGCTTATAATGCCCAAGGTACCATTCATGTCTGGGAATCACCTCCACTCCCCCCCCTCCCCCCGTCATTTACTAAGAGGAATCTGACTATTTCACCGCCGTATCGAATAGCATATGGATTCCGATCTAGCTGGATAAGAGTTGAAGCTCCGCTTGAGTTCTCGCAAAGACTTTGCATCCCTAAGGACTAAGTTTTAGGTCTACAATGCTAGTGGCACACTCAGTAGACTTTCTTGGTCTCACCCAGCAGAAGACAGAGTAAGTTGGTAGTGTGACTTCCGACCGGATTCACAGCTAGGGGGTTGTTGCGCTGGTTTTCTGCTGTGATGCTGCTGTTCTCAGCATGGCATCAATTGTGTGGGACTGAAATGTCTCGTATAATTCAAGTTTATACTACTATGATACTACATAGTAAATGCATAGTACCTATCTTGTCTAACCGATTAATAGGTACGGCATGGCCCCCATCGTACCAAGCACATTGAAGTAAGACTTCCGAGGGGGCCAAAAACTGGAGGAGGTCGAATTTGTTGATAATTGATTAACCATAGATACAACACACAGACACACACACATATTGTATGCAACAATAATTAAATATGTAGCAAAGTAGATCTTTCTTGAGTCCTATTGATCGAGAATGAACATATTCTCTCCCAGGAAATCCAGAGAAGAGTGTACGATATCACATTATTACTCCGTACTCCGTAAGCGCCCGTGTCTGCCAGGATTAAGAAGCAGGTACCACTTTTCCATCTGAATGGATGGAGTCCACCCAAAGCCATCCCGGACGGTAAGGCATCTCGTCATGGCTGAACTACAGGGACCAAGCATTCCTTGCTCTTCGAGGAGATTGCCTACAGAGTATACTACATAGACAAACAGTCTTCCAAACTCTACGGAATTAGTTGTCCTTGGCGAGAACGAATTCATTAGACGAGAAGTGAGGCCACTTACTAGGTTACTTGCATAGCCACTCCATTTGACCGGAAACCTAGTCAGGTAGTCAGGTAGTCATGTAGTAACTAGCTAGTTAGTCACCCCATAGCTACTAGTCACTCCGTAATGAACTAGAATATGAAGAGTAATTACGGAGTAGTGATATGGAACCACTTGGCGGCTGGCTGAGAGCCACGTACGGAGCTTATCATGCGAGGCGTTTCCCCCCTTGTAAAAGAGAGAGAGAAAGAATGCTCAATAGAAAGCCTGAGGCCGTCAACTCCAACATGGTGGGGCGCACTGAATGGATATTTGAAGCGAGGAAGGCCATTGGGTGTTGTTTCTTACTGACTCGATATAAAATAATCGTATTAGTAGTTATTAGTTTCATCAATCAGTTACCTAGATGGTAGGATGGAGTTCAAATAATTCATTCTACATATTTAGTCTGGGTAGGTATCAGTCAAGATACTAAATAAACTAGGATGATCCGGGCGGTAGTCCGAGATTAACGCTCTAAGCGAAGACATGCCAAGCATCCAAGAGCGAGAATCTCACCACAACTACATGGGAGTATCTGAAATAGGTACCTAGGGTACTACCTAAATACATATGCTACTCCTTCTGATACTAATCTTCGAACTGGGAGGTCCAGGCAGATGTAATTTCCCAGAAGAGCCAACCAGCACCAGGGGTGTTGCCTAATCGGGTGGAATGTCTTACTATAGTAGACCCTGGCGGTCTGTGCGTCTCCTGCAAGTTGGCGCTAAGCCTGATTTTCTCGTTAGCGGGCTCCACGTGCGTGACTCGACGCTGTCACGCTGGAGGGTGATTTTCCAGGGAGTGTGGGGCTCTGTCTTGATTGGCTGGAATGTATACTACTAGGCACCTGGCAGTACCCTAGACACACACCTAGTACAGATCAGGCTAGTGTCCATCAGCCTTCTGGATGACAGAACAGGTTAGCTGCAGGTACTGTTGCAGTAAAGCAAGCCGATTGGCCTGGACACGCCGGAAATTTTGATCGGTTTTATGGCTTCTCGCAACTTCCACCTGTTGGTGCCTGGCGCCCCCCGGCAAGACTAGCCCATTCTTCAAGGTTCCTCCTGCGACTGCGGCTCTTCGGCTGTTCTCACCTCGTTCCTGGGAGGGCCAAATTTTCCCTGGTTCCCCCCCCCTTCTCTCTTCTCTTGTCCTTACGAAGCGATGAAGAAGAGGACAGTGTGTGATTGTGGCCACCACCAAAGTGAGAATTGACCGTGGAACAATGGGGAAAAAATTCTAATCGAGTCGTATAAAGTCAGTACTAACTAGGTAGTTATGGGAAGGGAACTATAAAGTAGTATATACTAGCCATGTCTTTGTCTAGAGATCCTATTACTACCTGATTACTATTACTACTAAACTTAGGTACTCTCTGTACCCTGTACTAGCCATGGACTGACTGTCTGACAAGCTATGAGTACGTACTACGTACTCCCTAAACTAGGTAACCAACAGGTGCTGCCCATTCAGGTACACATCCTTCCTGGGTTAGTCTGTGATCACCTGCTCCCTGTTTGTTATTTTGGACCCCTGCCTCCTCCTCCTTCCCTTCTTCCCTTCTTCTCTTCTTCTTCTTCTTCTTCTTCTTCTTCTTCTCGGGCACTTCATTTCTGTCAACCTTCGTCTCGAAAGGTTTCTGTCTCCAACTAAGCAGACGCTTTGTCTGCGTCCTTTCTTTCCGTCGGTTCTTCGACATTCCCTTCGTTACACAGACAGATAGACAGATCTAATATAATATATTCCCCCTCTCTCTGGTGGTCTTCAAGCCAGTCAACCTTCTTTCGTTCAACATGAGTTTTTCCAAGTTCTTTCTGGCCGTTGCGGCAGTCCCTTCCTTTGCTCTTCTTACATCGGCCTTGGACGTCAATTCCAATACCAACGTTGTTGTGTACTATGTGCGTTGTTTGTTGACATGAACCAAAAAAAAAAAAAAAAAAACAACCAAATCTTTAGGGTTGAATGTTTGACAGACCAACTGACTATATAACAGGGTCAAGGTGATGACCAGCAGCGTCTGTCCCATTTCTGTGGAGAAACCAGTCTCGACATCATCAACCTGGGCTTCGTCAATGAATTCCCTGACCAGGCGCCCGGAGGATGGCCCGGGAGCAACTTTGGCAACCAGTGTGGCTCGGGAACATATACCAACGAGGACGGCGAAGCGACCGACTTGCTCTCTGAATGTATCCAGTTGGCAGAGGACATCCCCGTATGCCAGGCCGCAGGCAAGACCGTCTTGCTATCCCTCGGGGGTGCGTCTCCTACAAATCAGCAGATTGAAAGCCACGATTCCGCCATCGCGTTTGCCGATTTCCTCTGGGGTGCGTTTGGCCCCGTCGACGACACATGGATCGCCAACAATGGGCCCCGTCCTTTTGGTGGTGCTGTCGTCGATGGGTTTGACTTTGATATCGAGAACAACGGTGGCTACGGTGCGTTCTTTTCTCCCTCACCCTTTCCCCCCCCCCTTCACCCCTTTCGACGTATTCATAAATCCAGGTTATGCCACCATGGTAAAGCGTCTGCGTGAACACTTCGCCGATTACCCCGACCAGACTTTTTACATCTCCGGTGCTCCTCAGTGTGTCATTCCTGATCCTCAGCTCGCTCACGCCATCACCCACTCCGAATTCGACTTCGTCTGGGTCCAGTTTTACAACACCGAAGAATGCGCCGCCAGCAACTCTGATGGATTCAACTATGACGACTGGGTCACCTTCCTGCAGCAGGGCGAGAGCGCCAACGCCAAGCTGATGATCGGCTTGCCAGCCGACACGGATTCTGACTATTATCTGACGCCCGACCAAGTCAATTCCCTTGTCGAAACGGAAATAGCCGCGTACCCGGATACCTTTGGAGGTATCATGATCTGGGAAGCCACCTCCTCCGATGAGAATGTCATCGACGACATGACCTACGCCGAGAACATGAAGAGCGTCTTGGTCGCCAACGCCCCTGTCACCCTGACCCCGACTCCCACGCCCTCAAGCACTCCAGTCTACACCCCGAGCAGCACCCCGGCTGTGAGCCTCTCCAGCACTCCTGTCTACTCACCGAGCAGCACCCCGCTTGCCAGCACCCAGGCCACTGGGTCTTCTAGCGCTGCTTCCAGCGCTGCTATTTCGACCCCTGCTGCTTCTAGCGCTGCTGTCTCCAGCGCTGCTTCTAGCGATGTTATCTCAACCCCCGCTGCTTCTAGTGCTGCTGTCTCGACTCCTGCTGCCTCCAGCACTGCCTCTAGTGCTGCCTCTAGCTCTGCTGCTTCAAGCGTTGCTTCTCTCTCTGCTTCTAGCTCTGCTGTCCCGACTCCTGCTGCTTCCAGTGCTGCCTCCAGCGATACTATCTCAACCCCTGCTGCCTCTAGTGCTGCCTCTAGCTCTGCTGCTTCAAGTGTCGCTTCTCCCTCTGCTTTTAGCTCTGCTATCTCGGCTCCTGCTGCTTCAAGCGCTGCTTCTGCCTCTGCTTCTAGCTCTGCTGTCTTGACTCCTGCTGCCTCTAGCGCTGCTGCTTCAAGCGTTGCTTCTGCCTCTGCTTCTATCTCTGCTATTTCTACCCCCGTCGCCTCCAGCGCTGCCTCTAGCTCCGCTATCTCCAACCCTACCTCCAGCACTGCTTCTAGTGTTGCTTCCTCCCCTGCTGCCTCCGGCTCTGCTGCCTCTAGCTCTGTCGCTTCCAGCGCCCCTAGTTCTTCCGGATACCCCAACTCCTCCGGCGTTTCTCCGTCCAGCTCTCCTATCGCTTCGAGTGTACCCTCTACCTCTGTCTCATCCCGCAGACCGTTCCCTACCATCAGCGTCCCTTACAACGTTACGCTTCCCCACACTCAGACAATCGTGAGTGGTAGTCAGCCAACTGGTACTGGTTCTGGTTCGGGTAATGGATCTGGATCTGGCAATGGCTCTGGCAGCGGCTCAGGTTCTGGCTCTGGCTCTGGCTCTGGCTCTGGCTCTGGCTCTGGCTCTGGCTCTGGCTCTGGCTCTGGCTCTGGCTCTGGCTCTGGCTCTGGTTCGACCTCTGGCTCGGGCTCTACCTCTGGTAGCGGATCTGGGTCTGGATCTAGCTCTGGCTCCGGCAGCGGATCTGGCAGCGGATCTGGCTCTAGCTCTGGTTCTGGCTCTGGTTCCGGTTCTTCCTCTACTTCTGGATCTGGCAATGGATCTGGTAGCGGATCTGGCTCTACCTCTGGCTCGGGCTCTACCTCTGGCAGCGGATCTGGGTCTGGATCTGGATCTGGCAATGGATCCGGCTCGGGCTCGGGCTCTACTTCTAGCTCAGGCTCTACCTCTGGCTCGGGCTCTACCTCTGGCAGCGGATCTGGGTCTGGATCTGGATCTGGCTCCAGCTCTACTTCTGGCTCGGGCTCCACCTCTGGCTCGGGCTCTACCTCTGGCAGCGGATCTGGCTCTAGCTCTACCTCTACCTCAGGCTCTGGTTCTACCTCTGGCTCTGGTTCTACCTCAGGTTCCGGTTCCAGCTCTGGCTCTGATTCTAGCTCCGGCTCTGGCTCTAGCTCTACTTCTAGCTCTGGCTCTGGCTCCAGCTCCTCAAGCTCCGGATCTGATTCTGGCTCTACTTCTAGCAGCTCTGGCTCTAGCAGCTCTGGCTATAGCAGCTCTGTCTCTAGCAGCTCTGGCTCTACCTCCACCTCTGGTTCAAGCTCCGGCTCCGGCTCTACATCTGGTTCCAGCAGCTCTGGCTCTACCTCTGGAGGCGGCTCTAGCTCTAGCAGCGGCTCTAGCTCTGGCAACACCTCTGCCTCTGGCAGCAGCTCCGGTTCTGGCTCCGGTTCTGGCTCCACCTCTGCCTCTGGCAGCGGTAATGAGAGTGGCTCCAGCTCAGGTACCGGCAATGGCTCTGGGTCCGGCTCTGGCAGCGGTAGCGGCAGTGGGACTGTCACAACTGCATCCACCGGGGCTCTGACCACTACGGCGGTGATCACCACCTCATATGTTGACATCTGCTCCACTGGCTTCACGACAATTACCAAGACCTACACCACGACGTACTGTCCTGAAACCGCGACTGCGACCGCGACCGCCTCTGCGACTGTCGCCGAGGGCTGGACCACGATTGTGACCGTCTGCACGCAGTGTGCCGCCACACCCACGACGGTCACGCTGACGCTGCCCGTGACCACTACCGAGGGATCGGGCTCGATCAGCCAGCCCACTGGGGGTTCCAGCTCTGGTGGCTCGATTGGCTCCGGTGGCTCCGGTGGCTCCCAACCTGGCGTTCCTGATCAGACCGAAACGACCACTCAAACGATTGTTGTTGTTCCATCTCCTACCTCTGGTGCTGCTCTTCTGGGCACTGGAGTCAGCCGCGGCGCGTATCCGTCGACACTGGCGGCACAGCCGTCAAGCAGCAGCGGCGGCGCTCACACGGCGGTGGTTGCGCCCAGCAGCACCCGCGAGGGGGTGTCGCCCGTATACACCGGCGGCGCGACGAGTTTCCGTCCGCAGTGGGCGGTTTACGTGGTTGCACTTTTCTTGATGTTTTATTGACGATGTGATTACTAGTACTACATCCCTGGCAATTGTGTACCATTTGTCTTCTAGTAGCACTTTTACCATTTGTTTTCTACTAGCACTAGTATTTACCTTCCTTCTATGTTATGTTATTAATTGACTAAAATAAATTCATATTCTTCAAGGAGTCTAGTTACCTCGTAGTCACCGACTAAACCTCGGGTATGTAGTTAGTAGTACTAATTTAGATGCCTAGTTTAGTATCTCCAGATCAGATAGATTACTTGGTCTCACCATGTCGGGAAGAATAGTATGAGGGATTTGTGGCGACGCAAGCGCCAGCAGATGGTCTGTGACGATGGTCTAATCAACACTAGCCAGTCTGCTTGAAGACTTACAGATCATACGGAGTACATGGGCCAGGCTGTGGCTGAGGGGTAGTATTTACTATTATTTACTATTTAGCAGTTAGTTACTGATGTGATAGTAGTAGTATATATAGTACACACGGTATATTTACCCCTTACCCCCACTTCCAAAATACACCTCTCTCTCTCTCTCTCTCTCTCCCTTCCACACACCTCCCTCATACATACAACAAAAAATGGAATACGTGCAGGAAGAAGTCGTCGACCGCTGGGGCCCCGGCGGTCGCGACGAATTCGTCGAAGAAGAAACGGTGTACGACGACGCCGTCCCCCGCTATGCACCCCCTCCTCCTGCCGGCCCCCCCCTTGACGGCCCTCCTGGCCCGCCCCTGCCTCCGAACTGGTTTGCCCGCTGGGATGATCGTGACGGGTGCTGGTTCTACGAGAACGAGATCACGGGCGAGACGAGCTGGGATAGACCTCCCCCGCCGCCTGGGTGGGGATATGGCGGTGGTCCTCCCCCCCAGGATGACTATGTTCGAGAGGAAATTGTTGAAGAGCGAGTTGGTGAGTTTTTACTTTGACCTCTTATATACTTTATATTTAATTGTTAATGTTTTAGATGATTATGGTTATAGACAGGAGAGTTTAGGTGAGGAGGCGGCTGAATGGATGGGCAGAAAGGTACTCTCTCTAAAGATGTTATATCCACTATACTCTACTCTACTTATACTTCTGCCAGGTCGGAGAGGTTGAAAGAATCCCCCAGGATATCGCGGATATCCCTGAAGACGTGGCAGACTGGGCAGGCCGTGAGGTCGGTAAGGTGGAGCGGTTCGATGATAATATTGACTATGCCTATGATGAGGGCAAGTATGAAGAGACAGGTAGATGGTAATAGTTTAGGTACTTTATTACATAGTTAGCGAATATTGTTATACTAGTTACTTGGCTGAGAACCCCGCACTCAGCTAATAGTACTGTGTATAGAGTACTTATCACCGAGTCAAGCCACCAGTCAACGGTAGCTATTATCCTAATGTTTGCTTATGCAGCCAAGTCTTTTGATACTATCAAGGTAAGACTGTTGATACTATCAAGGTAAGACTGTTGATCAAGATTGACAATGCGAAAAACGGAGTCGAATAAGAGTAGAATTGGAAATGATATTGCGGTCAGGAATGGTCCAATCGGCGGTGTTTCATTGCAAGTGGTCTAGCATCCCTAATTCTCAAGGTCGTGGCGGGGTAATTGATTCTCTCACTGCTGCCATTTGTTCATAAACCAAAAGGGCTCTAAGCTTTTCAGGGAAGCCGATGCTGTCTGGTGTAAACGAACCGTTGTGTTGTCATGGGCAAGAAAACCTGTCGAAGTATTTCCAGATCTTTGTTGTCTATAGCCGATTTGCTTGGACGAAAGCTGGATTCGGTTGCCAAACATCTCACAGCCTGTTTTTGTAGAACATTTTGAGATAATCTGATCTTCACTGACCCTTTCACGCGAATAAACACCGCATCAGGTAGTCGTTTGAAAACAACTGATAGCCATCCAGGGTGTTGCAAGACTCTCTCTTTCAAAAGTCCTGTCTATTCAGACCGAAGAGATAGTTTTGATCTTCGAGAAAAGAGTTGTACCTCTTGAGGTGCCGTCTCACCCCGCCAGTGAAGTTTTCAGACACTCGCCTACTAAAATTGTCCAGACAATTAGTAGGACATACGAAGGTCATTATTCGGCGAAGAAGGTGGCTCGAATATCAGTGGATAGGAGATATGATATGAAAGATTGTACGTCAATGCAAGAGAACGCGTCTGTCAATGTAGGAATAATACTGGAGAATAACTTGAGGTACCTGAATAAGTTAGAGAATTGATGTCAAGCGAGAAGTATCAAGTGAGAGGTATCAAGCTAACCACCTGCAGGTAATACCTATGGACTCATATTAAACAGTAGAGTAAGACTTGCAATTAAACTGGAGAGTCCTAAGCTTTCAGTGACTTCCAGGCTCTATTGATGAAATTGAATAGGTACCTAAAGGTGACTGGGTAAGGGCAATATCTACCTGGTGAATAGTAGATAGTTTCACTCACTTATCAGGTAGATTTAAAGTGTATACCATATAACTTAGACTCTGATAGTGTGTAAGTCATGATTCACTGAGGTTTGGGTGTCGCCTTCCAGGAACTGAAAATTTATCTTGGTGCCTAAGTGAGGTGTCACCTGCCTCCTTCCTAATTCAGCACTAGTCAAGTATAAAAACCCTCCTTCCCTCCCCCGTGGCCCAGCGGGCAGGGGAAAAACATCTTCTTCTCCTGCTGTACTATTCTCTGTCTTCTACCCTCTGCCATCTGTCCTCTTTTATATTTCATACCATATCCACCCTCTCTGTTCCTGAGCTCCATTTACTTATCTGTGTCCCACTAGGACCAGGAAGAGCCATGGACATGTCGACAAAAGAGCCCCTCTAGCCCTAGCAAAAACCGATGATGGAAAATGTGATTGTAAGTCACGTCTGGTGTGGCTAGACCTACCACTTTCTTACTCATCAACAGGATTACAACGAGATCATCTCGAGGCCTCTTCAGGAGCGACAAAACCTCGAAGAGCAACTCTTCCGACCAGTCAAAACCGCTGTCTATGATGACGAAAACCTAATCGGCAACGATGAAGGCATAAAAATCTGGAATGAATATCTCCAGCTGAGATCAAGTGATCAGCAAAGACTTCCAGCGACACTGTTTACCCTCTGCAAAGTGTCCAGAGACCTCCGCAAGAACATTTAAAACGAATACCAAGACCTCCGCAATATCAACAGCGCCATCGAGAACAACCTTATTGACCTCCGCAAATCGCTGTCAGACTCAGCGTACTGTTGAATCAATGAGCCCGACCATCCGAGCAGTTCGTGTCTACGCCTTAAGCGAGTCTTGTGCAGTGAAACAAGACCTCGCAGGATATATGACCTTATTATGCCTCTCTAATTGTCTGGGCAATTTCAAGTGGCCTAGCGGTCTAACTTCCCCTAATTTCTGCGAAACATGGTCAAAGCGACAGCGATACACGGAATGCTCTCGTCCATGGAGGCGACATCGTCAACGACCTGGTAGTGGTCAATGAGCTGCAGTCGGGGGATCCTACGAGAGCGGCTTGGGAAGCTGTTTTCAGACAAAATTATGGTGTCTCGACGCAGACGTGTTATGCCCATGACTCTCTTCGCGGGACTGACCCCCGCATCGTCAAAGTCTTGAATATCTCGGCTGATATCAGGGTTCTTCGCAAGTGGAAAGGTTCGGAGCAGTCAGATTCAAGAGAGATGATTCTGTGGTTGACACATCCACAATCCCTCTTGGGCGCCGATTCTCGGTCAGCATCATGTTACGAAGCAATACTTATGTTAAACCTTGAAGACCCCTGGCTGGGTAGTTAATTAGAGCAAGAAGAATCACAGCTGGTCAGTTAGGTTTCTGAAACCACTGTCCTGTACTGCCGGTGGTGCTTAAACTGCTATTGGAATGAGGGAGGGCCTCATTTTCCATCGGGAACCCTCAGCATGCTACGAAGGGTTCTACACAAAGAAAAGGTCCCTGTCGATCTTCTGGATCGAGTGGAGCGACGAACGGAGCTGGCGAGAAGCTCTCTGAAAACGGAATAATCAGACAGCTCATCAGAGTTCGACGACCTCTATAATGAGCGTGGTACTTCGGCGTGTCAAATAGCTAAGATAATATAAGTGAGGATTCCAACCAATTCTCGTGCTAGTTATTCAGAATATAATTCAAGTACAACCATTCCTTGCCATCAAATTATAAACGTTACCTAGGTAGATGGTGTGAACCCCGCACCTCGGCTAGATGCAGTACTGTACTACATATAGAGTCCCTTGTCCTTGTACCTTGTACCTTGTACCTAAGTGAATATATAAATAATATCACTCAAACCATGTACCCCCTCTCTGGCATAAAAGTTATTGAGCTAGCTGGTCTAGCACCAGGTATTAACAACCTGGAATCTACTAGATAACAGGTATTACTATGCTGATGCTGATGTTCCAGGCCCCTTCGCCGGCCTCCTGCTGGCCGACTATGGTGCTTCAGTCCTACGCATCGACCGACCGAGGAGTACGACCGAGGAGAGCCATGCTCCAACCCCGGACCGACTAACCCGCCACAAAGCCTCTCTCTGTCTCGACCTGAAAGAAGAAAACCCAACCGACAGAGGGAAACTGTTCTCCCTCCTCGCCCATGCCGACGTGCTGATCGACCCGTTCCGCCCGGGGGTTCTGGAACGACTGAATTTAGATCCCGTCGACTTGCTCGCGCGATTCCCCCGGCTGATCGTCGCCCGGCTGACGGGGTTCCGACCAGATGGAAACGATGTATATAGTTCCATGGCGGGGCATGATATCAATTACCTGGCTGTGTCGGGGGTTCTGAGCCTGCTCGGCCGGAAGGGACAGCCACCCTACGCTCCGGCTAACTTGCTGGCCGACTTCGCCGGCGGGGGAGCCATGTGTTTCACGGGGATCTTGCTCGCCCTACTTGTTCGAAATAAGATGGGAAGAGGCCAAATCGTACATGTCAATATGGTTGACGGGTCGGCTTACTTGGCTACTATGCCGAGATTGTTGGGGTTGGATAGCAGCAGCCCCGTCTGGAACGGGGAGAGGGGGGATAACCTGCTCGACGGGGGGTGTCCGTACTACGACACCTACGCTACTAAAGATGGGAAATATGTTGCTGTCGGAGCGCTAGAGCCGCGGTTTTACTCTGTTTTACTTGACAGACTGGGCTTGGGCGAGGCCGATCTCCCTGCTCGTACGGAGAAACGGAATTGGCCGGCGTTGAGGGAACGGTTCCGTGCAGCGTTTGAATCCAAGACGAGGGACGAGTGGGCGGCTGTGTTTGAGGGGAGTGATGCGTGCGTCACGCCTGTCTTGGAACTGGGGGAGTTGAAGCAGAGCGGGTTCAGGCAGGCCTTGCCGGTTTGTCTGGGGATGACGCCCGGTAGGGCGATACCTGGAGAAGATGGAGAAGAAGAGAAAGGTGGACTAGCTCCGGGGGAGGGGGGGGATGATCTCGTTAAAGAGTGGTTGAGGGGTGCTTCTAAAGCAAAATTATAGTCATTGCAGCTATTCTATAATAGGTTTCCCTCAGCCATATAAAGAGTAACGGCCCTGCTAAAACATACGACTTGCCAGCACCCTGTATTCCTAGCAAAACAGCTTCAGGCAGCTTATTTGTGCGTGTCAGGGTCGTCGTGACGAATCCAAAAGGGTGTGTGCGCCAGGAGGAGCAGCAACTAAAGACAGATCTATGCTTTGCAGGCCTCAGGTAAAAGTTAGCTGGCTCACTCTTCCATATTGTTCATCTCATCATCGCCAGAAGTCTCGGTGTTCTCGCGCTCCCTTATGCTCACGGTGATGGCATCACGAGAATCCACACTCAGGACCATCCCAGCGTCATTGCCTTTTTCAATATCACCCTCCAGCTAAAAAAACTTCCCATTGGCCAGATTGTCTGGCAGCTCACAACCCGAAATGCAGCGCGCCAGAGACACCAAGGTTGACCTGTGAAGATAACGACCGATAGTCAGCCAGAAGTCATTCTTATTGACCTTGTCGTCGAGTCTCATTCTCTTGAGATACAGGCAGGTGTGACGAACCTGAAATAGAGAAAACGGCGGGCGGGACGATTGTCGGTGCGGAAGATGAGCTCCCGGTTGTCGATGTCCTATATCGTCGTCAGAGCCTCTTCATAACCAATATAATACTCTCGGCACTCACCTGCAGTCGCACTATATTATTTCCCATTTGTTGAGCGATTTCCTTGCACTTGGTATCACCCAGTAGTACGCATCTCCATCGCGTCGGTACCGCTATCTCCCCTGGCATTGAGACGACCACGAGTCTTCAGTTGATGTTGGCAAGCAATATGATTCCTGCATAATAAATAAATAGTATTTGTTAGCCATTTTCTATGCCTGAGAGGTAGTATGCCGCAGTCTTACCTTTCGGAGATCTGTTAGCGCCACCTCTCCAACGCCGAAGAGGTATGGCACTTCATCGCTTGCCAGGCTCTTCGGCACAAGGTGGGCTGTCTTGACCTGGTTATGATCCAGACACCACATAATGCTTGGAGTGCCGGGGTCTAGCCTACCACGGCGCTTCGGTCAAATAACTTGTCTTGTGCTTGCAGTTTGCCGCCATGACGCGAGGCACAGTGCTGGTCATGGATAAATGACCTTACAAAGCGCTATTAATTGTCTTGACAGTTTCCAGTGGTTGGATGGTTTGCCCCCGATTTTGTATAACTGTTGGGCCTTGACCTCATCTAGGCCATCCCTGAAGCCATGAATCCAATCCAGCTCAACTTGCATTGCCATGACTTTTCTTCCAGATATCTGAGACAGATTGAGCTGTCCTCTGAGACAGTCGAGTTAGTTGACATCGCTGGCGGTCCAAAGCGGTTTGCCGGTTGGCTGGCAGTAGCGATATAGTCCTCTCTGGGATGGCGGACTGATTGAGCATGGTGGTGGTGATGAAAGTTAAGTGGAAAGTAAACAGATGCTGAGAGGGAGATAGTGAGAAGGAGTAGAAGTGAAGTTGGTGAATTGATAGAATAAGTAGGCAGCACTACTATTCCGATTTAGTCAACTCCTGCCTGCAGAACCAGGCATAATTATAATTTAACTACAGTAGGTACCTATTAAATATTACTACTAGATGGTGACTTTACCCACTATATATCTATAGTATTGAATCTAAGCAATTACCTTCGGATATAGTGACCGAATTTCCAGCCTATATAGAACACTACTATGAGGTCTAACACGGCAAGTTGTCTCAGATAGACCCGAAATGCCAGTTTTCAGGCAGTGCACAATACGAAGCGCTTAGGAAATGCGAACATAAAAAAAAATCTCTGACAGCAAGTTTGATGGCTGATGTACTCCGTATATATCTTAGAGAAACGCCACGCCAGCCAAGAAATAATCCCATGACACTCCCTTTTGCACGGATGCTTCGATGGTCTTCTTATCAAGTCCCTGCATGGTGTCAATGCTGTGGAATTGGAAGACTAGCAGGATATTCCCCGCAGGCACTGACCCGTTGTTCATAGGGTAGTTAGTTAGAGTCTGTATAGGGGTTTACATTCTATTATTTGCTTAGGGTCTATACTACATAAAAAGTATTAACTATGCCCACTTCTATAATAAGCAGGTCGTATTCACAGGTCAGCCAGCCATGTCGTATCTACAATGTAACCCTAACTGGACACTCTAAGTATCACATAGAGATTACTACAGTATATTATTTACCTCATACTGATTACTTGATCCATCGGATAGATAGTTATACTAGAGAGTAGAAAACTGCCTAGTAGCAACTATTTATATTTAGTATATTACTAACTAAATTAGCTAGTAAATAGTACTCCGTAGACTTAGCTGAATGCCTTTAACTAGTCAAGTAAATACTAGGTAATCTTGGAATACTACTCAACTAACTAATAGTAGGAGAATGACCCACGTCGACGTCATGATTCTATGGCGTACAATACAATACAGCGAATAATACGCCGGTGAACAGTGATAACCGCTCTATGCCCCACGTGCTCAAGGCTACAATTAGCGAGTTCAGTACAGCAGTACTACTACATACAAGGCACAGCCTGGAAGTACCTTAGCTCTTGGGGTAAAATAGCCTAAGCAATCAAGTCCTCGGAAGTTGGACTCCCTTGACTCTTGGGATACCCCTCAATCATGAACTACTCCTAGGTGACTAGTGAGGGTAGTAAACAGGTATCTACCGAATTAAATAAAATGAACCAAAGGGTAAACTGGGAATATATGACCATTACAGAGTACCTAGGTACTAATAGGTAAGAGTAGTATCTAACTAGACACTAGTTACTGCACATCTGGTACGATTAAGATGATCATTAGGATTATGTGGTAGAGACAATAATCAAATAACAATTGATATTCAGGTACAATCAAGTAAGTACCTTAGTCTAGGGTAAGACTCTAGTTACTAGTACCACGTACTACCAACTGGAGGCTGTGGTCCACCTCCAAGTCTGTCTGCCGTAACAATTCCGTAATTACATGCAAAGTCATCCGAGCCCACTTTGATCTCCGTAGGATCCCTTCTCCTGATCGCCTCCGCACGATCTTCTCTTTGCTTTTCAATCAGATTGTGTCTCCGACCACGGAGGACTGCGGACATTGTACAGAATACTCCATCCTCACAGTCAGTCTTGATTTTATTTTTTTTCAACCACTCTCAATTCCCCCTTACATCCGGCACTCGCCAAGCGCCCGCCTCGTGCCGCTCGTCTCACACGACCCTGACTGTCTGGAAGAAAGAGAGTGAGAGAGAGAGAGAGAGAGAGAGAGAGAGAGAGACATTTCGATCCAATAACTTGAACCAGACTCTTCAAACCGACTTGAGATCGATGAAATTATGACCGACTTTCGACTCCCCATTCATCAGGCCCCGCCTCGTCGCCCTGTTGCCTCCCACCACCCCTTCTCCTCCTACCAGGGCTACGACGGCTACCAAGGCCAGCAGCAGCAGCAGCAGCAGCAGCAGCAACAGCAACAGCAACAGCAGCAACAGCGGCAGGCGTCTCACCACTCCATTTCTCAGTCCTCCACCCACAGCCGCACTCGCACCTCATCCTCTCACACATTACCCTATGGCAATCGCTCGCAGTATCCCCCCGGGGCGGCCTCCTCGCAACCAAACCACCACCAGAACTTTCACCAGCATCACCCTCAGTACCCGCCACCGCCGGTGCCGCCGATGCATCCGATGAACCCACCCCCCGCCCGCCGCTTGTCGAATGCCACCACCTCGACCAGCTCGACCGGCCACCGGGCCTCGCAGACCATCTCCAGCGCAAACTCGGATATCCGCCGTAGCTCGTCCTCTCGTTCCGGCGGCGGCGGCGGCCAGCTGAGCTACGTCGCCCTCATGCGCCGCCAGAAGGCCACTGTCTGGTGTGACCGCGCGCAGCCCGAGGATGCCCGTCTGCGCGCCCAGAAACTCGCCGACAAGAAGCGTGCCCACCTCGAGGTCCACGGTGCCGCCGCCGCCGGCCGCACGGGCACGCTAGCCAGCAGCAAGCTCAAGCACGGCGGCAAGGGGGCCACCGACTTCTCGCCCGCCACGCTCGTCGGAGCCGCCGCCGTCCCCGTCCGTCTTAGCGCCAACGAGATCGGCGATGCCGATGACGATACCACCAGCGACTCTGGCGCCCTCTACCACCGCCGCACGGGCAGCAGCCGCAGTTCGCTCGGCAGCAATCATCGCTACCCGAGCGGCTACCAGCGCAGCATCAACACTCCTCCAAGCGAAAAGACAGACTTGCCGGGCGTTTCCGAGCATCCGCCGGCAGAGGATGATCATGATGATGATGGTGACCACCACCCATCATATCATGATTCGGAAAGCCACCCAGACGAGGATCATCACGACGACACAGGCAGCCATCACCGTGAGGACAGTTTCGGCAGTTTGGGCGAGTTGGCCGCACCCGTTTCCGTCAACATCACCGCCCAGAAGATTAAAAAGGCCGACGAGCTGCGCCGCCGTGGCAGCGTCGACGACCGGTCCATGTCTATGAGCGGGGTGCGGTTGTTCGTTGCCAACCCAGATCTAAGCGATTGAATGGTTTAGAACAGTCTTGTTGTTATCGATTTTGAGTTTGTGTTTTGAATGTGTTCAATATCCAGTTATACTTGCCGATTCTTCTTCTTCTTCTTCTTCTTCTTCTTCTTCTCCTACTTCCCTTTTTCGAGTCCCTGGTTGTTATAGTTTGCAATTCTCGGCCCTTTCTTTGCTCATGGGTCGTTGGTGTGGTGTTTGGTGGTTCTCTGATCTCGCTTGAGCTAATAATACTAATATGTACATATTTGATATCCTGGATTTACAGTATAAGGAATAAATAGTAACCTAGATACTACCTACTTTATCATATCAAGTAGTTATAATAAACCAGTGTGGCATTGTATCGTGCTTACTAATATTCCCTTTTGGCTAGTCCCGACGCGAGACGCGAAACTTCAATTAACGCGTGTTGCAACTCCCCAGCGAGCGGAGAGGAACGATCGGCCTGATCTGAGCTGAGCTGGAGACCCAGGCCTGAATTGAGACTGAGAATAGAAAAGCCTCATTTGACTTGGTAATATGATCTTATGATTTGATTTTGCTGAAAGATTGCTGTGAAGACTTGAATTGGATCGAGAACGAATCTCACTGTTGATTTGGAAGGGACACCTCGTGAAAGGGACACCCCGTGAAACGGACAAAAAGAACACAATGGACATGTCTGTCGATACACAAGCACAGGGCTTCTCTCAATCGCCGTCCCGAAAACGCTCCTTCCACGAGACGGAAAATACCGCTGTCCCGTCAGACCCGAACGCAGAACAAGAGAACACCAGCCCATCATTCGAGAAGGAGCAGGAGAGTGGCGTGAGCGGAGAGGCTGTCGGTCCATCAGAAAGCATTCTCAGTCCTATACCTGCACCTAACACGAACATGAACATGAACATGAACACGGAAACGACTCCCACGCCAACTACGCCGTCTACAGGCCCACCGAACAAGAAACGCAAGTTATCACCGGCTAGCAAGGCAGCAAAGGCACAAGAAAAAGAAGCCAAGGAGCGCCAACGGGTCGAAGAAAAGGCAAAGAAGGAGGAGGAAAAACGGGTCCGCGATGAAGAGAAGAAGAAACGGGATGCCGAGCGAGAAGAGGAAAGAAAGCGCCGGGAGGAGCAGCGTAAAGTGAAGATGGAGGAGAAGGCGGCCAAGGATGCAGCCAAGGAAGAGGAGAAGAAGAAGCGAGAGGATGAGAAGAGCAAGAAGGAACGGGTAAGTATTTCTCATTGTTTTTTTTTTTTTCAAGATTGCGGCCTAGTGTCCCGATATCAACGGTGTCAATGCTTATACTATGTTAGTCACAAATGAGGTTGAATGCTTTCTTCGCCAAACCGACCGCTTCTTCACCTGTCAACCCTACCAGCTCGCCTAAGAAGACACCCGCGAATAAAAGCATGCCCCAGGCAGATGAAGAGATGACACCCGTCATGTCTGATTACCAGCGTGAATTTCCCGAGTTCTTCGTGCAGTCGCATACCACGCTGGCACCTATGCACCGGTTCGAGCGGGACGCCGAGGCCCTGCAGCACCTGTGTGCGACGGTTGATGCGGGCCTGCGTATTGCGTCGTCGTCGTCGTCGCCGCCGCAGGTCCCAACCGTATTTCGCCCGTCAGAGCTGTTCCATCTTATACCCTATCGTCGTCGTCTGGGTCGAAATGTCAAGTCTGTGAAGAACATCCTGATCGAGATGCAGAATGAGAACCATGATGTTACTCCGGCTGTGGAGGAGGAGAAAAAGACAAAGACTCGAGTAAACCTGCAGGACCTGCTGCGCAGGGTACCGATGAAAACTTTTCGGTTCGGCGAGGACGTGCGCCCCCCGTACCAGGGCACATTCTCCAAACCCGTCCCTGATAAGACAGCAATGCGACTGTCTCGTAACCCTTTCCGCCGTGAGTTACCAGAGACCAACTACGACTACGACTCGGAGGCGGAGTGGGAAGAACCCGAGGAAGGCGAGGACTTGGACTCAGAGGAAGAGGAAGAAGGCAGCGATGACGGGGAGGACGACATGGACGGCTTCTTGGATGATGAAGAGGATGGGTTGGCTGCCGGGGCGGATGGGAAACGGCGGTTGATCGTCGGCGATCTGGAGCCGGTGTGCAGCGGTCTCTGCTGGGCAGACGACCACACCACCACCCCCGATGAATTCCAAGCGTACCGCATCGAGACCACTGCTGAGAATGTGCGGTTCCCGATCGATCCGTTTTCCACAGCGTACTGGGAGAAACCTCGGCCGGCCGACCAGCCACCACCGCCTCCCCTCTTCCCGTCTGCTGCTGCTGCTGCTGCTGCTACTACTGCTGCTGCTGGAGGAGTAGGGGGAGGAACAGGACCCTCTGGCCGGTCGACGCTGCACGCGTACGCGGTCAACTCGTCGGCGCAGGCGTCGCGAGGGATGTCGAACATCGCAACGCTCGCGACGGGCCGCGTGAAACGACCGTTTCCCCCGGAACAGCTGGCGGAGTTCAAGGCGGCGGTGGATGGCAGCGACTTGACCAAGGCGGGTTTAATAGAGGTCTTAAAGAAGCGGTATGTTTTCTTTCCCCCTTTTTCTTCTTCTTCTATAACCATATTTATATCGGTGTTAATACTAACTTTTTAGATTTCCTAAGGTATCCAAAGACGTGCTACGGGAGACGCTGAATAGTGTGGCGGTGCGCGTGGGCCAGAAGGAAGCCGATAAGAAGTGGTGTATACAGAGTGTCTAACCATAGGATGCAGAGTAGTCTCCGAATATACTCCGTACTTCGATCGATTCGACTTTACCTAATTTACTCTGATGCAGGGAATGGTACTAGTTAGTGAACGTATCCCTCCTGAGGTCTGGTCTGATTGCTCCATCGGGAGGACAACGCATGCATTGCCAACGCATCACGCAGCAGAAGGGTACGGAGTAAGTGATAAATCAATGTACAGAGGGAGTAAGTAGTACAGAGGAATAGGGAAATAAAAAATTAAATAGAAATAGAAATAGAAATAGAAAACAATAGAAATAATGAGTAATAGATAAGTCTGTATTATTACTTTATTGTATAATAGCACTCCGTACTCTGACCTGCAAGTCATTTGATCGGAACAATCTGAATCCACTCCTTCCTCCTCGAGTCATCCTCTGCGTCCTCCGTACCTGTTCCTGTTGCTCTCCTCCACAGTCTGTCTGTCTCATCGAGACTTCCATTACTTGCCTCCCTCCCACCCCCTTTTCTTTCGTCAAGATATCCCTTCCTAGATTTGTTCCTGCATTTACTCTGCTTTGACTACCCTCAGCATGCGATAGTTCAGCTGTGGATCGGAGAGTATGGCAAGATGGTAGATGATGCCCAACTGGACCCTCTCCTCCTGAGTGCGCCCCTCCTTTCTTCCCTCTCATTTGTATCTTTGTGTATTTTGATGTTTTCTTATTTTGTTTTTGTTTTATTATCTTTGGTGGTTTCCTTTTTAACCCTCTAATTCTATTCTTACAGTTCCACCATGCAAGGTCGCCGGAATGCCTCTCGAGGATGCCATCCACGTTGCGGGGATAGGTGAGAAAGGAGAAGAAGAAGCAGCCCTACAGATAGGAGAAGCCTCTCTGGCACACCCCCGTGTGAACGGACAAATCCCAGAAACAGCCACAGATCATAATGATGGTGATGATGGTCGGATTGGTTCCGTCAAGGCAAATACAACCCCGAAGAAGATGATGAAGGATGTCTCCTTCCAGGAGTTTGCTCTGCGCGTCCGCCAGAGTCAACACAAACAGGCCCAACGCAGGAAGCTGGAGCGGCGTCTCCAGGCCTCCAAGGTCGCCCTCGGCCTTGCTTCTCGGCTGGTCCGTGTCGGGGCCGCTGTTCAGCGTGGTCTGGTCGAGAGTTTGAAGCACGAGGATAAATTGGCCTTTGTCGCGAGCCATGCGGCCCTGTTGGACCTCCAGGAAGCCTGCCACGAGGCCTTTTCTTCATCATCAACATCATCATCATCATCATCATCATCATCATCATCATCATCATCATCATCATCATCATCATCATCATCTCCTTCTTCTAATGCATCCATGTCCACGGTCCCGTCTGGATTCTTTCACCATCTGAGCCCGCAGTCTCGAGCAGATCTGCTCCAGATCGTCCGTCTGGCCCGTTCCGACCCCAACTTTTTGTTTGAGCGCCTGTGCAGTCTGTCCCAGGCCCAGCTGACTGCCCTCGTTGCCCCCTCCTCTGCTCTGGAAGCCGGGGATCCGAACCCGAAAACCGCAGCGGGTGCGGCGACGGCCGCGGCTTCTTCTTCGTCGTTGTCGTCGTTGTCGTCGCTGTCGTCGTCGCTGTCATCCCGTCTCCGCAACGGTCCCTTGTTTTCGTCTTCCTCACTGGCCAAATCACGCCCGGCGGCTGCCGCTGCTTCTGCTTCTATTACTACCTGCTCCAACACCTTCAAGGATTGGGCCCTGGCCTTTGAGCGGACCGACCCCCTGTCCACTTTGCTCTTCAATGTCTTTGCCGCCCCGCTGGATGCCCATGGCCCGGAGGCCCACCGCCGCCTGCAGCTTTGGTCCTCCGTCTGTGCCAAGCTGCTCTCCCACGGCGGTAGTAAGTTCTATCCTTTGGTCGGCCATATCCTCTCCGCCTGGGCCATTCGCAGCGACTGGAAAGCCAAGCCCCGCTTCGAGCTCTACCTCATGGACATCTTGCAGCGTGGCGCCTTCTTGCTCGAGCCCGTCGCCGCGCCCCCGGCGGGCTCGGCGTTTGGCGCCAACTCCGCTGACCCTATAGATCCCCTGCGCACCGGCGTCGCCGAGGAATTCTTCGTCTCCGCTGTCGATGGCCTTTTCGACCTCCTCGATGACCCGGACGGAGGCTTCCCCCAGGCGATCCGTGAATTCGCCAGCGCCGTCTACGCCAAGCTCGACCATCCAGAGTTTCGTGACCGCTTTCTTGACTATCTCTTTGTCCAGTGGTTTTTCTCCAAGTTCCTCTATGGCGCCCTTACCTATCCCGAGGTCTGTCATGGATCAACTTATCTCTCTCTCTCTCTCTCTCTCTTTTCCTCCTTCGAAATAGGGACTATTAATTGCTGACTGCTGATGACTAGACTCATGGTTTGTTGCTGGACTTTCATATCAGCAAAGATGCCCGCGAGAAGCTCCTAGGTCAAGTCGGACTGCAGGCCTACTCACAGGTTTTTGGTGTCCTCCGCTCCATGTAACGATTATTCCCTCCCCCCCTTTATCTACTCTGGATCAATGTTTTAATATCCTATCAGGCCTCGCTTCCCCATGCCTCGCCCTAGTGTCCGCCAGCATGTCAGGAATATGCTCTCCCGCTTTAGGACCCCGCCCATCAACAATCCCTCCGGCGATAGTCTGTCGGACTCGCCCGCAGCTTTTGTCATGTTGTCTGCCACCGACGCCCTGACCCTGCTCGATGCCCTGTTTCCCCGAGCTCCATCCCCGGTATACAGCCCCCAGTCTCCTGTTCTCGGGGCCTCGCCTCTGTCTTCATTCAATCCATTCCAGTCCTCCTTTGATCCCCAGTCTCCACCCGCCACGCAACCGGGATTCTTCCGCCCTCGCATGGACGGCTTCTTCAGTCCGACTTCCCGTGGTAGTCCCGTCTTTGCCCCAGAGAACTTGCTGGCCCGCACCGCAGACCGCATCCGGTTCGAATTATCCGACATGGGCGAGCCCCATGATCGACCCAGCCTGGATCACCCCTGCTCCGAGGATTGGGCCATCTTTTCCGTTGTTGAACACGGGTCCCGTCTTGTCTGGGGTCTGTTTGCCACCCCGACGGCTGCCACTAATAACCAAGCCCCTAACGGAGACAATTCCTCCTCCTCCTCCTCCTCCTCCTCCTCCT